CTATAAAATATGTAATTATGCAGAAAAGATTTGATTTTCAAAAAAAAAAAAATTTGTATTAATTTTTATTATTTCTATCTTTATTTTTAAACTTATATAAATATAACGAAAATATTATATATTATGCATTTAAAAAACATATATATATATATATTTTTGTGCAATGAAAATTCGTTAAATATGCAATACATGTCAAAAAATAATAAAATATGCAAAATGAAACTTTCTATTTCAGTTCAATTTTGACTATAATTCAAACTTGTACCATATCTAGCCACTTTTTGGACTGACCAAAAAAACATGTAAATGTATATAAATCCGGGCCCTATTCATTATATTATGGTAATTCAAAACAACACGAAGAGTATTATTAAAGTATTTAAACCATAATCATCATATTAATAAAAATAATTACCTATCTAATATTTGATTTTACCTATTGTGCAATAAATGTTTATACATTTGCATAGTTTCTAATTCTTCTTCTTCTTCTCCTTCGCCTACATTCCAATTGTTTGGGGTCTGCTTACCCTCATCCTATACTTTCACTTGATTCCCCCATCGTCCTTGCATACACCCGCCGTATTCATATCATTATTAATCGCATCTAACCACATCATGTTCGATCTTCAGTTTTCCTCATGACATACTCAAATCAACTCAGTTCATTTTCTCTCATTTTGTCTTATCGAAACCATCCATAAGCTTCTTCTTATGTACTCATTCCTGGTTCTGTCTTCTCTGAGAATCATTCCACTCATACATCAAAGTTCTTTTATCTTTGATACACTCATTCACTGTTCCATTTTTCTGACTAACGTCTACCGCCCAATACTCCGAATCATAAAATATTGCCGGTCTCACCATACTCTTGTAGAACTTACCTTTAAGTTTCTTTGGATTCCCCTTGTCACATAAAAAACCTGACACTTTTTTCCACTTTGTCCAACCACACTTAATCATATGTTTCACATCTTTGTCAAAGCTACTGTTCTTTTTAACAAAAGATCCTGGGTTAGTGGTGTAGCCAGGATTTATCAATGGAGGGGGGGTCTATTGGGTTTATGGGTATTTAAAACCTTCTTAACCTTACGTATAACAAAAAAAAAAGCAATGTGAAAGTTCAACACCCAAAACCCCTTCTGATAACACCATTGTCCTAAGTATTTAAAAATCTCAACCTCGCCTATTACTTCATAGTTTATTGTCATTAGCTGTCTTGTCCTATCAACCTTTTGTATTGTTCCTCCAAAGTCATAGCCTATAAGTCTATAGTATACTCTCATTTATCGTTAGTTATTTCAAGTTGTACTTTCCAATCCTCAAATTTACTTATTGTTAACTTCCTACATATCTGCTCTTATCAAAATTATATCATGTATTATGTATATGATACCTCACCTTGTATTTCCTTTGCAATTTTATCCATCATAACAGAAAATATTTAAGAGCTAAGGTTGATCCCAAGCACACTTACTCTAATCCCAAAATATTAAATACTTACAATGAAACATTATTTTAATTAGGTACCTATACATTTTTTATAAACAGAAAAAAAGTTTAGCCTATAGATTATTATATCATTTAAATCAGATCCAGCAGATTATTAAGTTTCAAGTGGTACTGTTCGTAAACCTTAATTATCCTATTTATACTGTAAATATGCGTAGGTACCTAAAAAATGTTAGTTGTTTTACAAATATGTAAGTATATTATCTATATTTACATCGAATAAAAAATAATACAACTTTGATGGAAAAAAAATTGTTCACGTCGCAACTCAATGATATAATAAACAAAAAGTCTTATTTGCCGCATTGCAGTATCTACATAATATTTTAGTCGACTTCCAGAATTTTATAATCAAGTATAAACCATGAAGAGATAAATTTAAGAGTCAATTCATATTTTATTTATTTATGAAAACTTCAGTTTTAGGTGTATACACAAAACTTTTTATTAGGTAACATAATATAATATTTTATTATACACTGGGGAGTTCAGCATTTCATAATGCATTTGAAATTTCTATAGGTATCTATAATTACTAATTGTTTATTCATTTTTAAAATTATAATATAAGTATACTGACCTAGGTATATGTATATTGTAAATTAATTGGCGCCATTCAGTATTGTAAAAACTAAAATATTTAAATTCATTACATGAACATCAAACGAAAAACGGTACTATCTTAATATATAGCCACAGTCTGGTTATACATAATATATTTGTAAGTGATAGAGGTGCAGAAACATCGAATGTTTACACTACAGTGAAATTCACTTATTGTAAATAATATAATATTTTAACCATATAATATCTAATAAAGTAATGTCATGTCTAATGACATGATAAGTATAGGTTTTCTCTTGAGACGTAAATTAGTTCATATTATAATATTTAAAGTTAGGTAATTTAAATTCGGATATAATTATTGTTATATTGATAGACAAATAGTAAGTACTATAAATCAATAAGTAAAGACGGTAAGGTATTTATATAATGCATAAAAAAAATACTCAAGATAGTTTATACCTACAACAAAAAATAGATAAAAGTACAAAATTAATAAAACAATTGTTGAAGAAATCCAATATCATTACGTTATTATAATAACATTAATATAGTTTCAGGTATATATTATTAATTGACGTGTTATGGTGATGCTTATTAAATCAGTTTTTATGATTACAATCATTGAATTTTGTACAGCAATATTGTAATGACCCAAAAAAGGGAGAGCCCTAGAGGTAATTCAAACAAGAATATAAATAAATTATTTGACACTGATAAAGAAAATAACACACTTTTGTTTTATATACGTATACGAACACAGTGTAGAGACAACTATGCGCGAATGAAGTTAGTGTCGAGTTCCAGAATGCCATCAGCTCGGGATTATGAAAATAATCCACAAGCTGATAGACACAAGAAGACTCCGGATTTTGGAGCTGTCCATGATTGTGTTATCTGCCGTGTTCCTAATGGCTGTTGTTGTCTCCAGTCTAATTGTCATTATTGATTACAACTTATAATTATGTCTTAAAGGGTTAATGTTTACCTAATTTGTTATTTTCAGTTTTATAAAATATATTATATTAATATTATTGTATTATGATACATGGGTATCGTGACAATATTATCAAAATCAATAAAGTTATAAGTTAAATAAAATTTCCTTCCTCTCTTTTCTTTTAGACTGAGTGTAGCGAAGAATATAATAGTTTTACAATGATGTTTATTTTTTTTTTATTTTTTTTTTTATTCTGTGACAAAAATGTCTACCAAAAATTTTGCTCCGATATATACGTGTGGTATCATTTCTGAAAGGAATTATTGTCCAGATGGTACTATAGGGAGGTTATTTTTGATTTTCCAAGTGGTTTTGATAATATCTGGGAAAACCCGGGATAAAACTTAAGAAAAACGGTAAATTTACGAAAATAATGTTTTTTATTATTTTTAATTTTGTTATTTGTTGTAATTCAGATAAAAATCGTTTTAGTAAAAAATTATGTGGAACAAATCTAATTACTGGTTCATACAAATTGTTTCAATATATATTTATTTTACTGTAATATTGCATGTATATTGTTGAAAAAGCAATACTATTAACCGAGTTCTGCTCAGAATCGTTTTACATTAGCAATAGTTAATAGCTGTAGTGACAAATAATTTGGTTTCATAAGCGTTTGAAGTTCAAATTTTTTATGAAAACTTTAAAAATCACAGTATTTCGCTTACCTACTATTTTACGATTTATGTGGATGAAACTGTTTTCAGATACATAAAAATGTACAAAAATTTGCAGACAGAAAAAGATTAGTCGTTATAATTTATATTTTAGTTACAAAATTAATTCAATTTTCAATTATTTAAAGTTCTTTCATAAAAAGCCAGTGGCGGTTAAATGATTTTGCCGTGGGAAGATGAGGATGATTCATTAAAAATGATTATTATTCAATGTTTATTTTTAAACAATTTCTCTGAAATATGAAAAAAGCGTTACCTATACCAGTTATTATTTTTAACCGATATCCTATCAGTTATTTTAATATCAACTCGTGGTTTTCGATTGTAAATATCGGATCGTGTATCGTGTTTTAAATCGGTAGTTTATCATTTATGTTTTCGGAATTTTACAGCACTCACATCAACTATGGTTATTGAAGCATCCGTAAAACGTAAATAGATTTTTTAGACCTTAGAGGGGGTTACAAATTTGAAGGAAAAGTTTACGAAGAATTACGAATCCTTTAAGCAAAACTGATTTGGCAGTAAAACTCTTAAGTGTGGTTGCTAGGATAACTGACCTCATGAACCATTCATTTTTTTAAACAAAAAAGGTGAGATTAAAAAAAACCTGCATGAAAGCCAAGCGATTTTCACAATAATTAGTAAAAAACGTCGGAAAAACAGGGAAATTCCCGAAAATAACGCTTTTATTATTTTGAATTTCGTTAATTTTTGTTTCGATCTGGTTCAAAATATTCGTAGAGACTTGAAATTCGGACAGAAAACTCATGTATGCCTTTTATTTGCGACATTAAAATTATTATACACAAGTTATTTATATTCTAGCCTATTTATCTTACCATGAAGTGTTTTTATATTTATTTTCGTGTCTAATGACACTATACTAGCAGTATTACATTTTTAAATACGCATATAGCAAATACCTAGGTATATAAATTATTGACGGGGGGGGCGCGGTCGCCCCATCGATCCCCCTCCCCCTACAAATACACCACTGGAAGTATGTCTGTCTTTTTTTTTATGTTTCACCCAATTCCCATAATTATATTCGATCGCGTGTAGGTACACAGTGTTGTGTGAGCCGTACATTTTCGTATGCGTGCAATGTCCGACGACAGCGACGGCGAAAAATAACACCGTCTATTCAGTATCGATTTTGTGTTCCGGCGGCGGCGGCGTCGTCGTCGGCGGCTGCTGCTGTTGCGGTGGCGATGGCTGCGGCGGCGCGGCGCAAGAGTAACCAAGGTCACCACGCCGCGCGGACGCGAGAACGCCCGACCGGGCCCCGGGCTATTTAACTACAAGTCTGCGATATCCGTCCGAACACTGTGTCGTGCGCGCTGTCGAATCCCAGTTCAGTATTGTCGCAGACGTCGTCGTAGTGCGAATCGATCCTGTACGAAAATCGTCGTAATTGTTTGAACGTCGCTTTCTCGTAGCCGAATTGTTATTATTACACCCGTTTCCGCGCGCAGCACGTACACACTTCGAATCCAATATGTTCAACTTGGGAGGAGGTGAGTGATCGCTGTTATAACATGTTGTTAGCTTTACTCACAATATTACAATATGTCGTTTGGCGTTATAAATTATCCTCCCTTCCCCTCACCGCCCGCACCACCTATACGTGGCTGTGTTCGCCACGATAGTGCGCGCACCTACCTATGTACTGCGTGCACATTTTTCGCGTCGTCGGTACCTACCGTAAGCGTGAAAAAATTATCGCAACGTTTCAGTTTAGTATTTTGTTTCGGTTTTGCGTGCGCGCGCGCGCGCGCTCCCGCTCGCCCGCCCGATTTTAAATATAGAATTCGTGACGTTTCCATTGTATGAAAAAATCCGCGGCGGATACGCGCGAGGTCTGACGTACTCTTCGCTGTACGCGTATCACGAACAACGATATTATCGTCGTTTCGATAACGTTGCGGATACCGACCACGAACGATCGAAGAATGTTTGCCGCCCGCCGCCGTCGCGGCGAATCGCCGGTCCTTGGTTGCGGGGTTTTGTCGTTATTTTATTTTTGTCGCGCGCACCGGGTGAATTTTAATCGAATGTGTTTCGCCCGAGGCAATGCTGTGGGTGCAGTACAGTTCTCCAGTAAACAACATCATTGTCGTTCATTAGTTTATCGGAAATTCGGTCGCGCCGCGTTAAAAGAACGTTGGCTCCCCGACGGAAACTTACGCGATCGACATTATTAAACGTGCCGTACCTACGTCGCGGTCATCGTCGTACATTTCATGCCTACCCGCGCATAGCGATTGCGCATTTGTCAATAAATAACAGTCTTACGATAATATATAGGCACACGGACACATTTACACGTACGTCCGCGCGACACGATTGATCATGCGTCGCCGTTGTGTGCGTAGTAGCAGGACGCGGCGGTTGTTTTGTTTCCCCCCCCCCCGTTACCATTTCTCGTGCCGAATTATATTTTGCGCCTAATGTAAAACGTCTTCACTTTAGCCTTGCCCATTATTGACGACACGGTATTACATTACAATAACATTCGCAACAGGAAATTAAATTCTGTCGTGTTCGTCCTTGACTGCGGCGTATGGGTAGCGTCAACGCCGACTACGACGCACGGTTTTTTCGCGTTTCGACGGGCAGAGCACAGCGTTCGCCGGCCGCGGCGGCGAGAACCCAACAACGGTTTAAATCGAAAATCGCCCGTACGTAATATTATTACAACGGTTATGCGCGGGTGCCTTTGCCCTTTGCGGGCGTGTATGCATCGTTTTTATTATTATTATTTTTTTTCTCAAGAAGTACGGTACGTCGCACGCGCGCGCGTTTCGTCGGTCTCGCGTCTCACGAACGCACGGGGCGCAGCGAATCGTCCGCGTCCGACGTAGCGTGCAATTATGCACTTTTGACTTTCAAACGGTATATACGCGAACGATAAATAATATTGACCTGTTATCAATACGTGCAAGGACACCGTCTGCAGCATTTCCACGTCGGTTTCTTCCCGATGTCTTTACATTTTATGGATAAGCGAGCGCGTTTTTAAATTCATTGTGGGACGGTGATATTCGCACTGCCGTGTAGGACGCGCTGCAGACGACGGTCGTTCATTTGATGTTTTGATAACGGGTCGTTTCGTTGCGATATTGAAATTGACGACCCGACGCCGTCGGTACTTGCTGCTGTACGCCTGTACGCGAATTCACTACCTACGTCGCGCGCGTAGACGGAGACGGCACAATGCGCGTTTGTGTAGCGTCCTCACTTTAAACGTTTTATAATATTTGTATGCGTGTATTATACATAGGTGTTGCGGTATCATGGTACCTAATCGTGTGTTCAAAAATATATAAATACGATTTTTTTTTTTTTTTTTTCCGTAAAACTGGTTTCGTCGCTCAATTCAAGGTCCGGAGGTACCATTATTATTATTATTGTTATTTCAGTTATAGGCAATAGGTACACTGTATTATTATAAGTCGCCGAACGTGGTACTTTTATACGTGGTCGTGAGGCGGACTAAAATACGGATTACGACGATTCACTCTTTGCATGCCCGTTTAAAAATCGTAAACACAACGCGGCGGCGTACGTTGGTGTTATATTCAAACAGGATCCATATTCTGCATACGTCCGAGGAAACAAAAGAAATACAATCGGTTAAACGCGCGATATTTTAACTGTATATAATACAGCGTAGATACTAAATATATAACAATAATTGGCATATTCAGTGGGTGTACGATTGGTGAAATTAACCGATTACTATAATAAGTTCCACAGTATGTTTAATGCATTTTATTATTGTCCGTCTCTACGGCACTTTTTTTTCTGATAGTACATTTCGTCTATATAGTTGGTGTATTCGATTTTCCATAAAATGTTCTCAATGGTTTAATAAAAACAAAAAAAAAAATGGGAAAATTTACTGCAATTTCACTATTTTCTGCTAATTTTTGTTTTTTTTATTGTAATTCGGTTAAACATAATCCTAAAGTGTGAAGACCTGACATATTCACTGCATACTTATAATAGCCTTTTCTTTTTTTTAATCTCATGTGGCTGTTTTGGTGAAAAACATACTTCACTCTTAAATTACTGACTAACTAACAATTACTTAACTTACTACTCATTTAATTTAATAATAACTGAAATAGACATATACGATTACATAGAATCATAAATTAAACAATAATTAATATATAAATAAATTTGTACATTAATGACTGTGAAAACATAAAACTTTGAGAGTAACAAAAATAGTAACAATAAAATAAACAAATTCTATTTCCATCTCTAAAGGCGCACTTCTAGGCTACGTAGCCACTCTTGTACCTCGCAGTCACCTTTTGTTAGGGAACATATCTCAACCACGTTTTTGGTGGTATGAACGTGCCTCCCATACTTACAGACTATTGTATTTAACATTTTTCATTTATGTAAAATAAAATTACATTTTCCCTATTCTGTTCTGATTCGGTTTAGGGCAGTCCACATTTCACGTGGGAGTTCGAACCCCGGGATTCTTTGAGTCGGGTCGTTGACGAGGGAGCCATTGACTATGTTTCCATCTCTCCAAATTTTCTTCCACATATTTCCCAGCTTATCTGTTATTGTACGCTCGATCCACCAAATAGAATGTGTAGACTTGGCATCTTAATTATGTCGTTAAAACCCGAAAGGTTTGTCGAGTTTTAAACTTTTTGTAATAATTTTATCGTTTCTGCATATATATGCGAGTTTCTGGTGGTGCTATATTTGAAAGGACTGGAAGCCACTGTACCTTAGTTGACCGAACATAGCCTGAATTAATTCTCAACGTATTATTTAGTTTAATTCATCATCTACTTCTTAACATTTTAGCTATATTGAACTAGTTTTATGCACTAGATATATATTTTTTTAATTATATTATCTCTTGAAAACGTGTAATTTTATTTTTACTACAGCGAGTGTACGCGTTTGTTAGGATTATTTTTTTACAATTTGATTAATTTAATATTTTAGTAAGGTGATACCATCGTACACACAATATTATATATTATTATCGAATATATAGTCGTTATATTGTGCAATATAATGTTTGCAAGCAATACTATTAGTAAAGAATGTTGTCCAAGTATCTGATTTCATACTCACCCACGCCTCACTTATATACAGATATAGTTGCAAAACAAAGTGATCATCTCAAATTCTTTTCCGACATATTTATAAATTAATTAACGACTTAGATAATCAAACAGTTTTGTATTGAAAATAATGTGGAAATTTGTGTTTTATTTTTTGTAGCTATGAAAAACATCACTGCGAAAGCCGAAGAACTAGTAGAAGAAAAGAAGAATGCCGCCACTTCACTTTTGGAAAAACAAGTATGTTTATAATATTACAATACTATGTTCCTATAATGGTATTAATTTATTATGAAAAATAATGTCATGCAAAATGTATAACATAACTGATATCAAAATTAAGACGCTAAAGTTAAACTTAGTGTGTGGTTTTTTCTCATATTTTTTTTTAATAATTTATTTTATTGCATATATATTGTAATCATTATTAATCATTAATCATTATGTCTTCATAGGCAATACTTAAAAAACGCATTTTTTTAAATTTTAAATTATTAAATTTTTTTAAATTTTTTTTTTTTTGAGGGGGTGGGGTATCATCTTATTACATGGTTAGCATTGTATAATAATTGTTAAATGTACCTATTACTTATCAAAGTACACAAAAACAGTTAGTTAAAACACTTACCTAACATTTTTGAAGTTGGCAAATTTGGTATATGGAGTCAATACATTACAATTATCAAATTTTGATTGACGCTTTGTGTCCGTTATAGTAAACTTAGAGGTGTGTACCAAAATGTTTTTAGGAAAAAAGAGCTGATCCATTTTTCCACGTCCCAATTTAAGCACTGGATATAATTACAAACAAATAAAAAAAAAGAGTTGATACTGGGGATGGGAGTGGCCACTGTTGTAGGTGGGAAGTTGGGAAGGTAGGATACATAAGGTTATTTCATTTATATCTGTAATAAACGATAAACTATTGCTTGACGAAAGTTAATTCCGAGAGCAGTTCGGTAGTACATAATTTTTGCGATTTTCGTTTAAATTTGATTTCAAAACACTTAATAAAAAAAAAAGAGGTCCGATAATTTTGAAGCTTTTACCACGTTTAGGTGAGTCCAATATAACTATAGTTACCAAGTTTCAAGTCTTTACGTGTATTTATAACCGAATTACAGCAAAAAAGCTCCCAAAAATTAAAATTTCTTAAAAGCTCAAAAATGGCTTGAAAGTTTTGGCGATAATACAGTAAAAAAGTAAATCAAAAATCTAACAAAAATGGTATCTTGTGATTTTTCGTTTAAATCTTTTTTTCTGGTAGAAAACGTCGTCCGTGTTTTTATAAAATAATGAAATCGTGAAATAGTACGTTTTCCTACGTTTTTTCCCACTTAAATGATTTTATTTAAAAAATGGCGTCGAAAATCAACCTCTCTAAAGTACCATCTAGAAAACTTGAGCTTTCAGAAAAGTTGCTACACGTAAAAATCGGAGCAAAATTACTAAGAAAAAACGTGTCCACAGACTAGAAGAAGAAAAAAAATAAACATTTTAGTAATACCAATAGCTCCCTTATTACGCTCGGAATCTAAAATTAATTTTATAAATTATTAGTTTTTTTTTTTTCTTAGTAATTTATTTTGAAGTTTTATGTCGTCTGTCTGAAATCTGAAAAGCTAACTATTTTATCAAAAATTAAAATTTGCCCTCCTCTTTAGTATCAATATGGTATAACTATGGGTATATTATTATAATATTGTAATACAATAAGTAATAAGGAACTATAATATGTGTTTTGACCTTGAGCCTTCTAATAATGGATACATTTACGAAATAACTTGGTTAATAAAAGCATCTGAATATATATATATATACATGTATAAAAAAAAAAAAAAAAAATGAGAAAATGTCACATTATAAAAACAGGCGTAGTAAAAATAAACGCGTCGCAGTTACTGTATCGATTTAAAATCTCAGTTAAATTTGCATAACTATTTTGGTTCAATATCAGTCATGTTTAACCAAAACAAAAAAAAAAAAATCATTATTTTAGTGGGTTACATAGGGTGATATGTGTATCTTGAAATAGCGATTTTCTCGAAGGATTTTAAGTGAATTTAATTTCTATTTTCTTCAATCGTTATCGAATCGTTTATGCTTTTATTTTACATAATTTTTAATTATTTGACTATACATTTGAGATTTTCGAATAGGGTATTTTTAATATAGGTAATCCAGTTGTCATCTAATATTGAACTTGAATTTGTTAGCAATTACTTATTACAGTACCCTACTTCTCTGGTTTAAACTTTAAAGTGTTATAATTTAACTGTAAATCCAATATAAATATTATTATGTATACTTAACACTTTTTAGAAAAATATTCCCTATAAATCTGTGTTTAGAGGCTGTTCCTATTTGATAATCAAAGATATACCTATACCTAAATCCTATTAATTTAAGATATAAGACGTATATAACATTTTTTCTAGGAGATGGATCAAAAATATTTCATTCACATACGTACTGGGAGGGTGCATTCCCTCCGGGTGTGCATACAAATCCATAAACTCATCTCACTTTGAATAAAATATTTTTTTTTTTAATTAACAAACTTAATAGTTTAAACATTATAATTTTAAAATAAAATATGAATATTTTACTACAGATTACTGCTCTGGTGATAGCGCATTTTACAATATTTTAATGATTATAAAACTACGGGATATTTTTCCAAATTAAAGTTTTCAATCAATAACTGTACATTATTATGTTATAATTTAATAATAAATGTTTAAAAAGTCATCTATTCACAGATTCACCTCGTAAAAAAATCAAATTTTCTTAAAATACTTCGAGAAAATCGCTCGCTCGTGACAAATGGATCATTGTGTATGCTTCACATTATTATAAATTACCATAAAGATTCAATTATTTCCAAATATAATATTGGTTACCAATATGTTTGTGTCCTTTAAATCAATATAAATTAGTCTGTTTAATATATATAATGTTATAAAATGATTGGTAACATTATTTCATCATTTATAGTGAACTAAATTAATGTAAAAAATAAACTTTTAAACAGATACCATAGTTGTTTATCAAACTTTTTTTTATTAAATTAGAAAAACATATTATCTATTGAATCTTTATGTGGATTTTTCACAATAAACTATACGATTATCATGAATTATATAATTTATAAAAAAAACATGAGGTAAACCTGTAATTTCAGTTTGAAATTATCTATTCATATCATTATTAATGACATTTTTATAAACAAGCTTATTTTAAACTATTATTAACTGTAGTCTTAAGATTAAATGCTTTATTCAACGATTTATTTCTTGTTTAATTTTTGTGTTTATTGATTTTTATAATAATATACAACGTTTTAAAGTATCTACTTCAGCATTAAAAAATTATTTATGTACTTTTTATTTTGCAATTTAACATTTTGTTTAGATTAACGTCGATTTTTCGAATACTTTTAATTTGACATTATTTTTTAAATTTTATTTTCTGAATATTATGTTTTTATCAAACGTTTGAACACGTATCATAGATTGTTAAATAATGTTGATAGATAATACAGTTTATTATCATTATACCTGCAATAGCCTTCACATTCCAGAGGATTGTACAGTAAAATTAAATTTGGGAGGGTATACATTATTTTATTATATCTACCTCGTTTATAAAATTATTATAGTGAAAATTGTATTAACATTTTTTCAAAATAATATCTATTACCTATTTAAAAAAATACAAATCTTCAAATTTGGTACGCCTATCGTTAAAAAATATAAACCTAATCTAAGTAAAATTAATTGAATTACTACATAAAAATAGTAAGATTAAATTTTGATTTTTTGCAGGAATGTAGATTCATAAACACTTATAAATTAAGTTTATAGTACAAATTGAAAAAATTAATACAAAAATTGAGGACTGAAAATTATTGTAAAATTTAACAGAATTGCATGGTATCACATAACTATTAATTTATTATACAACGAGGGTTATAAACAATTTGAATTTAAAAAAAATGGTGAATTTATTGTTTTGTTAGTTAGAATATGATAATTTATAACCACACCATTATTTATTGCAGTTAGGCATATTAATATATTATTATTCTTTATATATACAATAATTATTTATACTCTTATTTATAAATAATATCTATTTTAAAGTGGTATAAAGTATAATATAATATTATGATCATACATAACATATCATGTGATGCGTTTGCTATGACAATGAAATCTTCAGGTGAAAGAAACCGGTGAATTCTTAGCTAACACAATCAGCGATGTAGAAGGAAAAGCTGGAACTGCTGTAGACGATGCGAAAAAAGCAGCTGTTGACGGATTTGATCAGGAGGTCGAAAAATTAGCCGACGGTGCTCTACAGGAGGTATTAAACGGGAATTTATTGTTATTATTGCTGATTGCAATATTATAAACGCTTATACGGTGGAAGAAATAATTTATGTACATGGAGCTTGAATGCAGCATCATCACTTTACGCATATACTTATTATTTTGACTGATGCATGGTTAAAATTTAGTTAAAAAATATTAAACGATAGGATGTTTTAGAAAATAATTGATTACAACTATATTATTTTTCGTACCGCTTTTTCTGTAATTATTATAAAATTTGTTTGTAGAAATCTATAATTGGTGGTGGTGGTGGTTTATTAGGTGGCATTACAAATTCAGTTGGTCATTTTACTACTCAATTAGAGGTCAGTATTACATAGCATTTGTATTAAAAAGAAAAATTGTATACGAGTTTTTATGAAGAGGCCGAACAAATGTGATTTAAACCGTAAACTAGTTTTTAATCTACCGTACACATACATACATGCATACATACATATGTATTGAGAGATAATTAAAAATATAGGAACTATAGGTAAAAATATGTAATGAAATTGTATTTGTCGTTTAGGTCAGGTTAGGTTAATTATATTATATTATTTATATTTAATAGGTACTTCAGATTTTATATAAATTTGTAAATAATAAGAAACAGAACAAATCTAGTTGACCACTTTTTTCAGATTTTCAACCTGGTTTTTTTTTTTTAAATTATGTTTTTCAACGATGATTTTTAAATTGTTTAAATTATCTTACAAAAAAAATTATTAAGGTAGCTATAGCATAAAAACTTTAAAACCTTGAATAAATATTTTTTGGAAAGACTATGTTTTCAATGTTGAAGACAATGGTAAATTTAGAATTTTTCGGGAATTATTATTTTAGAAGTTAAAGTGATTTGAAGACGGTATGTTACTGTAAAATATACTTAATGCGTAAAGCAAACAATTGCGGGCGCATGTAAGGGGGATTTGAGTGCCCCTGTACAGAGGAGAAGAATACCATACACCTAACCTACATTTCTAACCTGATATTATTGCAAGGAGAATAGTGTTCTATGTGTAGTGTAAACTTAAACGTCGTTACGCGAGACCGAACATTTGGCTCCCTCCATTCGGTCGTTTTACTAGCTCATGTCAAACTTGTAAAACCGCAAAAACGACCAACTTCAAATATAGGCATATAGCAACATTAGAAACTCCATAGATAATTGAATACTATAGTTGGTATCCCCTAATATAGTGCAAGTGACCGCGTGTGCGCACTGTTTTCAATATCACGAAATTTAAAATGCTGATAAATCAAAAACTTAATAATATGACCGGCAAATTATCATTATTTATATTTTTGTTCCTGTCTAGTAACATTATATAGGTTTCAAAACAAAAAAGTGAAATATTGTTTTGGAAGGTAATTAGGTTAAGTTTTCCGTGTTCTCATAACATCATAATATAATTCAACTTCGAAGTGCTATAAATTTGAAAGTTAGTATGCGAGTGTGCCCGAAAAATTCTGACTGTACTATCGTATTCAATGTGCAGAAATACATTTGTGGGAAAAAAAGGTTGAAAATTTGAGAATGCCATGAACTAGATTTATATTAATATTATTAACGCACTAACTATTTATAATAATTGCATTACAACTAAACTCATATGGTCAAATTATTAATTGTTATAATTATTAAATACATTTGTATATTAATAGGTTAATTATACGAGTATTCATCAAGAGTTTAAATGAATATTTTCCAACAATTATCAAAAATATTTATAAATTTATAATTTATTTATTTATATATTTTTTTTTAAATTTAACTACCATACAAATCTATTAAAAATGTAAATTTATAATGTTATAGTCTGATAGTAATCACGCAGGCCTGAACTTGGGTTCTCTTATTGGAGATACAGTTAAAAGCATAGCGACTTCCAAACTCGTAAGAATATTCATAACGTGTTGTGTGTAAATTCTGTTAACATGTTTGTCGGTGTCTAATAAGTATAAAACTCGCATATAATGACTATTGTATCATGTCCAGTAAATATTTGAAACGTATTGGTAGTATGCACGTGTGCTTGTTTAATTTAATATATTTTAGAAAACTGTTGAAAGCTCGACCAGTGGGATAGCCAACAAGTTAGATGGTGCCATGAGTTCGATAGAGGGTACGGTAGTCAGTGGGATAGGTCAATCATTGGGGAATGCGGCCGGTGGAATGGTCCAAAATATGGAGGGAGTAGCTCAAGCAGTAGGGAATAAAACCGGTGAAATGAACAATAAAATTAAGAAAGCTGCTATTGGAGTGACCAATCAAATGCCGGGAGTAGCTGGTGATATGGTAAATAAAGTTCAAGGAGCAGCCAGTGAAGTGACTAATAAAGTGCAAGGGGCGGCCAGTCAAATTCAGGGAGCAGCTGGTGAAATGATCAATAAAGTTCAAGGAGCAGCCAGTGAAGTGACTAATAAAGTGCAAGGGGCGGCCAGTCAAGTTCAGGAAGTCGCCGGAAATATGACCAATAAAGTGCAAGGAGCAGCCAGTCAAGTTCAGGGAGCAGCTGGTGAAATGATCAATAAAGTTCAAGGAGCAGCCAGTGAAGTGACTAATAAAGTGCAAGGAGCAGCCAGTCAAGTTCATGAAGTTGCCGGAAATATGACCAATAAAGTTCAAGGAGCAGCCGGTGAAATTACCAATAAAATGCAGGGAGTAGCTGGTGAAGTGGCTAATAAAGTGCAAGGAGCAGCTAGTCAAGTACAGGAAGTAGCAGGAGAAATGGCTAATAAAGTGCAGGGAGTCGCTGGCGATGTGGTCAACAAAGTGCAGGTGGCGGCCAGTGATGTTGCCAATCAAGTGCAAGAAGCAGCCGGCGATATGACCAATAAAGTTCAAGGAGCAGCCAGTGAAATAACCAATAAAATGCAGGGAGTAGCTGGTGAAGTGGCTAATAAAGTGCAAGCAGCAGCAGGTCAAGTGCAAGGAGCAGCCGACGAAATGGCCAATAAAGTACACGGAGCGGCAAACGATATGTTAAATAAAGTGGAGGGAGTAGCCGGTAAAATGACTAATTCAGTGCAGGGAGTCGCCGGAAACATGGCCAATAAGGTACAGGGAATTGCCAATTCTATGGGGGGTACGGTGGGAAGTATAACCGGTGGAATGATCAGTGCAGTAGGTGGTGTAGCCAACGGAGTAACCGGCATAGTCACAGGAGGTTTTAGCGCTTCGAGGTTAGCACTAATGGCGATAGTATCCACTGTCGTACCAATTACAGTCACTGTTGTCGATGGAACGACAAAAGCCACGGGGACCATAATTGGCAGAATAGCGCCAAAGGTATAAACCAATTACAGATTCCTTCCCCCCCGAACACATACACACACACGCACTTGACCAAAATATAGTGCAATTAATAAGTTTCTTGGAGGTATTAATCATTATTTTTTTTTTTGAATGTATAGGTGTTGAAATATCAAAAAAGATATTTTTAAATTCAAACAATAGACAAACTGTAACACTTTATTATTTAAATTTTCTTTTTTATATATTTGGTCTCGTAAACATAACTGAACTCAAATGAGTAGGTAGGTACCTAATGAGTAATGACTAATAGGTATCTAATGTAACAGGGGGTACCTACCATTATTTAAGTTATTTTATCAGAATAACAACAATGATTTATTTCAACTCGTAAACTTGTAAGATTTATGTGTTTTTAGTTTTTTTTTCTTTTAATCTTAAAAAATTCCAGTAGACGTAGCGCTCGAATAAAAGAAAAGGGACTATAAGACTTGAAAACAAATTAGCGGCCCTTGAAATAGTTATTGAATTCGACCTAACTCGTAGGGGGCTTTTCACTAAATACTTATATAAGTATAATCTTTCCAAATACGATACAATTTTGAAAACATTCTGAGAATTTTTCATTTATAGCCATTTGAAATTTTTAAGTTTTTTAGGATTTTAATTGGTTTTGTAGTTACAATTGTTTTGGCCCTGCGACGAAAATGCTCAACAATTTAACACAAGGTTTATCATCAGTTTCAATTAGTGAAAAAAAAGTGCAGCGTAATGTAGTAATTTTTTTTATCAGCGCTTAAAGTTCAAATTTTAATGGAATGTATTTGAAAGAAATGCAAAATATTTATCGTCCCATGCATTTCACCTCAAATAAATAGTAAAGGTACGCTAAAATTTCTGAAAAAGTAGTTTAGGTACTTTGTCTCTCTGCCACCTCCCCTTCTACTGAGTATACGAGTAAATACGAATCACTGAATTGTTAATTTAATTTTTATTTTATAAAATAGGTAATTTGATTTAATCGAGATAGTTTCTAAAAACAGTTAGGTTACTGACATATTGTAAAATATAAATAACAGTTCAGATTAAATTATTTTAAAATTATTATAATATTCTTACTGAAATTTGTATTCATTTTTACCTCTCACCCAATTATATATATATTATATAAACATCATTATAAATGTATAATACATTACAGGATCTCGAGATACTTCATGATATTAGATAAATGTTTGAATATTATGTAGGTATTATATTACTATGAATAAGTATACATGCAGTATACTTGTAGTTAGTGGTATTAAAAAAACACACACACTTACACATACTTACATACATACATACATACATAGTACATACATATAATTACAATATTTGCACACCTCTATTTTATCCCCGAGTATAACATACACATTGCTTTGTAGATTGTTTGTTTAACTTTTTGTTATTTTTTTTTATAGTTAGTTGATCGGATTTCTAACTGTGTAATACAATAAGCACAATATTAACATACGGTAACGGTATGGAATTGAAATCAATAATTCACTTAGTGGTGGTTGAATCTATAATATGTAACCAAAAATGGACAAAAGTTGTACTTACTTGAAATAATTATTTTTTGTTTAGTCTCTATTTTAACTCATTTAGTCCTATACAATAATATTGTATAGAGATGTGTTTAATGAGTATTGGGTATATTATTTGTACACATTTATCACTTGTGTTTTTCTGTTGGTGGTTTTTTTTTTTTATTATTATTTGTTGTTATATTACTTAAATAAAGTATTGTCAAACATATCAATAATATTTAAATAAATATACGTTTTATATAAATCAACGATAACCGTTTTATACATATTTATAGAAATATAGACATTGCATAATATGAAAATATACATGAGAGGAAAAATAGGAAAATTAAAATCGAAAAAGAGACGGCTTAATGCGATTAAGAATGATACGAGGATACACTCAAGGACAGCCGGTGTATGCGAGTTGGGAGATCAGGTTAAGTGGAAGTTTAGGACAAGTATTACCTACCCTAAATAGTTGGGAATTTGGGATGAAGGCGAAGGAGAAGAAGAAGACGATTGCATATAATTTATATTTTGTTAATCAAATATTTTACAAAGAATTTACACTAGAAATCGAATAATTAAGTAATATAATCGTATCAAATGTCTATTAATTTTATGAATCTCGTATCAAAATGTCTTCAGTGTATATTTTCTTTCTTAATACATTTTCTTACACATTATTGTAGGTGCCTACAATATATTATAATTAAACTGTTAGACATATTATATTGTAATCTATAATAACCAAATTATTACAAGTTTGTTATTTATTTTATTTTATACGCGAAATAATCGTAGATAATAGGTATAAATCATAATAATATATTTGTAGGTGTATACAAAGTTGCGTATTTATAGGAAATTAAATCGTTTACGGGTAGATTTCGCTTTCAGAAATTTTGCACGGTCGTGAGTACAATAGTTCGAGCTTTCGTTTTAAATCTAATACCGTTATAATTTCTTCAATTCGGCATAATATTGGAATTTTACATACGCAGATTAGGTTTTATACAGATCATATCGTGTAAATTATAGATTTTTTCGCGATGGGTACAAAACAACACTGCGGTAAAATATCTTACTGAGTGTTTTAGTCGGTATAAATAATTAATATATTTATTACCTATCCATAAAATAATGTTTTTTTTTTTTTAAATTTTACAGTGGAATATAATTTTGAAACAATGCAATCGTGACGTATGATCGAAATGAGAAATAGGTTAGGTACCTACCTTCAAACTATAATAATAATAGGTATATCATTCTAGTTTTTTTTTTTAGTTTTTTTTTTATTTAAGCATTATTTCCCGACTTTCCAAGGTTACATAGTGGTTGATTGTTTAAATGACCACTGCAGCCATAAACCCGCATAGGTACCTACATAGTTGAATCGCGTGATGTTATATATCACATCACGATTGACTTCTATGTATATTTTACTGGAATTCGGTTATTTTATATTTAATGTACGCGTTTAAATTATTTATTGTACGACCTTTTGGCTTTATACATTTAATCTAATAACTCATAATATGTATGTTACCTGCGTCAAACAAAAAATATATCGTTAAAAAAATTAATATATATTTGTTTTTATATATTATATAATCAATTAAAAAGAATAAGGGTATCTAAAAATGAAGAGTAAGTTTAAAAAAAAACCAAGACCTAAAACGAGTTACAGTTACAAATTATAGATTCATACTATTATACAATAATGTATTTTATTAATGCACGCTTAATATTGTAAGTACTTATGTATATATTTAAAAAAAAATGTGGTGATGGGTAATTTTTGTGTTTTTATGTTCCGAGTTTTTGGTTTTATTGTAAAATAAAATACGACACTCGAGAACAGCTGCAGTACGTTTTGTATAGTACTTGTTATAAACAATAATAAAAATAACACTCGAATATTTCAAAAATAGGTACCTACTCATCGGCTTGGGCGTATTTTTTTGTGAAGTGAAACAATATAATGTAAAACATTTATACATCTTTATTATGAAATAGTAAAAAATATACCTACTATTTATTACCCTATATAATTATGCTTCAATAAAAATTTGTTTACTTTGAACAACATAATGGTATAGGTACCTACACTGTGAAATATTCGAGTTAATATCGTATACGTACAGTTAAGTACACCGAATATAATCGAATATAATAATACCCTTAAAGAAATACAGTCCGGCAAATCGCACTTGTACCTTAGGGCATTTTTTTAATAAATATTCACTGCATGGACATTGTTCACTCCCATCTCTTTTAAAAAAAAGCTCTGTTAATTCAATAATTTATTACTATTTACTTTCTAGTGAACACACTGTAAACATAATCTTACTCTACTAGTTGTCCAATGGACTTTAGGACTTTATTGTGTGTCCAATGAATCCATTTGGACACAGAAAACCTCTTTAAAAATATAAATATATATATGTTGATATAAAACAATTATACTTTTATAATAATTAAAATGATCTATATCTAATGCGATCTAAAAAAAAGAAACAATTTTTATTCTTATTGGTATAATTTTTTAGTAGGAATTGTAGTATCGCGTGCGCAGTGTATATCTACGTATATTTAGGACGCCACCTATTGATTCGGTATCTCTGCGAGGGTAGAAATAAAGAATTTGTGAGGGTTATTATAAGTGGATCCGCCTCCTCGCGTGACATTTGATATCGTGTCAAATTTGTATACACGGAAATACGACCTTGGGAACATATTTTGTTTCCCTCTTAACCGCGAACTCAGCCCCCAAACAAAATTAGTTATAGTTGATTTATTAATTTACTCATCGGTATCGCGAAAATTTAGTGTCTCTAATAAATAATCCGATATATTTTATGAATTTAAAAGTGGAGTCGAGCTTTTTTTTCTCTTTCTGACATTTCGAGAAATAGGTCATACACCTATGACCTTTCCGCGTATGCTATAGCAGCTCAGCATTCCGCTTTTATGATCGCGGGCGATTCACTAAAAGTTTTTATTTTGTTTTTTACTGTCACATTAATCTAAAAATAATTATTTCGCAGACATCAATAATAATTAAATCTTTTCTTTTTTTAAAATGTTATCATAAAGTTATAAAATTGTAATATAATATAGTCAAAACCATTCACATTTTTCATCGATTTAACCATAATATACTTGTATTATGACGCTGTGTTCATTAATTTAATGATATATATTTTTTTTCGAAACCATCCCTAAAATTTGCCACTGACCCCCCTCCCATGCCTTCAGGTCGGATATTCGGTGTATTTTATGTAATAATATTTTTGGTACACGTGGACGGCAGACGCACGCATGACGGTGATTGACTGGCGTGCCATACATAAATAATATTATACTAGTAATGTGCATGTCATGATAAATATTGTGGGACGAAACGCAGGCACCCGCTCCGGCCACTCCGGCCACTCCGGCCACTCCGGCCACTCCGACCACTCCGACCACTCCGACCACTCCGACCGCCCCGGCACCGGAAACGCAGTCGGCCGTCGACCAAGTGGCGTCCGAGGCCAAGACGCTGGTGGACAAGACGGCGGCTGACCTGAAGCCCGCTCTGGACCAAGTGGTCCACGACAGGATAAACCCGCTCGCGCAGGATCTAGCGAAAAAACTGCAGCCCATCGCCGGCGATGTATCGGCCCAGGTGAACACGGCGTTGGCCGAGGGCGTCAAGTCATTGAACCCGGTGGTGGACGATATGTCCCAAAAGGCCAAAGGATTCGTGGACGACGCCGCCAAACAGGTGAGGTGACCACCGCCAGAGGGTAGGGAGGTAACTCCCGATTATTATTCCCGACATTCCCGTCGTATATAAGCCGTGTATTTAATATAGGTCTTTTGAATTAAGTATTTAATTTTTTTTTCCCCTATCAAAAATATTATTACTCCAAGAGTACGTTTGTGTATTACTGGTAAAAATCTTCGTATAGACGGATTCGAGGTGAGAAAATGTTTTTTTAAATTTGTATTTATTATGATAATTATTACTATACTCATACTTGTATTGCGTGCGAATGACACTTTTAGGTACATACACATTTTTTTTAAATTTTTGTTTTTCGATTATTTTACTATAGTGTACACCTATATGTTATTATGATATTATAATAACTCATTCACCCGTAGTTTGCCCTCAAGCTTTGCATCATACTGTAGATGATGAGATAGGATGTATCGCAATAATATATATTATTGTATATATTTACGCACGTTCAACGATATTTTACAGTATATTATATTTTTATCAAAGAGATGTCATTTCTGCAAATTTTCACGGAATGTACAAAATAAATAGTTTTTTTTCTGAGGAGGAAGGGGAGTATACCAAACGTTATGGCGGTAATTCCGTTTCGTTCAACGCGAAACATTCAAAATAAAAAGTATATTAATTATTATTTTATGTACAGGTAATATAGAAATTGTTTAGTCTTATTCAAAGGTGGGTAAATTGATGACAATAATTAACTCGACGATAATATAATCAATATAATAAATAAGCAAAAAAGGTTTTAGTTATAATAATCTTGTTCTTCATACCAAAGGCCGCTACAAGATCGCTACAAATTTGAAATGCTGGCTTTTCATTTTCCTATGTTCATAGCTAATCTCTTCATATCGGCATACTTACAAAATGCAATCGGTTTGTTTCTTCATTTTTTTTCGGTCAGTGCCTTCTTTGGTCTTACTATTCCTTTACGACCATAAAAAAAAGAGTTATTTTAAAACGTTTTCACTATTTAGAATTTTAGAAATAGTTCGGGATCACGGTTATGTGAATATCAAAAAAAAAAAAAACCTACTCAATATCATCCATTCGTATATTCAACGTTAATTCAATTGAAAATTAACTGTAAAAAGTTGGGTTTATACAATGGAAACTATATTAAACGACTAAAAAAAAAAATTAATTATAACCAAATTTAAAAAAAAAATAGGTCTATTAATTATAATATTTATACGATTTGAAAAAAAAAAATTAAAAACCATGGTATTGTAACATGCATAAATGACGTCCCCGATATAATATAATAAGTTGTACTGAATGTTTATTTTTTTGTTAACTTTTAAATTCTATTCATTGGACTTTGAACTAATTTTCGCAGGTGAGTCACGTGGTCGATGACAAATTGAAGGAGGCAGACGAGATATTGCACGACAAGCGTGAAGCTCTCGGGGAACCGGCCAAGAGCATGTTGTCCAAGGCCAAGGGATTATTTGGCTGTAAGTTAGGTTGCTGTACTATCATGTAGGAACACAAAAAAAAAAAATTCCCACGCACAAACCCCGTGTACACTACACTACTACTACTTGTTGATATACGTACAAATATTGCCAGTAAGGATAAATCTTTTTTGGCTGAACGTTTTGGTTTTTTTATTTTGTCATGATCAGATTGAGATTTCGGATGCATCTAGTATAAAACGCATGACACGCGTGCATTTTACCTAGGTATAATATTATTATATTAAATGGTGACAGTAATACGATAACCTATCTACCTTTGATTATTGCTATGTATATGGTAATTGGTAATATTGTGAAGTCTGAAAAACCTATGCCTTTATATTGTGGTAATAACATGGACGGTGCCCGGGTAAACGAAAATTGGTTTATTTTAACGGTTTTTTTTATATTCTGAGCGCAGCAAAGAATGTTTTGGTTTTACTATAACTTGTATTTTTTATTTATTTATTTTTGTGTTTAAGCAACTTTTTTCACCAGAAACTCGGATAAAAAAATGACAAGTGAGCTTTGTAGCACTTTAGATCTATATTCATGAGGTCATTTTTTGATTTTCTTTGTAGTTTTCATAATAATTGGGAAAGGTTCATTATAAAATTTACTTAGTGGTCAATAAATTTAAACAATTTATTGTAATGTAGTTGTTTTTTTTAAACCATTTTAAATTAAAATTTTGGAGAAAATCATAAAAATTACGGCATTTAAAAACACGTATAACCGAATTCTGTTCAGAATCGTACATAATTAGTAATTAAAAGTGATAGTAATTAGCAATGATTTGTTGTTGTGTACAGATTTAAATTAAATAACTCCACATATCACCTTACCTTTCCAACTTTGTTGTATTGCATATTATTGTAAATTATAATAATCTACGTCAATTGGCATTAAAAACCTAATAAAATGGTAAATTCATTTTTTTTATAAAACCTATTAGACAAATGGAATAAGTAATCAGTCATTGTGAAAATTAGGATTAATTCAACATTCTTCTTGTTAATATTGAACTTATATTTATCTTATATATATTTTTTAACCGGGCATTGTCCATATTATGGCAATGGTTTCAATTATTATTGTCGCATATTTACGTTCAACAGTACCGATTTTGTGCTGTTATTGTATATATTACAATACTGAATACATCGACATATTATGAAATTTAAAGGTAAGAAAATAGTCTATGATTGGGCAATTTTTTCGATATTTTAATTGTTAAGCGATATAACTGTATGGACATTTTAAAATGACGATATTTCGCATATTTATACTCAATGTTATAACTCGTTTAAAGATTAATATATACAGCTAATTTTCTTACCTTCAAGTTCAATGATAGATGAATTCACTGAAATATTACAAAACAGCACAAGTTGGTTGTACAAAATGAAAATTTTCTATACAACGCGTTTGTAAGACGGAGACATGAAATGAGCGTATGACGTCCGCTTAATCCATTAGAATTTGAAAAAAGTGATTTATTTTTTATGTAGGTAGGAGTATTACCTATTATTAATTTGTGTTTTTATTACGGTTGGATTAAACTAAATACCTAATGGTTAGGTCATATTATTATGACGTCGTTTCTGTAACAATTTAAATCGCATTAGGTATTCTATACAATAAATAATCGCTTGAATTGTTGTACATAAAAAAAAAAAGGAGAACAAAAAGGTTTTTTTTTCATCAAATCGTTTTGGAGACCAACAAATAATTATAATACAATTATTAAACACCGGCGTGTTGGTTAGTTTTTTATTTTGTAATATTATTCACGAGTACAATACATGCAATAATTAAAGGTACCTACGAGGCTGAGTTGACTCTCGAGATCAAATTGTTCATTAAAACTTACATTAATCGCATAAAATGTCTTGACGGTTTGTCATTACTGGAGCAATAATAACAGCTGGTATAAGTATAGATAATAATAATAGGTATAGTTATACATCGTTTATTTTTCGTCATATTTTTTATAATATCCATTAATCTCACCTAACACAACATTAACACGTATACCGATTTTTATTTATTTCAAAACCGTATTATATAATAACAGTATATGCATGTTATACGTGTTATATATTATACGTGAATATAGGACTGTTCGATTATTTTTTCTTAATCGGTCGAAAAAATCGACAATTGTCTGTTAACGGTTTGTGTATCTCGACTCTATTGGAGGTCTCAGAGCAAACGGTTCAATTGTTGTAATAATTATTGAATGTGATGTAGAAGGTAAAATTGGTAGAGTCCAGGATGGAATATGTATGGGTACTATGCCGGATGCCGTACATTTTTAGACGTGTGAATGAAAAGTTATCTCGGGAATTGAAAGACTGAAGTTTCGACATGGAAGCATGTAGAGCATTGAAGACCAGAAAACGAATATATTATTTATGTAATATGTATACATGTAAAGATCTTCGTATTAATTCGATTTTATTTGAATAATTAAAACAACTTAACCGCAGTAAATAATATTATGTTATACGTATAATGTATAATATAATGTTTAATGTTGTTGCACTTTTGTCAGTCAATAAAAGGAAAATATATTTCACGCACGACCTAAAAAATTTAAAAAAAAACTATGATCGCAATCATAATATAATCGAAAATTCAAAAAAACTATGATACGATGAATCGATTTAATTAAAATCGAGAAAATAATCGAAAAGTCCTAATACACTCGAATCACCCCTAACTTACCGCCGTGTATAGGTACCTACCTATATTTATACCTATATTATAGATATACATAGTTTAACACATATCCTAACCCTGTATCGATTTAAAAATAATACGTTGTTGCTGATACGTTAGTGACAATCTAACAATTACGCACTACTAATACCTACTCAATATTATAATGTTTTAAATATTTGGTTTTTTGTTTTTTTTTTCCAGAAATCATATGCGACTACTAATATTATACTGCGCATAATATATGCATATAGTGGGAGTAGCAAGTTATTACATATTACATTGCTATAGACTGCTAACTGCTAAATCATTAAAAATTTACCTATACCTACCCATAATTTATTATTATTATTATTATTATTATTATTATTATTATTATTATATATTCCACCTATAAATGCATTATTTTTTAAGCAATACACTCACCTAATTATTATTGTTTTATTTTCGTTTTTACTATAACTATTTTAATTATTATAACATTACGTTCCTTGAAAAATGTAGTTGTTCACAACAAAAAAAAAAAAAAAAAAAAAAAATGCACGTTTATCAATTTATTAATCGATTTTTTTTATTTATAAAAAACTACTATTATTACCTACTAGTTTTTTTTTCTAACCTACCCCATCCCCATATTTTAATTCATCCGCTATGATATGTATACTTGACTTTCCATCATAAACATTTCAGATATTATATAGATATTATTAGTCTTGTCAATTATACATCTACTTATAATATATACGTATATTATACATCTTACAGTTCACTCGATTGATGATTTCTACTCAATAATGTTAATTTCTACAAATGATTTGTAATAAAGTACTGATAAAAATATATAATATATACTCGTCCACAGATATTATTATTTTTGTTATGTGATATATTTGTACTTTTATTATTAAAAAAAAAAAAGTACCTATGTACTAGTTTAAAATATAATATATCATTAACACGGCTTGCTATTTTTTACATGAAACATTGTGGTGTTTTTTTTTTTCACTATTTTAATTGGAAATCGGTATAATCATGGTGTTCTTAGTTCGTATACTTATACATCTGTAATACAGTTTTTGCGCATGTGGCGCGGTGGTACACTAGTACCTATAATTACTAATGGTTTTGCAGTAGTTAGACATTTTTATTACCCATCGGTATATGGTATATTATACTGGTTTAGAGAATAACGCATCATAATTCGTTTTTTTATTTTTTAGTGAAGTGAACAAATTGGAAATCCAATATATATATATTTATATTATCACAGATGGCAAATCTTGTTTTAATAATAATTATAATTGGGGTTATTTTAATTGTAATAGACATGAAACAGTAAATTTCATAAATTAGAAAAAATATAAACCTACCTTGTTATCACTATTGATTGTAATAGTTTTTAAACTACCTACGTACCTATATATAATTATATAATATTATGTTCGTTGTCGATTTATTATAATATTTATTATGTAATATAGGTTTTTTGAACCAGCGCAACAAATAAAATGGTATCCATAATCCATTATTTGTGCATTTTTAAATGTGGAATGCAATAAAGCACTGCATATTGAAAAAAGTACACAACTCCGTACAGAAGCTACAAATGTGTTCATATGCGGATATAAAAATATATTATATTTATATTATTGTTCATTTTTTTTTTTATTTTTATAATCAATAACTCTTCGCGATTTCGAGTAATTTTATTTAAAAAACCTCTTCACAAATCATAATGCTAAATAGATTTCCGTCCGTCTAATAAAACAATATTTTACAGATCGGTATAGATTATGATTGTCGGCATATTGGTACGGTCCATAGAATTTATAACAAAAGAAATAAAATACGCGGAATATTGGTACTCTTCAAAATTTATATTTCTGAGGGCTCTAAAATATTTACAATGTCTATATAGTTTTAATAAATCACCATCGTCAACAAGTTAAATTTTCATAATACTTTAAAAACAAAAAAAATATAATGTTAGCAATCAAGATGAACAAAAAAACATAAAGTAGCGGGTAGGTAAAATAAATATAAAATGTACAATAAATATAATATACAATTAATGAACAATAATAACTACACTTTGCTATATTATTTAAAAATTCTCCTATTTTAATTTATTTAAGTGGCTCTCACATTCGTTGTGTACTTTGTTTTGCATAGTATTATTATTATTTTTTTTTTTTTGGAACTTATAGGCGTTAAGGTATAGTCCATAACATATTTATCGTACCGTTATTGTTTCATATTGGGAGGTATTTAATCGTAAAGCACAGCGATTATTTTCACTTGCAGTCACTCATGGTTTCCCATCGGTCGTCAGTAAAATAAAATTTAAAATAAATAAATTCTTTTTTTTTTTCATAAAAGTTTAGGAAACCTTGACTATTAAGTATCGTATCAGTATTCCGCGTTTATAAAGACCGTACCAGTTTTTCGTTTATCATAGATTATACCTATACCCAATGTATATAGTTACATTATCGTAGATAGTGCATCAAGTTGATAACTATCGTTACCAATCATATTATGTATACTTAGCTACCTAACTACTAATAACTTTGATATTCCTTTTCAACCCTTCAGGGGCTGAATTACTGTATAAATCCCTTCTTAATACTTGCCTTTATTACATCAATTATTATTATTAGAAACTTCTGGGCAAACTTTCAAATTTTTATACGCATTAGTTTGGGCTGCGTGTTATTAAATGTTGATATATCAACCATATAAATTATGCCAGTTTTTCTTTTATATAATTATGTTATATGATATTGTATATTACATTTTTTTTTGGCTTGTGAAGAATTTTATTTGCTACTTTTATATGCTTACCTATGAGGGTTTCAACGTTTTATGCGATTTATTTATTGATTTTAATTATAAGTGTTGGAGTGTATTACTTTTATACAATGTATATAAAATTTAACCTCATTACACAACCTCACAAAATTATTTTACTCTGGCCAGTATCGGCAGAAATAAAATACAGTCAAGATATGTATTTATATATATATATAGTTACTATGTACCTATACACCTATATATAAATTTGTGTAACATTGTGGCTGATTTTTTTTGATGTGCATTTTAGTTTTTAATTATACAATAAATTATTTTGCACCGCAGTTACATAATTTTATGGTGAAAATGTATTCGCCAGCTTGACAATAATACCAATAATATAAAACAATTTAATATAAACCGTTTTTTTTTTTTTTTTAATTTAATTTAAACTCAAAAATCGAATGTTTGCCACTGAAATTAAATACTTAATTTTAAACATGCGTATGGATAAAAATTCAGTCAAACTCTAGTAGGAAAAAAACGACACATGAAAAATATCAAACTTATTGCAATCTTGCTTATTCTAATAATATGATGTGCCTGTAAATATTTGTACGATAAATAAGTGAAGTGGTTTGGCCTGGAACGTACCAATATAAGAAAATTTGCTTCATTAATGTTGGTAATGATCTAAATGGTCTACTATCATTGTCGTTTCCAAATGTACACGTCAACTGTAATAAAATAAAGTGTCTAATTCGTATTTAGCGTCGTTATTATTATAGGGGCCGGTCGCTCGCTACTGTGTAGTTGTTTCGTATAATTAATTGACCATTCTTGCATTTTGATATCATCACACTAGTCACAAGTGTATAGTATTATATTAATCAAATTTAGATAAGGTCAGTTTACATATACGTCCTATTAAATAGGTATATGAACATAGATATAATATATACTATTATAATATTAATATTACGGTCACGAGTGTAGTTCTTGTTCAAACGAATCCAGAACGAGGATGTGAGATCTAATCCCTGTGTACAATGTAATAAATTATATTTATTATAGATGTCTGTACAAACATAATAATAAGTACCCTATTGTAAGGTATGCCATTGTATGTTCCTTAGGTACAATTTGATTTTATTAACTCGCAATTATTGTACAAATTGTAAACTCGTAATAGAGACATTTTATTACTAGGTACACACAGACGGTTTTGGTTAATTCGAAGTTGAAGGCACCAGCAAAAAAGCTAGAGTTTATTTTAATTTTATTCGTTAATTGTTTTAATACTGATATTGCAAACAATTATCTTAAAATCGCGAAATTTGCAACGTAACGAAACACTAAAGTGTGTACGTGTGTGAGTCGATAACGTGTCGTATTATCGAGTGCAAAGGCGCAAAACATTTCGAATAACACGATGGCAAAATATTGGTTACTAAAATACTCATCCACCCTTGGCAAAAAATTAGCTCATCTCATTTCGCTCTCATATATTCATTAACTAAAGGTTTTCTCAAAAACCATAAACGACAAATACCTATATGAATTTATGTTGACGACGATGACGACTTATATCACAATATAATATTAATAAACTCGTAGGTATGTAATTAAAGTGGTACACAAAACTACAAAATAATATTGTTTTAAAAATGTATACAAAAATAAAATTACCACTTAAGTATTTAGTAATTTTTAACAGTCTATAATACGACCAAAAAGAGGGGCGCACTAGCTGCTGCACTGTATTCACGTCTGACTAACTGTTCAAAAATCTAATCTAGTATTTTATTCTTATAAATTTGTAAGGACGTATCATGTTATTATTGAAAAATTAAAAAAAAAAAAAAAAAAAAACGTTCAGAAATTGGCACTGATGTAGTGTATTGCAGTAGTTAATGCCTTATTTATCTGTCATAATTATAATTACTATAATATTATTTTATTTTATAACGCCTAAATAACTACTTAATATAGTAATTGTTTAATTATTTGTATGCTGTTATGGCGCTATACATTTTATACAACAAAAATTCCTTGTATCTACAAAACTTTATTTTATTATTTTATTAATAATGACTAATAACGGTATTAGGAAAAAAAGCACTGACAAAGCAAAGAAATATTTATTTAATATTTACCTATTACAAAAACTACAATCAGATATTCTTACAATAATCTATATGGATAAATTGACTACAAATAATATACCAAAATTATTATTTAAAAACCCTGAGTCTAAATATACGATATAACATACTTGGTACCTTGAAATTGGTAATTTGGTATTGAAAGTTTCACCAAAATATTGTTTAAAGGCTAATAAGTAAAAAAATAAAGTTCCCAATATCTCATGGGCCCATGCCACCTTATGCCACTGATAGATAGAAAGAGCTGATTTAACACAGCACACTTCAAGGATGCTCATGACATAACAATTGAAAACCACTGACTTATATAATATAAACCTATAATATGGAAAATTTACTACCGTTATTATATTTTGATTCTTTTAATTGCTCAATACATTTTGAGAAAATAAAAAAAACTACCAATGATGGTTTTTTGAGTAAACTTAACTTTGGATTCTTTAAATTAGTCTATATATATATTTACTAGCTCTATTCTAATTAAAAAATAAAAAAACAACATATATTCTCACATATCGGTATCTAGATTGTTTATTTTTGTGTCAATTGATGGCTATAAACACAAATATAACACATTTTAATTATTATTATAAAAAATAAAATAAACAATATTAATGTTCTAAACAAAAGTCAGAGGATCTTTGTCAACTGTTGAAACGTGAATTTTCAATTCTGGTAATTTGATGAGCAGTTTCGCAGCAAAGACTTGCAAGTACCCGCGCTCAGTATTACTATGATTGGCTAAAATAACAGTTACATTATTGTGCACAGCATCTAATATATCATGATGAGACATTTCCCCTGTCAAATAAATGTCGGCTTTAACTCCACGCAAAACGGACGCACCAGAACCTGCAACAGCTGCAGCCGATTTGATTGTTGATTCTGAAAAATCAATTTAAAACATTATAATAATAATACGTTTATATTGTTTAAATAACCACTCATTCCTTAAATTTTAAATAAGTACAAGCCAACATTTTAACTTCAAATTAAAGGAACTCATTTGTCTTGTATGCAAGATTCCTTCTTGGATGTATACGGCAATAAAACACAAAACTAAATTAAGATCTTCGGTTATTGGTGTTTTAACATCAACAACGTTACTCTAAAACTCAGAAGGGAATGTTACTCTTTGTGCTTCCCAGGCTTTGTAAACTTTAAACTGTTATAACTCATACACAGTAAATCTAATAGTGTTATGTATATCAACATTTCTAGAAAATATTCTCTATTCAAATTTGAAAATCAAAAGAATGTACTCATTTAAGGTATATGAAGTAGGGGTAAAAAATTAAAAATGGTTTTGAAATAAAGCTTACACAATTCCATGATAATTAGAAGAAACAGAAATCAAATTCGCTTAAAATACTCTGAGATAATTGCTAGTTCATGATAAAAAAATCAGCCTGTATTAAAATATATATTAAAATATTTGATTATGTATTATTATTGGTGGCTAGATATACAATAAAAATAAAGGGTATAAAAATGTAAAAGAAACTTAAATTTACACTAATAGTTGTCATTATGTTCAATAACAGGTGTTAACGTGTAAATATGTTATAAAATTATAATTATTAAAGAATAAGTAAAACATATTTTACAGTTTGAAATTGCATAAAGCATAGGTATTTACCCATTGTTGATCCTCTGGCCAAAGCTAACATCAAATTTTTGACTCCTAAATGTGACTTGATTTTCTCAATAGCGTTGCCAACAGTTAGCTCATTTTTAAACCGACAGAGACGACCACCACCTGCAATGGCTTGTGAGGGGAACTGTAAAAAAAAATGTCAAGTTAAAATCACCAGGGATGGACAAAGGAAAAAGTTTCTTGGAGGGTTTTTAATAAAATTTTAATCATTTTAGATTCCGATCGTAGCAAGGAAGCTATTGGTTTTACTAAGATATTTATTATTTTTTCTTTTTTTAGTCAGTCGACACGTTTTTTCTTAGTAAATTTGCTCCGATTTTTACGTGTAGCAACTTTTTTGAAAGCTCAAGTTGTCTAGATGGTACTTTAGAGAGGTTGATTTTCGACGCCATTTTTTTAAATAAAATCACTTAAGTTAGAAAAAATGAAAAAAAACGTACTATTTCACGATTTAATTATTTTATAAAAACAGGGACGATGTTTTCTACCAGAAAAAATGATTTAATCGAAAAATCACAAGATACCTTTTTGATTTACTTTCTATCGGTATCATTGCCAATTTGGTTATAAATACATGTAGAAACTTGAAAATTGGTAATAATATGGACTTACCTAGACGTGGTGAAATTTCCAAAATCATCGGACGACTTTTTTTTTTTAATAAGTGTTTCGAAATCAAATTTAAACGAAAATCACAAAAATTATGTACTACCGAACTGCGCTCGAAATCGTCTTCCGTCAAGCAATGGATTATCGTTGCTTACAGATATAAATGAAATAACCTTATGTATCCTACCTTCCCAACTTTTCACCTACAACAATGGCCGCTCCCATCCCCAATATCAGTTCTTTTTTATTTTTTTTATTGTTTTCAATTAATTTCAGATATTAAATATTTTTAATTTTTTTTGCATTCACTCTTGTATATAGTGTTCTTCGTGTTAAGTCATATACATACCGATTCAGATTTGGTGACAAGTACGTGTGCACCGAGAGAGTTTGCTATTGCATCCAATGATGAGAGGACATTCAAATTACACAACAATTGGAGTTGAGAGGCGCTAAATGTTAGAATCCTGTGAATAATTTCTACGTATATTAGTATTAACCTCTAAAACTATTTTTGTTATTGTTTTTTTAATATTATTTTTGTTATTAATGAATAATATTTTTCTTCTCTACCTGAAATCTTTGTTGTCAATTTGATTTTCAAGGACAGCTGTAAATTTTTTTTCGTCCAACGGTTTGTTATTTGAAGCATATGATGTAAAAACTGCCAAGTGGCTAAACTCTGGACTAATACTGAGTGGATGAATCGGAGAAACGGTACCGTCTAAATAAGAAAAAATTAATATCAATAATCATAAAAATTGAATGATCATGAAAAAAAAAAAAAACAATTTCATACCAAAAGTGCTTAACAGCCAATCGGTTAGCCCATTTTCTACAGCATCCCACGAAGTATGGGGTGAATAAACAGAAATTCCTTGGCTCAGACAACGGCTCACAATACGGCTCTAAGTAAAAACAATATTATACTGAAGTATGAAAATATTATTTTTTATTAATTATTAATTACTTTAGGGCTGTGGATTTTTATTTAATTATTTATAAGATATAATATTTATGTTAGTTGATTATATTTTCAAAAATATTACATTTATATACTTATATATATATATATATATTTTTTTTTTTTTAAATTTGAAATGCATTGTAAGCGGTTTTTTTAAGAATAGTTTAAGTGAATTTTGAAGATTTATAATGAACTTTTTACACAGGTTTTTTAGTTTATTAAATTCATTAAATGTTAGAACTTAATTTATATAGGTAAGCGATTTTTACCTTCCAAGAGTCCAGAGTTATTCGCTTTAGTGGGGCAAACACTGGGGGATGGTACGAAACAATAAGGTCTGCTTGGATGGTTTCAGCTTCGTCCAATACATCTTCAGTTAGATCATTGGTAAATAATACGCAGCCCACGGGTTTATGGACGACTGGCTCCACCAACAATCCCACATTATCCCATGATTCGGCCAATGACAACGGTGCCATTTCTTTCAGAACCGACAGCACTTGTGACAGTTCTGGCATGTTTAGCAGTTTGTTGTTGGTTACCGAGCAAAGATTTCGTCTCCACAGAATTTTATCTTTAACAATATGTTGCGATTCTGTTGAAAATCATTTATTAATTTGGTACATTTTATAAACAAATTGTTATCACAATTAAGTAAAAATTTATTTATTAAATAACCACTATAATTGTATTTGAAATCCTCAAGATCAAAAATTTAAACATAATTAGGTAGTTACCTACTTAAATATAAAATAGTAACTAAAAAAACTTCTAAGGAAACTAAAGAAAAGTTTCCTTAAAGGGTTTTAAGGCGAGCCATTGAAAATTGGTGTTGTATAGACCAACTTACGGGTTAAAAAACAATATGTATACTTATATTATATTTATAAATTTTATGGGCTATTATTTTGTAATGAATTTCAATAAACTGGACGGGCGTCATCGTTTTTTCCATGTTCAATAGATTTAATAAACGGACCAATTAAATGAGCGAATTATTTTTGTTAGGCCTAATTTCTGACGGTCATTGTTATTTATAGATTAATTAATTTTTTTTTTCACATACTCGTGTACAAGCTGTAAGTGCCTACGCGTCAAACTAATAAAGCTTAACGACTGCAAGTATACCTATATACTTGCTATCATAATCAATGTATATACATGGTTTTCAATTTATTTGGTCGAAATTATGAACTCTAATAACCTGTATTAGGTATATAGGTAGGTATACAGATAATAATCGATTCTCGATAAGACACTCGTTAGTCGTTAGGCACCTTAAAAAATAGAAACTTTTTCCGGAATTTCGTTTTGAAAATTTCAGAATTGGGGTAAAATACTTTTTAAAAGTAAGAATTCCGAGCAAGTATTCAAATAAATTACAACAACACATTTTTAAAATATTTCGAATACGTCGGAAAATATTAGGAATAAGTATTTTAGGAATCTATAAAAAAAAAAAAAACTGACATACTTTGCACGGTGGGTGGACCACTGTTATAGATGAGAAGTTGGGAAGATAGGATATTGAGGGAAATTTTATGTATATCTGTACCCAGGCAAATTTAAGCATTGCCAATAAAAAAACAATTCTGAGCGTTATTAAAAGTTGGAACAAAATTGCTAATAAAAAAGTTGTGCACAAGAAAAAAAAAATGGTAAAAGACGTAGCTTAGGGGTGGCTTTGATAGTAAACAAAATGAGAGAAAATAGAATGAGATGATTTGGGCATGTCATGAGAGAGTGAACAGTAACAGTAAGAATTCTAATAAAAATAAATGCAGGAGGAAAGAGAGAGAGAGGAATACTGAATAAAGGTGGTTAGATTTGATTGAACATGATATGAGGACAGCCGGTGTATGTGAAGTATGAGAAAAAAAAAATTGCAAGGTTGCTAAACCAGAAATATGCTGGTATGATACATCCAAATAGCTTAACAAACATTAAATTAATTATAGTAGTGTGTGTGGAAAATATTTAAAGAGTTAGTCAACTTCACTGGGTCCTCACTATACATTTAAGGTGCTCTACATGTTTGCAGCGATGATCCATAATCGTAATAACAAATGGTAAAAAGTCACAACTAACTAAAAACAGTTATAAAGTCAATATTTTTATAAAAGAAGTCTTTTAAGTTGGAAGATATCTAGAAAATGTGCTCAATGCGTCCTGATTATTTAATATCCGTCCTGGTCTTGAGTTTGGTTAAAAAAAATTGAAAGTACCTAAAAAAGTGAAAAAGATAAAGTGGACGTATTGATTAGTGATAGAATTAATTTGTTTAAATTTTTGCAACTTTCCAGACCCAAAATGTACCTCTGGTTTTATATAATCTACAGTTACACTCTATGATATATTTATTCTCCACCCCATGTAAAAATATTTTCCTGTGCCACTGATGAATGGTGTATTATGTAAGCAAGTTATTTAAAACACAATATCTACAATAAATTATTAATATTGGATTATTTTTAATAATAAGACTGTATAATCAGTTATCTTTATTTATAATTGAGTAACACACTTGCATACGTTTTTTACCATATTATTGGAATATATTTTAATTTTCTGAACTGAACGAAAAAACTATATCCTATTTCAAAAGAGAATAAACCATTTCAAGACATGCCTATGGTTGTGACTGGTGTTACCTGATGGGAATGCGACCGCCGAAAGAAAACTGGTTGCGCAATCTGTATGTTCTTTTTTGAAACAGGGTATAGGAGGTACTATAATGACTTGTGCATTTTTCTATTAAAAATTTAGAATTTGTTATAAAATACAACACGAAAGTGATTGTTGATAAAAAATATATGACAACCATTAAATAAGATAACATTAATCAGTAGTGGTAGTAATCTAACAGACAAAGTTTTAATATCAATTTTAATTTTATTTAGTTAATTAATAGACTTACTATTTCATATCGAAATATACATATTCTTTAATCGTTTTTAAATAACAATATTATAGAAGATAATTGGATCTTAGTTGCCTCATTGGTCACTTAAGATGTATCAAATACTGTAAATATATATATATATATATTCTTTAAAATGTTGAAAAACATTGTGTTTTGTACAATAAAGATCAGATATTTTATTAATTACAAGAATAATATTCAATTATTATTTAACATCAAAATTACTATAACAATAATAATAATAATAATAATAATAATGCATAGATCACACAGAAATTATTTTGCCATTTATATGGACTCAAATTTCCAAATTTTCACTAATCCATCATCGCTGCAAGATGCTAATACTCCTTTTACTATAGGATTCCATTGAACAGAATTTATATCTTGTGAATGAGCTTCATCGACATGTGCAACACACGAAAACATGGGTTGGTTATAATTGGATAAATTGTCTTCTTTAAATACTCTGATGGAATTATCACCACAGGCTGTAGCAATCAAATCCGATAAATGGCACCAAGTTACATCATAAATAGGTCTCGTGTGAAAACCACTAATTGTGCATACACATTTGTACACAAAATTTCCATCTTTAACAGAGATTCCTTCAGCATTATCTGTTATAAAAAACCAAAATTTAATTTATGTAACTTCATATGCCATAAAGTAGTAATAATAATTATTTTATACATTTATTTTACCTGGTAGATATTTTTGCCAGATTTTTAAAGTTCGATCATCACTGCTCGTTACAATTCGATCACCGGTCTTATCAAACGCTAAACTCCAGACGGTTGACGTATGTGAACTCAATGTTCCAACACAAGTCCATTCTTTGTCTGCCGGATCTTCCATGAACAACTTAACACTGTTATCATAACTAGCAGATCCTAGTATATCTTCATGGGGATGCCAAGCTACTTTTTTTACGTCTTGTGAATGTGCATTCAAAACAGCGGCGCACTCGTATTCATTGTCCTCCCACACTTCCCATACCCATACAGATTTATCACGACTACACGTCGCCAACATTGAGCCCGATTTAGACCATGCCACTCCCTTGATTTCGTTTTCGTGGCCTTCTAGAGTAGCGTTGCATTCAAATTGTCCAGACTTGTTATCCCAAATAGCTACAGTCGCATCGAAACTTGCGGAAGCTAAATTTTGACCACAATGGGACCATGCAACGGCCCTAACTGTGCGTTGATGGCCGTCAGCTAGTAAACACTTTAATGCGCTTTTATCACCCTCTTTATAATTCCACAGTCTGATTGTTTTATCTTCACCACACGAAGCTAACATTAAGCCTTTAGGATGCCAAGACACGTTCCATACGATACCTAAATGGCCTTTTAAGGAGCACATTGGTTTTAATTTTCCCGTCATTTTACAAAATTAACACTCTGCAAATAAAATATAAAGTCTTTAGCACCTATGTACTTATAAAATATATGAGGTACTTAAGTAATAATTAATTATGAAGACCTAATAAATTAATAATTGTATACTTATTGTTTTTATATCTATATTTTAATACACTTGAGTACATTAATAAAATTTTAAAAGTTTAGTAACATTGAACACTTGTATAAAATGAAAATAAAACAATTTATTTGAGACATAAATTTAAACCATACTAATGTTAATTACCACAGAACTAAGTATTTAAAATGATTCAGTGAAAATATAATTCAACACTTTAGTGGTTATCTATTCAGTTTTACAGCTAGTAAATAGTAATATAATATTGTTGTAACTAAAATGATTATATTAGTTTGCTGTGATTAAAACAAACACAAACTGTTAAAGAAGTAGATAGGTACCTGTATATTATACAAATTTGATAGGTAAATCGTATTACCTATACGTTTTTGAGTATATGATAGAAATTATAAACAACTTACCTTTTATTAAACCGAAACTATATTTGCTGTTTACGAGGTAACGGAGGCAAACCTTTGCAAACATAAAGAATTTAGACTGAAACTTTCTGAGTAATCCGTCAAGACATTGAAGTTTAGATCGGCTTTAAAATAATATACAATGTGCTTCAGAAATAGTCTGAAATCATAATACTATTAACTACTTACTATAGACTACAGTCAGGACCACGAAGATAACATTATCATTATACTAGAATAAGCCATAGATGTATACATAGAACCACGGTGAAGTTTTGGCGCCTCGTGCCTATGTTTTGAATAGGTAGGTATAATGATAATAATAACAATAATAATTCGTGCGCGATTATTGTATGATAAAAGAAACTGAATGCACCACTACACCACTAATATTTATATATTTATATGTTTATAGATTGGATTTTATGGTTATTTTGTAAAATTAATTATCCAACAATCTACTATAATATAATATACTATGTGATTTTTATAATATTTTAAGCTATGTGATTTTTTATAATATTATACTTAGAGTATACTCAATTCCTTTTTAACATTATTGAACAGACATGTCTAGAAGATCTTGTTTTTATTGCCAATCTACACCAGCCACTGTACCAGGACTAATATTACACAAGTAAGTAATTAAAAATAATTAGGTATAAAATAATAGGCATAATTTTACCGTTAAGAAATTACTCAGTAAGTATTGATCATTGTGTTTGCTATTTCATTCTAATGACTATTAGAACATAATTTTGAACTATACTTTTAGGTTTCCTACTGAAGTATCGCGTCGTAACATTTGGTTAAAATTGTGTGGTTACAGTAATGATGATTACTTACCAAGTAGAGCAATTTGTTCTCTTCATTTTGAAGACGATTCTTACAGAGTTACAAACAAAAAACTGTTAAAATCTTGTGCTATACCAACTAAATTTAAAAAACTATCAAAAACAACATGGTCAAGTGTTGTTAAGAGCAAAATGTCTAGTCAATGTATGGATTAATAATATAATACAATTTTTTATTACATTTATATTTTATTATAGCACTTGAAGAAAACAGTTGTGAATTATCTTGTTCTACCACGAATGTCCTACAGCATAATTTAAGTAATGATAACATTAATGTTTTATAACTATTAGATTAGATATATAGCTTTTTTTTTGGAAAGGCTTTATGAGCAGTAACAATACAAAACAAAAAAAAATGTATATAAATGTATTCAGACATGCATGTAATAATCAAAATATATTGTTCAAGGTTGACACCAATGTGTTGCACTCAAAATAGTGGATAAAGTGATTTATTTAAATACATCAGTAAAACCAGTTTCATTAGACTTAGCTTAATTTATAAATTTGTTATTATAATTTTGCCAAGATGCATTGTATAAGTAATTTGTATTGGACATAATCATGAAATTGTAGTAAGATAAAAACATACCAATTTTTAAATGTAGGTAGAATAGATAAATACTTATAACCAGTGTTGGGGGTAATCAATTAATTTATGATTAAATTACATTATCAATTATAATTAATTTATTAAATTACATTAGTTATTAATTGATTAATCATTTTTCAAGGTAATCAATAATCATGATTAAATATTTGTAATCATGAATCATTGCCAAATTGATTGCATAACTACAACTATATAAATTATTTATTTTGCTTATGATATCGACTATACTAACCTAACTAACAATAGTAAGGCTACATAAAGCCAAAGAGAAAGCAGTAACAAGGATATAAAATCTAGAGATGCGTTTATGAAGCGGAATTCATTTACCTATGTAATTTCTTTAAACTATAATCATGTTATTTATTATTGCAAGTCTTACATTTTTAAAACTATATTTGTATAATACAATTATACAATTGTACAATATATAATGTACATACAGTACAGTGTTAACTATCATTAGTGCTCTAGGTTAATAATCGTAGGTTTAGTATCTAAACTGGATATCCATCTAAAATTTGATGCCACTACATTTATGGCGTCTCTCAATGCCTTGGGACAGTTTCTCCTTTAGTGCTAAGAAGGAGGTATCTTAGAACGGCTCTGCATACATATACATATAAATAACAATAGTAAATAGGAAGTATTTAGATGAATAAGTATAACTGTATAATGGAATAAAATGTTTATAATTATTATTAAAGTTTGGATTTTTATGATTTTACATATTTGTTACTATTGTACGCAGTTAAATGGGAGTAAGATATCTCCCTGATTCACAAAACATAGAATTCGGAGGAAAAAAATTATTTTGTATAAAAAGCATATTTTAGGGGTTAGAAAATATATGTTATATTTTATATTTTTATTTTTGTTCCAATTATATGTATGGACGTACATAGGTATTTTAATAATATTGATCAACAAATACAATTTATTATACAATTAACACAATAAATTTAAGCTGAAAATTAAAATGGTTTTTTTTTTTCAGAATAATAAAAGTATATTTTGCACTTTTAAGAACATAAAACATCATATATCTGGTATTTTAAAAGAATATTTAGAGAATATAAATCCGACCTCTAGTTATTACAGTGAAACTTCCTCTAGCGGACGTATTTTTGGGGACGAAGACATTTTCACTATTATTCAATTGGAAAATCTTCAAATAGCGGACTCGAATAGCAAATAATGTTTATCTCAAAATATAGTTGTTATTTATTAATATCATTAATCATGATTACAAATTAAAGTATTTTTTTAATTGTAATCAATACTATGATTACATTGATCATTTAAAACATTTTTTAATTGTGATTATTGATTACATTAATTTATATTTATTACAACTATACATTTTAATTGTAATCTTTAATATCATTAATCAGATTACAATTTGTCTTTAGGACCAATTATAGGTATTCATTATTAAGATTACTGTTATTTCTAAACTCAATTATTTATAGTATGTTTTTTTTTTTTTCAGAAACATCAAAACGTAGAAAAAGAAAATGTTTTATAGGTGACATCACTACATCTGATTTGAGCACACCTGAACAAGCAAAAATATATTTTAAGATGGCAAAGTTGAAAATGGTACAACAAAGACGAAAAATTAAAACATTAACCCAACAAGTTAATCGACAAAAGAAAAAAATATTGATGTTGAATTCTTTATTAGATAATTCGGAAACAAACAATTCACTAAGTGAAGAAGCACATGATAATATATTAATTATAATTTAATTTTTATGGTGTAGTAACACCATACAAAAATATTATAGAAAAAGTAAAACCAGTATTTAATACTTGTGAAACATAATTTTTATTTAACTAATTTATGAATGATTGTCACAATTTGATTGCAAATTTTAAAACATTTGTAAATATGTATAATATAAGGCAACTGGTCAGTGGAAGACAGTCAATTTCACATTTACCAATTGTACTAATATTAGTTTAATTAATATAGTAAAAAAAAAAAAACAAAATACTTAATACTATATCAGCTAACATAATTATTTATTTAAAAATGTCCAACATTATTATTTAGATAATAATTATTATTCAATAAAATTGTCAAAATAATCATACTTATTAAAGTTAATGATAAAAAAAAAAGGCAGGAAAAAATTAATATTACAATTATTAAAATAAACAACCTCATTTCAAATTTTAGGAACTAACTACAATATTATAATAAAAAAAAAACTTCAACAGTATTTTTGTTTTTGAGTTATTGTAAAAAAAAAAAAAAATAACTATATTTTTAACTGGTTAATAATTTTAACTGAAACAAATTGAGTAGTCTTTTCTTTACTACATTTTAGGACGTTAAAAATTTAAAATTATGAGAAATAATTACAAATGATAAAATTAAAACCTTTGGTATAGGCTGTCTATAATATTGAAAAAAAAACAGTAAACACAACAGCAATATGATAATAAAATAATATTAATAATAAAACAATAAAAACTTAAGTATTAGTAAAAATTTGCTTTACATAAACTCAATTTGAAAATATATAAAGAAACTAACTAACCGATTAAAAATTATTAAAAATATAATAATATAATTTCATATTGTTGAGCAGTATATAGTGTTATATTATTATTATTGCTTTTTTTTTTTAAATAAAATAACAAATTTGTATAGAAATTAAACAGTTTGAACGATTTGAGCTTAAAATCGTATCACATTAATGGTAAAAAGGCAAGTATAATAATAAATTCTATAATTGCCGTCAATAAGTATAAAAATAGTTATGGAATATATATTAAAATTTTTTAAGACAATTAATGATAAATCATTTGATATATAAAATAATTGAACAATTTATGGACGTATAAAATGTTAAAACATAAAATAGATGACTATTTTTGTTAAATTCTCTAAAAAATAAATATGGAATTTATTCTTTTTTTTTTAACAATATTTAAATTTTAAAAAATAAACTGTTTCATCTTAATTTATAATAGTATTAATGAACTTAAATGCTTAACTAATCATTTTACTTTTGGCTAAATAATAAAAATTGTACATTAATAAACAGTAAAAATAAAAAAAAAAGTAAATTAAAATTAAATTTAACACTGAATAATTTGTGCATTACATAATATAATATTATATTCAATAAAATAGTATTGAATATAAAATATATTTATGACTTTTTGCAAATATGAAGATTTAATTTATTTTATATAATTTTAAGTAATCGTATAAACTAAATACCTATATTTAACTTAACTATTTTTTTTTTTTGTACAAATAATGTGATGTAAAATATAAAAAGCATTTAAAAATGGAGTAACTATCTACCATAGGTATTAAATCCACGTTTGTTAAAAATATTTAACCCTGGTTTCCAATAACAATTCTTAAATATTGGTAAAAAATCACAAATGCGCTTATGACAAAAAAATAAAGTTATACTAAAAAAGACCCTGAGTTTTGTTTTGGTTGTAGCTGATAAATTACCCTGTATCTTTTAAAAATCATTAATTTAATATTGCTTATTATTATTATAACTGTTAAGTTTTACTTATGAGATAATGGCAACAAATTATCATTTAAAAGTAACAAATATTAAAAAAAAAAATTTCCGCCACATACCAGTCTTTATCAATAATTATTCTGGTATTATGTTTTTGTTAAAGAAAAATTATTTAAATAAAACCCAATTCAGATAGTTTAAAAATAAATTGAGGATACTCGTCAATTTAGTAATAAACTAATATTTGTACTTGTCAATTTTTTAATTTGAAGGCCAAATGCTCGGCAATGGTGCATACAGTGGGTTATGGTAAGACGTGTATTCAACGATTTGTTTTATAATGGATTGAAATGCAGTAGGTTTGAACATCTGTCTCCATTGCAGTTCATAAAGATGCTGTTCGGCATTTGTTGTAGACATGTCTTGCAACTGAATGCATGCTTCTACAGTATCGGCCCAAATAGTTTCTAAATATGATAAAAATATAATATATTACTTTGATTTGATAACTTGAATTACTTGAATCTCAAATAGAAACTAACGCAAATTTTTCAAAGACTTTTGATCATTGTTGCTGTCTAAGTTCATTAATGCTTCTGTGCTAATGACATCTCCTAATCCTGGTAAACTATGCAATAATGGGAATAATAAATCATTTGTCACAATAGTAGAACCAGGTATTACACGATTTTTGACCATTTCTACAATTTTATGATTTTCCTGAATTAAAAACCATAAGAGAATTAATAAAAGCAAAGTTTTAAAATTATTATAGGTATTATATTATTGATAGTTTTATACCTTATTGGATCCTTCTAAAAGACTAGCCCATACACGGACAGGAACGTGCCCAGTGTCAGCCATACAGAGTACACGTTTGGAAAAATTGTTATTATGAGATGTGGCTGGTACTTCTAAACTCATATTGCCTTCCGGAAACACGTCTACAATGACAACGATTTCGGTGCCACCCAGTTTGAAGTCGCCAACAATCTTTTTCAATTGCCACTCGGCTACTTGAGCGCATGCAGTGTAAATACGTTTGGCAACGTTGACTTTGGTCCTGCCTTCACCACCGACATCACTGAGCGGCAAGTTCTTACACCAACCTGTCGAATATTGAGTAAAGTGTGATGACTATAGTAAAACCTACTAAAGTACTTAGGTATCAAATACAATGCTACCGCACTTACCATTGATGACTTTGAGCGCATAGCCTAACTCACACTTGAAGTCAGCAAAGAACGACGCGTGTCTGGCCGGTAATTTTTTCTTACAGTCCAAACACACCCAATTGAATTTATCAATGACACGTGCGCGATGCCACTGCATTTTTTCGGAGGCCAGACATTCGGTGTTGAGGCATTTCTGTTCCTTGGCTATGAGACCGTTCTTCTTGAGCCACTCGCACAGGTCACCCTCGCGGCCGGCTCCCAGTAACGGTAAGACGGTGGTGTTGAAAAAACTCTGATCACTGCAAACACCCGGCATGATGGATTGCACACGACTAGTTTACGCGGGCGTTATGTTATGATATACAGGGATAAGTGTGACGCGCGCGATATAATTATTACAATTATTATTATACGGGTCTAATCAATAATCACGGTGTCCCTACGTACGTATTAAAAATAATCTACTTCAATATTATTTGAATAAAGTAAAACGTATCACCAACACACCGCTGCAGCAAACACGTTGTTGTTGTCGTTGTGCCGTATGTAGGTGTAGTACGGGGGGTAGGTGGTGTACTCACTTGTAGGCGTCCTTCGGAATGTAACCGCCGTCGGTGTATAGGTCAGCAGTATCCATGGCTATTGTCGTCGTCGCGGAGGGGATGTTTTCTGAACAGGTAGGCAACCGACACCGGTTTTTTTCCCACCCTATTGTGAAGGGAAAAGGACGACAACGTCAAAAGGAAGATGGCCCACTGAATCCTAAGGTGCCGGTGCCGCTGCTGATGTTACATGGACGGCGGAAGGGGGAGAGCCGGCTGCGGGATCATTTCGTTGCCGCAGTGCTGGGCGAAGAAGACGAAAAATTCGGCAATGGAACGAACGTTGTAGTTATTGATAATAATAGTAGTAGTGGTAGTAGTAGTAGTAGTTATAGTAGGCAATATACATGGGTATGTCGAGTGTGTGTGCGTGCGGGTATGCCGGGGATAAAAATAGCTTGTTGAATGCGGCGACGGCGTAGGGGTGAAAGGGTCGTGTACAATACGGTGTTTACGGAGATGACGGGTGGAGCCGAGGGACGGACGAGGACGGAGGGTCGTGCGCGCACGCGTCCGAGCGTATGTGCGTGGGTGACGCGTTAACAGATAACAGGTATCCGGTCAGCTGTAGCAGTAAACACCGCGGCCACGCGCTCTCGTGTTCTACAACAGCTGGCAACGTCGCTTTCTCGCAATCACTGATAGCGCCGCGGTTCACACATAGACGGCGGCGGCGTAGTTGATAACGTGGACATAAACATTGGCGGAAGTCGATAAAGTCGATAAGTAAGTTATGCGGGACAATATTTTTTATCGTTTTTAAATAATTTCTTTCGTTTCGCCTTTCGCTAAATTCCGTCGCACGGCGTCCGAGACCGTCTTCTCCGTATACGAAAATGAGCTCGGCTGTCGCGCAGACAGAGCTCTGAGAACCCAACCGTCCTACCGTCGTTCGCATTTATTGGTTCCGTGTCATAATTATACGTCGTCGTCCCGATTTGCATGCACGTACAATTATTATGGACGACTTGGGTGAGTGAGATATTTTTTCTTTATTCTTTAATAAAACGTAACCTATTATTTTACAATATCGACCGTCGAGTCCACGACGCGCGCACGCACCAATTACCGCAACGTTAAATGCCAATCATAATGTATAATAGGTTAGCTAGGTACCTAGATTAATTTGTACGAACAAACCGAAAAAATATTTAATTCCTAACGGCGTTGTAATAGTAATGTATGAACGGAGGATAGGTTGAGTGCGAGTTGGAGGCGTGTAGGTACGTATTTTAAGAACACATTTCCGTAGTCTTATTCGTGTGCAATTTCAGCGCTATTAAAAATTGCTGTACAAATCGTCACGTATCTATGTGGAATTGAGAAGTTTATAGTTTACTCCATTATCAATTATTATAATATAGTGGTTAACATTGAATTTATGTCAATGTGATGGCATTTTAATGTAGACAAAATATATTATATATTTTTTTTCCCACATAATTTCCGTCACAAATGCCATCTTAGTTTCAAGTAGGTTGGTTGGTACCAAACGATTTTTATATATTTTTTTTTTTTATAATTTGCTTACCAATACCCATAATGTGAGTATATTTTGTAGGTTAAGATCAATTAATAAACTTGTACACAATTTTGTAATTACAATTTTGGGTTATTATTTTTTTCAAAAACTAAAATCGATTTACATTATAAAAAGAAAAAAAAAGAGCTGATATTGGGGGCGGGTGAGGCCACCGTTTAAGCGGGTAGTTCGGAAGATTGGCTACATAAAGTTATTTAAGTTATTTAATTTATACCTGTAACCAACGATAAACCATTGATAACGAAAAATGATTGGGAGCGAAGTTCGGTTGTATTTGGTTATACATATTTTGAGAGGCTGTAATGTATACGATTTTCGTCAAAATTTGATTTAAAACTTAAAAAAAAAATTCGTTTTTTTTTGACTTCCATGTACGACATGTAATGTACCTTCTGTTAAATTTTTAAGCATTTCTGTTTAGTCCAACAATTTCATCCACATAGTACCTATCAAATAAGTTACGAAAAAAACTCTCAAAATTTAAATGTCCAAAAATAGCTCAAATGTTTTACATTTTTACCTCGTCTATATAGAAAAAACAAATATAAATTTTTTGTTAAAATTTCAAGTCTATACATTGTTTTACTGATTTACATTAAAAAAAAAAACAAAATTTAAAATAATAAAAAAAATTTGTTCGTAAATTTCCCTGTTTTTTCTACGTATCTTTCGGTTTTGCTAAATTATTATAAAAACTACAAAGAAAATCAAAAAACGACTTTCTTAGTCACCAACTAGATTAAAAATGGAACAAATAAGGTCTCTTGTTGTTCTTCTATTGGAGAAATATTTTTTGTAGAAAACATAAGCCGCAAGAATTTAAAATAAAGGAACCCTATCGTCGAAAATGTATCGGTTTTCATTTTTCGTCGTTTTTCGGATTTTCTCGATTATTACAAAAACTACCCGAAAATTAGAAACCGAATTACTAACTCACGAACCAGATTAAAAATACAGCGAAAAAGGCCTCTCGGCTAATTGCCAATTGATATTGATAAATGATAATCGCAGAAATTTAATCATCATTTTGTATATTATCTTGTATCTCAATAACTCATGCCTTTTATCGAGACATATGCCATGATACACACGCGCATCAGCCGCTACGAGAGCGGCATTTGCGTGACCCGTTGTGCGCGATTATTGAAACATTTGTTTAGACGGTTATAAATCTAAAAACTTCCGTACTGCGTTACATGCACATTTTTCTCTACTATGTATATTTACACGATTAATAAGCGGCCGTAACGTAATATTTTTAATTAACCCGCAGAGTTAAATAATTCAAGGTACTCTAAAATATGCTCTAAATCTCGTTTCTCCAATCGGTCGTTTTTGAATTATAAAAAGCATCCCTCTCTGCTACGTTCGCCAAACATTTTGTCATTTTCATTTTTGAAGTAATTTACAATAAATTAACAATAGTTCTACATCGTCCAGAATATTATCAAACATGGGCACGTCCATTTTGATGTATTAAACCGACTGTAGGCAAACCAAGACTTATAATACCTGTACAAAGTTTGTGTTACAAACGGCGCGGCGAGAAGAAAACAATAATGTATTATTGTTCGCGCGAGTGTTTACATAATAATTTCGGAATTTGTCGAAAGCGACAATCGTAGTCGTGTTCGAATTGAAAAATAGTTTTAATCACACATCGCACACATCATACATAATAATAATACCCAATAGTTATCACTGGCCCGCGTTACGATCAGCGTTTTTACGAAAAAATAATAATAATCCCGTAAATAATAGTTTTGTGCGAGATCACTTTTTATAGATTTTACGAAAATTTGTTCGATTTGTTTTATTAAAATTTCACCTTTTGACGATAGTAGACAGGTAACTCGGCGGAACGCAGGCACATCGCACTTATAATATACGTTTTCTCGGTTTTTATTTTTTACCACGCTTATTACAGTTTTATCTTATTATAGGCGAAATATTTTATTGGTTCGACGACCAAATGACCTTAAAACCAATCCGTACTAGTTCATGGTCGATGACCTTAAGAACTTACCTGCACTTTCCCGCCACTATTGTAATGTATTTATTTCATCATACTGTTTACCGATCACTTGCCAAATTGTGTTTCGGTTTGATTTTGAACTTGTGCTCATCGGAATGACAAATTTGCAGGCATACATATATTTTATTTAGGTAATGTTTAATTCGCTGAAAAAGCGAGTATTCGAATTCCAAATTTTCGGGGTTCTGTTTTAAATCGACTAAACCTAGCCAAACCGCGCTAGCTATTGCTCGTAATTTGACCGTTAAAGCTACAGAATTTAATTTAGAAACGAAATTTTCACTATTAATAACAAAATGCTAATAAATTGTTGTTGGGTGCGCCCAAGGTGCGCCACCGTTGTAGGTAGAAGAGTAGAATACATAAATGTATTTGATTTATATCTGTGAACGACGATGAACCATTGCTAATGAAACAGGATTCTGAGCGAAATTCAGTTGTACATATTTTTATATTTCGTAATATTTATAAGATTTTCGTTAAAATTTCATGTTAAATCTTTTTTTAAAAAAAAAAAACTACTACATTACCTTCGCCTTTTCTTTTATCATACCAAGTGCAACTCACAATGAACGCCGTGTTCAATTTTGAAGCATTTTTGTTTGGTAAAACAATTTATCTGCAATAACGAATAAAAAAAAAGAACTCGAATTCCTATATAAATAAATCAAAAGTTAAGGCGGTCGAAAATTTGACCACGTATAAAAAAGGCTAGTACAAGTATTCAGTGAAAATTTCAGGGCTTTACGATAATTTTCAACCGAACTACTACTACAAGCTTACAACATAAAAACAAAATCGTAAATTATGAAATTATAATGTATATGATATTGTAAACTTTCCCGTTTTTTCCACATTTATCCCGGTTTGCCACCGTAACCAATCCAATAGATTCAACGTAATACAATTTTTGTAAATATACGAGAAGTTTTCCAATCGGCGTAAAATAAGTTGTAGCTAGCCATTGTAACTTTCCGATATTCCGATTATTGCTACCGATATAAAATCGATACCCGGATCCGATATTTAAAACCGATAACTATGAGTTGATACCGGTTGGAAACACGATTTTTTTTAAAACACATAACAGAGACATTTTTTCACGAAAATGTCGGTTTTGAATATAATAACCCGATATCCGATACCTCGATTTTCTTAACATCGGCCGACTTGCATCGCAACTATAAATAATATAATCAATACATTTACGAAAACGGAATTACTAACTTATCAATAATTATTATCATTATTAGACACTTATTTACATTTTGTAGATTATTGCTTGTACATGCAATTTTTGTCGGTAACCAGTTCCTTATTTCTGGTCCTCTTAATTTAATATAATAAATAGTTACGTATTTGCGAGGTAATTTATAGTATACATAAATTACAAGAACAATGTAATTTGTGTTCGAGATTATATAGGTACGTATATAACTAAATGAAATGTTCCAAAATAGTATGTATAATATATAGTAATGATAGCAGCTGATGGATTCTAATTATTAGTTACGTAAAATAAATAATATAAAGGTACGTGTCTAATAAATTACATTTACAATCTATTCATATTAATTAAAATTACGTTAATCGGGTGCCTGTTAATATCCAACTAGGTACTAAAAATGTAAAAACGAATAATATGTACGAGGTACATTATTATGAGATGATTTATATTATTTCGTACCATACCTAATATTATAATAACACCCAATAATGAATAGGTTGTATTGGTTGTATAAAAAATAACGTAATGTTTTAAACGAATATATTTTTGTCTCGTTTAATATCGTCTTAGTTTTTTTTTTTTAATACTAGTGTTTAATTAATATAGGTTGTCTTTTTAGATTCTTAACGTTCTGCTATGAATATATATGTGCTTTTTTCAAAACATTTTAATATTTTATACAAGAAATTTGGCTCTAATGCTCATCAACTTCAAAAGTACAAAATTAGTTTCTGCTGTTAAATTTTGTCTTTAGTTGCATTTTGAAGAGAAGAAGTTTTATTAATAATTGGGAAAAATCAAAAATGACGCAGAATAAAAACGGACAAATATGTGGCGTTAATATTTCGATATTTTAAATTTGTACGAATTATGTTTTCTATCAGAAATCTTGTTCTAATAGAATAATGACAATAGACCTCTTTTTTGTTGCATTTTTAATCTATTTGGTGAGTAATAAAGTTGGTTTTTGATTTTTTGTGTAGTTTTCTTTATTTTTTTTTCTTTCTATTACTAGAGGTATCGTGACAAATTATTATTACTATTCAAATTTATGCGTTTTTCGCCAAAAATTAGGGTTTTTTTTTTCTGTAAAAATTTCTTAAAAATTAATGTCTCTTACATTTTTATTACTCTTACTATATTTCAGTGTGCGACAAAACTAAAAAAACAAAAATAAAAAAAGGAACTATTCATTTCTAATATTAGCGATGAAATAGAAATAGAAAAAAGTTTCGATGTTATTTATAAAATTATAATGCCGGTTGATAAACGATAACTGTTATTTATTGTTTGTGTGTAATATTAAACCGCTCGGTTTCATAAATAGCGGCATTGGTGTTATAATACAAACAATATCCCGTTTAGCCATATTGTCGCATATAATTACTTGGCTGTTTGACTTTTTATATTATTCGCCGATTCTTACACCGGCCTTCAGGATATTAGTAATATCACCGTATCTCCCATATGACTGCAGTTTGTCTGGTGCGCCTGATGTTGACACTGCACGCGCAGTCGGGTTCGTCCGTTCGGTTTCGCGTATAATGTAATAATAATATTGTATGGGTACTACACAGACGTGTTTAAGTTATATGTATATATATATATTTTTTTTTTTTTAGTTTTTTTTTTTTTTCTAATAAAACGTTCGGTGGAAACGCTACGGGTATTATAGGTACACAGTGCAGATTCTGGCATGACTCCTATTTGATAAAAATAAATCCCGGAAATAATCAGTATATAGGTACTTTTATAGATACGCGCAGTACCAGTAGCCGGTGCTGCCCGATGGTAGTGCGTGTGTTTTTTCAATTGTGATTTTCTTTTTCTTTTATTTCTTCTACCATTCGTCACAATAACCGTTTTCGTGAACCGATTCTTGAAAAGTCAGGGCGCGTATTTACAGTCGAGTCTTATTAAAATCGAAATGGATAGAAATATTTACGGTAAACTACAACCGCCTCAACAGCAGTACCACGGCACGTACCAGCCGTATAGATGTACGAGAAAAAACGGTTCGAAACCAGGATGTGAGTCTGTCTGTACACCTATATATTTACGTTGGTTATCATATAGTGTAATACTGTCGACGATATTTATCGATAAAAATGACCTGTTTATTTATGTTATCTCGAATTTTTTTTTCTTTTACCTACGTATTATTTTGCCAAAGTTTTTATTTCGTTTTCGCAAAATAATTGTCAACCGTTCTGTTTTTTGATATTCACGCCAAACATCGTTCATAATATTATGTTTTCTCAGCGTCGCATAACGTATGACGTTGGCGACTTTTTTTTTTTTTATTTGAATCTCGTTAAATAATAACAATATTATTAATAATTTATATGTACGTATGTATACATTTATTTATATACGGAATACATGTTTCTAATCGCAATTATTTATAATTATTATTAAATGCAATATCTACATACACTTTGCACGAATAACTGGATAAATACGATTACTTGTAATAAATTATTCATGTATACATAATGAAATAAAACAAAAATACTTGTAAGTTATGTAGCAATCATGTTAAGTGGGCGGTACGCTTGCATTTGTTGTCTCTGTCGCTTACAAACGATTTTGTGCTTTTCGTTTTAATATTACAGCGAGTCGACATGCCATTATCATACATAAAGGTAAAAACATTATCCGTGTATGTACGTTAGTTATTTCTGATATTTTAATTTTTAAGCAGGAAAAACCTGTTATTAAATTGTGATATTTCATACACTGATATCTTGCTTAAAAATTAATTTAACGAACAGAAACAACGTGCAAACACAAATCATATTCTTACCTTTAAGTTTGACAATTAGTCGATATTCGCATTCATTCTAAACTAGCAGCTCGAAATTGATTCTGTGGAACGCAAATTCGCTGTGTCGTGCGTTTGTAGGGCGGAGACACGAAACAATAATGCGTGTGTAGTGTCCTTTTAAATAAATTCTAAAGCGGTTACATCATAATTTTATTAGTTTTACTCATGTACAATTCGGCTAATGTAAATTTCAATTTAAAATAATTAATATTGAAATTTAGCGCACTCGGTGTGTGTGTGTTTGTATGTGCATATGCGTATGCGTGTGACATTTGTGAAGCGCGCATTAAAAAGTAGGCCAAACCCATATGAAGTAGATTCCAAATAAGGCACCTATATAATAAAAAAAAAATTGAACGCAGCACTGCAGACTATACACACATGCGGCATATAATAGAAAGTACCTATGCGTTTAAACGTACGTAATTATCATTTGAAAAAAAAACAGTTAAATACTTACAATATTATTACATTATTGAATATTGATACAATGGGGTAAAACGAATGTATTTATATTGATAATAAAATGAAATATTGTATTGATGACAACGTCCGCGTATTAGCTAAAAATTATTAATAGTTTTTGTTGATAGTAAGATTTTTTTTTTTTTTGCGGTATATAAAATATAACCTTCGGAAAATAAAATTATAGTAAATATTCGAAGGCCGGGTTAGTCACAAAAAAAAAAAAAAAAAAAAACGCGTACCTATCTAAAGAGAATTTAATTTATCAACTTAAATACCCTTCAAAATTCGTACACGATTTTCGGTATCTGTATGTAGCCGGGTCTTGGTCATATATGGATCTCTGTGTGTGTGTTTTGTTTTTTTTTTTTAATTTCAAAGTGAATTTTAACCGTTTACAGAAAGAAAAAAAAAAATAACTATTTTTGAGTGAACTGTAATTCGCACCCAATATAATATAGTTTGTACGTTTCACTATAATTTTTTTTGGAATTTTAATTTATTAAAATAAAAATAAAAAATTTTAATATTTAAAAATTATACTTTTTTTTTCATATTTGTATTGATACTAATGAATAATTTACCTAACTGTTTATAATATGGTTATGAAATATTTTGTTGATTTACGATGTATACGTTTCGTGTAAACGAATACCGTAGTATTAATCTTAAAAGTTTAAATTGTTATTTTAAAATTCAATTTACTATACGAAAGTGAAAATTAAATTAACGTTAATATTACGTCAATTATACGCTATTTTTAGCATAAATTTCGAACCTGGAGGAACTGGAGGTTAACGTCCTTTTCATATAATATTCTTGGCAGTTACAATCTTTTTCTTCTAATTATTCACAAAAAACTCGTTGTATATTATACGTATGTATAATTTTCGTTTTGTTGATATTTTATCATATTAAATAATTGTAGTATCAAGACGCCAATAAACTATACAGTTATGTAAAGCGGGATTACAAATTTATATTCTGCTAAAATACTTTAAATATATTTCGGTGTCATCAATGTCTTCAATGTACTTTTAAATATACCTATTGCACCATCTGTTTATACTTTTAATATCCTCTAAAGAGATAACAAAATATTCATTTGTATTGCATACTGAATGTTTTAGATTATGAGCGTAGTGAGGTGTGCGTATTGGTTTTACCATAATATTATGATGTGTGTTTTGATTATTATTTGTGAACACCTTTTTTACCAGAAATCTTGCTCCGATCGGGGGCGGTTTATGGTAGCCTAATTGGCGTAATGGTCATTTTTTGATATTTTTTGTAGTTTTCTTAATAATTATTGGGAACATCTTTGGAAAACCAGGAATATTTACGCAATAACAGTTTTTGTTGTTTTTCATTTTGTTCTAATTCATTTAAATATTAAGATGTGATTCTAATCCGCTAAAGGAGATATGAAACAACTTTCTATATTATTATTATAAATCGTCCTTGCAAAAAATAAGATGTAGATACACTTGATATTAATATTTATTTATTTATTAATTTTTTTTTTTGAAATTAAAATGCCTGGATTTTTTGGTTTGTTATAATTTATGGTAGGTTAAAATATATCATAATAATATATTACCCTTCATATTTATTGCAATTTATGTATTATACCTATTACCTATATTCGTTTAACCTAAAAATTCTAATTATTTCGCTAAAAATAGTGTTATTTTTAGATTCTTTATTGGATTTATGATTCATTGTGTTCAGTTACAATTTAGTGTAATGTCCAAAAAACGCATATATACTATACCGTAATACTATCTGGTAACTCAATATATTAACTATATGATTTAATGTACTTTATTATGTTACACAAATTCAAATAACTGCAACATCTGTAGTGAAACCCGTGGCCGTATATTTATCTTATGTTTATTAATAAATAAGCATATCGTCGCACATGTATTGGAGTTGTTATAATTCTATTACAATCTAACTGACGGGATAGAAGGCGATAGGCGATATAACGTGCGATATTCATTTTTGTAATCTTTTTAAACGAAGTAACTCAAACTCCCACATTCCCAGGTGACAAGTATAAATATAAAATAAAAATAAGATGAAATATAATTTTGAGAGTTATAATATCTCTAGATCCTATTTGTATTATATTATTTCTATATTCACGGCTAACGAGTAGTGAATTTGCATTTTAGACCAGTGCTTCAACATATGCCTTTTTTGAAAAGTGAGATTATTATTTACTAAATTACTATTTGCTATTTACTACTGAGTTGATATTGCTTTTTTACGGTATCCGATATTCTGATATTTGCTACATAAAACCAATGACCGATCCAATATTTTAAATAAAAAACCACGAGTTTATCTTGAATTTACCGATATATCAATCGAAAATTCGATTTTTTAAACGTTTTCGGGTCAAATATAAAGTTTTTTTTTCGATATTAGAATATCCTCAATATCGGCCGATTTATGCCGATACTCATCACCACATTTTTTCCATCAACAATTGACGTAGTGAAGTGATAAGAATTTTTAAAATAGTTTGAATTCAATGTGAATTGTAGGCGAGACCGATCAGGTCATTTTTTTAAACTTAATTGTTGGTAATTTTTTTTTTACGTATTTTCCAAATTTTCAAACCATTTTTTTGGAAATTAGAACTGAAATTCAAAAAAAAGTGATGTCTGATTGATTTCATGCTGAATTCAAATCTGAGTGTTCAGAATTATTATTGCTTTCCTACACCGATCGGATCGATAGAAGATAAACCACCTATATTTGTATATAATATGCTCAGTATGTGTTATACGGGGAAAAAAAATATTGGTATCCCTTAAGCTCGTGACCTTTAAATGTTTGTTTCATTATCAGATATAGGTATGTTTTAGTATAATTTGACTAGCTGAACTATAACAGCTCGTTAGGTTTATTGATTTTACTGTATCTTAATTAAATATCAGCAAAAGTGCAACACCTTTATAGCGAAATACCTTGACGCCCACCCGGACTCCACCTTTTTTTGTTAGTATTACGGTATTACCGTTGTCAAAAAAAAAAAAATAATAATAATAATATTAAATACAATTCTGTGTAGGTTGGTCTTCTCAGTTTAGTTAAAATAATATGTACCATAGTTTTTTTTTTTTTAAACGACCAGTTGGTTTTATGAACGTACGGCGTTTGGTTCATCGAGTTTCGTGTATATATCCGTATTGTGATAGTTTATAATATATTATAATAATTTTATAATCCTAAACAGTATTTTTATTTAATAATTATTAATATTTATATAAAATTAAAAAATGAACGGTTTGTACAATAAATTATCATATTAATAGCATACATATTTAAATTTGAAGATCAATATAAGTATTAGTACTTATAATGTATTTGTATAAAATTATTGTTTGTGGTGTAATTTGCTTTTAAATTAATATTATCTTTGTTCGACCAATAAACAAATTAACTACAGCATTTTAAAATATAATAAAAATGCATGAGTCGAGTTAAGGGAAAATTATTTGCTTCAGCAGAGATTTAAATGATATTTATTTTGGCAAAAAAAGATCATATTTCGAGCAGAAACGGGGAAAATTACCAGTGAACATTTTAGGAATATTTATTTTTCTACGCAACCCTTCAATAATTGTATTATAGATTTAATCAGAAAATTTTTTTTAAAAACCTTTAAAAACCTAAATCGGGTTTTTTTTAAAAATCGATAAAAAAACGACTGAAATGCGTGTAAAATCGTGTACATATTTATAAGTATTTCAAAATCGGATGAATTAGTTTTTAATTGATTTTTTTAAAAAAACCTGGGTTGTTTTTCTGGATTTTATTATATGTTTGGAATCTATTTAAAATTATGGGGCATAAAGAAATTAAGAAAATTGAAGTCGTTATAGTTATATATATAGAATAATATATATAGGCGCACAAGTAAGATGATAAAGTTAATAAAACGACCCAACAATGAATAATATTTGTTCATCGTAAACAATTTATCTACTATAATATCATGTACCTGTCATTATATCTACTATATAGGCGTGTGACGTACAATTTTTATTTTTAAAGAAAGTGCCTCACCTATATACATTTGTTTTCTTTTAGATTATGAGTGTAGCGAAGAATGTATTGGTTTTATTATAAGACGTTTTTATTTTTTTATTTTTTTTTTTTATCCTGTGTACCAAAATTTGACCAGAAATCTTAATCAGATATATACGCGGGGCACCATTTCTGAAAGAGAATTTTGTCCAGATGGTACTTTTGGGAGGTCATTTGTCAAGCGGTTTTCGATAAAAAATAAAACGTAAGAAAAATCGAAATTAATGCTTTTATTATTTTATCAATTTTGTTATTTGTTGTAATTCAGTTAAAAATATTCGTATAGATTTGAAATTTGGACAGAAGACTTATATTTACCTTTTCTAGACGTCGTAAAATTTTTAAAAAATTTAAGCCATTTTTGAGCTATTTTAGACATTTTAATTTTCCCAGTTTTGTACGTAATTTTTATTCGGTAGGTACTCTGTGGTAAAATTGTTAGACTTAACAGAAATGCTTGGAAATTTTATTTTTTGAACATATGCCGATTTACATATGCCATATTGCCGATTTAAGAAGGGTGGTAAAGTTAGAATTGAGCAGACTGACTAAGTTTCCAAATATAGTTTTTTGAAGTTCAGATATTATGTTTATATTACATGTTTATGTTAAATAACTGTATATTGTGTACATAACTATGTGTTGTAGTTAAATGGTCATGATTACGTATTGTCATATTAAGGGGGGGATTCGCAAGTTCAAACCCTGGCTATAAAGAGAAATATTTCGCACTTGTTTTCCGTTTTACCTAAATAGGGAAAAAACAAATGCATTTTAATTGTACCTAGAGACCATGTTATCGCTCGCTCGGACGATTTTAATCGAAAAATACTCCTTGATTTGACTCCTCGGCTGTGAAGAAAATTTTATTTCTATGGTTTAGGGAGGTTATTTTTCGATTTTTCCAAGAGTTTTTTTCGCAAATGTGATAATCCTAGAAAAAACATGGGAAAAACGCTAAAATTTATTTTAACTAATACTCCATCTATTTATGGAATTTATAATGTAGATTGACATTTAAAAATCAAAAGTAGGTTGTGGTTTTATCCCCAAAAATAAGGGTAAAAAAAAAATATAAATATAAAATTGTAGAGCAGCTTGTTTCTTAAATATTTTAGAAAACAAATTCCGGAAAAAGTTAATACTTTCCGAGATAATGAGTGTACCCATTTAAATGGATCACCTGGTTTATGACAATGATCATGTAAATTTAATTTAATGTATATTAACCGATAGCGGGAACGCCCAGTATCGTTCCCTGGTTGGCAATCTGTTTAGGAGTATATTATATTAAACCATATGTTGAACATGAATAATTCGATTAATTAGACACGGACAAACGTATCCAATCGACAAATATATTTCGAAACAGCAACCTATGCGAGTATACAATATATATTCATAATTCTGTTGTTATTAAAAAGCGTAAACATCGAATTATTTAATATAAAATATTTTTATGATTAAAATATATTTGTTAATTAAATTAGATGTATAAGCTATAGAGATACCAATTAAAATTGTTTGAAACTCAAAAGTAAACACCGATGTAACGTTGGTACTCGTATAAAAATATTAGCAATGGCAACTTTTGGAATATTATAACAATAATTGTGTATTGCCACGATTATATATTATATAATGAAATGTAATTCCTAACAAATGTCATAACTTGTCGAAATAAGGACTGAATCAAGGCCGGTTTTCTAAATTTCCCCAATTTTATACAATTTGAAAATTATTTTTAAAATTTTAACGACTATCTTAAAGATAAGGCTTTTCCGTTAATTTATTGCCCAATATCCATTTAGAAGGAAGGAGTATTTTCGTTTGTCCGGATTTCGAAAAACTCACCCCTCATAAAATGTTCCAATTTTAATATTCTTTTTTTGTTACTTTAACTCCGATTTTCGATTATTTTGTATACAATATCAGAAAAAAAGGGTTAAAATGAAACAAAATTGGAATTTTTAGGTGCTTATAATAGTTTGTTGGACTTTGTTTTTTGAAAATCGGAGTTCAATGTAACCTATAAAAAGTATAAAAAATAAAAGTAACATCAACATACAACTTTTTTACGAGGTTTGAGATATTCATTAAGGTGAATAATTGTATTTGTATACGATCAATTAATTTATTAAGTAAACAATTACTACTTTTTTTCATACACATTACTATATTCGTTTAATAAATTCTGAGTGCATAAGAAGTTATTATAGTTTTACTGTAAGATGCGTTTTTTTCTCGGAAAACATTTTTTCACGCAGTTGTAAAACACGGAATTTCCTTCGAATGATACTTTTCTTGAAACATTTTTAGACATTTTTAACAGTTCACCCCCAATATCCATTTTTGGAATTTTTTCTTGAAGAACACTTTCAGTTAGGAAAAACCTTTTGTTCACATCGTTCCCCGAAATATGTGGATTTTTTGTTTAGTTGCACCTAATAATTAAAACATTTTTTCTAGATTCCTAATAGTTTTCCTTAACAATTTACAAACCTAGCTGACAAAAAATGATAATACATTGGTTTCTGGGTTAAGTAACAAAAATCCTTTTTTGATTTTTTGAATAACCAGCACTTGATATATATATATATACATAAAATTAAATTAACGTTTGGATTATGAAAATGTATTACTATAAATTATAGGTAGGTAGTTTTCTTTAATTGTAAAGATCAAAAATTACCTTACAAAATCTAAAAAAAAACTAGTATTCTCAATAAAATATTGGCGTAAAATTGCCGCCCATAAAAATTTATGCCCTAGCCAACTGCCTACTTTGCCTGACGCTAAATCCACCATTGCATTTACAACAGTAGTCCCCATGGTGTGAAGTATGTCTGAATTATCTAATACATATAAAATTAAGGGTTTGCTTGCATGTACGTGTAGCCAAATCTTTTTTAACGCTCAGATATGTGAACATAGAATCCCATAACTGAACTCGAAGGTCGGATTATTAAATTAGAATACGATAGAATACGAAAAACGTTGGGACTTTTAATTTATTATTATATTTTTATTGATTTTTAATTTCTCTTGGTCACACGGAAAAAAAACAAATTTAGCGCTTGTCAATGGTATCACAAGTGTGTATAATAAAAAAATTGTATCTTAAGATAATATTATTAATATATTATGATGATACGAGTTTTTTTAATTTTACGCATGTAACCTTTCGTTTTGTTTGGAATTGTTAAAAAAAACCTTGCAGCATGCAGTTGATTAATTTTAGCAACAAATATAATATAGGCGCATTGCACATACAGATTGATTGATCAAATCCTCGAAGCAAATTAAATTTTACTAACCTTTATGTAACACACCTAATAATAATATAATAATAATATAGTTTGAAATATAATTTAAACATTTAGAATTTTATATAAATCTAAACTATATTTATAAAACATCAATGAATTATAATTTTTTCTGTTAAAGATTTTAGTTTAGAATTTTGGACTGGCTCCAAGTTTAATATTTAAAAAAAAAAGTTCCGGAAATAACATTAGCCTATATAATATTTTGTATATAGCTTTAACACGCCCACCGCACAAATATAGCGTATAGATCCAAAAAGGTGTTTGGTGTTTTTTTTTCTATTTTAAATACCAATTCACTTGGTGTGCATCATATGTACGTTGTCCTTCGTAAAAAATTAGCCAGTTATCTGCGTGCGGCTCTCGTCATAAACGTGGGCATTGTTCGGAATATTCTGTTGATTATAAGAAGTTTTCGTAGTGGAGATAGTGCGTAGAAAAACCCACATCTTGAGTGTTCTTTTTGTATGTGCCATTAACGTATAATAAATTTTATATTTTCTGTTTCCTATACGATATCGTACAGCTACCTTTACACAATGGTATGTTTTTAAGTTCGTGTAATTTCCTAAACACACCTGTGTCATTGAAAATTATAAACAATTGAACGTATTCGGAACATGTATTTGAGGTTAATATAAAACCACGAGCGTGAAAATGGCTGGTCGAATTACTGTGCAATCTAAAAATCATACGATTGCTTATATAGGTAAATTAATTTTCTTTGCTCAATATCTGTTAGGACAACGTACCTGATAAAACAATTTAATTTTAAAACGTTGACAAATGTAAAGATAGGACAAAAACCGGTTTTGCGAAAAACTACTTTTTGCGTTGGTTCATTCCAAATAATATTAATACGCAAGGTAATTTCGAATTTTTTTTGTCATTCATTTTTGGCACGTAAATAACAAAGTATAGCTAATAACTATGAAAATAGTAGTGAATTAAGGTCAAGCAGCCCTTACTAAACAAAAACTTATACATTTTATACATATATATATATATATTAGTAATAAATATGACGAGTATTGAGATGATAACTATAGATTTTTGTAATAATTGTTATTACCATATTATGGTAGATGCGCATGCATTTGTGTTTGTCTGCAGCCACATTTTGCATTTATTTTATTTCTATATAGTTTTGATTGTATATTTTTGAATAATTTATTTTTCTCAGTTCCGTGTGCGTGTATTTATTAAAGTTTTGTTTATCTATCTATAGTGTGTCATATTGACATATAAATTAAAATCAATGTAATTTTATATTTATACATTGGTAGGTAGCTAATTATTGGCAAATTTGTAAAAAATGTATTTTCAGTATACAAATATTAAATACAGATATTATTTTATTATAGGTATATATTTAGAATACCTACGTACTTCAGTTAAACACTAAACGATGTTATAAAAATTAGAACGGGAATGCAGATAATTTAAAAAAATATTTATTTAAGTGTTTTCGAGGGAAATAACGTTTTTGTTTTTCTGAAATTTAGTAAGCAAAACAGTTACAGTCATGTTTGTTTTTTTTCTTTCTTTTTTTAAATAGTTGCAGTAACTTTTTTGTTCGGTAATATTTTTAAAAACAGCAACGTCCTGCCTTCGATATTATTCTCTTCTTTAAATCATGTTATTTGTTTTTAAACTTTAATTTGAACCCAAACGCCATAATTTATGTTCTAAGTAACGTAATTTTGCTATGTTTTCTGTTAGTTAAACTGAGATAGTAAATGTGTGTGTAGTCTTCTCTTAAAATTTAAACCAATAAGGTATGATACATAGGTAATAATAATATTGTATTACATTATAATACTTTTAAATGTGCATAATGTAAAAAAAAAAATCAAATTTCACGAGACAAATTTGTAATGTTTTTTTATCACGTGTATACTCGAATCATGAGTATAGTGAACGGTTTCCTTGTAAATTATTGTAAATTGGACATAAAGAGTCGTATATTTTTAATATAATAGTTTCATTTTCTTTAACTAAAATAAACTATAACAAACAGTAGGTATATTCATAGTAAATATACTTTGAATAATATAATATAATGTGATTGTAGTTATTTCAATATAATAATAGCAATATAGTAATAATAATAATAATAATAATAATAATAATAATAATAATAATAATAATAATAATAATTTATTTATTTACCGAAATAGATTTCCAATTACAATGAAATAAAATGACAGAATACTAGATTTATTTTTATTAATCCAATTTAAATTTTAAAATTTTTTACTTTTTTACTTAATTTGTATTTCAATTGTGTTTATAGTTTATATTTTTTTATCTAAAATTGTTAAATTGTATCGTACTGTGAATCAACAACAATTACATAGGTTTTTTTTGATTATGCCATATTTTGGCGCACCTCATCACATTCACACGCCCATGTGTTTTTTTGTCCTGCGTGCATAAATTGACGTTCCAATGATTAACGAGCATGATGCAAAATATATATTCTCGTTAGTTTTTTGAAAAGACGCATTATAACATTATTATTTAGACCCACCTAAAATACGCAGGAACTATATTTATTATAAAATATATTGAACTTTGACATTTTCATCCGGTCATTTATATCGAGTATATATATTCGTCGTATCTATATGATACACGAGCACGCTGCAGAATTTGCGGAGGATAACTCGTTTTTATTATAATTTAGGTATATATTAATAATACATCTGGACTAACGCCTACCGTACATGTATAATATACAATATACATATGCATAAGCTTTGCAGCTTTCAATTTAATGAATACTAGCTGTTACCAGCGACTTTGTCCTGGAAGACTTTTATTACTCTGTTGTCATTCTGTACTGTTGCAATATTGTTCGCATTTTTATGATTATTAGCATTATTTAAAATATGACTTGCACTTTTTCACTTTTAAAAATTATTTGTCTGTGACTTGTATATTATCGGACATAGAAACTTTTAGAACATATCAATCGAGAAACATTCCGGAACGTTCGAAAAATGTTAAGTTGGCTAAATCGTATTTGCAGTGAGCGAGATAACAACAGACATGAGCGAGAAAGAAGTATAGGCCTTGTAGTGAAAGGGATTAAAAGTCAAAAGTTGTCAGTGGTCTATGACAAGCGCGCACACACTATTCCGATAAGCCCATAGTTCCATATGGGGGTACCATAAAGTACCTTTTATTGCTCTTAGCCACAATTTGTTAATTCCTTTAATTACTTTAGTTGGTTTATTTTTTTTGTTTTTAAGTAGGCAAAAATGTCCTTTATTTTTGATTAGCATTCTAAGTTTAAATTTATGTTAAAATTCGTTTAAAACAAATTTTAATTTATCATATAGTTCTAAATTAATACAGTTTTTTGTGGACTAGCATTGTCTATTACAAAAAGATTATATCTTACTCTTTGAAAAAAAAAAAATGGCTGGGAGGAGAGCTTCTAAAATATGTTGCCTTGGGTCGTAAAATACGGGATTGCATTCCGATTTCTGAAACATTTTAGACACCAGATTCGGCCAAAATCGTATAAAACTATACGTTACATACCTATTGGATAACCACAGTCCCATGATATAAACACCAAATAGGTGTGAACGAGAAATTTTTAATCATTAAAAAATGTTCATAATCAACCATCCTAATCCATCCCTACCAAAATATCTTAGTATCAACAGGAGGTGCTAATAGCTACCTATACATACAATAACCATCAGTAAATTGCAGTCAATAATAAATTGAATTAGGGGTTGTGGAGAATATCGAGCAAAATCCGCACAGGGCAGTTATTTTTATTAATAAATTCATTTAATTGATTTAAAACTGTTTTAATAATAATATATACGAGTATTTTATGCGTCTTATTATTTAGGCTCGTTTATTTATACTACTATTAATTATTGCTATTTTTGTTTAACTTGTAGATGCATTACTCGCAGATTTGCAAAGCACAATACAGAGGACGAACAAATCAAACGGCGGCGTATCCGGGGGTATAAACGGTGGCGTATCCGGGGGTGTAAACGGTGGGTACGGAGTTATTAATGGCGTTCGATCCCGATTACCGTCCGCTGGTTCACCGGTTATGCACAGTCCAGTTCAACCGCCCCCAGAATATTCTACCGTACGAACGCACAAGATTGAACGGTCGACTTCAAACCCTGCGGTCCGACAAGAACTATCGGTAAACATTTCATTTAGAGTTAATATATAGTTATTATGAAAGATCCTGATTGATAAAAAGTCGGAATGTAGACTACGTTTAAGGCGGATAAAAGAATATGTAAAAATAATTGAACCGAATAGACTATGGAGAGAAGTGGTGAAAAAAAAGGAAAGGTGGCGGCGAATTTGGTTTTAGATGACGAAACTTACGAGGAGTAGAAAAAGAAGAAGAAGAGAGAGAAAGAAGCTATACGAATAATTAAATACAAAAATGGTACATATTCAAATTTTATCATTTATCAAGAAAAACAAACTAATTCTTAAGCACCTAGATATTTTATTTATAAAATTACTTTAGAATAGAAGATTATAGATAATATATTGATAATCAACACTAACATTAGTTATTAACATGCAATTTGTTTTCAATTTTTTTCAGAGATCATAGGTAGTAAATATTTTTGTCTTTCTTGAACAATTTAAAATTTTGAACATGTGTTTTTCTGTATTTAGCGATTCATATGTCTTATTCAATGTAATTAGGTTTTGAGCTAAGCAAAGAAACTATTCTATACATGGTGATCTATTTATTACGAACCTTCGATTTTCTTTGAAGATTTTAAGTGTATTTATAGTGAACTTAATTTCTGTTTTTTTTTTTCAAATATTGTTGTAGTAGAATCGTTTAAACTTTATTTAAACACTGTTTTAAAATTGTCACCCATGTTTCTTATATCTTAAATGTACACTATACATTTAGAATATTCATATAGTTACCTCTCTTTTAAACACAGATTTGAATAGAGAATATTTTCTAAAATTATTGATGCTCATAAGGTCGTAAAATTTGTATAGGATTTAATGTTTATTTTATTTTAAACTGCTATGATTTAGACCGCGAGAGTAAAAAGGAAAGGTTATCAATTGTTCATAAAAAATAGACATACAGTTTTTAACCATCCCTTCGGTTAAAATTTTAAACTGTTATACTTCATAAACGCTAAATCTAATATTAGTGCAAAGCAATATGCGCATCAAAATTGTTAGAAAAATAGTCTTTTTCGAATCTATGTTTAAAAGAGAGGGTTGGTATTTGAAAATTAAAATTGTATATCTACTTATTTAAGGTTTAAGGAGTAGAGATAAACCTTTTTAAAATAGTGTCAAAATAAAGCTTAAACAATTTCAACACAATAATTGAAATACAGAAATCAATTTCATTTAAAATCTTTAGAGAAAATCGAAGGTTCGTGATAAATGGATCAACCCGTAGATCACTAAGTGGATAGTTTTACTTAGGTGTGTCTTTTCTTTTACTTCTAGGAAAGTAAAACCCAATTTTGATTGTAGTGAAAATGAGCTAACAATTTCACATAAAGTGCAAATTTTCTACAAAAAAATGAAAAAAGGTGTTAAAACTAAAAAATAAAACAAAAACATGACATAGACATATAGTGAACCAAGTCTATATTGTTATTATTATTTATTTATTTTTAATTATTGATTTACCTTATTCGTTAGATACCTGGTACACGGATAATAAAGTATGAATTAATTATAAAAGTTAGTAAAATTTGAATGAGTTTTAATTAGAATTTTTTTATAGCAACTGTTTATTGTTGCTTACAGTAATTATAAGCGAACTAAATCATATATATACTTTTCCTCCTTTTTCATCTATTTATGGTGGGATTTTGTTTTAAACCGTCAATTACCAATGAATCCAAGTGTATTCCAAGTAACATTGATTTTGGTTTTCTCCTATCATATTGATGGTGTTTAATTTGTCAATGTAAACGAAAAAATTGTTTATAAAGAACTAAATATCCTATATAAAATGATTAGAATGTTATATTTTATTAAAAGTAAACGATTTTGAACCCAATTTTTTTTCAGCCTACACAACCTAAAAACGAATTTAAATCATCAAAAATGACATCATCGTTAAATAATAATCTTTCGGAACTTGATACGTTACTTCAAGATCTTAGCAATTCAAGATATGCGGATAAAAAATGTAAGTTTATGTATTCATGTATTTTATATCATCGCTTGTACAGCAATGTCACGTATTTTTAAATTAGATAAAATTATATAATTATCAATATTGATAAAACGATTGTTTTATTGTTTTCTAATATTCATGGTTCACTGTAAATCTTGAAAATAATAATACCACTTACACCAATACCTTCCATAAACATAAGGTAACTCAGTGAATAGCTCATACCAATGGTTGTTTTTTTTTCTTTTTAAATTCAGTATAAGTGCAAAATATATTAATTTAATATTATCTACTCATATTTAACTTAATGAGATTAAATCATACAAATAATGATTTTTTATCACTCTGTAATTGAGATATACTCTGTTGCAGTATAAGCGATAATATTATATAATATAGATCACAATAATACTTAATATTAATAACAAATTATTAATTTTAATTGAATATTTCAACATTATTGTTGTGGCTCTGAGAAGAATTTTTTCTTATATCTTACAGACTGTATAGTGGTCCGCGATTCACTTAGACGATTATAATTTTTCAGATCACAACATAAGTAAAAAAATAATAATAATAATACAAATAATAATTAGAGCTCGAACATTTATGACTGCATATTTTTTTCGCGCAATAAGAATTATACTTGATACTTGTGTATGATATCAATTCGATTCACGAAGCCTATAGATTACAATTAATATGCAAACTTATTTTGCATTTTTTTTTTTGCATATTTGACATTTTGAAGCCTATAAATGCATATTATATTGATTATTTCTAGATTATTTAGCATATATTTTACATATTACAAATATATTACTTATTCAAAATGATATACTACTATTAATTCTTTACCTCAAGACTAGACGAACGTAAGTCCAAAAATTATTATTTAGATTATTACACATTTTGCATGTAATATATGTTTTCCATTAAGCCATAATAATGGAAGTCTGTTAAAAATACTTCTTCTATAATTTTACCAGGGTTATATGAGCGTAAGTCCTGATATATGACAGGAAAAATACCTCTTTTTGTTAATTTTTTGCTAAAAAATAATGTGACTTACGTTCGTATAATTCTAAGGTACATAATTATCACATCACTGTTAATTGTATTTATGAGTAAAACATCATAAAATTAGGAGATTAAATATTTATAAACCAGTGGCGTGGTGGGTAGGCGGCGGGTAGGAATGTAGAATTGACTTACTGGTAATTGGTATTATTTGGCAACTTACCTTCTAAATAATTTTGTAGTAATTTGTAAATAAAAAGTATTAAAATAATGTTATAATTTAATTAATGAATAAAAAGTTATGTTTTTGTTTTATTTGTTCGGTTTGTCCCAACATATTTCTACAAATTTTGAATATACTAGTTGATCTGCCCGGTGTTGCCCGTGTCAGTATTAACGTTATACTAAATTATTATTTATTTTCACTATTGAACTAAAAAAATAGGTATAAAATGGTTAAGATAATTGATAACTGATAAAGAAAATCGAGTTCATAAATCTTTTAGTGATATTGCTAGAATTTTAATGGAAATACGAAAATTTGATAGCGAGTTACGATCACAATACGAAATTAACTGTTTGAGAATATGGCAACTTTGGTTAACATTAAATATTTAGTTGTAGTTGTTTGTTGTAGTTCGCATGTTCTTAATTAATCAATTTTTTTTTTCTCAAATTTATATTAATAAAACGCCGAAAAATTCGTTGAGCAGTTTTCTGAGAGTTTGGGAAACATATATTAAGTTCCGATGATAAAATATTATTTTACAAATTCTGTGAAGTTAGAGTATCTGCAACTAAACGAATTTTAGTAATACAACATACAAAAACAGTAAAGCATGAGCATGCAGTAAATCAAAGAAAAATACCAACAGTTTTGATAGCTATATTTTTTTTTATTAATAAAGTAATTTTAAATATACATTCAAAAGAATATATATATTTTTTAAATTAATATTAATCTTTTTTTTTTGCATATATTTGTTTAAAAAATAAGTATATTTAATATATTTTATGGCATATAGGTAGTTGTATATTATTTTGACATTTTTAAATGCATATTTTAATACAATTTTGGTCATTAATATTCAAGTTCTAATAATAATAATAATAATAATAAAAAAATAAGTAACATGGGAATAGTCATGGGTTAGTTATTTCATCAGCTTTCAATTTATTGATATTATACAAAATTAAAAAAAGCCAATACTGAGAATGGATATGCCACTGTTGTAATTGGGAAGGTAGGCCTCATAAAGTAATATGATTTATATCTGTATACAGCGATAAACCATTGCTAATGAAAACCAATTCTGAGCGAAGTTTGATCATACATGTTTTGAAATGCTGTAATTGTGTAGATTTTCGTTAAAATTTGATTCTTAAAACACTTATAAAATAACTGCATCACTACGCTCAATTTTTTTAAAACATTTTTGTGTAACGTAATTAATATACAAGTAAAGTAGAAACAAATTGTTGAATATTTTATTATTTTTATTGATATGGCTCAACTTGTTCATGAAAAGTAATTATACCTATATTCATGATTTTTTAAAAATATCTTTATTAACTTGTAGTTTGTTTTTTTCGCAGTTGTTAATGGAGATTCATATTCTATTCCAAAAAAAACAAGCAAAATTCCAACTCGTCCATCGGTGGATTCGCTTCTAGATGAGTTAGATTCGTCTATTTCTTCAAAAAGGTAAATTTTTTATAGAATTAGTTAAATGTTATTAATATATTAATTTTATATTAATTTTGAATTAGTTGATAAATGATTTATATTGATGTACTCGTGGGTTGCTTGTGAGTCGTGGAGAAATATAACGTTTCATTTTTGACGTGGTGTAATTATTTTGTATTTTATTGTGTAATAAAAAAAAGGCGAGTGTTTTTTCATCTAAAATCGTCGATACTTAATATTATAATATTTTATGAGTTGTTCTCTTGCATAGCATCATAATAAATAACACCGATCAATGTCTATAAAATTCTAGATATTTTTGAACATTTTAAACTGTCAATCAAATGGATGTGTTTTTGAACGGTTGAACATTTAAAAATAAATATTAAAATTTAATATTACACAAAGCAAATTAAAGAAAGAGCTGATACGGGGGACGGGTGTGGTCCCTGTTTAACAAAAAACGATTAGAAGCGAAGTTCGGTTATATAGGTTTTGAAAGGCTGTAATATTTATAATTTTTGTCAAATTTTGATGTAAAACTTATATAAAAAAAAAAAAAATACTACATTAAACTTAATTTTTTTATACTACAAATTACTATTTATAATGAACTTCCTATCAAATGTTCAAGCATTTGTGTTAAGTCAAACAATTTATCTGCAGATTACCCACCAAATAAAGATAACTTAAAAAACTCGTAAAAAATTAAAAATTTTTTCAGGAAAGTTTTACCAAGTCCAGAAAAAGTAAGTATAAGTTTTCTGTTAACATTTTAAGTCTTTAAACTAAATTATGTTAGTTAAGTGGTTGTAGTTGAATTTTGGAAATACGACTTCAAGGTGTATACACTATTACATAAATCCGTTCATTCACTTATGTACGCAAATTCTAAAACCTTTGCTTGCGATAAAATTAGTTATGAATCATACACAAATAAAAACTTTATTATTATTATTATTATTGATTCATTGTAAGTTGTGTGGGTCATACTCAGGGTCGTCTCCAGACACTCGCCCCCATCGCCCCCCCCCTCTCATAAGGACATCCCTGGTCATTCTACATATCAGTTTGATAATGTAACAATTATTCTTTGGCCAATCGCTGCATACAAGTACTGAAAGTGTGAATACGCTTGACCAAAAATTGTGTTATTTCTAAATTATATCACTATTTAATTGTTTATTATGTGTAAGCAAGCACTATAATATATTTTTTATTTTTAAACCATATTCCAATGATGATTTTCTCGGAGGAATTAAAAGTATTAAGATTTTTTTTTTTCAAATCAATAGTGCGTTTATACTTCATTTGTGGCTTGGTGCAAGATGGGCTATTTTACAGAAACAAAAAAAAAGTGAAAAAATATAAATTGAAAAAAATTAATTTATTTCCAAAAAATGCATAATAAAAAAAAAAAGGGTCCATAATTACTATGACACATTTTTTTTTTAAATTATTGACCGTTCTTTCATCAAGCGACAGATATACCTTTCAAATGATTTGAGATTACATCGTTTTAAAACGAAAACTTACCACGTAAACACTTTTAAAACGTTTTAAAAATATCAAATTGTTTTCAAACTTAAATCGCTCGCGCTATATAGTTTAAGAAATTAAAACTGTTTATCAAATTAACTTAAAAACGTGACAGCTAATTAAAACTTATCATTATTAGTTTTTGTTTGTTCGTTGCGAGATTAATTATTATTAGGTATTCGCTGTTTTAGTAAACCATGTCTCTGTGTATTATTTTATGTTCCATTAAATGTTTACTTTAAAATAAAATAATAAAATGTACTTTTAACTCCCGCTCCTAAATACGATAAGTTTGTTTCCACAATTTGGATTTTAAAACAGCATCCCCTCTTCAAATTTCGAATTTTTAGAAAACATATTATTTTCTATTTGAATTTATGTTTAAAAGAAGATTGCTGCTTGATATTTTTTATTGTGAACGTATTGAACGTTATTCAGTTAAGCGAATTTCCCGACATTTTTCTAAGTACGTCATGCGTTATTTAGGCGAGAAATTATTTTGTTTGTGTTTAAAATTGCGCATTTGTGTGAATATAATATACAATTCAACATGAATGTTGTAAGTTTCCGGGGAAGCAACATTTATATACAAAAACGTATTATTATTACTGAACATATTACAATAATTAAACCGGGATTCTACGTTACCGTAAATATTAACCAATTTAAATTACTTATTGTTTTTTTTTTCAGTTATTTTAAAAACTACTTTGAAAATCAAAAAACGACTTACTCTGACATTGGTGAAATATCAATAGGAATAAATTCGATATCTTGTAATTTTTTGATTTGAGTAATATTTCTGGTAGAAAACGTGTTAACATAATAAAAACAATGAAAACAGTAATGCTGCGGCGCGCCATAAATATTTGTCGTTTTACCTATAATTTCTTTTCGGGTTTTCCCAATATTTTAAAATCCCATGGAAAATCAAAAAATGATCTCCTCAATGTGCCAACTAGAGAAAATTACTATTCAAAAAAGTTGCTATAGTCTATATACTTCAATGCAAGTTTTCTGGTAGAGAAATTATTCACAGATAGAAAAGAAAAACTCATAGTAAAACTAATACATTCCTTGCTCCACTCAAAATCTAAAATGGATATGAAATATAAAAATAATAGTTGAGTTTTATATAATTGTTTCTCTAACGTTTTCAAATTTAATTTGTTTAGTAATAAAGGACAATTGGTTTCAAAAATGATGATGCAAGAAACTACCTCAACGACTACCCGTACCGTCTGCCCTACTGCTTCGTCGGCTACTCGAGAACTAGACGATTTAATGGCTTCGCTATCCGATTTCAAGGTGAGAATTTACGTAGAAAATTATCTTTGTATTTTTATGGCTTGTATTTTGGCATCCGATTTTATTTGAACGAAATAATGTGTTTTTGTGTTTACGTTATCGTACAAGTTAAGAACAACTGCGCGTAGTTGTGTTTATTATTATTATATCGGTAGGTATTTTGGCACCATAATCTTATTTTGACAGATAATTTCGATTATATTTTGTTATAGAAATTAAAAATTCTAAAATCTAGGCGAAAAAGTGATAAAATAATACACATGTGGGATAGGTTAATTTCTGAACATTTTTATCACTATGTAATTATGGTGTACCCGGTTTACTTTTATTGTCATTAGGATTATCCTTCAAATCATTGTAATATTTAACGGTTTTAATAGACACTTCATTTTATTAATATATATTATCATGCGGTTAGGTATACTAACCTGACCTTCAGTATATTATAAAGTAGTTCTGATGAGTCATTTAAATACGAAAATGTTCATATTGTTTTTGCTAATATATTAATTAGGTACCGACATTTTTTCGATTGTTTTTTGACTAAAAAGTAAAATAAATTTTAACTGATATTAAAAGTAATCACGGAGCAAAACGGAAAAAGAATAATATCGATGTTTAAGGATGTCATTGACGTAGGTAATTTTTCAATTTTCCAAATAAAATAAAAAACTTACCTTCTTAATATTTTCAATAATGACCATTACGTAAATGTGTAGTGTGTCGGTACTGTGTGCAAAACATGCCTGATGATTTATTTTTGGGTAAATTTTATTGTAGGTAAATGATATAAATCAGACGTTATACTAAGGGAATTTAGGTTAATTCACGTATTTTATTATCGTGTCGTGTGCAGAAATGGAAACAACCTGAAGACAAGTGATACGCGTGAGCAATTTAATGTTGTGCCAAAATAACTTTAAAATTATCTAGAGATAACGGACAATGCGATGATAATTTATCAGGATAAGAAGATAGATAAAACTATGTAAATTTCATCTAGTTAACATCTAGTTAAAAAACTAGATAACGATAAACTTATTTGTATATAGACAAAAACAGATAATGTTTTAGTTTTTAGGTTTTAAAGACTCACTAAATTATATCATGTGAAATAGTAAAATATAAATTTTTCTTTATATGTCACTTATTTGATAATGAATTATGATTTATGTTTCATAAAGTCATTAAAATTTAATTATTTATTGATCATTAAATATGAATAATAAATATTACACTACACGAATATCAATATCAATATTACCATTTACTACTCACTATAGTAAGATACCTTATATTTTAAGTTAAAGACCTTAATTAAAACAAACTAATATGTAGGTAACAAAAAGTTGTGCCTTCTGAACCCTAATTTACTATTTCGTACAGCATACATGGATATTACATCTTATTAAGAGTTGATGTTTCAAATTAATATATTATAAATTATAATAACCAAATTAAAATATTTAAATAAAAAATGGAAAATAAGTAATTTGTAACATAATAAACAATTATATTGGTTTTATTGGTTATGATTATAAAAATCAGAAGTCAAATTATCTAGATAAGTGGATTATTAGACTCTCGGGCTATATTCATAAATTAAAAAGGGTTCGCGGGCCAAATAATAATAAACGTTTAATATTTTAGTATTATTTATTATGAAAATAATAAAAAAATACTGTTTAAAACATTAAATTAATAAAATGCATAAAATACAAATTGTAGGTTTTAATAAAATAAACAAAATCAAAACATACAAGTAGGTATTGAAGTTACAACTGTTTGTTAAAATGCTTAATGTAATTTTATTGTTGGATAGTGTTCACAATTTTTTCAATTTCCATATTAAAAATATTTGTGTTTGCTCTGAGTATTGGTGGAGATGGTTAGCTGTTAAGCGGAATCTGTAGAAGTTTTTAATTTTTTTTTATATGAGAAAGCCTGTTTACGCAATTATGTTGATCCAAACGTTAAATTATGTTGTTTTAAAATTTAAAAGCAGGCCGTGTAAAAAAACCGCGTGGACCTGCTGCGGGTCGTCGGTTACCGACCACTGAAATAGATATGTTTTCCTACGTTTTTCTTACTTAAGTGCTTTTATTTGAAAAATAACGCCGAAAATTAAAAAATGACCTTCTGGAATGTAAGGTTATATATGTATGAGACAAGGTAACTGAGATTATCTCGGTGTGTCCCACCGTGTTCGACGGATTTTTCTTGTGCTGTTAATATTCCTTTTTAAATTCCGAGCGTAACGAAGGAACTATTGGTTTTACTAAGATGTTTATTTTTTTTCTTTCTTTCTTTCTTCTAGTCTATGGACACGTTTTTTCCTAGTAAATTTGCTCCAATTTTTACGTGTAGCAACTTTTCTAAAGGCTTAAGTTGTCTAGATTGTATTTTAAACAGATCATTTTTTTTGATTTTCGAAGCCATTTTTTAAATAAAAGCGCTTAAGTGGAAAAAACTTAGGAAAACATACAATTTCACCATTTCATTATTTTATAAAAACACTACTTGAAAAAAATGATTTAATTAAAAAATCACAAGATACCTTTCTTGTAGCCTTTTGATTTACTTTCTTACGGTGTCATTGCCAAAATTTTTGAGTTACTTTTTTGAGTTAAATTTTTTTGTTGTAATTCGGTTATAAATACACGTAGAGACTTAAAGCTTGTTAATAATACTTATATTGGACTTACCTAGATGTGGTAAAATTTTCAAAATCATCGGAAGAATTTTTTTTTTTAATAAGCGTTTTGAAATCAAATTTAAATGAAAGTCGCAAAAACAATGACGGTACTTCAAATTATGAGTTACCGAACTACTCTCGGAATCATCTCTCATCAAGCAATGGTTTATAGTTGCTTACAGATATAATGAAATAACTCTATGTATCCTACCTTTACAACTTCTCACCTTCAACAGTGGCCGCTCTCATCCCTAGTATCAGCTCTTTTTTTTCTTTTATCTGTAAACAAATTGTCTACCAGTAATTTTCCTCAGATTTATAATGGAAGCATTTTTTACAAAAAAAAATCTGGCCGGGAGGTACTTTAGGGAAGTCATTTTTTGATTTTCCTAAGAGTTTTCTTAATAAATGGGAAAAAACTTGGAAAACGTTGGGAAAACGGGAAAATAGGTGCAATATTAAATAAATATTATAAAAGAAAATGTTCAACGCTTATTTAATTATTTAGTTAATATATTGTATATTATTTATTATTCTTATACATTTTTGAATACATATTTGGCTGATATTTCCCCCTTAAAAATACGATAAATCTGTTCATTTTTGTAGATAGATAACAACGTTTTAAATAATTCCAGTCATATTTAATGTAGGGTTTTATTATTTGGCATACATTTGAGTTACTTAAAACTTTATGGGATGAGCAAAATTAAGTTGTATAATTTATTTTTCAGGGATTTTGCCAAAATTTCCGTTTACGTAATTACTTTACCTTGAATAATTTTTTCATCTTCAAACTCTTATTTAATAAAAAATAAATGTATTTATACATAAAATATAATATGCAAGTCCGTAAAATTAGGTCATGCATATTACATTCTAGAGCAGATACTAAATTAGTTTTGCGCAGTATCACTAAATAATATGGATTCAAAATGACTAGTTCAAAATGTCTTTGTCCGTGCAATTACTAATTGGATTAAATATTTTTAAAAATTAATATTTTAGTAATTAAACCATTGTGATTCATTAAAACTTAATTTGTGAAAGTATTTGAATTTTGTTATATATATAAATATAATACCCTTATTTTCAACAATGGATCCCTTTTTTTGCAATAATAGATCTTATTAAAATGATGCTACAAAAGTTTATCATTGGGTATTTCAAGTCATTCATTTTATTTTATCATACAATTCAAAATGATAATTTAATAAGAATTATATATAAAATTGTGATCGATTATTCTACGTAATTCAGCGTACATTTTTGAAGGACATTCGCACATTTTTAATTGAGTAAAAATTAAGGAAGCTATTAATGATTTTTTTTATACGATGTATTTTCTTCTCGAAAACTTATTTTGGGAAAAAAAAATTATGATAAAAATTGATTCACAAAATAAAGTAATACGTAATTTTAAATGAATATTAAAAAAAATGAATTGTAATAATTTCTTACAAAGGAGTAGCTGATGGTCACGGAAATACAGTTATTGATGAAGTATAAATACGGCAATTCATTGATCGTAATGATCGAAGTACTAAAATACAACACAATGTGAAAACGTAATAGTTTATTATTTGTTGTTATTTATATTTATGGAGCTAAAAGTGACTGGTTTTTTTTATTTTATACAATATATACAATAGAAACCGTTAATGACACTCAAGGGAATATTTAGTTAAAATTAGTCATGATAACCTAAATGATAAAATAAAATGTAAATCTTTATTATGTATATGTTTATATGAACTTAATATTGTATTACAATCAATGTGTCAAATTTTTATCACTAAATCGAGACTTTAGTACTTACAGAAAAAAAAAAATTAAAAAAAAAAGTTGTACAATACATTTAGTATTATCGGTTGTTATATTTCCTTCGATAAAAGTTTAATACAGCCATTATAGATAACAGATTTTTCCAATATAACCAAAAATACTCACAATAACATCCGTGTATTATAAACAGACGTCATAGTAATCGTTACTAATTAGTACATAGTAGTACACATTTTGAAAAGGGGTCATGGGGAGTAGTAGTATAGACCCGTTTTTTTTAACAAGTGGGGGGATAGTTAAAAGAAATAAAAATCAATATCAAAACATTTTACTTTCAAAAATTGTTTTATGTATCTAATATTTTGTTTGATTTTAATTATTTTATATACAAAAAATTATATATTTATATTGTTTATTATGATTTAAGCTCTATAGTAATTTTTTCGGCTTTTTTGTGGGTGTATGTGAGTGGATGACCTCGCTCCCTAACACCATTTGTTGCCTCTGATTTTTAAAGGGAAATCATTACGTGCAACATACTATACAGATTAAATTCACTGAGAAAACTAAAATCGATATCATCTAGATCTTTTTTACCAATTCAAATTTCAAATCTGGATCCTTAATTTTCTTCTGCTTTAGGTGTTAAAATAAGGTATTTTTCACTAAAATTCCATATTATAGTTTATTAGTCCATACTGTTAAAATTAACAATTATATTTTATTTATATTGATTAAGTAGCCAAAAAAAGATAAATAAACATTATTGTTTACTGTATACAGGAAAATATTTATTAAATATATGTATATTATTAATATTTATTAATAGAAGCTGGAATAAATGGCATAATATAGATCATATGATCAAAACAAACACAATTATAACTAAAACTACTTATTTATATAACTTCTAGAAGTGTACTATTAATATGATTAACTGTGTTTATTACAGTCCATATTTCAAACTGTACTATACGAAGTACGATAAAAAATATTTCAACAAATATTATCGATCTTTTATGGTGCGGTAATGGTTGGTAAATGACAACAGAGCTGATTCTAAAGCGTGCGTACGTCGTCACGTCGGGCGGGATTCACGCCAACCATGATGCGTTAGTTACTATACTAACTAGTTAGTCAACTACACTACTCAAAACCTTTTTTATTTTCTTCGGTAGAAAGGGAACTTTAGTGCCTTGTGCAGACCAGAAGGCTACTTTCAGTTGTTTTACCCATTATTGGTAGTTTCCAGAAATAACTTTTTAACGAGACTTTTCATTTTGTCCCTTCTCACATGCGGGCGGAGTTTGGCAGCTATTTGCAAAACAACTAAGTTTTATATACCGATGGTTCTTTCATAGACGCCTCACAATCTAAACAATTCTGTCAGTAGCTATCATAATACAATACATAATATAAACGCTGTAAATTACACTTTACTATTTTATTATTGAAAAAATAAAATTATTGTTGCAATATCATAATTTAAGTGTGCCTGTAATACTCTTTATTATACAAACTATATAATAATTATAATATTTACATAAAATCCGTTTCGTTGACAGGTATCTAGTCCAGTACAAGCAAGTTACGCTACCGAATCGGTAGATTCTGAAGCACCGCTGGATTGTATGCTCGGGAGTCTGACTGCTGAGATGAATAGACAAGGAGTGAATACAACTCAGAAGGGCTGTTGCACTGCGTGTGACAAGGCCATCGTAGGACAAGTGATAACGGCCTTGGGGAAGACTTGGCACCCGGAACACTTCACTTGTGAACACTGTTCTCAGGAACTAGGGACCCGGAACTTTTTCGAACGCGAAGGACGGCCGTATTGTGAACCAGACTACCACAACCTGTTTTCGCCTAGGTGTGCTTACTGCAACGGACCCATATTAGACGTAAGAGATTTTTACTGATGTGACTTGGGCGTATTTTGTTGTGTCTAGTGATGAGCTGTTTTACTATTTCGTTTCAGAAATGCGTGACGGCACTGGAGAAGACGTGGCACACAGAACATTTTTTCTGCGCCCAATGTGGCAAACAGTTTGGCGAGGAAGGGTTCCACGAAAGAGATGGTCGCCCCTATTGCAGAGACGATTACTTTGATATGTTCGCTCCCAAGTGCGGCGGATGCAGCAGGCCCATAATGGAAAATTATGTGTCAGCCCTATCTGCTCAATGGCATTCCAGTTGCTTCGTGTGCAGGGTAAGCCACTTTTTTCATTTTAAATACTGTAGGGGATTTCTTTTTTTTTTTACAAATGTTTTTAATATTTTGAACAGTAAAGTTTTATTGTTGTAGTTTTGTACCGCGAGTATATTTTTAGAAAAACTTTTGTAGGTTGTAAAGATTTACAGATGTGTATTATTTTCACATAAAATGTGTTTGGCATTGGCCCAGTAATGACCAAAATTCATTGCAGCTATTAATAAAATCTATATGTGTGTAGATAAATTAAAACTAACTTGCTATTATATTGATATCATTAACTTTTAATTATAATGAAATATCAATTGTTTATTATTATCGAAAATACATTTTATTGTATTTATTTTATGTGTTACAAATTAATAATATAATAGACTTAATGGCATATTAACTTACAAAAACCAAGTTTTGTTACATTTAATAATGGTTTTATTTTATAATATTGATTCAATATTTAATTTTTTGTTATCTTTGTTACTGTCCAATTATTGAAAACAGCCCTATTAAAGAAAGCTGCAAAATTGTATGAATTTTAGGATTGCAAGGAGCCGGTTACCGGCAAGTCATTTTATGCCATCGAAGGGAAACCAGCATGTGCAAAATGTGTCGGTGTTGATGAGGAGGATTGAATACTATTTGTTTCTACAACATTATAAATGTAGAACTTTTATTATAATACTTTCATCACACACTATTGTACAATCAGAATATAACTTATACTTTGTTGCATGTTAAATAAACAATATATGTATATATATTATGTATACATATATATATATATATATATACATATATATATATATATATATTATATTAAATTATATTATATTATTATGAAACTGTATTGATTTTTATTGCTTCATATTTGGAACAACTTTTCATATTGACAGTCCTTGAGTTACTATAATATTCTTATTCTCCAGAGGATATATTAATATATGATTTGATTTTAATATATTATTGAATACATATTCAAAATATAGGGTGATTATTTTACCATACTCTAGAAATATACTTGGTAAATTTTGGTTTCTCTCAATCATAATGGAATTGTTTAAGTTTCATTTGTATACATTTTTAAATTGTTACCCTTATCTACTCCTTGAACCTGAATTAAGTTTAAAATTTTGATTTTCAAACAACAATGTTTACCCCCCTAAACATTTTGATATTCGTAACACTAATATTTGATTTATCGATTATGAGTTATACGGATTTAGAATTTAAACTTGGCGAGTAGGGAAGTCCCAATAAATTGATCATAATACTGGTAATGGATTATCATAAAAAAATCACCCTGTATGTACTAAAAATAAAATAAAAATAAAAATGTAATTACTGTCAATTTGTTGTTGATTAGTCTTGATTTGATACATAATACAACCCTGTAACTGATCCATATGTTTACCTGTATTCTTATTGGCGTCTGTATTTGCAGGACTGCCGTATGCCATTTGTAAGTGGCCAATTCTTTGACCATGAAGGTCAACCTTATTGTGAAACACATTACCACGCTAAACGTGGGTCTTTGTGTGCTGGATGCCATAAGCCAATTGCTGGCCGCTGTATAACTGCTATGTTCAAGAAATTCCATCCGGAGCATTTTGTGTGCGCTTTTTGCTTAAAACAGCTCAACAAGGGAACTTTCAAAGAACAAAATGATAAACCGTATTGTCATTCGTGTTTTGAAAAGTTATTTGGATAAAGAAGCAACTGATGATGATAATATTCGTTGCGATGATATTTTTATATATATATATATATGTAATCAATACAATTTATTCAAAACAATACATTTGTATACTGATAAATTAACAAAACTATAGTTCTATACTCTGTCCCACGAGAGAGCATGCCACACGATAATGAAAATTGGTCGGCTCTGCGCATATCTACCGTTGTCGGTTATGAAATTTGAATGCATGGGGGGGAATACAATGACAGAGTCGGTTGACGAACGATTCGCAGATCCGGCATGCTCTCTTGTGGGATAGGATATAAATAATTATGTTATCAGAAAAATATTTTATTTTATATATTTTATAATTTACCTATTTAAATTGCTTCTTATTGTAAACTATTATTGTTTTTAAATTTTTTATTTTATATATCTGTATCAAACATATTTTTTAGCCATTTTTTTCCATAAAGTTGTATCGTATTATTATTAAGTTTATAACTAGAACAAGTGTATGTTTTATTCTCCCCCGACTAATTATTTTATGTATGGTAAATCTTTTTATTTCATTCCAATTCATCCAAAACCAAATATATATTATATATTTTATATCTCTATTTCAATATCATAAATTAGTGGCATTCCATATTGTATATGAATGTTATAAGTTTTATACAGAAATGTATATTTTAAAGTGTACCATAATAATATGTTAAATAATTTGAATTTTTTCTAGGAATATACTTTAATAGTAATTGTTTTATTAAAAAAAAAAATTGTAATTAGTTATATAAATTGTTTATACATTTTATTACTTACTCAATTATTTATATGGTATCTATTGATTTATTTTTTGAAAATTTGAAAATAATTTTATCTTTAAATAGGATCATTTATTAATTGAACACTCAGTCCCCTTAATTTTTGTGTTGTATTTACATTATAATTACATTGATAGATTCATAATCCTTATTTATATAATTAAAGTTAAAAAATAAACACCGATATAAATTTTGTGAATTTTTAAGTTGTTATCAGTTTTATAATATAAATTCAATAAAATTGTCTAATAATAGCATTTAAAAAAATGTATACTTTGTACAAATTTAAAAAGCAGTGTTTTAATTACCTCTAGATTAAATACAATAAATAGTATGATAGTGTTAATGTTTTATCAATATATAATATATAATATACATTACACTAAAAATAATATAGTTCAAGGATTATCAAATTTGTATCACCCGTTATTTTAGAATTTAATTTCTAATTAATTAGTATAATAGAAACAATTATACAATTCTTTTTGTATTTTGTTGAATGGTATTTCATGTATTGTTAATCCAATATTTATATAATGATTGTAATAATTAAAATAAATTAAAAACTAATCATAGTGATTAAATAACTTAATTTTTTATTTATATTATTCATACATTTTAAAAATGTACTGTAGGTAGTGTTGCTTTGTCAACAATATTAATTGGTTCATTATTTAGGCAATTGGAATGTGGCATAATGGAATTTCAATAGTTCTAATATTATTTTGGATGTACCTATTTAGTGCATTGGGAAGGTTATTTTTTTGATAAGCAATTAAATTACCTAACGAAAATTGATAGTATTTAAAAAACATGTATAACCGAACTAAGCTCAGAATCCTTTTTCGTTGGCAGTAGTTTATCTTTGAATATCTAATATTTATGATTTAAATCATTTTATTAATCTTGTTTTCCCATACCTAAAATAATATAAACAATTTGAACCAATTATCTTTAATCACTCGGGTTAATGATGTACTTTAGGGAGTCATTTTTCGATTTTCTCAAGAGTTTTCTTATCAAAATTTGAAAAACCGAAAAAAACGGGAAAATATAAAACATGTAGGTTTTAGTTAAAATATATTACGGCCTTCTGTTTTTCTGTGAACAACTTTTCTACCAGTAATTTTGCTTCAACTTTTAATGATAGCAATTTTTCTAAAAGGAAATTTCACTGGGGAGGTACTTTAAAGAGGTTATTTTTTGATTGTCTCAGGAGTTTTCCCAGCAAATGTAAAAAACAGGCATAAAACATAGGAAAATTGAGAAAATCGGTACAACATTAATCAAAGTTTATTAAAAAAAATATATAAAGCCTATTTAATTATAAAATTACATATATATTGTTGAAAAAGCATCACTATCAACTGAACTCCGCTCAGAATCGTTTTATCTTAGGCAATTGTTTATCGTTACTTACAGGTATACATTAAATTACCTATAACAGTGGCTGCATCAGTCCCCATTATCCTAGGACGTCTTTTTTTTTTAAGACATCGTACAATAAAACCATCCTTGAGACCAATGTTGAGATTATCTAGATAGAATTATTTAAAAAGTAATCTAGATTAGGACATATTCGCTTTTATATTTTATCTAGATAAAAGAAATTATATTGTCTATATCTCTATCTATCTTACTAATTCTTTTATTTATTTATTCTTCTATAATATAGCAAGTACATTAGAGTGGTTTTTATTTTTGAACTTTGAAAATTGCAATGGGATACCCCACCATTTTGTTCTTTAGTAAAAAAAAAAAATTAGGTAGAATTTGGTTTTGATAATCTACTCCATAACGTGCCGCAAGGAGGTTGAAAAATGACCAAATTTTGTAGTTATATGGTTTTTTAAGTAAAAAAATATTAATTTATCGTATAACTGTTCATTAACTTTTTGATAGATATTTTAACTGCCTATAAACAATCTTTTACACATTTTTCGATAAAATCATTAATATCCAAGAAAAAAAAATAAAACATGATTTATTTTGTTTATTCGGAAAACTGGTTTTTTTACGGTTATTTAAATATACTTGATAAACGTTTGGGAATCGGGTAGAATATTGTAAATACATTTTATACACAATTTAATTGCCTACAAAATAAGTTGTGAGAAAAAATTGCATACGATCAACCATTTTGTACTTATTGTAAAAAAAAAAATATAGAAATCACTCCGAGAACAGAATTAAAACGTAACATTATGTTGTATAAATAAGTTATGAAATACAGATAGCCTGACAAATTCCGTATTCTATTTTCAAATAAACAATTTTTATCAATTTTATTTTATAACTCGCGCGATGTTAAACTAAGTTTACGTGATAGTACTCGTTTAGTCTTAATGAAATATTAATATTTTGGCAAAAAGCACGTATTCCAACGAGAGAAGTTCGGAATTGTGTTCCGAAATTAGAATAGCTGTATGAAGAGTGGAGAAAGTTTCAAAAAAATACATTCAGAAGAATTGAAGTTCAAATATAAAAAGAAAATGAATTTGTCAATAGGTTTGATGACCTTTTTGATGTTGCTCAGTCAGATGCCTTAAATATGATGAAAATAGACCTAGACAATCAGTTTTTAATTCATCAAAGACAAAAAGGTCGGCCAAGATCTTTAATTGTGGTCGATTTAACCACACATAAAAAAGAAATTAAGTATAACAAACAAATTAAAGTATCTCAGAAAAAGAAAAAACGTAATCAATATGAACTTCAAGCACAATGAAATTTCAAGAAAACGATATCTAATTTCATTGGCATATGTTTATTCTATGTAACATAAATATATTTATGATTTTATAAACATACATTTAAATAAATTATTCCAGAGATTTAATATAACAACCCATTTTTTATATCAAGATCCTAAAGTATGGAATACAAATTTAAATTACCTAAAGGGATTAGAAATATTTAGCAATTTGAAAGTGGTTAATGGTTCTGCTGAACGTGGCGTTAAATTGATAAATGACTTCAACAATGTGATAATGAAGGATGAGGATCAGAAACAATTTTTAATACAAACACATACATGATTATCGTCGACAGTTTCCTGATGCTAAACGAAAAACGCTAGGAAATGAATATTAACTTGATCAATGTTTTGATTTATATTTTCAAATTAATTTTTGTAATAATGTATATTAAATTTAATTTCAGCCCATAATATTTTACGTGATGTGTTATATATTGTATAACATATTGTATAAATTATATAATACAATACAATAAATATTAGCTTCATGCATATATATTTTAAGTTATATAGTTAAGATTTATTATATTCTGTTTTCAGGATAATTTTTTTTTTTTTTTTATAATAAATATAAAATGGTTGATCGTATGCAATTTTTTCTCACAGCTTATTTTGTAGGCAATTAAATTTTGTCTAAAATGTATTAACAACGTTCTACATGATTTCCAGTCGTTTATCAAATATACTTAAATAACTGTAAAAAAAACAATTTTTTCGAATAAACGAAATAATATTATGTGTCCTACTTTTTTTTGATATTGCCATAATTTATTAAATTTATTTGCGTTATTTACTTATCAAATAAATGAGCATAGAATAGTTCTTATTTGGTTTATGAAACTATGGCAGATTTAAATTTTTAAACTATTAACTAACCTATATTTTGTTTTATTGTATATGTACATAGAATATATTTAAAAGACTACCAAAGTAGTTATAACACATTTTTTTTTGTTAACAATCATATTCATAATATTATTTCCACACTTTGAAATTTTCAAAAATACACATATTTCAGTTTTGTTTTTTTCATATATATTATAATTATGTAAATTAATTTAATCACACAGTTATTTCGAGAAATATTAGGTAGGTACTTTTTTTTATATTTATTTTCTTTTTTCCTTTCAATCTCGTATACAAACAATCATTTTCTTTTAAATAATCATAACTTTTTTTTTCAATAATAAGTTCTGAAAGTTTTTTTTACATTTCGTAAACTGTTATCTGATATATGCGTTATATTTGTTGACTATGGGTTTCAGGCGCGCGTCCGGAAGTCGGCGATAGGAACACGGCAGAGTATCACGAGTCGGGTAGTAGAGCGTACCCATGAATAATAGGATCCCAGGGAGGAGCGGCCATTCACAAATTATTTAAATAGTGTCTTGTTTTGTGTTAACACCACAAAGGTTACTTTGGTCCGGTACATAAATATCACACACCGAGGTCGAGGCCCTGAGACCTCGTAAATATAAACATAGAGCGTGGGAATGTTACAAAATTATTAAGGATATTCCTGTATCTATATCAAGTTTGGTTTTTTAAATAATGATCTACAATATTGATCCTTATTTAACCTTATGTACATTCTACATGATTTAATGCAAATTGTCAATTAGATCATTTTTCTGAAAATGTTGACGTATTGTAATCGAAATTTGAATGAAAAGTTTCTGAGTTATTATACTTTTAATACTTAAGGATAAAAACTGGAAAATATCATCGTTTACGCGCACTTAAAAATTCTAAAAAATTAAAATTTGAATTTATACGTAATTTAACCATAAAAATGGGTTGAGCATACTTAAAAAATCATTTTGTTTATTATATTATATCTGTATAGTTATAACAACAATTATGTAAATAATACTAGTTCTTAAAAAATTATCCTTTATTAGTGCATAAAATAATACAGTACGAGTTAGGTTATAAGGTGTAACAAGATTAAATGAGTATCCGAATTTCATAAAATTCACTTAAAAACCAGTGACAATAATAATTAATTTTTTTATTGTGCCAACTGTAGTTTTATTATTATAATAACTAGGTAATATACATTATTATTATCGACATCATTTGATACGTATCTGTATAGGTACAAAATATATGTATAAATAATTACACCTACTATTTAATAACTAATTTTCTGCGGGTTTTGAGGGATTGCTAATTTATACAATTAAAATTATTATTATTTGCATAGGATTTAAGTATTAAATTCGGTGTTCAACGTGGCTATAATATTGATGTTAATCAATTTTGTTAATAAAGAAATGGAAAACAAATATGAAATTGGTAATGAGATCGTTATTCATATTTCCATGAAGGCATATTCGTCCGTAAAAATGGCTCTATTTATTTCCTTTAAATGGATATCGAGAGGTTAGAGGATAATTATTTAAGACACATGATTTAATAATAATAAGGTAAATAAACTATCGTGGCTGCGTCACGAAAAAAGGGTGGGTTGATGGGCGGGTGTTAAATGTTGATGTTTATGGTTGAGTAGATACAAGATACTTAAGGTACAATGTGTAGTATATAATGGAAGACACTATATTATTTAGATTAAAATTTAAAATTCAAAAAAGTTTACATTCCGATCTTTGATTTGATAAGCGTTTTTTTTTTTTAATATTTTGTGTTTATATATAAAGGATTTTCAATCCTTTAGATTATAAATTTTACTGCATCATTGAAATACTAAGTTCACGCCGCCACTGAACGTAACTTTTAATTTGTTGGCACTTCACCCTGTAATTTTTTTATTAAAAAAACATTATTTATTCAATTGTATTGAATTTGACAAATTTGTTTGTTTCAATGTAGGTACATAATATTTATTGTTTACTGCAAATGGTTGAATGTATATAAGTCAGACAATTCGAGATAGAATAAATTCTTATTTAGTCGCTAACAATAAAATATACAAAATTTGAATTTTTATTAATTATAAATAACGAAAATGATAGTTCTTAAAAACAATTTAATCTTTATAATTACCTTTATGTTTATAGCTATTTTTGATGCAGGCGAATCGGAGCTTTTTACTAGTAAGTGTATGTTATACGGCTAATATTTTAACAGGTAATATAATTTAGTAAGTGCTTTAGTTTATATTTTTATTTAAATAAGAAATATTGTTGACAGTATTTTTGGTTTTGTAATAAATACAATTTTCAAAAAATAAAATAAAAATATTTTTTATAGATTTGTCTGTTTTAGATAGGTACCGTAAAATGGGACCAATTTGATAATACGGAGTAACTTTGATAGTCCACGTTTTTTTTTAGATAATATATACATAGGTGGGACATCCCTATATTTATTATACACGGTATACTGTGGGCATAGATCACAAATAGATCACATGGATTCAGTAAAGTTCGGTTATACATGTTTTGAAAGGTCGTAATATTTAAAATTTTCGTCGACATTTGATTTTAAAACTTATGAAAAACTTTTACTTTAATAAGTTTTAAAATCAAATTTCAACGAAAATTTTAAATATTACGACCTTTCAAAATATATATAACCGAACTTCGCTCCGAGTCGTTTTTCGTTATCAATGGTTTATCTTTGGTTACAACTTTCAAGTACCTATACCTTAAATAACTTTATCTATCCTACCTTTCCCATAGGTACTACTCACATTCAACAGTGGCCGCACCTGTCCTCATTATCAGCTCCTTTTTTTTTATTATTATTATTTTATCATAGTGGTTCGCACTCCAAAGAGGAAGCTAAGCAGTAGGCTATATAAAAACTATTCTAATGAAATATTAAATGAAGCATTAACAAAAATAGCAAATGGTAATATTTCCATACTTGCTACAAGTAAAATGTATACCATTTCATATGGAACTTTGCATAAGTATAACGGGAAACATATTAACCAACCCAGAAAAACGCCAAGTCTGAATAGTTATCAAATATAAGTTTTCTTTTATTTTGTATTATTATTATAATTTCATAACTGTTATGGTTGATAATATTATTTTAAAAAGATATTATTTATTTATTAACAAACTATTATTTGTATTAGATACCTAATTGGTTGTTTATTTATAAAAGTATAATAAAAACAGTAATCAGCTAGTGGATATCGAGGATTTTTAATTAAGAGACTCCTCTCCAGTTAAACTCTCCAGTTTAACATAGTTTTGCTTGAGTCATGGACGTAGGTAAATTAACAAAGTCTATTGGAGGGATATAATCCTAATAGAAACTCTCTAACCCCTTTGGATAAATGACAACTATATTACTTTTTATTGACTAGGTATGTTTAAGTAACCTACATCATCAAAGTAAATTATGAATAACTCAAAAAAGTCGGAACATTTCTTTTTGGAAACATTAAACTATCATACCATTTGATATGATAATTTATAAAATTAGTAGGCATCAAAGTTATCCCAAAATATATGGAATATTGGTAGGTATTTCAATACTTAAAATGTATGTGATAAAATTATAGAACATTTTTTTTCTTAGAATATTTAAGAAGAACTTGAGCTGAATTGATTATGACAGCATATTATGTTAATGCCTTTTAACAATAGTTACACACAAAAAAAAAAACAAAGAAAAACAATTAAGCCATCCTATTTTATGGTAATATTTTTGGCGATCAATTATACGCATACAATTACAGACATTAATTAAAAAGTACAAATTTTTCTTTGGATTAGACATACTTTAATGTTAATTTATTATTTTTGATTTTGTTTACACAATAAGGATAGTTTTTAAAAATAAATGAAATAATAAATAATTTGCATTGTTATATCTATTTTCGATAAAGGGAAAAAAAGTAAAAGTAAGTTATATGAATAGCATTATTAAAACTTAAGTCATAAATAAATCTTTCTTCAATTCAAAATATTATAATCGGTATTTATGGTTTTATATTTACAAAATAACGAGAATTTTTTAGAATACTCATTTATGTGTGAGTAGGTATTATAATACTTGTATTTATAATATCAATACACTTAAGTGCTTAACTGGTAAATAGCAACAGATGATCAAGAATAATAATTAAACCAGTAACTATATTATATATTATTATAATTTATAACCAGATATCAAACGATATTATAATTCACTTATTTTAAAGATTTAAGAACTGTTATTTAAGAGATCTTTTCAATTGGTAGCTCTACGTAATTGCTTTTATAGTAGCTATTTTGTACATATCTAAAATGTATCCCATTTTTTTGAATATTATAACAAATTATAAAACATATTAATAAAATGAAATTTGTATTTTTTTTTAAAATTATATATAGATGTAGTAATCAATACAAATACTCCAGGTAAATAATAATAATAAAGATATTATTTACAAATATGATAAGAAGCTTTAGAACCTTTTTGAAAATACTGTAAATAAGATCATTAAACGATTCTATAATGTTTAGGAAAAACCTAAATAATATTTATACTCAAAATCTGCATAGATAATCATAGTACCGTAAAAAAAATCTCACTCAATAACTTGTATAAGTGATGGTCAAAACAAGACCGAGACCAAGAATTCCAGAATCTTGGTATTGAAGAGTCAGTTTTGGTATTGTTCTTGATCTTGCGCAAGTCTACTGATTTTCACAAAGTGTATAAAAAAAAAAAATACCTGCTATACTCTTTTAGATTTTTTGGTACGACTTCTAAAATTCAATTTTATAAGTCTAATATATATATTAATAATTCAAACATAAACATGAAACAAACCAAACAATTTAATTTGTATTTCAGTACTTTGTAAATTAGGTTTAAATTCATATTTAATGAATATAAATATAATTTAAACAGCAATTTAATTTATCAGCTTTATCATTTTATAAGTTCTTATTACGTTTTTAATAAATAACAGTAGGTTGAGTTAGATCAGTTTTTTAGGAAAGAGTTTTTCAGTCTCTTTCTTATGCATCGACAATAAATGCTTTTCTAGCCAAGATGTATTTCTGTTTTTCATCAATATTTTTTTTCCTTCTAATTTATTTTTTCACACAATTTACAAAATTATATAACTATATTGTTTAGTAATGTTAATTCCAATTATTTCCAATCTTTTTTTTCAATAATTCTCCATTTTCTGGAAACACCGATAAAATTTAATAAAAAGATGATATCCTATTATTTTCGTTATAAATTAGTTAATTAAATCTAGATCTACTAATGTATTTTCGGAAGAAAAACAAAATTGCAAAAGTCTTGCAGTGATGGTCTTGGAGCGTTGGTATTAATTTGGTTTTGACCTTGCAAACCTAATATTGGTATTGGTCATGCTAGTGCCAGTAGTATATTAGTTTTGGTTTTTCTCTTGGTTTTGTAGCAATTTTGATCATCAATAAACCTGTATATATGATTATGTATTAAAAATATTTTAATATCTGTTCAATTTCCTACTAGAACCGGAAGTCGAGGATACACAAATTACAAAATTAAGAGGTAAGTACCTATACTATAAAAAATCTACTTAGTTACAAAAGAAGCTGAGCATTAAGTAAAACGTTAGGTATCAGCTCCATTGCCAAAATTAAAAAAGAAAAGAGATGATACTGTAGGTAGGTATGTAAATTGACCACAGTTGAAATTAGAGAGTTGAGAGTTTATATCTATACTCAATGATAAATCATTGCTAAAAAAATAAGATTCTGAATAAAGTTTAATTAAACATGTTTAAAAATACCATGATATTTATAGACCAGTTAAAATGAACATTCAACTTTGGAATAATTCACATAGAGCTGAAAAGTGGTACACACCTCAAAAAATCATTATGAATAAAATATCAAAAGTCCCCATCGATCCCACTGCTACTACATAATTTATTCAAGGTTAATGATCATGAAAATAGATTTTTTCACATATTTCTTAAACTTTAAGTATTTCCATTAAAATAGTGTTACATAATTTGTGGATCAAGTGATTTCCTAAAAAAAGTATCTTTTTTTTTTTATAAATACTATTTCATGAGATATTGTGATTTATAATGGTAAACGCCAAATAAAAACAATATAAACACCGACCGTGATGCGGCGACTGGCTGATGCAAGCGCAATTTTTATTTTATATTAATAATATCTTATAATATTTTAGATTCTGAGTGGAGCGAAGAAGCTTATAGTTTTATAAAGATGTTTATTTTTAAGACTGGACCGGATTTCTACGTGTAGCACCTTTTTTGAAAAGAAATCGATGTAGGGAGGATAACTTAACACAAACGGGAATTAAATGTATATCTGTAAGCAAAGATAAACAATTGCTTACGAAAAAACGATTCTGAGCGGAGTTCAGTTGATTCTTTTTGATGCTTTGTCAACAATAAATATGTAATTTTATAGTAATATAATTAAACAGGCTTTATATATTTTCTCTAATAATATTTTAATAATGTACTATTTTCTCAATTTCTCTATATTTTCCCCGGGATTTTATCCCGGTTTTTCACATTTTCTGGGAAACTCTTTAGAAAATCGAAAAATGATATTTCTAAAGTACTTCTCCAGTGAAATTTTCATTTAGAGTTTCTTTTTAAGTTGGAGCAAAATTGCTGGTAGAAAAATTGTTCACAGAAAAAAAGAAAGCCGTAATATATTTTAACAAATACCTATGTCTTATATTTTCCTGATCTTTTTGGTTTTTCACATTTGTTGAGAAAATTTCCTTTCAGAAAAGGTGCTACGTGTAGAAATCCGAGGAAGTTTTCTGGTAGAAAAGCTGTTAACAGATAGAAAAAAAAATTAATATCTTTGTAAAACTATAAGTTTCTTTGTTCCACCCAGAATCTAAAATAAACAGAGTTATTGAGATATTAAGAGATATTGGTCCAGTGTAGTTTACTCCAGTTTCGACAAACGGTTTTACCTGTTGTGCCAGGAATTTAGGTAATGGTGCTATTTTTGGTTCAGTGTTTTCGGGTCTGGTTTGGAAACACGGGATGCACAATCTTAATTTGGATTGAATGGATCGTCTCGCTGACTGGATCCAGGGTTCGAGTTGCAAATGTGCTTGCAAAGCTGTAGCTCCCAGATGTTTTAATCTGTAATGATTGTAGTCAATTAAAAGGTCTGTGTAATTATGACTTGAGGGCTGCAGATCTAGATGTCTGTGCTTGTAAGGAATATCCTTATTATTAAGTCAACCATCTTCTTTGACTAACCCATTTTCGGCAAAATTTGGTCAAATCAGCGCAGATTGACTGGATAGACATGCCTGCTAACAGACTTGAAATTTATTTTGCATATACTGCATGTTTCACAACGTATGTGAGGGCACCTAATGCATCGGAAACTTCATCCGCTCCAATGAAGGTGGTCCAAAGGAAGACTGAACATAACCGGTTAACCTGGAGCCAATAAGCGATGTTCCGCATAAGTTTTTCCAAGGAAGAATGCCGGTTCATCAGGTCTTTGATTGGAGTTGCACTTTTGAACAATAAAACCGCCTGTCGGTATTCGTGTTGCGTACTTTTTGTCTGGTAGATTAACTGGTGACATCGGCCATTTATTGGATGATTCTAATAGATATAAAGGACCTGTCCACCATAACTTTTCTGTACTCTAGCACTCAAAACCTAAAACTATTATCATCACAGATCGAGTGGTTTGGTATAGTTCGTATAAATATCATTAACTTGTGATTGTCTGAGAAGAAACTCCATGATAAAAATGAAAAGATTAGACTGCAAGTGATAGTTTTTATTGAAAAAGGATTACAATATACGAAGTGCTAGAGATTTGCAGAGTTTTTAAATGTGAGAGAGGTTAGCTTAGGGATGGTAGTTTCCAACCTTTTATGAGCTACCAGATTTAATAGAGCCAGCAAAAACTTATTTTGAATAAGAAAGTACCAATTATAGTATCAATTTTTGAAAAATGGACAAAAAGACCATGCCATTGTATCGCGAAAGTGTATAAAATCATGGGAATCCATTCTTCAGGAATCTATTAGAGAAAAAATTATAACAAAGAGAGGAGAGTAAATTATACATCATATGATTGTCTTCATTATATATTTGTGGTTATGGTGATAATAATTCGACAAAGAGTGAGACAAATTTTAAATTATTAGAGAATAAGTTTCCTAGAAGTCAGGGATTGGCCTCCCGCGTAGATTCATAATGGAAAGAAAATGTCTATTTTTTCGGATGAAATTCCAAAAAAGACGCGGGTTTTTTTGAAAAAAATTCTTTTTTTGATTGATAAAAGTCCAATAAAAATGCTTTTAAAATAGTATACCAGATAAGGGGAGAGTATCTGATATTCTGATAGTTATGAACATTAAAAGTGGTTTTTTATTGTAATTGTATATGTTTTCTTCGTTTCTAAAACTAAATCAATGTTAAAAACGAGATTTATGAGTGGGTCTGTGGAGCAGAATCATGAAATTATAAGTAAGTGCAGCACTTCACATTAGTCACATTGTTAATATTTTTACATAAAAAAATTCATTATACGAGTTAAGAAAATCAGTAATTCTAATAATTCGTCTTTCTAAAGTTAAAGTAACTCTGAGATTGAGATAGAATGATAAGACACAATCACTCTATTTACACTATTTTAAACAAGTAATAATTGATAAGAAATAGTTTATTAGCAAATTATAGCAAATTAGATAAAATCTATTGTTTTATGTTCTGCAATACCACGATTTAAGATAGTGTCCATCTTAAATCGTGTGTAATACCGAGTACTGACTATTATCATCATAAGCGTGAATAGACTTCATTCATAGCGGCAGCCTAACAAATAATCGGCGTAACTTAATGAACCGAAAAAGTCCCCTTTGAATATGGGGGGAGGTTAGTTCCCCCAATTAAAAATTTATATAATTCAAAAATCTGTATTATCTATTTAAAATTAATAATGTACAGTACTTTCTGTACATTTAAATTGAACTGCAGAAATATTTATGTATAGGCCCGGATTACACCACCATATAATTAAGTAATTAACAAAATATATGATGTAATAGTAAATTGAATAGATGCAATAAATAGAATAATAAAAATGATAGACTGATAGAAAATAATATTTTGTTATAGATAATGCATAATACATTTTTTTTTAAATTAAAATTGTAAGCCTTCACTAGATATGAAATTCGGTTGACCGATTTCTTTTGCAGGGACATTCCAGGCACCCTAGGCTGCTACCGTAGACACGCCTATGATTATTATAAAATTAAATATTATTTGCAATGTTTTCAAAAGGAAATTTCACAAGGAAGGTACTTTAGAGAGGAATTTTTTTAATTTTCTCAAGAGTTTTATCAGCAAACGTGAAAAACCGGGATAAAACAAAAACATGGGAAAACCGGGAAAAACGTAGGAAAACTGGAAAAATCGGTACATCGTTAAACAAATATTATTAAAAAAAAAATATATAATGCCTATTTAATTATTTTTCTATAATATGACATATATATTGTTTACAAAAAATCACTATCAACTGAACTTCGCTCAGAATCATTTTTTCGTAAGCAATGGTTTATCGTTGCTTACAGGTATGCATTAAATTATCTATAACAGTGATTGCACCCGTCTCCATTATTCTAGGATGTATTTTTTTTTTATTCTGACTTTTTAATTCTTCACAAATTGAGTTTAAAAATCAATAAATTGAAAAGCATTCAAGACGATTGGTATTGGCGGGAATCAAATGTATCTTACCTGGTTTTTGTTTTAATGGTTTACTACTAAATTAAATCATACTTTACCATGTATTTCAGATTAATAACGTTATTATTATATTCTTATCAGTACGGTAACCTAAGTATACCTGATGTTTAGTAAGACACATTTGAATTCACGCCAAAATTATATTTTTAAACTAGGTAAATTCAAAAAAAATTATAAGTCCTAAAATAATAATAAAAAAAATCTATTTTTTCAATCAGACAAAACTATAGAATTAGGGGAAAATGCATTTGAAAACTGTTGACAACCATCATTATCATAAAATTAAATATTACTCAAAAACAGCATTCTTAAATTTCCATTGAGCATTGGATATTTGTATGCTTACATTCTTATCCAATACCCATAGATAATAATATAATAATTAAACGGTATATAATTCGAATAATTTTTTTTTTAACCATATACATATATAGTTATTCAAATGTCATGTCGAGGTAAACAGTAAATATACAAATAATTATTTACTTAATAAATGCATTTCAGTGGCACACAAACAAAATTAATTCCTGATGAGATTGTTGGTACTCATATCGATTTTCTTACCAGAATATTTTGCACAAAAAATATCAAAAATATATTAATTTTGTTTATTATTGTATAAGTTTACACTTATTTGTATTATTATTATTACAATTTTTTTTTATAATACAATAATAATAATTTATGAAATAATCATCCATTAATATTCAAATATTAAAATAAATATTTTTATTTGGCGGAAAACAGAAAGGTAAGATTTTGGCGGAAAAGGGAATCGAAAAATTGTATGATTTGGAGGAAATGAGAATTGGCGAAAAGGGAAAAGGTACATTTTTGGCGGAAACGGGTAACTCCCATACCCCTTGAATGGATATAATACGATTGAGAACGTTCGATATTTTTTAGCGTACGATTGAGAACGCTCGAAATGGAACAATGAAATGGGGTCGTTGACCCCAAAAAACAGTACTATTGAGAACGAAATTATATGCAACATTGTCGAACTGTATTCAAGTCAAAACTTGTAAATAAATTATGAAAAACGTATGCAAAATTTACTATAAAACGGTATTTACGGGAGTTTAAAACAATTCAATTTTCACAGCGTTCAGAGGATATGAGTCTTAGTTATTTTACATTTTATTTAAGTATTAACGTAAAGTATTTCGCACATAAAACGTATAATACGGGAAACCACACACTGAGTAATGCACTAATGTGTATATTTTGATTATTCGTTGCAAACAATTCGCTATCGTTGTATTTATATAGATTATCATTATTGATGGATTCAGTTATATGTCATTTCAAACAACAAAAGGTAATCATTAAACTCGATTACAGTACAATAAATATGTATTTTTGATTGGTTGCATTTTCAGATAACTACATATTTGGCAACGTTGAGAGGAATTATAAAAACCGAGCGTTCTCAATCGTGATAGTCAAAAAGGTCTAAAAAAGATATCGACGATAATGATCGTCCTCAATCGTATTTCTGCCCCTTGAATATCTCCGGAGATAATAAAGATAACCAAATTTTGTTTGTTTTTTATATTACTCACTGGGAAGAGGACTACAAATAACCGCGCTAACACTGTTTACAGGATATTGTAAAAAAACGATCATACATATTATTATTGTATAAATAAATAAAAAAATATTATATATTATTGATACTTATTCAAATAATTCATAAACCGATGTATAGTTATAGGTATCAATTTTCGTCAGATTCAATATTGTATATTAATAAATCATGTATGAATAAAATATTATATTGTAGTTCATTAAAAATGTATAATATTATACGTGTATTCCCAAACAGACAAAATTTTGAATGATCCTGTTTGCAGAGGTAAGTAATAAAATGGATGTATAAATTTATTAATGCAAAGTGGCGCAAATTGGATTCAAAGGAGGAGGAGGGATCCAATACTAAAAAACCATCATAACCGTATAATACATGCACAATTTTTGTATAAGTTTTACGGTGAAAACCGTATTCCTGTCACTCATACATACATTGCATTCATAATTTATTTGTAATAATTCAAAAATAATACCACAAAACAAAAAATATACCAATACCTTGTACAAAGTATTATTGAGTGTTCGACTCAATAGATAAAAGCCAAGCATAAAGTTCTTGAAAACTTTATATAATATTTATTTAATATCAATATTATTAATAAAACTAATATTTATGTAGTCAAACAGATATTCGAAAAAATTACAAGTTTGACAAAGACATAAATTTACCATTAGTGGACATTTAAGATTGCATAAAAATCAGTGAATAGAGAATGACTATGGGTAATAAGGTAATTTGGATATAAAAAAGAATTATTAGAATAATTGTGTGCTTGGGTCGAAATTCCAAGTTATGTAGAGTCAGAAAAGTTCGATGTAGTGACAGGCTTATTATCGCGATGATAACTCATATGAATTATCGTAATAAACCTAATATAACTATCATTAATATTATATAATATGATACTATAACACGTTCTAAGGGAGGTTCAGACCACTAATCGCTTTGTTGCGCTACTGATGTATCACCACTCAAGTGATAATACTATACATATTTACATTCAATTATTTGGAAATTAATTTGTTTAAGCTGATGATTTATTTATATGACCATCATAATTAAATTTATTTTATTACAATTGTATCAGTGTAATATTATTATTATTACAATAAAAGGTAGAATATCGCTCATAGATAAGTCGGTATTATATAGGTGGGAAGTTGGGATGGTAAAGTATTAGAGTGAATGGATGATTTAGTATATAGTTTATATTGTGAATCATTGATAATGAACTCTTAATAATTCAAAATTTAGGAGATCGAGCTGAAATTTTGATTTGTTTTTGATGAAAATATCAAATATCTATGATTATTTATCATTAAATAACAATAAAAAAAAAAAAATCAAAATTGAATTTAATAGAAAAAATTGTCTCATAAATATTCCTGTTTTATCGAAGGTTTTTTCTTGGGTTTTTTTCATTATTAAGAAATGTATAAGGAAAACTCTACCCGCTATGTGGCTCGGTGTACAAACTAAATAAATAATATTTTCTACCAGACATCGACCGTGGTTTTAATAATTAGAGCAAATTTTCTGGTCTAAATTTGTTTACAGTTAGAAAAAAGTGCACCTTATGGTAAAAATTTGTTTTCGATAAAGGTTAGGAGCAGTGGATGTATATCAAGATGAAGATGACATAAATGATATTTTACTATTGTTTTTTTACTTAAAAATAAAAGTGGCACATCATTAATGGTTTGATAAAATCTTACTACCAGAATTTATTTCAACTAGAACCTTATCAACTAATATAATTTGTTATCAAGGTTGTAACTTTGAAATCAAAAATTGATTATGATTTCACCACAAAACATGGGCAAAATTAGATTTTTTATAATTGGGGGGGGGTTATTGATACTTTTCGAAATAATGAGTTTCATATGGTTAGTTGGTTACTCTGTATAAATAAATTATATAGAAATAAAATAGGTAATATTAAAATATATTCATTTTTTACATAAGCTAAAAATCTGGATGAATGTCAACAAATTGCTAAACAATTGGGTGAGTATTCAACTATTGGATTTTGGGTTTCTAAACATAAGTTAAGTTGTTATATAATAATATGTCCCCTTTATATTTATCCATCCGTCCGTCCGTATAGTTACTAATACTAACTTAGTTAAGGTTGTTGATTCGGTTAACAAGGATATATTATACATTTTAGCATTATTATTATGATTAATTTAAATATGAAAATTATAGCCGATATACACGTCATATGACGGATTATAGTAGTTTTTAAATGTTTAAAATGGCTAGTGACGATGCATTCCCGTGCATTTCGATATTGGCGTCTAGTTGTGATTTAGTTACTTTAGTTGTTTATTGAGCTCATCATTTTGGATGTGAGTTAGCATCTGCGTCATGCAGGGATTACGTAGCTTCAGGAGTTTACCTCGCTTTCTATTTTTGCAAACGTTTTTGATTTAAACATAGTCGCCTATGTGTTTAATTTTTATTGTTTCCATATCTTATAATCCAAACTGAAAGTAAAAAGGTTCCAAGTTGCTGTGTTAACTGCTACCAGTGGCAGCGGCGTGTTTAATACTTCCCTCAGGAGGAGGCAATATTAAGGGAGGTCAACCCCATAAAAAAAAAAAATTGTATACATATGCATTTTAACTAAAAATAGTGTAGTTTATATAGTGATTTATTATTTATACATTACAAGCTGTTTCACCCAGCTTTCCCCGTGCAATAAAAAAGTTTCTAAATAAAGTTAATAGATAAATTAGCATTATATGCTATTACTATAGATACCCGTACAACACAGGGATTGTATTACAAAAATTAATAATAATAATATTTTTTCATAATTGTTAGTTTGAATCTAGGTTAAAATATCCAGGGACAAAATATTCAACTGTAAAAAAATCCACACTCCTAATATTCAGATTTGAATATTTACATTTTTTGAAAATATAGAAACAAGTATTTAATAGTTTAAATAAGAAAATCCTATATTATATCATGATTTTTTTTTATAAAAATAATATTAATTTAAATAAAATATTTGATATTTTATAAAATATATAGAGGTACGCCAGACATACAGTTTTTATCTTACGAGTAGATACGATAATTTAGACTAAATTTCAGAGTGATGTACAATGTACGATAGCAAAACTCTAATCGTGCAATAAAATACGATAAACAGGATGGATTTTGTGACCGCCTACATAAATTTGTCATCCAGTGAAATTGCACTGGATTGCACTGGACACACTAATAGCACCACCCTAAATGCGGCTCTGATAACAGATCATGGTAAAAGGGTAAAATCACAAGAGTGAAAATAACCGACAGAAGAATTAATACCTATAGATAATGTGATTATCACGACAATGGTCATGACCAGGGTTTTTGGACTTATAACTCTTAAGTATAATCATCAAAATAAGTGCTGAAAAAAATGCTTAAATATTTTATATTAGCGATTGGTTAGGCTCTAGATTATTAGTCCAATTAGTGAAAAACTAGAGTTGTTTTACTCATTCGAATTCATGCAACTTCGATACTTCAGTTTTAATATATTTATTTTTATTACTTTTAAATTTATGTTATTTATGTAAAATAGTTTATTAGGTACTTTGTATACATTTAATTTTAAATATTTAAATGTTTACGTTTAAATTAAATTATTTATATACATTTTAAAAAACTATTGCTTTGATTATTATACTGAATAAATACATTTTTACATACATAATTATTTAATTTGTTTTATATTATTTTAGATTCTACGGAGGTTGAATTACTAACTGGTAATTAGTTTTTTTAGTTTTTTATTTGGATGTGTTGTCCTATTTTTAATTGATTAAATTTACATTTTGATTCTGATTTAATATATTTTTTTTTATTAAAAATTGATATTTCATTTAGTAACGTGTTCTTGTACAATATTACATAACATTGTCTAACCTCGTTGTATTAGTGACTGATCAATAAGTAGATACTCACAATTTTATACTTTTTTTTTATTTGAGTTCTTAATTATTTTTAATGTATTTGATGATATTACATAATGCATATATTATGCAAAAACTACTAGTGAATAATAAAATTGTATTAGTCAACACTAAGTACTAACGTATTAATAAGCTAAACAAATTTATTAACCTATATATTTTAGGTCCCGTTAGAAGGTACATTAAATTTCTTCGTGGTGATTTTTCAGGTAAATTATTATGAATAATATGTTTTAGTATGTATCTACACGTTTCTAGGTTGCATTAATATTTTGACCAGACAATAATTTTGGATTTAAATTACGTTTTCGAAAAGTGATATCAATACTGAAATACATATTTTAGTATAAATTCAGTTTTTAATCTTTTAACTGTATACGATATGTGTAATACATATCATTTTTTTTGAATAGCAAAACTTATTTTCAACGAATAATCCTATTATTTTTTTAAGCAATTTTGATCAATACAAATTTTTGTCTAATGAATTACTTAAGATACAGTAATCTAAAGTTAGTTAAAACTTTTATAATATTATGTTTGTATTACTTTTCAAACAATTTTAAATAATTGCTTTAAAGGTGAAGAATATGAATATTTTACCATAAAAAAATTATTTGTAAATATATCTAATTGGAAAATAACACATAATTGTTAACATACATATTAATAGATCTAATACTAATACAGGTTTGATTCTATCCAAAATATAGTATGATAGTATTTTATACATTACATTTATAAACGCTATTCTTCTATAATTACTGTATTATTTATGTATCTTTTAGATTCTAAGCGAAACGAGGAATGTGTTGGTTTTACAATGATGTTTATTTTTTTTCTGTAAAGAACTCTTTTACCAGAAATCTTGTTTAGATTTTCAAATGTAACATATTTTCTGAAAGGAAATTGGACTGGGGCGAGGAGGTCATTTTTTGATTTTCTTACGGGTTTTTACAAAAATTGGGGGAAAAAAAATGGAAAAATTTACGAAATATAATATTTTCAATTTTGCTTTTGTGTTGTGATTTGTGATTCAGTTCAAAATATTCGTAGAAAACTCAAATTTGCTTTTCATAGACGTAGTAGAATTTTCAAATCCTTTTAGTAATTTTTGAGTTATTTATCTACATTTAATATATAACATTTAATTTTTTAAGTTTTTAAGTAATTTTAAGTTTTTTTACGTATATTAGATTCCGAGCGTAGCAAAGGAGCTATTGTTTTGACTTAGATGTTTATTTTTGTTTCTTTCTTTTTTTCTTCTAGTTTGTGGAGACGCTTTTTCCTAGTAAACATGCTCCGATTTTTACGTGTAGCATCTTTCCTAAAAGCTCAAGTTGTCTAGATTGTACTTTGTAAAATATGTTTTGATTTTCGACGTCATTTTTTAAATAAAAGCACTTAAATGGGAATAAACTTAAGAAAACATATAATTTCACGATTTTATTATTTTATAAAAACATGGACGACGTTTTATACCAGAAAAAATGATTTAATCGAAAAATCACAAGCCACCTTTTTTGTTTCCTTTTTGATTTATTTCTTATGGTATCATTGCCAAAACTTTTGAGCTTTTAAGGATTTTAAATTTTTGGAGTTTTTTATTGTTATCCTGTTATAAATACGCATATAGACTTAAAATTTAGTAATAATACTTGGAACTATATTGGACTTATATAGATGTGGTAAAATTTCCAAAATCATCGGACAACTTTTTTTTTTATCAACAAGAATTTTAAAATCAAATTTAAACGTAAATTGCAAAAAAAAAAAATACACCACTTCAAATTAATAAATAAATAAATCTCACCCTCCCCCCCTATCAAAAATTATAACCCATCCGTAAAACATACACGCATTATGATAGATATCGTCGAATATAATATATTGTATTAAAATTTTTTTAATTCTTGATTTGTAAAATAAAGAAGTTTTTGTATACGTAACCATTGTTTTACAATTTATGCAACGGATTCAAGATCAGCGAACCGTTATACATTATGTTATTTTACTTTCCAGGATTTTAAATTCCATAACTTTATGGTTTGATGTTTCACTTTCCGTAATTGTACGTTCCAAGGCTTTATGACGTGAATTTTTCAGTTATATGACGGTCAGTCATATTATTGTTCAAAACGTATTAAATTCCGTCACTTGGCGTTTCGTACTATTACGATGTTTGATTTTTCTTTTTCCGTAACATGGTTCCTTTGTTAACATAACAGTTCGTTCGATTACTTTCCACACATGTATGGCACGCTGGTGTTCTTCTTTTCAATTTAAGATTAATTTTACCAATAATTAAATGTGATCCAAATTACCAAATACTCCTTTATACATCCTAATATCCCTAATACTATTTTTAAGCCTATAATTTACTATTATAATAATGCCAATCAGGTAATTTTCATTAGATATCTTTATTAGAAAATAATGTACCCATAACTCTAAATCCTAATTCTGTGGCTAACTTCATCCCGTTATCATTCGTTATTTCATAAAATCTTTGGTTTCAATTGTAATTGATTTAAAAACTTGTTTCTTGCCTATCTCATCAATCAATCAATCAAACTATTGTCGGTACTAGGTTTTGTATACTGCAAAAACTAGTGTGACCCTTATGTGGTTATTGTCATATATGTTTACAGTAAATTGGGTAATGTTCTCGCCACTTTTCCTACGCCAATACAATAGGTTATAACAATATGTTATATTCTATTAATCATTTAATAGAATAAAACGGTAAAATTATCTTTACATTTTATAGAAGTAATTGACAATGATAAAAGAAAAATATGTAAGTGTGTAATTTATAATTTATAGTTACTTAAATGAAGATAATAAATTATATAGTATTCCAAGTTACAATAAAATATAAATACCTTTACTTTATAGAAATGAGTAATCTTACTAATTTGTATTCTTTTAAATTGTATTTTATATTGTGTATTTCAATTTCAGGCCCATAGGTGCCAAAATTATATACGACAAATTATATTATAATAGTTTTAAGGGTATATGTTGTACTGAGACATATTAGTTCTATTAGTTAATAATAATAATGATTTATTTATTTATTAGTAATATTTTTTACAATTTTAAATAATTACAAATTAGTTAGAGGGTAATCTTAGGGGTAGAGGAACATTTATTGCTTAGCTAGATTTTATAAATGCGAACTATTTGCAAATCTATACCCTATTTCAAAAGAGAACATACCGTTTTCGCTGTATGATGAGAAATTATGTTATTTAACATGTCTATGGTCGTGCTACCTGGTGAGGATGCATGCCGCCGAACAAAAACTGGTTTATAAAGCGTTATGTTCTCTTTTGAAACAGGGTATACACTAACATTAGGTGTTGTATAAAATAAAATTGTGCCCATGTCCCTGACTACCACTCCTCTCCCTCAACCAATGATTTTCCACAAAATTAATAGACCAATATTTTGTACACTATTTTAATACATTTATAAGACCATATTTAAATCTTGTATAATGGTAGTTTTCACGTACAGCTAAAACCAAAAATAAAATGTTTTTAATAAGTATTTAAGCGTTTTAAAATTCGATTCTGTGAAAAATCAAAATTTGTTTTCTTAAAAAAAATGATTTTCTGATAATTGTATTCTTGTTCTTTTTTATTTGTTTTTATGAAATGATTTCATTCATGATTGTTCCCAAGATTTTTTCTTCTAAAATATTATACTTAGCACTTAATTAATTGTTAAATTTGATTTTCGTCAACCCATTGACGAGATATTTCACTTTTAAGTTTTTGCTGGGGGGAGATTAGTGGAGCACTTATAAAATACCGCGCGCAGTGCCACCACACAAATGATTTCCATTACTCTCCCTCTACCTAAACTTAAAAGTGGAATGTCTCGTTAACGGATCAACGAAAATCAAAAATGTTGAGACCAAAATGTATTTAATGTAATGTAATTCTCCGTCTATTTATGGATTTTTCAATATAGTTTTCGTTTAAAAAAAACCATAGATGTTGAGAAAAATCTAAGTATTCGAAATTTCGGCTTTAACTACATTTATAAATTCAAAATCAGAATTTGGATGCATACAAAATTTAACTAAAAAAATGGGATAAGCACGCTTAATGAATCATCTTGTATATTTACAGATACGTATGCTTAGTAAAAAGGACTACATATAAATTTAAAAAGTTGTTGGTTGTGTTGTGTCGGTAGTTGTTTAATTTAAATAGACATCAGTGTTTGACATGACGCATAGCGGACTGATTGCTAAAAATAAGTAGAAAAAAACACGTGTTACAAAATTACTCATGTCGAGATATTATTTATATCAGTTTTAAAGGATATTATTAATGATTGTCAACCGATATTGTTATCTTATTGATTAGATTGAGACATGCAATCTTTAATAATCTTTAATTTTATCTTTACCTAATGAAATCCATATTAATGATCATATGCATTTTAGTGAATTGTACAGAACTACTTTTTTCTTCTGAACCTTCACGTAATATATAGATTTGCTATTGATAGGTGTGTTATTTTGTATAGTATGTTTCTTAAAGTTAAATTGTAGATTGTGTAACTATAGTATTATTGTATTCTAATATTATACAGAAAAATTAAATTCATAAAAAGATACTGAAAATTAATAACTGCATAATATTTTTTTGTATGAAACAAAAATAGGCCAAATAATTTTTTGAATTGTTTTTGGGAATCCCCATTTAATTCAGTTTAAAAATAAAACAATTTTGTCTATTTAAATTACTTATTCAGATCACTGTGCCATGGTGGAATTCAGGTGCTTACACTGCTTTGATACTTTAAGTTTTAAAGGATTAAATTTTATTACAAATTCATTTATAAAAAAAGGTTTGAAATTAATTCTAAGTGAAAAATTAACAGTGTATGGTTTATTTTACAGTTGTTGATAACACTTTTTAAATTAAATTTTTAAGATCAAAACACCCATTTTTAAGTTGTAGTACTAGGTAGACTACATACACGCGTATATTAAGAATAATAACATGAATAAATGTCAACCATGATAGTTATGTTTAATTTTGAATTTTTCATCTAATACTTTATGAATAGTATTTTAATGTAATAAATAAATTGACATTTTGACTATCGATGTTTAGATCGTCTTAACGTTTAGACGTTATAAAAATATAATTTCTTTGACCGCATGTAAGTTGTAACTGAATAAGCGTCCGTAAACCATAATACATAATTCGACCGAATAGTGTACAATGCCAAATAGGATTATTGGAACGTGCATAGTAAATCTTACATTAAAAAAAACTTTAGACATGTTACAATTAATATATTACTATTTTGGACTTCTGTTACTTATATTTTATACATTTTAGCAATAATTAGACAATTTCATCAATACTCAATTTTAAATTTAACCTCTGAAATTTTTTATCTTGCAATTGAATGATTTAAATGGAGTAAAGTATGAAAGACAAAAATTTCATAACGTGAGCTGTTTATGTAATTATATAACTTACAAGGTATTCTGCGTTTATATTATAAATAGGTTTGTTTAATATTTGAAAAGTGAAAAGATAAAAAGCGCCGTAATTTGTAGGGTTTCTCTGTTCTATTTTTATGAAACGAATACAATTTTGACATTTATTATTGTAAATTTGCGATCTTCATAATATTGGATTTGGGTTTCGAATAAACTAACAAAAGTAGCCATTTAGGTATGCTTGTAAATGATTTGTACCATGTCTTAAACTATCATGCTTCATAGTTTAGAAAAAAATAAGGAGGTTATTAATTAGTTATTCTGAGGTTTTCTAAATATGTTAAAAAAAAAATTAAAAAAAATAGAAATTAAATTAATTAAACAATTTAAAATGTAATAAAAATAAAATAAAAATTAGTGAATACCTATTTAAAATGTTAACATATTATTGAAATATTTTATTAATATTTTCTAGTGGAATCAAAAAAAAACCAAACTGGTAAGCTGTTAATAAAAGTAATAGCATACTATACATATACAAACTGCCTATGATAAGTTGTTATTAAAAGTAATAGTACAAGGGATATGTTAAAGAAACATTAGATGAATCTTTTAGCAATCCTGTGGTTTTCTTAAAATAATTAAAATAATAGATAATATTAATAATACAAAATTAAATAAATTAAACAATTAAAAATTTAACTTGAAAACATAGAAATTGGTATTCTAATACATATTTTAATATTTTGTTAATTATGCAAAAAAGCCGAACAACCAAGTGTATCTGGTAAGATGTTAATAAATGTAATAGTAATGGCGAAAGTCTATTAATTACCAAAAAACGCAATTACAATTTCGTGTCTTTTTTTTTAAGAACCAAATGCAATAGAATTACCTACCAAGTAGGTGTTTTTTAAAACCTTTTAAAATGTGAATTCGCGTGTTGTGAACTATCTTAGGCGGGGGTCCTTATTAGGATTTTAGAATGGGTCAAATGTAATTTTAGAAAATTATTTGTGGGCCAAATAGATTTTTAATGATAATAATAAAAAAATACAAATTATTTATGTATTGTTAGGAAAGGGTATTGTAGGAAAAATTACATGAATAACACAAATGTTTCTGTTTCTTTTATGATCTTATTAATGTCTACGGGTGTATTTGATGTTTATAACCGCATTAAATCGTCCAAATATATATCATTCAAACGATTTCTGTGTTTGTTTTTTATAAATGTTAGCTTACTAAAAACGGCTTCACATAAATATGTCGATCCAAAAAATTTTAGAATAGCTTTTACATTTGATAAAAGGGTAGGATATTGATGTTCCTCAAGTGTATTTCAAAATTGCATTGCATTATTTTTACCATTAAATATATCTTTTAATGTCACTTAATTGACGCTCGCCGTTCCGGACTTTATACTTCCCGGGAGTTTCCATTCCGGCGTTTTACTTTTCGGGATTGTACGGTCCGGGTATTTACATTACGGAAATGTACGTTCGGGGCATTGCGGTCCGGGTTTTTACTTTTCAGCATCTTACGTTCCGGAATTTTACTTTTCGAGGGGAAATATGATCTCGCCCCCCCCCCTATGCGATGGAAATTCATTAAAAAAAAAAAAAAAAAAAACACATCTTGCGTATCTTGTACTTAAATAAAATTTAAAGGATCGTTCATTAGATAGCCTGGGATTGATTGCACTGGTGAAAATAATAACTATAATCATAATGGTATGAACAATTAATAAATCAAACAATTAAAATAGTTATAACTTGAAGAAGTATAAATTGATATTCAAAAGGTTAATATTTGATTAATATATTATAGGTACATTTAACAGTCTATCAAGTAGATTGAGTAAGTTTTTAATTAAAGTTATAGCAATATCGAACTGGAATTGAATCTGGATTGCCTGAGATGGGTGTTTTTATAACATCTACAATGTAAATGCGTATGTTGTAAATTGCGTAGTGTTTACAAGGCCGGCATACACACCATGGTCTAGAACAAAAGTTCCCAATCTTTTTATTACCGAGTACCACTTAACGAGTTTATGATCAATACGCGTACCACATTTTTTTTTAGTATATATTTTATTTGAAATTAATTTATTAATAATTTTCATTGTTTGATATTTATAAGAGTAAAAAAAAAAATCTTAATTTTAAAGTAAATCTCTTAGTATTTAAATTACAATGAAAAAAAATGTTTTCGTGTACGAGCTTCCTGCGTATCACTAGTTGTGACATGTACCACAGGTTGGGAATCCCGCTGGTCTAGAAAATTCTAAAATGATGGAAATTCATTAAAATAAAATACCTATTTTTTATTTAAAAATATTTAAGGGATCGTTCATTAGATACCCTGAGGTTTGATTAAAATGGTTGAAAGAATAATAATAACAATTAATAATTTATCAAATTTATCAAAAACAAAAAAAATATAAACTTAAGACATTGAAACTGGTATTTAAAATGTTACCATATTATTTTAATATTTTCTAGAAAAATCAAACCGAAAATAAACTATAACTGATACTGTGCTATTAAAAGTAATAGTATAAGCGAATTGCTTAAAATAAAACATTGGAGTGGTCTTTCATTAATTATCCTGAAGTTTTCTTAAAATGGTTAAAATAAAAGTAATAATTTAAAAGCTTAATGAAATAAACAATTAAAAATATGGACATACTCTGCACTGTGAGTTGAAAATTAGACTTTTCGACATTATAAACAGTTCAAAGTAGTTCAACTGAATTTTTACAGACAATATTAATAGTTTAAATTAAATAACTAAATTATATTACAGCTAATACAAAACAATAGGTACAGCTATTATCAGAAAGAAATAATTTACATTTTGAATATTGTTTAGCTAATTATTGTATTGTATGATATATATCTAAATTTCTATTCTAAAATCGATATATAGATAGTATATTAGAGTAATTATTGATAGCCAAAAAAAAAAATTTAAAAAAAAATGTTTTATTCAACTAGCAATCAGCTTAGGTACAGACCATAGTTTTGTAGTATTCCAGTAGTTAACATAAATAGCTCATATAATATCTGATAAAATAAGTACACAATACATATGTACCTATCACATATTACAGTTATATATTTACATTTTTTAGAATCTAGGAAACAGTCATTACCAAGGTCCAAATCGGCTACCGATGTAGATAGTTAAGTATAATGTTTTTTTTTTTTAAATCCTGAGCGTGCCGAGAAATGTGTAGTTTTTAATATGTAGCTTGTATTATTTTTATTTTTACCATATTTGTGTATGTCTGTTTACAACGTTATTATGTGAAATTTTGCTTTGGTCATTAACTTTTAGAGGTGGTTTTTTGTAAAATGTTGTCTATTTTCTTTATTGGAGGTTGGGGGAGTGGTAATAGTTTGATATACTTTGTTTTTTTCTTAATAATTAGAAAAAGCTGAGAAAAACTTAGAAAAAACAGAAAGTAATCCAATAACAGTGGTTCCATCATTTTCAATTTCGAAGTTTGTTGAAATTCGGTTGAAAATAATCGTAGAGACCTAATATGTTCTCAGAATACTTTTATTAGTCTCACTAGAAATACTTGCGTTAGAATAATGTGGAGAGGCAACAATCAGACACGTTTTTTTTTTCAAATTGTACAGGGAACAAAAAGAAAAAAAAAACGTTTTAAATTCCAAAATACATTTTTAAAAATATTCTTTGAACAATAGAAGATTTTAATTTTAAAGTAAATATATCATGTGCACTTATGAATTATGATGAGTTTTTAATAATAAGTCAAGGAAGCAATAAAATATTGTTGGCCATATCTTGTTATTACATTGTATTATTGTAATTATATATGATACCCATAAGAACACATAGTATTATACATTATAGTTTTGGTTTTTGTATTTTATTTATAAATTACTCTTTCAATAAATTTGTTTAAATAACGTTCTTCTGGGTTTAATTCCGTATTTCATAGTCAGTAAACTAGTTCTAGTAAGCATTGAAAAAACAAGTTTTAAAACATCATAATAATAAATAACAAATTTTAAAATACTTTGTATTTGATCAATATTTCTTTGATATACTTATTATAAATTGTTTAAACAATTAAAAATACTATAACAACAAAACATAGTATAGATATATATTTTTATGACATTCTACACGTTTCATAATTCCGTACTATACACAAAAGATTTTGTATTACACACTATGTGGCGTATTACACACAAAATAGGCTCTGCAATAAAATATGTCTATTTGTATAATAACACCATATAGATACAACTGTTGGACATGTGTGATTTTTACACCAATCGATGGAAAATTGTTTTCCATACGATTACGAAAAAAAGTTATTTTGCCCAAAAATGTTTGGTTATTGCCTCAAGATCTTCTTACGTATAAAAAAGACACTTCTATGTAAATTTATGACTATAGTATTCTCTTTGGAGTTATAGTGGTATAAATTATTTGATAGGTTTTGAGTTCAAAGAATAAATTGTTCATTTTTAATTGTATGTTAATAAAAATTTGAGTAATTTTTTACAAATTGAGATATATGAGATCTACATCCAGTTAAGATGTATGTAATAATTTGACTCATATGTTTCTTATAGACGGTGCATTAAAAGTGTCATAAACTACAAACTGAATAATAATAATTTTATGTACATTCAATGTTATTAAAAAACTAGTTTAGAATTATATTTTTTAAAGTTTCTTACGTATTAATATAATATTTAAATTTAAATAATTTAGCTCAAGATTTCAGGGATGTAAACAAATGGTGTAATTTAAGTAAGTCAATGCATACCTTATTTGCTAAACCTCTTCAAAATATTTAAAAAGCAAAAGAGACCAAACTTAATAAAATAACGATAATATACTTTAAAAAAACGTGAGATTATATTTTAAAAATACATTAGTACAGTGAATGATCATGTTGTGGTCACTTATATGTCAGTAGTTATGTATAATATTGTTTTTATTACATAGTATTATCATTTGTCAATTTTTTCTTTTCTTCAATTTCCCTTCTCCCATTTCTATTTAACTACTTTCCTTTTTTCATCTTTTATGTAGGTCCATTTCCCTATCAACCACACTATTAATTTTTGAAACGAAACATAGTTTTTTTTTTTTTGTGCTCCTTTTTTGTTGATTTATACAATTTGCAAGTCCAGAAATTTGTATTTTAGAACTTTCCGAGACACAGATATTCTTCTTCGGGATACTGGAGTAATAGTTGTGCTCTCTTTCGAGGGTACAACTTTTACATCCAACTATTTATTTACAATAATCATCACAAGTTTGTATTTTTTTTATGCATAATTTATGCCTAGTTGTATTAGTCCATATAAGGGCTATATTAGCTGCTATGGAGATTTTTGTAATACTCGTCGGATTTTAGCAGATCTAATTTAAATTAAAAAAAATTATCCAAACAAATGTTTAATAATATTCAAGTAGGTTCTTATAGTATTATTATTAAAACAAATTATATATTTATTTTTTGTTCGATATTTCATTCTGAGTTTTACCATTAATTTTGCATCATTTAACTTTTGTAACTATAGTAATTTAATATTGTTATTTTTAATTTTCATATAAATTAATGCTTGTAAAACATATTTGTTATAGATATATTCACACTGGAAACAGCAAACTAGTTCTTTTGCAATTATTTTATGTATAATGTTGATTATTAATATCTTTATTAAATATAAAATATGTAAAATAATATCATATAGCTAATATATTATTGATAAATTAATGTTTGACAAAAACAGATTTCTGCACAAAATACATAGTACAAAAAAAGGGTTTCGGTTTCATTTAAAAATTTAAAAGTGAAATAGGAAATGGACCTATATAAAATTAAAGAGAAAACCGGAAAATAATAAATGAAAATGAGAGAAGGGTAAACTGTCTTTTCTAGTTTGGTTGGAAGGTCAACTGACCTGTTTGATAACTATATAGATAAATAAATACGTTTTAAATATATTTTAATATTAAAATTACCCAAATACTTAAGATAGTATTTTGTAGAAGTGTTTAAATTATTTGAAATTACGAAGTTTTTTTGTTTTATACGATTACAAGTTATGTAATTTGTTTGTACTATTATTAGTCTTTTAAGATCAAATTTATAGTATACAATTGCATCAATATTCAATTACATATATCATACCTTTCCAACTTATCATCTAGAGCAGTACCATCTTCTTTATTGGCCATAATGTGAATAAGTCGGCTCTTACTAATTTTATTACTGTTCTTTTTATATTAAATGTATAATCGTTTTTATAGATGAACCGAAGACATGTTATGGTAAGAATGAAGATACTTTATAGTCACCCAAAAACACCGATTTATATGTGCATATTTATAAATAAAATAAATAATTGAGAGGAGCACAAAAAAACCACAAGGTAGTATAATTATATTATTCAATTTCGATATTTTTTTCTTTTTACCGCCATCTTTAATCCTCTTCTAATAGTGATGAGTCATCACTAATAATATCAGATTTTACATACATTGTTTATGAATAAAGTTCTTGCATATCTAGCTATTCTTACCCAGAATTGAAGGGATAGTTCCCTAGTAGTTCCTAGATTACTTGTAGTACTACTCTGTTAACTTTATTCACTTCTGAAAATGTAAACTTCAGCAATAAGAAGACCTTTATCAAAGCATACGTCTGAAGTATAGCATTATTCGGGTGAATAATGTGAGTTATATTTAAAAAAGGCATTAGGCATATTGAATATGTGGTGGTAAAGATACAGACAAAAAAAAAATATGGATAGACCAAAAAAACCGACGATGAAGTACTCAAAATAACTGAGAAAAATGCTCATTGATGAATTTAAAATGCTAAAATGAAATGATGAACAGTAGTGGAACATGTGCATAGACATAATGAAGATGTACATTCTACACAATATTATAATAAAAGGTGTAATTAAGAAGAGAAAATACCATTAGGATGATTTCATAACATTAGGAAAATCATGAAAAATGCAAGAGTAAGAGACTACAAAAGCCTACAAATGACAAATGCCTGTTTTTAACAGAGACAAATAGCTATAAACCAACCTAAGGTTTGAAAAAAAAGATTCTTTAAAATTATTCATTAAGTATTCTAATTGATTAATTTATTAAACTGCATAAAAACTGATGTTTTATGGAAAAAAAATCGAAATAAATTTAATGGGTCACCTTGCTGAGTTTAGTAATACTAGTATGGCGGCATACTAATCTAATCAGAAACACTGTGTTAACTAGTCAAAACTTCAACTTGAATATTATGTAATAATTGCCAGGATAGGTAACCTATCTAAGTAACCTAAGGTAACCTGAGGTCTAAGTGAAGGGGAAATCGTATATAATCAAATATTTAAAAGTTGATTTTTAATTGTTTTAGATGTTTTAGATAAATTACCTAAGATAATATATTTATATGTGTATCCAACATTATGCGTTGTATATTATTAATAATAATAATTTGAACAGAATTAATAACAACATCTATAGTTTGTCGTAATGGTGAGTAGTGTACTAGAATTGTTAATTTGAGTACAAATTCTTAAATTAATGTTATTTTATTATTTGACTTAAAATATTGGTAAATGTAAACGATTTCTATTCAAGGAACTGACCTATTTGAATTATGGAAAACTGCAACTAAAATGAGTAAGTAATACTAATTGTTGATATTTAACAATTATTCATCAATTTAATTTAATCAATAAAAATTTAAAATCTGAAGTTTTATCATCAATAATAATATGTTGTTAATTATAGTTAATCTTATGTTTTAAATATAAGACATTTAAAACATAAGAAGACGTCAAAAATGAAATAAAGTTCAATGGAAAAAGTATAAAAAAAATATAAAAAAGATATGCTTATAATACAGTTATATTTGAAAACAATAATTAATATAACAAGTTTTTAAAGAATCATAAATAAAATAGTAAAGACTAGTGAAAATTTTGGATTGTCTTCTAATTAAAAAAAAATAAATTATATGATAATTTCATAGAAAAAAGTCCGAAAAGTCTCTCAAAATTATAAAAAAAACTACAAATGTCTCAAAAAGTAAAAAGACCTGAATATGCAAAAATATGCATTACAAAATTATAGATTTAGTATTTTTTTTTTTAACATGAAACAGATTTCTTCCACACCTTATTTTATGACTGCGTAAAATAAATGTGCAAATGCTAGAAGTCCATTATTCTACTTAGATAAGTAACTTACATAATATGCTGTTATAATTTTTAACTTTTTTTTATTAGGTACTAAAAATTTGAACATCGAAATTTATTATAAATAATATTCCATCTATTTAAGGCATTTTTAATGTAGGTTGCCATTTGAAAATCAAAAAAAGGTAGTCGTTTCACCACCAAAAAAAAGGTTGTATTATCATTTTAGAGATATTTATTTCTTAAGTTTTCAAAACAAAACAATTTCGAAAATAGTTAACACTTTCCAAAAAAATGAATGTTATCATGTTGCACTCAACTGATGTTAACACCCCGTAAAAGATATTGTACTCGTGTTGATAATTATTTAATTATTTAATGGAATACGTTCAAGCATATAGAATATTGAATTTAAAAATGTTATTTTTTGAGAATAATTGTGATTATAATTATGTGGTGTTATAGCATCAGTTTGTTTAGGTTTCCTTTAAATACTAAAAACAAAATTATTTTTTACTATGAAAACTGTAGATCTAAAAAATTAAATTTATTTGTATTTCGAGTGTAAATTGAATATTTTTTATTTATTTTGTTTAAGTAGTTAACTAAATTTTCACCATGACTGGCTCTTCATTCTGCGAATATAATTTATTATTATTTTGGAAATAGTTTTGGTTAATAAATTACATTTACTGATTGAATAATTTCTTGTACTCCGTTTTTATTGAATTTATTACTATGTATAAGATAAGGTTTTAAAAAATTACTGGTTCGTGTTTAGAAATGGATGTATGAAGTATACATTTTATACGTCAAGAGAAATCATTTTGTAACCTGGCTCAATATTAATTTTATTATTTTTTTAATGAAATCATAAGTGTTTTTTTTTTATAGAAGTATTATTATTAATTTTTCTTTTATGATAGAGTCTAAATATTTGTATTTTGTCGTTTAACTATACTATTTTGTTTTACTATTTTATTAGATTTATTTTTGTAGTTTTTATTTGGTTTTACAGGCGATGCATTTATTTATTTTTTTATTTCTACATACCTATAAATTATTTACCTATATATATATTTATAATTCTAATTTGTTTATCAAACAAGAATATTGTACACAATTCAACAATTGTATTTGATCGTACAAGTTTCGTTTTTTTACAAATAGTAAATACTATTAAAACTTAGTTTTACCTAGTAATCAGGCTTTTATGGTAAAATTATAATATTTCAATATTAGTAAATATAAATATTTAGAACTGTTTTTGTACAGACTCTGTAGTAATTTAATGTCACCATAGTAAATTTTTAAATGTAGGATAAAGCATTTATTGTGGTACCGACCCAGGTTAAAAAAGATTTCCTAGGATAATGGGGATGAGTGTAACCACTGTTATATAGGTGAGAAGTTGGGGAGGTAGTAGAAGGGAAATTTAATGTATATCTATAAGCAACGATTAACCATTACTAACGAAAAAACAATTCTGAGCGAAGTTCGGTTGATAGTGTTGCTTTGTTAACAATATATATATGTCATATTATGGTAACATAACTACATATTTAGTAATATTTGTTTAATAAAATTATTTCTATTTTCCCGTTTTTTCTCCATTTTGCCGATTTTTCGCATTTGTTGAGAAAACTTCTGGAAAAATCAAAAAATGACCTCCCTAAAGTACCTCTCAAGTGCGAAAAAATAAAAATAAAATAAACATCGTTGTACCAATACATCTCTCGCTCCGTTCAGAATCTAAAATACACATTATATCAAACTCAATAAAAAATAGTAAAATATTTATAGAAATTTTATCTGATGTTATCAATTTACAATCAAATTGATTAATTTAAAGAAATTAATCACTTTTATTATATTTTTTCTATTTTTAATTTTTAGCTGATGAAGAAGTAACAACACAGAATAGTAAGTTAGAAATACAATAATTGGTACTATATTTTATTTATTTTATTAATTTATCATTATAAATGATACACGGGCATTAAGCACAAAAATATAATTAATTAAAAATGTATAATTAAATAAAAATAATTAATTAATAATTTGTAATTGAAATAAAATATGTATATAGTTAACAAATTAAAAAGTTTTCAATACATTACAATTAGTATAATTTTTAAATAATTAATTACAGAGAGAATATAATTAAGTGCTTATTGGTCAAATGCATCATCCGATCAATAGAATTATTTTTACTATAAATTACTAATTAGAGCTATTGAACGGAAAATACAAATTTAGTACCAGTACCAGATTTTGCGATACTCTTGGTAATATATTCTGGAAGGTACTGAAAATAACTTTACATATACATTACACATTATTTTATTCCAAAAATAATTTTTATCGTATTAGTTATTTTTGCCTTTATCCGATCTTCCAAAACAAAAAACCATTTAAATCTAAGGCTTACAATTTTAGTGAAACACAATATAATATATAGGAATTTAGGACAAAAAATTCTGTGTTCAAATATTAAGTCTAAATAATCAACGGAAAAAAAAATCTAAGAATAAAATAACCAATGCATAGGACAAAATATTCAAATAAAAAAAATTTAAATATCGGTTTGAAAAGATAATAGTAATAAAAATCGCATAATTTTTTTAATCAGATACATTTTAAAATCATATTTTACAAACATTTAGTTATAAATTTTAATATAATAATAATAATATATTGCGTACAATGTTTCGTAAATTAATAATTATATCTTTAGTCAGAGTTACACTATATCGTAGTGACATGTGTCAGTTATGTATAATATTTAAATAGGTGTTCAAATTAATTATAAAAATGATGATAAAAAATGTAAAATAACAATTTTTTTAAAAAAACATATAATTACATAGGAAATTATTGTTAATTCAATTAAATTAAATGTTAGCTTGTATATTATAATATGAATATTGATTACCTTTTTCAATATCGTTGACAGGGAGAAACGCAAGCCCATCTATGATCGCACAAAATTTATTGAACGTTTCATCTTCTCTATAATATGTTTCCAGTTCTAGTTTTTGCACTTGTCGTTGAATACTTTGGCACAAATGATAAAAGTATTTGGATATCATCTCCGAATGTAATTTTTATCGCATTTGTAACAGCTTTCTCAAAATCAAAATTTATTGTATTTGGATCAGGGTACATTTCTAGTTCTTCACATTTTTCCATAAAAATATTTAATACTTCTTTATACGTTGTTAGTATTCTTTTTTCGAGTGAAATAAATATAGCCGTGATGTAAACATAATCTATTTCTACTCTTATTACATAAAGTTGTTGAATATTTTGGGCGCGAGAGAAAAATGTCCATCCATATACTATGTAGATGATTTAGTAAAATATCGAGGACCGTTATTAGTGGCAAATATGATCATTCGTTCTCCTACCATTATACCACTGTCGTACAACAAAAACCTTGTTAAATTTGTCACTCGGAATCAACTCTGAATACTTGTATTAGAATAAAGATAAATTTAGAGAAAGGTGGAATAAGAATAGGGGGAAGTGTGTAAAGGAGAAAGTATTCTTTTAAACGGATGGGTTACTGTAGTCTAATGTGGTTTGAATTTATTAATTTCATAACACAAAATAAATTAAACGAATTGTTAATTGACGGATTTAAAACGCTTCACTACAAAAGTTACACCGACACACAACACGAAATAATTGTTCAATAATTACCGATAAACTATAAATATTACAATCAATACCTACGCTTCTATACCGATGGTAGCAGATAATTATTGTAGATAAAATTGTCGTCTTGCACTGAAATTTGATACACGTAATTGCAGTGTAAGGCCCGTTCTTACAATGTCCGGTTAAGTGTCGGTTAGCGCTAACCGGCAGTTATACTGAAATTTAACCGACAGTTGGTTCTTACATACGTTGGTTAAGGAAAAAGTCTCCGGTTACCAGAGGTTATACGATCGGACTTTTAACTGACGGAATTCTACCAGTTATCATCCGGTTAAGTTAAAATCTCTCGGATTATGTTACCAATGGGTACTTGTCAATAGGTAATTTTTATGATTATTGTTATTGCTCATAATTTATTCTGTACTACTAATTTTGTGTTTTATGAGTTCATCTTGAGTTTATTAGTATAATGTATACATTTTTGATTTGTTTTTACTTTTTTGTTAGAATTATGAAAAGAGCAATATATAACTGCTGTTTGATTGAAAGTGGTTCTTCAGACTACGAAAATGAAATGTCAGAATTGAATATTGCAATTAGGAAACAACATTTTTCGGTAACACAAGAACTATCTCGAATAATTAGACAACAGTTGGTTTTGTAGCCAACTCGACCAACGTAGTCTCTTCCGTTGTAAAAAATGACTGCTACGTGGTCTCTTATAATTTATTGACATGTTTTAAATACTTAAGATGCCAACAGTTAGAACGTTAAATAGGTAACGAAGAATATGTCAATAATCAATATGAATATTATAATACCGGGTTTTGTTTTGTAAACAGACAAGTAAATATTACATTATAACATTTATATTAGTTATAACGAATTATCTGACTGTAGATAATAATAAATGATAATTTAAGAATTGCGCGTGCGTAGAACAATATCATTTGGTCATGGACGGATGTTTTGGGAATCACAGTCGGTAAAACTGCAGGTTAGTTATACAATCGTTAATCGAAGATCGTAAGATTACCGTAACCATCACTTTACCGACACTTTTACCGCCACTCTTAACCAGACATTGTAATAACAGCCTTAAGACCGATAATTAAAGCTATTATATAAGTATTACAAGTATTATTACATATAAGTATACAACACAATATTATTATAATATTAAATGTTTTTAAAATGTGGTTTAAAAATGAACAATTTATCTAATTAAAAAATAATGTAATTTTTATTAATATTCTCTTTTCAAACAGGTTTTTAAAAGTTTTTTTATTTGGACATTTTGTCTTGTAAATTGGTTATTTCATCCATTGAATATTTCAATACAGGATATTTTTTCCTTAGATATTTTATCCCAACACCAATATATAGTTGATACATTTGTCACATTATTTTGTTACCATTTAAAACTAAGAATTTGATTATGCATATTATGATTGAATCAATCATAATCATTCAATCTATGTAATGTTCATCAATTAGATTAACGAGCAATACATAGAAATAAATATTAATAACTAAAAAAATATGACTTTATAATGTTTAGTACTGGTTCAAGATTATATATTGTATCTTCAAACTATAATCGAATTCCGTAAGTTATAATAACTAATAAGTTTAGTTTCTAATAAGATTTAGTTTTATTGGGAGGGGAGGGAGGGCGACACTAAAATTATTATGCACAAGGTATACATCTAAGCTTAAATTCTACTCTATATCATAATCTTATAAGTTATAATGAGGTGGTTTTATTTATAATTTTGTGTCTGATGACATTTTTTTACAAAAATAATGCTTAACATTCAATTTCAAAGAAGATTCTGAGATTTATATATATATATAAATAGCAAATATATATAACAAATACCTACACTAATTTATTTATGGGGGAGGGGCGATTGTCCCAGCCTCTCAAAAATGACACTGACCAAAGTCCAGTTTTTCATCAGGGATGATTTCCGGTAACAAATTAGCAAGTCATTTGATGTATTTTGAGAAGCCATTTTTTAATTTTCTTTGCACTTTTTTTAATAATATGGGAAAACTGAAAACACGAATATTTATCGATTTAGTTTTTTTTATAGTAATTCAGTGAACATTGTTCTATTAGAAATCTTGCTCCAATTTTTAAGTATAACATATACCATACTACTATGGGGTCCTTAATTTTCTTGGTGGTTTTATTAATATGTAGAACAAACAGAGAAAATACGTAAAAAACAGAATAGTTTACGGCAATAATGGTTTTATTATTTTTGATTTTATTATGTTTTTGTTATTTGAAGACAAATTGTGTTATTGTCAGAGAACAGAAATTTTAACAGATTAATTTTACTAGCAGTTTTTTAGACAACTTCTTGTCAGATTTTTAAATTGTATAAAAAAATCTAATAGAGATCTAGAAATTGTTTCAAAAAAAATATCCTCACCTTTTGATCATTTTCACAATCCAAAAATGTGTTTTCGGAGACAGTAATAGATTTTCAACTTTTTTCTAAGAGGGGTCCTGAAAAATCATATGTATTTCAAAGGTATCTCTATTAATAGATGCTTCTTTTTTAAACGAAATTTATTGAAATTATATCAGTGTTTGGGCAGGGTCCAGACCTCCTTGACCCCCTTCATAAATCCGCCACTATTCGAAGAAAAGCAAGTTAAGAAATCTTTTTCTTCGAATGTGCAAAATTGCAGGTTTCTAAATGTATTCTATATAATAAACAATAATTCCATACATCATTTTGAACAAATTTGGTATCTTAGTATACCCATTACTTATATGCTTATTTGTAGAAACCTTTATAAATTAAATAATTTAATATGTGAATAGTTTCTATGTATAAAAGTATTTATGCTTTGGTACCCATTTTTTTTTTTTTTTTATACCTGTTGGCTAGTATGCATTTATATTTATATTATATTAATAACAATAATAATGTGTTGTGAACCAAATCAACAATCGTAACCATATACTAGTAATTATACGGATGGACCGCGGACACATTGAAGATATAAGGTGTTCTAAACTTATGTTTAGAAATTTGAATACCAATAAAAAGTATCTTGGGGCTGAATTGTTTAAAATTTCAAAAAGAGTTTTTTAAAATATTCAATGATAAATCGGAGCATTTCACTGATCAAAAACGCATTGTCAAAAAAAATATTATGCACAATTTTTTGAAAAAAATATTTGAAGTGTCGACTTTTTTTCATATAAAGTATCACCATCAGTAATCAAATCAGCATCTTGTGTACCATTAAATATATGTAATTTATAAATAAATAATATTTTAATTTTATTAATTTAATTGTCTATGCGATTATTTTAAATTATTGTAATATTTATTCGTGTACCTAACTTTCAATAAGTTAAATATTATTTCCAATAATTTATTGTAATATCATAACATTTAGCTAAAGACAAAGATGGTAAGTACTACGTGCAATACATTTGTCATATTCAAATGTGAAATTAACCTTTTCATGAAAATGTATCCATCTCATAAAATGGAATTTGATTTTGTTATTCTTCGCGAATACAAAAATAATTTATGGAATGGTCACTAAAAATTGGCATCGTGTAATTATATTACAAAATGGTGGACTATAGGTATCGAAATAAAACTCGAAAATGTCAAAACGGGCGATTTCCCTGAATCGAATGATTTTTAAGTACAAGTAGTATAATATACCATACAGTTGTATAACATGTAGTTTTATGTTTTAATGTTCCTTTATTTGTTGGTTATTCAATTAATTGACAAAAAATAACTATTTTTCAATCCGATGATACTCGTAAATGTCACTCTTGTATGTAAGGAATTGCATATAAAAAGTTCTCTTCAATTGTTTTAAAAATGGAAATTGATCAACTTGGAAATATTCAAAATTCACATTTCAACAAATATACAAGTATTTTCTAATCATAAGCACAAGTAATTTTTGTGTAATGATATAAATTAAAATATTTTTTAAAAACTGTTTCACGAGGGATAAATTAACTATTCCGTATTTATTATTTATAATACAGTTTCCGAAATTGCATAGCACATTAAAAATAATTTTTGTTATATCTTCCTAAGTATATTTTTTTTATATACACTGCATAATGCTAATTATTTTTTTGGAGATTTTCGGTTCTTAGGAGTTTTTATTATTATACTTTTTAAAAAAAAGTTAAACATCAAAATAATAACTAAAAAAATGTCAAATTGGAGTGACCATTTCAAAAAATATTTTTTTATTTCACGAAATGTTAAAAAGCCATTTCAATTGCATACAATTGAAAACTATATTGATTAAAAGACTAATTTCACAAAGCGTATACGATGGTTTCAATAAATTTACATTTTTTAATGAACATACGAATTATTACATTTTCAAAATCTTATTTTAGTACGCAAAGCATACCTGATAAAAAATTATTGTGAATTAGGTATGTAATAAGTAGTTATTAAATAATTATAATAAGTACAGACCGGATTTACGGAAAAAAAAAATTACTAAAAAATTATAGTCGAACAAAATACCTCTAGTTATTATAACTATTTTATAGGTGAAACAACTAAAATGATATAATTATTATGATTATATTAATAGTTGTTTGTTACGGTAATCTTTACTAAATTTTATAGTTGTTCTATTTTTTAAATATTTAGTTGTCTAAAAAATATATTTAAAATAATTTACTAATATCAATAGTTGAAATTATTATAAAAATAAGCACCTACGTATATCTGCAGTTTGATTTCTGTTTTTATTCGCTTTTTGAGCTAAGGAATATTGTATTCCAATAGTTTTAAATAGTTTTAAGTAGTTTTAAGTATTTATGTATTTATGTATTGCATATTTATCTAGTATTATTCTATACTCATTATCCCTTTGTGATGTTAAAAAAAATAAATAAAATACAAATTTTAAAAAAATTTAAAGATTACCATATAGTGACTATAATTTTGAACATTTTGATATTTCAAATTTTTATTTTAATTAAATTCATGATTTTTAATGACTTTTTAAAGTTCACAAAATAAAGAGTACAAGTGTACAGTAAATAGTCAGACAGCCAATATTTTATTTTCCCCACTTATTTTCAGTTGTATAATATTCAATCAGATTAGGTTTCTTTAAAGTTATTTTCAGAAATATTATAGTGTTCATTAATTTCAAAAACAAAATAATTGTAAACTAATGTTTGAAAATACTTACAATGAATAGCTATAATTATATAATCCTCCTCTCAAATATCTCATATTCTAAGATCCTATTATTTTGAATCCATGTTTTTCTTGTATCTACTTAAATATTTTAATAAAAAGTCAATATTAATATCTGAAATGTGTTAAATTGAAGCAATTTCATATTGCATTTACAAAAGATTACAATATAATTTGTTGTTTTCTGATTTTCTTTCAAATCGCAGAATCATAGCTCTAGAAGTGGTATTCAATCTACCTATCGATTTTTGGTATCAAAAATATTATACTGATCAATTAGGTATCCACTTGAATCAAATACTGAAAAAATTACTGCTATTTTCTAGTCATTTTCATTTGCCTATATGAGAATAATGGTATTACTTTTACTTCAGTATAAAAGGACTCATTACTACATTATATCTCAGATCCTATGACAATTGTGTACATCAATTATCAATAATTACTTATAAAACTACTAAACACTAACCAATTAATAAATGGTATTTATGATTTTGGCTTATTTTTCTTTTAATAAATCAATATAGCTCAAATACATTACTATAAATGTGTATTAATTTTTGTTTGGTATGAATTTTTATGAATATTTATTTAGTATTGAGTAATGCCTGTAATGGTGAGAATATTAAACTTTTAATAATAATTCAATATATTATTTATATATAACTAATTAAACTGTCTTTTTCATATTTGTTATCCATACAAATTTGTATTGTACGATTTATAATTTCAATATTTATTTTTTTAAACAGAATATTTACGAATAACAGGTTTCAGGACTGACAAAAGTTTGTAAAATATATTATACCTTATTATATTATAACCCTAGTAAATTTATTATAGGGCTTGTACTAAAATTTAAGCTATGTTGATAAATTTATAACTTTCTAACAGTGTTGTGTGCCAATAGTTTTAATAATATAAATAATAAATTGCTATATTTTATTAATTATATTTATATCTCTAATTTTTATTACAGGAAATATTTAAATTAGAGTAAACATTTGTTAAATTTATTAAATGTGAACTTCAATAAATCTATGTTTATCAATCTTCTGGATTAGAACAATTTAATTCACTAATTTTAATAATACATGTATCTGATAAAATTGTACGATATAAAATTTGACCAGAATTGTGAATTCTCGATTAATTTTTTTCAACAATCCTTATTTAATAATATTTTTTGAATAATTGGCACACGATATTTGGTACTAATCTAGTTCTATATCAAATTATATATAATCATGGCTGCCTTGAACGGCTTAGCCCACGCAAAATATTGTTTTTATCACTCGATAATAGTGTGTAATAATGTATCTAACAATGAAGTATAAAAAGCAAAGGGATGGATTTAACTAGCTATAGATAGTTATTTACTTATAATTTTTCTGTATCTTATCTAAATAAATCATTTCAAGTTATCTTAGGTAAATATTTCTCTTATTCGGATAATTTTATTTTTATTTTATGAAAAATATTAAACAATAGGAATTCAAAAATGTTTTTGATTCTGATTTTTTTTTTTTTTTAAGATAGTTAACATCATTGATTATTTATATTATGTACCTATAAATAATTTTTAAAGAGTTAATTAATACATTATGTTGTATCTATACATTTATCTATCCGATAAACTTTAAATACGAAGGAATAATGATTGAGTGACTCACTCAAATGCAGTCTAAATCAAAAAGTAATTGTTCGATCAAAATAATACAACGTACTGAATCATTCGATAGCCAAAAAAAATGACATGACAGCGTTTCAAATAAATTCATTTTCAATCTAATTATTCGTTTTTTGAGGTTAATAGTGAATTCTTTGCACATATAAGTGTCTCCGATAGTTATACTGAAAAACGTAAGCTCTCAATTGTTCATTATAATTATTTAATCTACGGTACTCATGTCCAATTTGAAGTTTTCGAGAGTTTACTGTATCTTTTCCAATGGTTTGCATAATTTGTAGGAAAATAATTGTAAAAAAACGATTTGAATGAAAAATAATAATTAATAATAATAATCGGAACATTTTATTCAAAATTTAATCTAACTAAAAGCTAGTTTTAAAAAAAAATGGGTAACCATGACTTACCTAAGAGTATTAAAAACACTCGGATAAGGATTTTCTATAATATGTTTTCTGTTATCAAGGTTCTATTATATTACTTTAACTATTGTTATCACATGATTATCACATTTTCAAAATATTTATGTTCCGATATTGTATCAACAAAATTATGAGTATTTGACATCACATCTATCTCCAATGCTTATTACTTATACTTACTATACATACTTCTGTCTAATTATTTTCAAGACCAGCACTATATCATTATTTTTATTTTATTCCCATTTATTTTCACCGCTAATTATTTTTAGTTGTTATGAAATTAGGTTTCTATAGTTATTTTCAACGATTTTAGTATTCAATACAGTTATTTTTCAGGAAACTATTTTCAAACTAATGTTTGAAAATAGTTATTATTAACTATAATTATATAACTTTCTTCTCAAAGATTTCATATTACAAAATTTTATTCTTTTGAATCTACGTTGATGAAATATGAGGTTAATATTGATATCTGAAATTGTTTAATTGAAGGGAGACATAATGCAAATAAAAAGAATACAATATTATATAATAGTTTCTCATTTTATTCCAAATTGAAAGACCGTAGTTTCATAAATGGTAATCAATTCTACCTATCGACTTCTTGTATCCAAATACTACACTGATCAATTAGGTATCCAGTACTGGAGAAACTATTTTCTAGTCATTTTCATTAAGCTCTTACGAAGATATTCTTATGGCTCTTACCATAACTAAAAACCTATTACGACAGTAAGGAAGTTAGCCAGCATAATAAAAGTATGCTGAACATTTTTCATTGATGGTAACATAGTCCTATATATATATTAAGATTAATTATTGTTAATTTCATATTTTGTAATTGAAACTTTTTTTTTTTATGAAACATAAGAGCAAGATTGGGACATAAAGAATAATTTTCCGTCTCTAGAGTATAATCGTAGGTTTGCTGAACTTTTAAGTAAGTATTTTAAACTCTTTTGATTTGACTTAAAGAGGTTGGAGTGCACATACTTTTCATGTATTTTAGATTAATAAGTGGTAGAGAATTAGAAATATTAGATATACATTTTTAAAGTGTTAATGCATTTGTTGAAAAATAGTAGGTTTCTTAGGAAGTTAATTTTAAATTTCAAGTTTTGTAGACCTCAAAAATTATGATGTTATTTTTGAGAGTGCTGCGAAAATACCAAATTAAATTTGTATTTATTTTAGGCATATCTTATTTTAAATTGAAAATATACGGACATTCAAAACATATGTATAACCAAACTTCCTACCGAATCGTATTTCGTTAGAAATAGTTTATTGTTGCTTACAGGTGTAAGTTAAAAAACTTTATACATCCTACTTTCTCAAGTCCATAGAATTAGCTTTTTTTTTAAATAAACAAGTAAAACCAATACTTTTCTCGCTTCGCTTAGAATCAAAATTTAAATTTTAAAAAAATATTGAAAATAACAAAAATCATTATTTTTGTAAATTTTTCCATTCTTTCCGTGACGTTTTTGATTTTACTCAATTATTACAAAATTTTATACTCACCAACTTGATCAAAAATGTAATAAAACAGTTCTCTTGTCGTTTTTTGATTGGAACAATATTTCTGGTAGAAAACATCGTACGTAAAAATTGAAAATAATAAAATCGTATGCAGTAAGTTTGTTCGTTTTCCATTTTTCGTTCTTTCCTTATTTTTAAATATTACGAAAACTAATTGGAAAATCGAAAAATGGCCTTCCTAATGCACTAACTAGATAAAATTTCCTTTCAGAAAAGTTGTTGCGCTCTATACTTAGTAGCAAGATTTCTTTTCGTAAAATGACTGAACAAAAAAAGAAATCAAAAACACTCATTATAATAAATCAATTGTAAATAGATCCCTTGTTACGCTTTGAATCTAAAAGCATAATTTTCATATATTTTCCTTTGTCTTCTACATTTTAAATTTTAAGTGGATCTCATGGCTGTTTAGTATTTCTTGTTTTAATCTTCACTGCTTTGGCTTTTAATTTATATGCCTGTCAGTTTTTTCTTTTTCAAAATGAGTGAAACAAATAAAAAAAAAATTATAAAAGATTTGTTTTAAAACAAATTTATTAGCAGTAATTTCATAGGTATTCAAAATATTAAATAATTTACAAAAATGTAATCAGTTACATTTATTTGACATTTTTTATAAAATTGCATGTGTTATAATTAATCAAGACTTGGCTAGTATGACCAGACGCGATATAGGCGGGATGGTAGCAATTGTTTAATGAGCATCCCGTTCAATTTTTGAATCTAATTTAAGCGAGGAATGTATTGGTTTTACAATGTTGTTTATTTTTTTTCCTAAAGCTTTGTCACTCCAATTTTTCAAATCAGATGATAAATCCAGTATTAATCCTCTACAAACCTGATTTTGACTTGTTTTAGATCTTAAATATTTGAGACATCAATAGGTGATAATAATTAATGGCAATATTTCCCCAATAATTATTGCTCTAAACGAGTATATTAACGACTTCGACTATCGTTTATTGCAAGATTAACACCCTAGTGAAATAGTTTGAATGTATTGGTGTGAATTTAATGTAAATAAATGTCAGTTTATGTCATCCTTCAAATGTCATTCTTTAATTTATTACAATTACTCGATAAACAATATAAATATATCCTCGGTCATCTGAAAGACCTGGAAGTTTTTTAGTCTTCAGATCTTAGTTATCAATCTCACATTTTATTATTAAGTTATAAGGCCTATAAGACTTTGAGAGTCGTAAAGCGGATATCGTCTGATTTTAAGCTCAATTTCACACTAAAAACTCACTATTGCTAGTTAATTCGGACCCTGATGGAGTATGGATTAGTTCTGTTGGATCCTTACTTTGCTTCGGATTCTGTTACCATAGAGCGATTATAACTTCCGACCCAGAAGTAGTATAAGCTGTTTTTTATATATGTAATATTATTGTCGTTTTGTAAATGATCAAAAATGGGGTATGTTGTCTGGGATTTTTGATAGTTATAAAAAAAATGTCCTTACACCTTAGACTGAATTTCAAACTACCTTAAAGCAATAACACTAAAATAATTAAAATCAACATTTTTAGAAAAAACATTCTTCTTTTTTGTAACTAAGTTTATAAAAAATTAATATATGTTTTTGATATACAGAATAAAATAATCTTTTAAACTAATTATAAACGGTATTATTATTAATTGATTAATTTAATTGATATAGAACCACAAGACATCGATCCAGCAGCTAAAGGTTAGTTATCATCACATAATTCATTAAATTAATTAATTAATTAATTAATTTCAATTTTCCGATTATCCAATTCTCTAAACATATAATGCAAATTAAGAAGATATGATATGATATGGAGGATTGATAATAGAGGTACGATTAAAAGTTGTTTTGACTAGAACCACGGCTGGCTCATATATATTTATACGATCGTGCCTAAAGGATTTCATAAATACATTTTAGAAAGTCATTAGCAATAACAAAATGTATATTTTAAAAAAAATTTAAATAAATAAATAATGAAGGAAAATCGTTTCATACTGTTTGCGCACGCCATGCTGTTTACTGACAGTTGACACTGCTTACTACGTGCTATTTGCGGAACAAGAGGTACAACTTATAACTACAAATAAGGATGACGATGTAATTTATGGTAATTATTCAGAAGAAACCACCCGACTACTACTTATCAGGCTGTTGAACGATCTTGAATTGACGAAATTTAACAATCATCAGACAATTACTATTTTCCTAGACATGATAAAAGGTTTCAACCGAGTTTTGCATAAACACCACACCTTCTGCACTGATGTCGCACTTTCATTAATTAAACTTATACAGTCTTTCTCTCAAGCTCCTCATTTTGTATTAAAATTAATGACTCCTTTTCATCTACTTGACCATTCAAAGCAGGAGTTCTTCAGAGGTCATGCATCTCTCAGCTTCTTTACATCATCTACATAAATGATATACTGTCCATTATCAAATCCAAAACGGTGCTCTTTGTTGACGGTACAATGTTTTATACCGAACACAGAAACATAAAATATGCAGCCAAATCCGTACAAAACAATTAGACCTTTCTTATGTCTGGTTAGAAAAATGGAGACTCAAATTAAACCTAATCAAATCTACTAGGTACTTCAATATTTCGAAATAAACCAAAACAGCCAAAACTTTTTAGCTTTAAAGGCCTAGAACATAAGTGGGTCCCTTTAGTAGAAAACTTACATAAAAGTATATAAAAGTGTTATTTATTTATTGTTATGGATTACCATAATAATATGGATGAAAAAAAACCATGTGAAATATAAAACAATATTAAAAATATTTTACTTTACAAATTATTTACGGCCGAAACCGGGTAATACAGATAGTATTTTTATATAATAAGGCGATATTAATCCAAAATTTAAAAAAAATCATCGTTATTTGAACAAAAACGCATTTTAGAACTTGAAGGGTTAGGAGACAGGCGTTAAACTTAGCTAGTTTATATAAAACTTTGTACACTTCATTTAAATACATATTAGAACCATGTTAGAGGATAAGACTTAAAAAAAAAAAATTTTGAAAAATAAGAACAACCCTAGAATCCAGAACCATTCTATACGTGGATTAATTAAAATAATATTATTTAATATATTTATGTTTAGAATATGTTACTGGTTACATAAAATTTATCAATGGTATGTTATATTTTATGCATTAATAGCTTACAAAATGTTTTAACACCATAGAAAAATATTAAATGATATATATAGTGTAATAATAATAACAGTAACAATTGTAACATTTAACAGTTTCGAGTTTTAAAATTATTCGTTTTTGGTTTTGAAACTGTGTTTTTGGTTACCAGTATCCACTACAGTTCATAGTGAATATTCCGGAGTTCAAGATGATGTGTTTTTCCTATTATTCTATTAGTTATTCTTAATATAACGCTTAATATATCATTTAAAAATAGAGACTAATTCATCGCATTTAAATGGTTGCAATATTTAAAAAAATAAACGCATTATCTTGTCCTTCGGAATAATGTCCTCTTAAGAAAAATTTATACTTACATACTCTGTCTTTGTCTTACAAACATACGACATAGAAAATTTGCATTTAGGAAGGACAATTTTGTGTTGTTAATTTTAATCACGAACTAACATAATATGGACAGGTGGGTGATAGCGGTGCAATTGAGTTTAGAGACGGAGTAGATCTAAATTGGAGGGTGGATATGATTTTTGCGATGCTTTCCTGAACTATACTTTGTACGGTGGGTGAATGTATGTTGCATACACGGCTGTGAACGTGATACAGTTTATCTATTTTTGATTCATAAAATGTTTAAGAGGATTAAATCTATGTGATCACTCCTCCACGAAAACTCCATTTCAAAACTCGGCTGAAGTAACTGTTTCCGTTGCCAGTTCATATTATCTTAGTTTATTGTGTTAATATTAGAAATAATGAGTTTAATTTTTATCAAACTTAAAGGTAAGAATGTTATTTGTGCAACTAAGGAAGTTCTTTCAATATTTTAATTTTTAAACGAAAATAGGTGAAAAGTTGGAAAGGTAGTAGAGAGGAAACTTAATGTATATCAATAAACAACGATAAACCATTGCTAAAGAAAATACGATTTTGAGCGGAGTTTAGTCATTATATATATTATATATATATTATGATAAAATAATTATAAAAGCATTATATGAGTATATTTCTTTTAGTAATATTTGTTTATATTGTACCTATTATCCCATTATTTTCTTCTTTTTTCTTATTTATTAGGGAAAAATAAAATATGATCTTCTTAAAGTACCATCCCAGTTTGATTTCCTTTCTGAAAAGATGGTGTACTTAAAAATTTGAGCAAGATTTCTGATAGAAAATTTGTTCATAGAAAAAAAAGCATCATTGTAAAACCATACACTTCTTGGCTCCACTCAGAATCTAAAATATTACAATTTAAATATACTTACATCTCTCTTAAAAAGTATGATAATGAACACTATTTACATGGTTGCACAAAAACTCTTACTATTAAGTTTAACAATAGGCCAAAGTGAACTATTAGAGTCAATTGTATCTTTAATATTTTAACCATGTTGATTAGAACTAAGAATTACGCATTCCTACGACACGAATAGAAATAAAAAGTTATTCTTGTGGTCACACTGAATAAGGTTTACACGTTGTACGATAGGTTCGCAATAATCCCAAACTCAAGAAGTCGATTGTAAAATCACGGATAGTAATTTTTCGTAATTAAGTAAAATAAATAGTTTCCCTGCGTCTATAAGAACAAGGCCATTTTATTTTTACAAATCGACTATTTTGAAAATTTTAAACATGAAAAATAAAAGATCATTAATGATAGTAAAAATGCAATATTTTTCTCTACATTTGTGTTCCTCTGACACATTAGTCAAAAGAACAAAAACAGTTTTTAAAATGAATATTGACACAGTTATTAGCATTCGGATAACACTGTAGGACTTTATATAATATGAAAACCTGTTTTTGATACTTTTCAAATAATTATTGTCAATAATAATGTGTTATTAAACCAGAGGTGTACTGAATGTACAGACGTACATTCGACGTCAGAAATAATACCTATGCAGAGTTAGTAAAAGATATTCGAAGGGACTAAACACAAATAACTTTAAGCATTGTAGCCAGTTACTTCATTTTCTTAAATTAACTTCAATCAAATAATAATTTAATACAATTTAGTAAATTATTACAAACATAATTCAGTACTTAATTACCTATACATAGGAATTATTAAACATGTTAAAAGTTCAATTCATACAATAACGCGTTATTTTATAAATATATGTCGTTTTATTATATGCAATAAATAACTAACACATATGAGTACAAGTAGTTAATATGAACATTTTAAACTAGATAACTTATTTTTATCATTATTTTGATTATGCAGAAGAGGCCGATGGTAAGCATACAAATTATCTAGTCTTAAAAGTACAAGACCGTTATTGATGTATTATAGTGATTTTCCAAATGATGACCATAATGTATACCTTATTTGCAACGTAATATTCAACCATTCCTATAGAATAGTGGTTCTCAACCAGGGAATGGGGTCTGGCTTAGGTGCACTTCATGCGGATGTAGTTAATTTGCATCAGAATTGACCCTAAATATATACAATACTTATAACTTGCACCATCTCAGGTAGTAAAAAATAGGAATTATAATTTGAACCAAAATTCAAATTGATAGTATCTTTTGATAGTATCTACGTACAATTTTCGTTATTACAGTATAATATATTGAGAAGCTAAAGACGTAAAATATTCTCTTTTAATTTTTAATGGTTATTTCACACATTTATTCACACCGTATTTACGGTATGTCAGTATTGACTTAAAAGGTAGGTATAACAATAATATATGGCAGATATATTGTATATTATTATAATAATTGTATTATAACAAAATAATAAAGTAAAATACTCGAAAATAAATATAGAAATAAAAAATAAATGGATGAATGCTTCGCCTGGAGTATTATGTGCGACGAATAAAAAGTCGAAAAGACTTAGATTAGTATTTGGTCGAAATAATAAATTATGCGATTACAACGAATAATCAAATGTCAAATTTTGAAATGATTACTAGATAAGGTGACGAGTATTCAGGACTCTCGGAAATAATATATAAATATAATCATTTTAAATGTGAAAATGAAATAATATAAAACATTATGAAAGTTTGAAAATGTCCATCTAATAATGTAATAATAATGTTTTATAAAACGAGGATGAATTAATAAATTCATTCTTTAAAAACAGAATATTAACAGAATATCTTAAAGAAAACAATAATTTTTGGATTTTTAAAACTAGTAATCATAGGTCAGCTTAAATTGTCTATTATACCACTGTAGGTTAATTGAATAAGCACTCGACAATCGAATACATAGATACTTATTTTGGTGCGAATCACAAACTCCTCTTCATGCGATACCTAAAACGACAAGATTGCAGCCATGCATGGTCCTTTTGTGATTAAGTTATATCATATGCCATAGATAATAATTGACAATTAATTATTTTGTTGATAAATATTGGTTATTAAATGTAGGCTTAAAACATATATTTTTTTTTTTAAATAAAATGTTGGATTTAGTATTTTAATACTTTAGTAATTTTTTTATGTTATATTAGCAAAAATAGGTACCTAATAGTGTGGTCTTAAAATATTAAACCATAGTATTAATCAGATAATATTGTCATAAGTGCTATAAAAACCCTAAACTTTAAACATAAGTCATTGAATACCACATAAATACATAAAAAGACTTCGTATGTGTCATCTCTAACCACATAAGATAACTCATTAATTAAAATACTGATTTACAATATTTTTCAAACATTAAATCTACTGAAAACCAGACATTTTTTACTTATGTCGTTACCAAGCATCAAATAATTAATGAGCGTTGCTCAGGTTCCTCACAAATCCTACAAATGGAGATTCCATAAACCCTCCATTATACAGTCCACTGTTAATGACCCGACAACGTGATAAACCTGATGCGACTGGCTACTTAAATTATTGTTGACTTTGTAATGGTTAATATACGGATCCTTAATTCGCTGACGAATTAAAGTTAAGGAACAAACTTTGTTCAATCGTGATTTGCGGTTGATAATAATAACACAAACGATAACCTGGTTGCATACTTATGGTTTAAATATGTTATCAACCTTCCCATTACGACTACCACCATCTACGATCATTACCATAGGTGAATCTAGGGGGTATTCCAGTTTTTCCATAGCACACCCTATGAGTCGTGTCGGCTAATATAGGATCGATAATACTAATTTTAATACTTAAGGTACGACAAGTATTAAGTATAAACCTTTGTTTAAATTAAAAATAAATTTTATCAGGGCCGTATTTAAGGTTTGGTTCGGGAAGGGGGGAGGTATAGCCCCCCTGGTATTTGTTAGGATGCGCTAAATATTCAACTATAAAAAGTTTTCGGAAAAATTATAAATTGTATGAATAATTCAAAAATATTTTATATACGGAGTGATCAATCTACCATAAAACATTCATCATCTCGGAAAGTATTATTTTTATCGGAACGTTTTTTAGAATATTTAAGAAAAAAGCTACTCTATAATTTTATGTTTATAAATATCTCCATAATTTTCGTGTAATTTTACGAATTCGTGTTAAACCTGAATATTGTGAGTCAAAAAATTATATTGAAAGTGCTCCATGTGCACTTTATGCATTTGCCTGGATATACAAAATGAAATTATTTCGATTGTGGAAATTTAATTCTCGAAAAAATAGTTAATAGAATAAATAAATCAAAGTATTTTTCAATTATGGCTGATGAAACAACCGACATAAGTAAAATTTAATAAATGTTTTTCTGTTTCCAATATTTAGATATGTCCGATAATTATAATGAATTTAAAATAAGAGAAGATTTCTTAACGTTTGTCAGAGTAATTGATGTTACCGGAAATGGGACAGCATCAAGAATTTTAAATTCATTAAACAGCATAACAATTAATTTAGAACTATTATGTGGCCAAGGTTTTGATGAGGCGGTGGCTATAAGTAGCCATTAAAATGGCGTAGAAGCTAAAATTAGAGAAAATGATCCTAAAGCTCTATACATTCATTGTAGCGTTCACTCTTTAAACCTGGCACAAAAGCATACTTGTATAATTCAACAATTTCGAAATTTTATTAGAACAGTCTATACTATTCTCAACATTTTTAAGTCATCAGATAAGCGTTCACATATATTAAAACAAAATATTCTTAAGTATATACCAGGAACTAATAAAACTACATTAATTTCAATGTGTGAAACGAGGTGGGTTGAAAACCACGATACACTCCTAAGATTTATTTAAATTTATTGTCCAGTTTTGTACACTTTAGAAGAGTTGGAAAACAACCATAATAGAGACATGTCGTCTAAATCTTTACAATTACTTAATGCTATTATTAAAAGCGAATTTGTTATTAGTTTAAACATAGCTGGTGAATTATTTTCTCTGACTTTGCCCCTTTGCAAGGTTTTACAAAAAATAAAATGCGATCTTTATGAAGCATGCTAATATACTGAAAACATATCCGATATTTTAATGAAAATGCGAGAATACGTCAATGAAGAGTTTTCAGTTTTATTTAATAAATCTAAAAACATATGAGAATCAGTTAATAATAAATAGCTATGCCAAGAATTAATTCTCGCCAAACTAAACGCATAAACGTCAAAACCAACGATCCCGAAGAATATACTATCGAATTTCAATTTATATACCTCTAGTAGACGACTTTTCACAAAAACTAAATGACGAATTACATAATAACATAATAATAACAAGCCAGCAAAACGTTATCCCTAAATTTTGTTTCGACAAAAAATATAGAGATATTAAACCATGTGTTAATTTTTATATTTATAATCTAAACTCATTAGTTATTGAAGCAGAAGTTTTACTATGGCTGACAAAATGGATCAAGATTTTTAAATGCCATTAAATGTTTTTAACGCATTGTCCCAGTGCAATCTAAATATTTTTCCGTTAATTACTTATTTATTAAATAAACAGGGAGCTTTGACTGTATCAAAAAATTTGCAGCAAAACAAGCAAGAAAAAACTGAAATATAAATTAAATATGATATATTTATATTTTAATATATTAAAATATACTGTTATTTGTTATTATAATATTATTTACCCTCCACTGCATTTGCCTGTTTTTTTAGATTCTAAGTGGAGCGAAGAATGTATTAGTTTTACAAAGATGTTTATTTTTTTTTTGTTATGTGAACATTTTTTTCTACCAGAAACCTTACTCCGATGCATGATATCGCACCTTTTCTATAAGGAAATTTTCTTGAGGTGGTACTTTAAGGTCATTTTTTGATTTTCCTGGCTGTTTTCCCAATAAAAGGGAAAAGTAAAAAAAAGACGGAGGGAAAACGTGAAAATATACGAAATTTATTATTAAACCAAAAAAAATGTATGAAAAACGGGAAAATCAGCAAAATATTAAATTAATATTATTAAAGAAAATATATAATGCCTATTTAATTTTTTGACCATAATATGATTTATATATTGACAAAGCATCACTATCAACTGAACTCCACTCAGAATAGTTTTTTAATATCAATGATTAGCACCACCCCATCCAACTATACCATAAGAGATAATTGATTCTACCAAACCTAGATATATAAGGCGCAACTTACCTGGTTCTAAGATGTTACGGAGATATATTATCTTAAATATTATACATATTGTTATTTTAAACGAGAAATATCTCTACAATTTATGATGATTAAGAATTTTTTTTAACTACAGAGGGCCCAATTTAGGTTAAAGAACACCCTGTGATGAATTCCTAGATTCACCTATGATCATGATCACAATCACCAGTACCTTATTCTAAATACATGATATAAACCTGACATCTATCCAAACATCCGCCAAGTGAAATTAAATATATATACATTTTAAAAACAAATATTTTGAAATACACAAAATATTTATTTTTTGTAGAAAATAATCTATATGGATCAACATACCAATTTTGTGAAAACATAAAACAGTAAGAATCTACTAATTTTTAAATACCGTAAATAGTTGCATAATTTTTAATTTTTTTTTTGACTAGTCTTCTTTTTCTTTGCCTTCATACAATCTATTTGGGATTGGCCACTTTCATTCTAAACTTTATTTGACATGATCACTTTCACTTTACATACACCAGCTGTCCACATAATATTATCATTCTCAATAGCATCAACAACCCCTCAACAACCCCTCTTTTTCAGTTTTCCTCTTCACTTTTTTCCATCTATATTTATTTCTAATCCAATTCTTATAGCTTTAGATATTTTTTCCCCGCGATATGCCCAAACCATATTAGTCTATTTTCTCTCATTTCGCAAGCCTAAAATTATATTGATCTTCACGTAAAAATTACACATTCCCAATTATATAATTGGCTTAAGTACCAATATAATGAACTGCCATTTTTTCACTAAATAAAACAAACTTATGTGAAATTAATCATAATAATATGTAAACTTAACATACATATTAAATATATTCAATAATAAAATAATAAAGTAAAAACAAAAATACTAAAATGGTTAATAATCATAAATAAATAAAGTAAATAAATATATTCATAGATTATTATTTATTAGTTTATTACTAAACATTAATTTGGAACTTGTTCAATTCAAATTTAATCTTGAGGTTTTTAATGGAACCATTCATTTTTTATAATTTCTAGACATTATTTAGTGCTAAGTAAGAATACAATTTATTTTTTATAAAAATATTTACCCATAGTTTTAAGTGTTTTGATAATAAATTCTTATTCCATTAACTATTATGAATACTTACTATAATTTGTGCTTAAGTTTTAAAATAATATTTTGGTTAATATCTTACAGAAAATCTCACTTCAGATGAGGTAATTATTTAAAATATTTAAAATATATTTTTGTAAAATTATTTTGAAGGAAATTTAATTGGTTACTATATACTATAAATATTATGCTTAATTATAACATAAGAACATTATGTTTAATTTTTATTAAGACGTATTATAGATATAATAAATATTTATAGTATAATATTAATAAAAATAATATATAAAATCACTGTAATATTTATCTTATTACTACATATAAAAAAAAAAATTTGTTTGTATGTTTGTTTATTAACCAAACACTATTTTTCAGCTATTTTTTATCCGTCTAATATACTAAGCAAAACGGGAATAAAGGTGGAAATAATTAAAAAATGACACGAAAAATGTCGGGCGGGTTACAGCTATTTATATTATATAACTTGCTCTTATAATGTATTAATTTTTTTTTCACTATTAATAGGTATAAAAAAAATGTATAGTAATAATACGAGTACACGTATATAAAATAATAAAAAATAAATAATATCATTGTCGTATTGCCGAATCGTCAGTGCCGAATATCTTGCAGGGCCGGAACGTCCTAGATCCCCGTACAAAGTATTTGCGTTTCGTAAATATATAGAACAATGTATCTGTTTACCAGGATAGTTAGGGTTTTGGATTGGAGGTTTTTGCTTGAGACGTCGGTAAAGATATGAGTGGATAAAGTGGAAGTTTCAATCCCACCATCAGATTTACAAAAGTATTGCATATTTACAATATGCATTTCAGTGTAATAGTATAAACGAAAATTTATTAAATTTAATTTAATAATGAAATAAGAATATAATATCTATCTCGGCATAACTTATAATTATTACTTAGTATTTTCCTCATTCTAGTAGAATTTTAAACATAAACAGTAATTATATCATTTTCATAATGTCTTGTATTTAGATTCGGAGCTTAGCGAAAAATATATTGATTTAACAATAATGTTAATTTTACTTTTATTTTTTTATACTGTGTACAACAATTATACCTACTAGAAATCTTGCTCCAATGTATCAAGTACCAATCTTTACTGAAAATAAATGTTGTCTTGTTGGTACTTTTAGCAGGCTAATTTTTGATATTCAGAAAAGATACTACGCTTTATACATCGGGGTTTTTTTTTCGAAAAGTTGTTTACAGACAGAAAAAATACACACATTATCGTAAAACCAATAGATTCCTCGCTACGCTCCGTATCTAAAATTGTAGGTAGTAATAAAACTATATATAATATGAATGGCCAATTGTCAACTTTTATTAATTAATAGAAGTTTGTGCTTAAATACGGCTTAGATAAAATTGAATAAATATATCATATTTATTTCCAGTGTAGTTTTAAGCATACTGCCGTCGCCTGTAGGCAATTATAACGAATTTAACGCAAATTTCTTGAGCATACAGTTTTCCTGCTCAAAATTTATCACCCTCTGCGTATCTATGACCCTATCCTCCGTAATCCTAATTTAGTAATTTTAGCTGACCGCAGACCAAATATATATTTTATGCCTAACTTGTAATTTTTCTTATAATTTAATGTAATTTGAATAACTTGTAGTTATTTTGATGTCTGGATGCAAGCCTGTTATATTATACATAAATAAATAATGTATTTTAACTATTAGTATATATATATCCTTCCGATATTAATATTACGTTATATTTTTTCTTTTAATTATCTAGCGTAACGAATTCCGAAGTTATGGAATAAGTCTTTATAAAGTAAGTAGAGATAGACTAACTAAAAATTATTTTTTTAGTGTTTTTTTTTTTCGATCGGTGAATCAATGGATATTATGTCAATTCTATTGTGTTTTTAAATTAGATTACGATAATCTAATTCAATGAAAGCATCAAGGTCTTTTTATAATCCACCTAGTATTAAAATTGTTCAATGTAAGTTATCAGTCATAATATGTAATTCGGTTATTGAATTTATCAATATTAAAATAAGTTACAAAGATTCAAATAGGTATGTAAATGACATAAATAGTTTTTTCGTATACTACAGAGGGTAGACCTTTTTTAATATCAACCATTCACTCGTTTATGTATATTATACATCGAACAAATCTTCGTCAACTACTTTATAGAAAACATTCGGTACATTGTTTTTGACATTTAATAAGACAATCTCTAAATTTACAATAGATATTATAATATTATACGTTCAAAATATATTTTTATTAGGTCTTTTAACCACGCATATTTAAATGCGTTTTGGAATTTTTTATTTCTTCCAATTTTAGACCTTCTGTACTCGCATAGACACTTAGAAACGAACTATTATCTTCACGTTTATTGATGTATATATATAATTACTAAAGCACGGATTTTTATGTAAAAACATGTTTTTAATGGATGTATGTACAACCATGAGAGTAACACATGTCAACGATTCAGAGTAAAAAGAATTATAGAGCATTATAGAACTACTTATTTTTTAAATGATCTAAAAAAGAAATTTCGAAAAACGTGAATAGTTTCCGTCTTTCCGAGGGGATAACTAGTGTCTCACGTTATGTTGATCACCTGTATAATTTCTCACTGAATTTATTCAACTTTTTATTACAAAATACACACCTACGATCAAAAACCGCTTTAATTAAAGCTTGAAGTTTGAATTTAATTATTTTCAATAAAATTTAGTATTAGACATAAAAATTAGGATAATTAATCAGTAAATTTCAGAAATATACACTGATTGTATACAATTATGATTTACAAGTGTGCACCATCGTCTAGTTATAACTGCGATTTATGATATAGCGAAAGACTTACATAACCTTATATGCTTTATATTGACCAGTGGTAGATCCCGACATAATTTTAATGAAATGTCATACAAAAAGAAGAACTTACATAGATACATTTTAAACATATGATTTTTCAGGACCTCTTCCAGAAAAATGTTAAAAATCCTCTACTGATATTAACATAGTAAATATAGTTATTAATACCGATATATTTTACAGGTTTAGGATGGTGTAAGTAATTTTGACTCAAATTAGTTAAAAAAATATACGTAGTGTCAGTAGTGTAGACACTAGACTATATCAATTTCCATGACAAAAAAACACGATGTTTAATATTAATTATAAGGATAACTTATTATTATTGAATATCATATAAACACATTTTTAGTTTTTTGTTAATCTTCAAAACTCCACACGGCCTCCATTCGAAGCTATCAGATACAATTTCTTATCCACTTCCAATAGTACATTATAGTACCAATAGTTCAATCATACAAATTTTCAATGTTATTTTTTCAAATAATTTTAATCTAACAATCTACTTAATTTATAATTATTACTATCTGTCCATCACAGCTTTGTCCATGCTAATATTGAATGAAAAAAAAAGACCGACATCACACACAGGTGCATCCACTGTTGTGGGTGGCAATTTGGGAAGGTAGGATACAGAAGGAAATTTAATGTATATCTGTATAAGAAACGAGTTTATGTAAACCATTGCTAACGAAAAAATGATTCTGAGCGGAGTTCAGCTGATAGTGTTGCTTTGTCGACAACATGTATGTTATATTATGGCAAAATAATTATATATTTCCTTCGACAATATTTGTTTATATTGGATCTATTTTCCCGCTTTTCCTTGGTTTTACCAATGAAAACTTCCCAAAAAATCAAAAACTGAACTTTTTAAAGTATCTTCACAGTTAAATTTCCTTTTAGAAAAAATACTTTCATTGTGAATCAGAGCAAAATTGCTGGTAGAAAATTTGTTCACGGGAAAAAAGAAGGCCGTAATATTTTTAAACTAATACCTACATTTCGTACATTTTCCATTTTTCCGATATTTTATCCAGGTCTTTTCCAGATATTATGAAAACCGCTTGAAAAATCAAAAAAATGACCCGCTTAGAATACCATGTAGATAAAATTTCCTTAAAGAAAATAAGCTACACTTGATGCATTGGGGCAAGATTTCTGGTATAAAAGTTTGCACAATAAATTGACGAGTATTTCGCGATTAAAATAGTCCGAGTGAACGATGGCTTGGTCTCTAGGTACACCCAAAATGTATTTATTTATTCCTTGTTTAGTTTAAAGAGCGAAAAAACTCAGGTTTGAACTCGCGATCCCAATAGGATGACAATCGGTATATATAACCATATAACCATTAAACTACGAGAAACATTCTTTAAAAATAACAATATAGAGTTATTTGACATAACAAATAATTACGTATAAAACTCGCACAATTAAAATGTCTATAATAAGTTCAAAAATGGCTTGAATTTTAGAAAATTTTATTAAAGGTAAATATAAGTTTCTGTCTAAATTTCAAGTCTCTACGTATATTTTTAACTGAATTACAACTAATAACCAAATTGAAAAAATAATAAAAGCAACATTGTACATTGTTCCATTCTTTATACTTTTTTTGGTTTTGATCAATTATTAAAAAAATATTAAAAACCAATTTTTTTGAACATTGACCAGATTAAAAATGCAACAAAAAAGATATCTTGTCATTTTTTTATTACAGTAATATTTCGAGTAAAAAAATGGTTTACAAAAAAAAAAGGAATAAGATCGGTAATGCCGTAGTATGTCAAATACATTTGTCGATTCCGGTTTTATCCAAGTATTTTGAAAATCAAAAGATGACTTTCTCACAATTCACTATGGATTTCTTTTGCATTCCTTGCTAAGCTCTAAACCTAAAAGGACTTTTTCAATTGGGTGATTTAAAAACTCAATGAATTTTCAAATATAAAACATCTATTGTTACTAATATTGTATAAATATAAACATTAATTAATTGTAATAAGTATATTTTATTCAATTTATCACTTTATAACTGGAGATGTTAAACCAATATATTATTCTAAAACGAAATAACAGCTGTCTAGTGCTCAATAATTTAACTAATTTTTATTGCATACAAACAATGTAGTTATAAAGTATAACTTAAAGATTGTAAATAGAACGAGTATTGGTTTTACAATGATGTTTATTTTTGATTTTTAATACTTTGTAAATAATTCTACCAAAAATCATTCTCCGATTTTCTAGTGTTGCATCTTTTCTGAAGTGAAATTTTCCTAGGGTGGTATTTTACAGAGGTTATTTTTTTTATTCTCTGTGCAGTTTTCATAATAATTGTAAAAAACTAGGAAAAAAATGTAGAAACGTTGAGGTAATTTACGAAAATAATGCTTTTAATAGGTATTTTCAATTTTGTTTTTTGTTGTTATTCAGTGAAAAATATTAGCTGAAACTTGACAGTTTTACAAGAACCATATATTTGTCTTTTATAGACATGGTACATTTTTCAAACATTAGATCCATTTTTAAGCTTTTTATAAACATTTTAATTTTGTGAGTTATTTTCGTAATAATAAGTACTCTATGGATAAAATTGTTAAGCCAAAACAGAAATATTTAAAGATTTAACAGGAGGTGCACATATAGTAGCCAACAAGAAAAAGTTGAGTTTAATCTGAAATATTTTTTTTTTTTTAAGAATTTTAAGATCAAATTTTACCAAATATCATAAATATTATGGCCTTTTAAATATGAACTTTCCACTCAGAATTGTTTTCTGTTAGGAAAGATTAATCTTTACGTACAGATAAATATTAAATTCCTCTCAATGTTCTACCTTTCCAACTTTTTACCTATTACAGTGGCTCACCTATCGTACGAAGTATGTCTGTCTTCTTTTTTTGTTAACCTATATTTATAGTAAACACCTACCTGATAGGCAATAGGTAACGTGATTCTTATTACGTCACTCGTTCTCCCTATATTAATCAATGGCTCCAGTTTGGCCCACACAGATAGTTATAATAATACAAATTCTGGCGCCACCACCATCCCCCAGTTAGCTGATCACCTTTTTTTCATCCTTTAATTAGATTTTTTTATTAAATAAACATAATACAATTTTTTATTACATAAATAAAATATTAAAATAAACTAATATTTATATTACCCATATAATTTATTTATTATAAATAGTATAACTATTATTATATTGTAGGTATTATATATAATCCATACATAATTATTATTATATCAAGAAGGCAGCACAATTCGGGAACCACTACAGAGTGCACATGGGTACTAAATAATAAATACTAAAATTTTAAATGTTTATTTTTAATTTTATTACAATATAATGTAATATTATTTTGTATGATGTGTATAAAATCGTTTACCTTAAAATTTACAGAATACAATAAAAATTGTTAAAATAAAATTATATTGTTTGTCTTTTATTTGTATATAATATTTTCAAAAAATTATTATAAGATAGAAAGGTTTTTATAGAAAGGTTATACTATACTATACTATTATAATTATATGCAACTACTTTCACACCACTCTTCCATTTCCATTAATCTTACTATATAAAAAACACATTTTCATTAATTTGATTATGTAGGTAGATTTGAGTTTTTATTTATTTTCGTAAATATAAATTTACTTACGACTGGCTGTATAAAAATAAAAACAAATTGAACATATACATTAATTGTCACAATCGTAAGTAATTGAAATCTCATTGAAACATCCAAACACGTGTATAGATTTTCATAGAAAATAAGCATTGATTATTGCAATTATATATATATATATAATCAGGAACGTAAATTATTTATTGAGGAGAAGCGATTGACTTTCAAATTGTTTTATTATAAGCTGTTTTATATTTTACATTATTTTTTTCAATTTATGAGAAATATAAAGGAGTTTTGCTTTATAAAAAATCTTGACAATTTAATATAAGGCATTTTATTCATGGAAAAACAGTTGATCTGACTATTTAAAGGTAAAGAAAGTGTACTAGTAATTAATTTTGTTTTATAAGTGTTTGTTGTTCAAATTTAAAGCTAATGTATCATAATGATATATCACCTGTGATAACAAAAAATTTCGTAACTCAATTTTTATATAATAATATTGTTTAGTAGTTATTTTTACTAAATAAATACTAAAAAGAGCTGATACTGGGGAAGGATGTGACCTCTGTTGTATGTGAGAAGTTGAGAGGGTAGGATACATGAAGTTATTTCATATATATCTGTAAGCAACGATAAATCATTGCTGACGAAAGACGATTCCGAGCGCAGTTCAGCAATACATAATTTGAAATGCCGTAATTTTGTTTAACCTAACTTTCCTACGTTTTTTCCGATTATTATGAAAACTAATTCAAAAATCAAAAAAACGAACTGCATAATTAAAAACAAGATTAATAATTCAACAAAAAGGTCTTTTATTGTTTTTCAATTGAAGCCATATTTGTGTTAGAAAACATGGTAGGTATTTATTTAAAATAATGAAATCATGAAAAAAAATCTTATTTTTTTTTCTCGATTAATCATTTTTATTTTAAATACCGTTTCAAAAATCAAAAAATGACCTATGTATTTACCATTCAGATAAAATTAACTTTCAAATACGGTATTACACTTATACATCAGAGCAAGTTTTCTAGGATAAAAGTGGTCTAAAGTATAAAAAACAATAAAAAATTATACATATCGCCAATTGTTTTTGAAACAATTGAAATAAAATGAATAATGTGATCTCTAATATTTCGACATCTAATTTCAATAGATAATTACTTGAAGAAATTATTATACGAAATTTTGTTATAATTGTTATAACTATATTTAAATTAGTGTCATATGTAATCATAGGCACACGCAGGCACATTTTCTGGGAGGGATGAAGATTTTTATAAAGTTTCATAAGTAAAAAAATAAAATATAAAATAATCACAAAAAGTTGAAAATCATAATAGATGAGTAGGAATGAGGTTAAACCTTTTAAATCCTCCTTGTATACACACGCTATGATTATATTGTACTGACCTAATTGATTGGAAATACTTACGCAATCTCACTCCAAAATGAAACTTCTCAGAAAATAATCGAGGACACACTAAAAAAGAGAGGAAATATTAAACATTTAGTTCTAGTATATAATAAATACCAGTAAAATATAATATACGTATTTTCACGTGTATAGTGTTGTATTTTTGTGAAACAGAATACAACAGAATATAATCACTTTAAAAAAACAACCCTTTATAAACTTTGATTTGTTATTTCTTACTACTACAACTACTACTTCCTTATTACTAATTCTTTGTTTTTCTTAAATCTTGCTCGAATTTTACACATTAGAACTAAAAAGGTAAAATTACCTATATTGCTAATTTTAAAGTTGCTAAATATTACTAAATTTTTCGAAAAGTTTGAGTCTCTGTGACTTTCCTGCCTTTCGCCATTCAATACCCCTAATAATCTAAGATCCTCTTTGACTTGGTCTTTCAATTGTTGTCTTGGTTTTCCCCTCAGTCGGCTTTTATTGGGTTTCCATTTGATAATATTACGTATACATTAATCCTCTGCCCTCAATACATGTCTGATCTACTTTAATTTCTGGCTCTTGAGTGTGGCTACTACAATAGCATCGTAAAATAAAGTATTAAGTTCTTGGTTTAACCGTATTTCCTATTTGCCTTCTTTATTTTTCTTTGGTCTAAATATTCTTCGCAAAATTTTCTTTTCGAAAACTAATAAGTTATTTTCGTCTGACGCTCAGGTTCCACAGACATAAAGTAAATTTGGTCTGACAAAGGTATTTTCGTTTTCTTCGATAACTTTTTAAACTTAAATAATTGGACTACTGAAAAATAGCAATTGTTTCTAGTTGTGATTATTCTATTTATCTCTTCATGACTATCTGCTAGTGAGTTTATATCTACCCCTAAATATTTAAAATTATGTACTCTTTTAAATGATAGGTTTTTTATTGTTATTGTGTTTTGTGAGTGTCTTCTCTTAGATACGACCATAAATTTTATTTTATTTTATTGATTACGGCTATATCATCTGTGTATGCATTCATTATTATCTGTTTTCCTTGTCTGATATTTAAGGCTTATGGTTCTTTTTCCAATACGTCTCTAACGGCTGATTTTAGTATTACCTTGGCTTACCCCTGTAGTTACTATAAACTCCTCGGATATTGCCGGATTTGAATTTAATTTTAAACTTTGAATCCTGTGCACAAGTTTTCTACATTTTAATGAGCTTAACTGGTATTCCTAGTTGGACCATCACGTTCCATAGTGTACTTCTTAGTTCTTACTATCGAATCATAATCTTGTTAATAGGCCAAGTTAGAAATAAGTTAAATTGTTCCAATGAAATAGTCATTAATTTATGATTGATGCGATTAAAACCTCTCCAGCCTTGGATATGCCTTTGAATTTAGTAAAACACCTTCATAAGATGTCGTTCTGTTTGAGTGCATATTTTGACAGTGCAAATATTATTGATGAATAAAGAATATTCATGTTTTAGTTTCAAAAAAGGCGATATAACTCTATCAACATCACTAGTACTGCCTAAAGTCAATTTGATTAGCCATTTTTTAGAAGTTGAACGACGAAATCTTAAGATATTGACAAATTTATCAGGTTTGATAAAATAACATGTGAACAACTTATTAACATTTAAAAGTATCAGATTTAATGAGTACTTTTAAATTAATACTTAAAGATTCCTCAACTCCAAAAATCTTGATAACTGTACTAGGGTATCAAGAGTATGAAACATGTTACACAGACGTCTATAATTCAACAGATTTTTGATTTTTCTATTCAATTCCATTTTTAGGAAAATGTCCAACGGGGACATATCAGACGAGGATGTGACCATAAACCGGTTTTTTCGCCGGTTTGAACCAATAAAAGATACAGTGTGTCAATACAAATTTGTTGATACCAATATCGCCATTTTGGAAAACAAAAGTGACTTTTCTGTTCTTTTTCTAGTATTTGAATAATATGTACTCATTTATAGATTCTCGATCTTTTATATAAATAAACCCACCGTGAACAAGGAGATTATTTCTACGTGAACTCTTATAGTATATTATTGAATTTTTTTTTTAATTTATAAAAACTTCAAAAAATGAACTATAATTCAACGGCAAACCATATTAAAGATAATAAGAAGTTAGGTTAGTGTGGGTTATATATAATTTATTTTAATTTTATATTTTTTTTGTTTTGCGTCGAAATTGACTTGAGCTAAAATTGTATGTATCAAAATGCATGTGCCCCATTGACGTTCGTCCAAATAACGATTTAACAAATAGTACACGTTATTATTTATTTAAAGTACTTAATAGTTCCGTGTGGAATAAATCGGCATGTAATATATCAGTTAAATAAGCTAAATAGGTAGGTACTTATTATCATCTACTATGTATAATTTCATACAATTTAGTAATAAATTAATCGATGTACCTTTAAGTTTATAATACGTGTTATGAGCTAGAACATTTAAATAATACAATATTAAAATAACAGTTAATGAATGATTATAATATTATATAATTATAAATAAATACAATTATTAAAATTTTTATAGTCAAATAATATATACATATAAGTTTTTTTTTTATTAGAAACTGTTATAATGGTTTACTTTTTTATGAATAAGAGATGTCAGTATACAGTGAGTTCACAGTAAGAGGTATCATTAAATATTCAATTTAAAATCGAAAATTTATTTTATAATCGTATTTTGTGGATTGATGAGTCTAAATTTACAAATAATAGTATAATGAATAAAAAAAAAATAGATTTTGGAATGATAAAAAGCCATACTTGAAAAACTAGGTTTCAGATAGTTTGGGGTATAAATTTGTGGTGTGGATTATTGGTAGACAACTTTTAGTTGGGTCCTTATTTTTATGAGGAAACACTTAGGTAGAAGATATCTAGATTTTATTGTTAATCAATTACGGTTATAATTAGAAAATATTTCACTAGTTATAATCGGTATCTAAAATTATTGCCTGATAATAAATTTTAAAATTGTTAAAAATTCATAAGAAATATTGAAGCTTTCAAATTGGTTTTACGTTAAATGCATTAAATAATTTTGTGTTCATAAATTATCGTCCAGATATAAAAGAAATAGAGAATACAAAATATATTGAACCATCGACTACAATCATTCGTATTCAATGAGAAATAATATAATACAAACCAGTAACTACTTTTGTCTATTATAAGCCACTAAGGTAATAATGTATGCGAGGTAATAATATTATTACGGTAGCTATCATAATGTTGTGACATCGGGATACACGGTATTTTTTATATAATATTAACTAATTGCATATGTACTCAACAATTATATTATATTGAATAATTATATCAAGTAAAACTGAATAGTTATGTATTTAATTGTACCTATATTTGATTATAACTTACATTTGCATTCAGCTCTAACCTTATTCCAACGGCTTTCTATTGAAAAAAAAGAGATTTCAGTATAAAGTCAAACAATTCTGTACCTATTAATTTGAATAAATGGTTTCAAAGTATAATCCGATAATCGGATTTGAGAGCCTAAGACTTTACTTTGGATAAACTACTGAATTTAGAAGGTTTGACCTGTTTAGTAATCCAATGGTCATAGATAAGTATCTATGGGTCAGAACTTGTCTGTATTAAACTCGATGAATAATTAATTGACCGATTAACTGCTTCTTAGTAGTCATTCATCCGGTACTTATTTATAATGCAGCAATGTCGAGTGTGCAACGAAGTGGGTTTTATTTACTACTTCTGTAGATGATTTGACCGTTGATGATGATTTATGGTGGTGATAATGATCACTCAAGATTATCTTAGATAGTATCCAAGAGGAGAACTGATTGGAATTTCAAAATAAAGTGGTAAACGGCGCTTTTAGTTGACCGTAGTGGGTGTTTGAAAACGTAGTACGTCACTAGTGCTATCTATTGGTGAAACTCGGATGCGGGGTTGTCGGCCGGTCGGTTTGCTTTGTAGTACGAAACCACCAGGCGCGTCCCTCACACGCTATAGGTGGTCTCATTACACTTGTCATGGCGATGCCGTCAAAATACCGATGCAACTCATACGGTTCACATCCGTTGTTAGTTTTTTTCCAAACCAAAAAGATTTCATGAGTAGGTAAATTCCCAAACGATACCGATATGTACTTAAATGTTTTTCGTAACAAAATACGTACAGATGTGATGCAGAAAATCGTTGTGTTAAACCTTTTGTGATAACAAATTATATTGAATCTATTAAAATGATTGGAGTTTCATTTTAAGTTCAAGCATTATATATCTATATGGATTATTGTTAAACAAATTGTATGAAATTGTATTTGCAGATTTGGAAGAATCTATTCACTTTGCAATACAATAAACATGACCATCGGTGAACGTAAAGGGATTGTAGATTCCATTTGGGTCAAAATTAGATTTGGAGGATTCAGTCAGTAGAACTTGCACTAGAATATAGAAATAAAGATTCTTAAGTTGGAAGAAAACTTAGATATTTATTTAGCCTTTCTTATCTACTATCGTCAGAAGTTTTGGATTGTTTCACAGATAATTTAATGGCTATTACAATGTATATTGTTGTTATGTGATAATAATATTATCAGTTTAACTTTTTAGGTTAAGTATAATTTGTTGATAGAATTGTTACCAAATCTGATTTATGTTTGTTCTAAATTATGATTAAGAGTTTTCTCGCATCCCTGTACATATTTATTAAGTCACAGTAATAACAAAATTAATGTTTTTTATTTATTTAATAATTAATAAAATTACAAATAAAGACAATAGGAGTATATACTAGCAGCTTGCACTAAGCCACCCCTAAAACTCGTTTTATATTCTCTAAGTATATAAGTCAACCAATAGCCAGTAAACTAACCGTCGTCCATCATTCTAGTGATTACACGACCGTGAATGCAATTTTAAACTCTTTTCAAAATAGCTTTTTTAAGCGCTTTGGAAATGATCTAAGTCACTCTGATGAAACCATTTACGATCTAACCGCTCTTTAAATTTATGTCAAAGTGCTAACAAAGGCGAAATGTAGAATATCTACAAAAGCTAACTGAGGAACATGGAACCACCGTACTGTCATCACAGGAAACACATGTTACTCCCAATAACGATATATCCAAGTTTAATATTGGTGGATTCAAACTTATCTGTTAACACTAACACAATATATATTCTCTCAGTTAACATTATACATTATACATTATAATTATTCTTATTATAATAGAGGATACAATGGCATTGAACATAAATAGTTTCAAGATTTACAATACCTACAAAATACTGAAGTATATGAAAAACGTTAGAATTTTTACTACTTAAAAAGTAGTTTTCAGATGAAAAAACCACATCTAAGCAAAACTAATAGCTTATTCTTCAACATTTTCAAAAGTTAGAATCTAAAGAGCCATTTTAGTTAAAAATATAGTCGATATGGGTGAAACATAATTACATCAATGTGGATTGCCAACTATAACAGCAAATGAATAAAGATGTATTAAGTAATCAATAAAGTAATCTTAAATTGAATTTTTGAAATATGTAACTTACCATCTTTGTAACCAGAGTTTAACATATCATCTGTTTGAATATAACACAAATTTAAACAATGAGATATTTACGAGATAAGTGTAATATTATGTTTAAAATGTTTTGTCTAGATCTAGAAAGTACATTATCCGTGATAGTTAAAATATTAAGAATTATAAAATATTATCAACACGCGTACCTAATTAATAACTATATTATGCTAGAAATATTTTTTATTAGAATTATATACTACTGATTTGAGACAGTCAATGAGTTCACCAACCTGCAACTATTTACTATTATTTAAAATTAAATGAACATTATGATAGCATATTGCATTGGAAAAATCAATCTAAGTTTAATTCAAATTAAAATTCAGATTAAAATTAATCGTTTATTTAATTTTGTTTTCATGTTTGGGAGAACTAATAAGAAATTCAAAAAAATAATTTATATGAATATCTATTTAATTAACCCATCAAGAAAATGAGTGATTGAAAATCGTTTCAATCGGCCCGGTTATACAAGTTTATCTTGGTCCGCACTTCAGTGTATTCTTATCTATCTCAGTGGAAATAAAGACAATATTTATAATATATAATTAATAAGAAATAAGACATTTTGATGAGAGATAACTGATAAAGAAATGCGTTAAGAAAAATCATTATTACAGATAGGTGAATCTGAAATTTTATATAAGATAGGTAATCTAATATGTACGTAATTAATAATACCACTATTTTTATCATTCATCATTATCAAATAATAGTAAAACTATGATAGCTGAAACTAACCACTGTGTTATTTATCTCATCCATTATATTATAACCTTAGATCATATATAATGAATAAAACTATAAGCAATAAATGTGTCACCAACATATCAGGAAGGCGTTTTACTTCTGCGCATGCGTGAAGTGCTGTTATCAGTCTTATCGGAACCTACTTAATAAAATAAAGTACATAAATACCAAGGTATTCAAAAATATGAGAAATACTAGATAATAGATTAGTAGATACCACCCCCTAAAAAGGGCGCATGCGCAGTAGCTACATGCCTTCTTGATATGTTACTCGTTTTACATGGAGGTATAGCTAAGATATGGCTGAGGTATATGATCTAAAAGTATAACGCTCTATGTGTGTATAGGTTACCACCAATATACATCTATTTATATATTACGTATGTTTGTTCTACAATTGTTCTGTTATACTTTATCATCACATTGACTAATGAAAATAGAGAAAAAAGTATAGCCATCATTTCTTAAAAACGTTCCTATTGCTGATACCTATTTATTTTATTAGACATGGTTATGTAATCCATTTTTCTTACCAATACAAGCTGAAAAATCAAATTATTTTAGTACAAAATATTTAAAATAATATAACTAATACAGTTATATACATGATAAATTTCGTAAAATATTATGTAGTTAAATGGAGTTATATAATTTGATCAAATGTTGTCTACTTACTTTTTCGACAAAAAGTCTGTACATCATTTATGAGCACTTGAACAACAAACTCATTAGGTGAATATTTTAAAAACCTAGGTATCATGTATAATTACCTATAACTCAGAATTTACTCTTATTACTTACTAGTTGGAGAGTCTAAATAGTTACACAATAAAAATTGTATTATTTTGTTAACTATTATTAATAGTATTTCTACAACATCCACAAGTATTTTGGTGATTTATACTTGTAGGTTTCGATAATGTATAAATTTCAAACCATGGATTTTTGATTTGAATTTTTTAAATTTCTCTTGAAGCTCTTTTGGGCATTTAAGCAGCCACTTAAGCCACTTGAAATTTTATTCTTGTGGCATTTCAATAATAATACAAAAGTTACAAATAAATTAATTGATACTTCCACTTTTAGGTGTATAATATATCCATATTTCCCCTTTTTGGATTTTTACTTGAAATAATTTGTGACATTATACTTGTATACTATTGAATTAATTAATATTATTGATACCAATAAATGTACACAAAGAATAAATTGTTTACAGTTTTGACTGTGTGTCTGATCACTCTTATAAAATGATTAATTATGATAGCACAATTTATATTTTTAGTATTAACGCCCATTTTTGCGTGGAAGATGAAAGTACCTATTGGTATATTATCACGACAAAATTAATTTAAATAAAAGCAAATAATATAATTATTATCTTGGAAATTTCCTACTTACACTATACATAGACATAAAAAAAAGAAAAAAAAAACATAGCTAAATTTTAGTATACAATATAAAAATAGAGCTGAGACCTAATTTTATTTATCCAGTAAAGTTGATATAGGTTCTTTTAAATATAGGTGATCATATTTTAGTTATGATTAAACTAGAGCAAAATTTTGAAAATTTGTTAGTTGGTAAACTGGTATCCTTATAGTAACAAGATATATTTTAGTAGCGAAGTAATTTAATTTTGCAGATTTAAATTTTTTCAGTTATTATTTACTAGTCTTCTTTTGTTTACTTCATAAATAAAACATTTAAAAACTAATATTTTTTTTTTTTTTTTTTTTTTTTAAATGCCCTGGGGCTTTATTATTTAAACGACCTGATGGCGCCTTAAACGTCTGACCAAAGACATTAGACGCCTTAAACGTCTGAAACCATACGACTTAGTTTAAGTGTTTAAATTAAAAGACATTAGACGCCTTAAACGTCTGAAACCATACGACTTAGTTTAAGTGTTTAAATTAAGAGACATTAGACGCCTTAAACGTCTGAAACCATACGACTTAGTTTAAGTGTTTAAATTAAGTACGTTTAAGTGTTTAAATTAAGTACAGGAGCCACTTCATTGGAAGTGTGACTTCATCAATGTGTAATGTATATATAAAAACTAATATGAGTTACTTACCCAATGATTGTACCATTATATATAAATTAATAGCTAAATAAATATTTATAGAATCATTAAGTAATCTATTTTAAATGTTAATATATTTACATGTTTGTGGTAACTAGTAAGCCTATTTGTTCTAAAAAAACTATAATATGTATCCATATTTATAAGTTAAGATTGAAAAACTTCCTTAAGGACGGTAATCACACAGTAATAAAATAATAATACCAAAAAAAATTGATACTGAATGAAGTTCGGTTAAACATGTTTTGAAATAAGTACTGTTATTTTTACGTTATAAATCAACATTTGAACTCAAAATGTTATAAAACGACTGCTATAGTACGCTTTTTTTTTTTTTTATCACTATATATAACTTATGAACCTCGTGTTAAATATTCGATGATCTTTGAAGGGTCAAAATGATTTGGTCCAAATAAAACTAAACTAAAATTTAAAAAAAATACTAGACAATTTCAAATAGCCATAAATATTTTAAAAATCTCTATGAAATATTTTGAAAATTATACTATGTATAGAAAGGGCCAAAAGTTAATTACAAGGCTCACTATAAGTATTCATTGAATTTTTTATTTTCGACATTATCTTTAACTGAATAACATAAAAAAAAAAAACAAATCCCGTTATAAAACAAATTTCACCATTTTCTGACTTTTTTTTCTCCCTTATTAAAAAAATGTCAACGCAAATTAAAAAATATTTTCCATAATGCACAAATTCATGTTATCAAACAAAAATGTACTTACTTTTAAGAAAGTCCACATAATTTTGAACATTCTCTTTAAAAGAAAAATTAATTAAAACCTTTTAATAAGAAAAATCATAACATCTAAATTATGAATCAATGTAGGTTTTAAATTTTTATAGATTAAAGACGACTAGTAAAGACTGTTACTGCGATAATTGGTTTCATATTGAAACTTTTTATTCTCAGCATCACCCAAATATATTTATATATATTTTTATATTTTTTAAATCAAAATAATTGTTTTATATTTTCGATGTGTTTAAATATATTTTATACATAATAGGTAACTATAGTACCTACACAGTACACATATTATGTTAAAGACGATATTACTATAGCCATAGCGTATTTATGTATGCATACAGGGCCGGACTTAGAACTTGGCTATAGGCTATAGCCTTGGAGAACTAATTCAGGGGGCGCGGTGGTTGACAGCATTTTTGATATTTATTTTTTAGACATAACTCCTATTTGCTAATTGAATTTATCATCTACTAGAAAAAAAAAATTATATTTAACTGTAAGAAATATTATATACTGAATCAGTATAACTGATATTATAATATGTTTATTTTCATAAATTAGTTATTCGTTGTTATAAAATTATACAAATAGACTGAAATTAGTTAAATATAATTAAAATGTTCGATAAGTAAATGAGTGATGACGCTTTACATTATTATATATTTCCCACGCTCCCTGTTGAAGAGAATCAGAATAATCCACGGTACAATAAATAATAATAATATATTATTACATAGTAATGTAATTTGACCTGTCGTAAAATGCGACAAATGCGGTTACGTTAGGACGATGTAAAATTCTGTCGAACAATTATGAGAAGTTCTAAACAAGAATTTGGCAATTTGGTTTTAACCCATCTCGGATATGAGCACGAACAATAGGTGAGAGGAGATGCTATGGCGCAAGATGTTTTGCAGATGATGTAGCTTTGATAGAAGAAAATCTGGGATAAGAAGAAATAAAACAGAGTATGAGTTTGGAAGAACAGGATAAAACAGCTAAAGACAATAAACAGTTATAGTCGAGACTGAAAGGATTTTAAGTACCTTGGATCTTTTGTACAAAAGAACCGTGGTTTTCATGAGAATGTAAAATATAGCTTTAAGTGGTTTGGATAAAGTGGAGAGAAGCGTCAAGTGTTTTATGTGACAAAAAGATTCAAATGAAACTTAAAGCTAAGTTCTACAAAATTGTAGAATAACTAATTAAGACTAACTGTGTTGTATGATGTGCTGGGCGAAGGATAGAAAAATAGAATAAAGAATGCCTAGGTAGATGAGTGGAGTGATAAAAGACCTCAAACAATCATAATGTATCTAAAAATATAAAATAAATACAGTATAATAGTACCATCATTTACAATAATGAACATACCATTTTCAAAGTCAATTTTTATATTGTTATCTTCTGAAAAATATAAAAACAATACAATTTTACAGACTGTTGTCAAATTTAGTATCACCGTTGCTCAATATTTTTGATAGTTCATCAATGTTTCAATAAATATTTTATAACTAAACACAATTATAAATATAGGTTAATGCTCAGTTCTCTTATACTTTTTCAATCATTCTTATAAGTTCATTAGGTACTCAAAAACTAATGTTATTACATTTTTTAAATTTTAAAAAAATAATTTAGAAATTAAAAAAAAAAAAAGCTGTCCTAGAATTATGGGAACAGATTTAGCTACTCTTGTTGGTGAGAAGTTGAGAAGGTAAGATATAAAACGGAAATTAATTGTATCTGTAAGTTTGCTGCACATTTGCCGGGAAAATTCTTAGAAAAATCAAAAATAACCTTCTTAATGTACCTTCCCAGTCAGATTTCCTTTCAGAAAATGTGCTATCATTTTAAATCGGAGTAAAATTGCTGAAACAAAATTTGTTAATAGGAAAAAAAAGTCGAAATATTTTTCATCTAATACCTAATTTCGTAAATTATTTCATTTTTTCGGTATTTCCCATTTTTTGAAAAATTCCTGGGAAAATTTAAAAACAACCTCTCAAAAGTACCTCCCTAGTCAGATTTCTTTTAAGTAAAAGTGTTATCATTGGAAATCGGAGCGAAATTCCTGGTAGAAAAGTTATCCACCAAAAAAATATCATAATTGACGTAAACAAGCGAATTTTCAAATTTCCTAAGTTTGATTCATTGAAAACTATCAGCTTTTCAATTACATATTTTATGATTGGCTAAGATATTTTAATAATAATCTTTATTAACACTTCCAATGAAAATTATTTTGATCAAAATCTTTTAAACCTATTGGTATTATATGTAAGCATTATAGAAGTGTTTATGCACAGTTGGTGTGCTACTTTCATGAATTTTTTTATACTAAGATCTAGAAACTATGTACATTATTTTACCATACTAGAAACCTATAATACCGTTATATATAATATACATGAAAAAAAAAATTGCACTCGTGGTAAATTATTCGCAATCTAGATTATTCAATTAAAAGTTTAAATGACTTACTCAAATAGTGTACATATTTCCAATTCAAAAAAGTATTGTATACTGTTAAACCTTTAGCGTCTTTAAAAAATAGTGCAATTTAATTATAAGATTCAAATATTTATGAGTAAAGAGAAAAACATCAGTTGTTATAATATTGTTACTCAAATTATAAATGCGAAACCTAATTATAATGCACCTAGGCCAATCCATTTTTTTTCTTAAATACATATAATTAGAATATAGAATTCTGAAGAAATGTATCCAATTGAAATAATATAATTACACGAAAGTTAATGTTCAAAATTTACATTCGAAATTGATCAACAATCAAGAAGAAGAAGATTAGATAAATAAATTTATTTTGAAGTTGTTCGATAATTTTAAAAAACTATTCAAAAATAAATGTGTTAATTTCATAATAGACTTTATATGACAAGTGGGTGACAATATTCCTAGATGGCGAAAACTTAAAATACATCACTAATGCAGAGGCTCGTATTTAAGTGCCTAACCATAATGGAATAAACGAATTGAAAGATCAAGCGACTAATATTGATATGAAAATATATTATACGTTATAATATATTTATATTATGACTAGGGCTAGGATTTTAATGCCCTAACAAATTTCAAAAAAGTGTCATTAAAAAATCCATTATAAAAATGACTAAATGTATTGAAAAAAAAGCATGAAAAAAAATTAAAAAAATGTATATTACAATTGTATTTTAACAATAGTATTAGTATTTTATTATTATAAAATTACTAGAAATTAAAAATACTCGTATACTAACGTCGATTTTAGTGATTCTAAATATACCACGTTAGTTTTATCGTAGATGCTGCCAATCTTTATTTATGTTTTGTCATTCCAACTATTATCTTCTGATAATACAATAGGTATTACTTTTTTAATTTGTTAAATTTATATAAAAATCCTGTCTATGAGTAAAAATCTTAAAATAAGATTTCAAATTCATATTTTGAAACCAAAAACTCCAAAAACGCCCTAAAAAGTCTAAAATTAAGAAAATAACCTAAAAACTAAAAATTGTCAAAAAATGCAAAATAAACTTTTCTATTCTCATTCAAAAGCACATATGGTACAGATTTGTAACTGGACGAGCATTACACAGTAATCTTTAGAAAAAAAATGCTAAGTGCATTAAAATCTCAGCCCTAATTATGAAAATATACATTTTAAAAAATAAATTAAGAAATAATTATTTTAAATATGTACTCACATTTTTCAATTATAAATCCTGCCCTTCGTATTGGTTCTATAGGTAAAATCCGATGAGTAAATTTAACTAGTTTTTCAATAAACCTATTCAGTTTATATACCAAAATATATACTGTGTTCTTATTCAGAACATGATATAAATACGCCCATTTAGATAAAAATATTTATTTTCACTAAAGTTCACAGTTAATCATGATTAGAAGTATGATTTATTTTAATAAACTGATGAATATAAATGAATCAAATTCCCAACAATAACTTTCACAGATTGATATTATCAATGTTTATATGTTTATATTTTCCTAGCCTTCGAATAAGCCAACTATAGTCTGTCCCAGGAGAGAACGGTCCACTTTCCGACCAGATCGAAGCGCTACTGCGCATCCCCACGCCGCAACACTATCCATTTATTCCCTCCCGGATCTATCGACAGGTTTTGTACACTGCGTTTCAAATAATGCACTGTTGTCTGTCGATAGTCCACTGTTTATCGCCAATATGACAAAAATGATGAATTGTAATTTTAACGAATAAAAAATGAAATGTTTTAATATAATTATTTATTATTTATTAAATATATATCTCTGTATTATACCTACTGTATTATACCTACTTTATTATACCTACTGTATCATACCTACTGAATTATACCTACAGTGTTCAATAAGATATTAAATAAATAAATATGTATACAAAAAAAACAAAGTCTGGATTATTATAGAAAGTACTTGTATATACGATAGTTTACGATTTGAAAAATTATCAAGAGGTTATAAAACAGTAAAGGTAAATAAACGTGCGATGCGCGATGTCTGATAATAATAACAATTGAATTTCTACAAAATATCCTAGCGGTGTATAGTCATAAACCGACGACGGAAGAAATGACAATCGGCTATGTGGAGGGGGAAAACATGCGCAGAAGCGGACCTTTCTCTCCTGGAACAGACTATATCTATGTCACATATCTACAACTAGATTACGCACATCTTTACATTTCATTTAAAACTCGAACTCGTTAATACATAAAATATCAAATATAGTGAGTAATTGTCACATGTGATAATGTGATAACACCGCTGTTTACTTACCTCTTACTTTACTTTGTTCTAACTAACCCAACGGTTGGCTTTGTTTTATGTGTTGTATATAGTTTTATTCATTATTTATTGAATGTTGTCCTGTTTGCATGCGAAGATTTGTCGAAGATTTCATTGACTCTGTCTACCAGCTTAAACTTTATAACATTTCATGTGATTCAGTATTATTTTGTTATCTTTCTCGTATGACCTAACAGCTATTCTACATTGCCATTGCGGTCCACTCACCAAGATATACTCAACGCTATCTTTCTGAAATTACATAACTGCTTACACACCTATCATCGCCTAACTGCACCTCTGTCATTTGAATTTTATCTTATATCGTTAATGGTCTACTATTCACATCTATAGCATCTTTTAACTACTCACCTTCCATCATGACTAAAATTAAACCTAAGACAAAAGTCGTTTTCAGCTACAGCAGCAAAAGTGGCTCAATTTTCAATGAAGATTTGATGGCCACTCTAAAGTCTTTTATAGGGGAAATTTTAGCATTTCATAAATCTTTATCTAACCTTCAGGCATCCCAATTTAGCAACATAAAAGTTGACCTTTCCCTCGTGTTACTTCAAATGTCTGAATTAAAAACTGAGAACTCTTTGCTTCATACTTAAATTGATGCTCTCAAAAAAAAAGTTGTTTCTTTGGAAAGTTCTAGTCCGAAAAATTACAATGTGTTCTTTAACAAGTTCTCAAAGAAATATTTGAACGTGAAAGATGTCTGATAAATTTAATTGCCTATGGGGTCCTTTAATCTACCTCTTCGGATGTTTTCCTGCGTATAGAACATGACAATAATACATTTTTCTATACATTTTCATCCCTTGGCAATGCTGTCCCATTTAATTTCAAACTAATTCGTCTCGGGAAGCAGCGTACTTGTTGTGTCTGATCGTTGAACTTTATCCGAGATATTTTGTAAAATCAGTTGAAATTGTTCAACATTCATCCTCATAAATGATCTATATTCAGTAACATCATCACTTGCTAGCTCTCTAAAAAGTCCAACAGAAGTACCGTGTGTGCCTCAACGTAAGATCCATTTTCTGGCCCAAATCCGCTTTCTCTTTTCTGTATTCAACTCATATTCCAATAATTCTATCATCATTAGAGAGATTTGATTTACATAATCCTTAAAAAATCGTTTTATTTTACGATGACGATTCATACTTAAATAAATATTTTTGATGAAAAAAATACTACTGAACTACTCGTTACATGACACTCTGCTAGTGGTTTGACACGCCGAGTACCATACATCTTGGTAGTAGGGGTAGTCACTCGGCCAAGCGAATAGAAATGGTTTCTATTCACTTGCCCGCTTATTTTCCGATTACTAGGCCGAGTACTGGTTCCTTTAGTTCACACAGGACAGTGCTCGGACGAGTTGACTCTCTTGGCCGAGTACTCTTCAGGTGTAAACAAGGCATTAAATTTAGCTAAGCGCTCCAGGACTGACTTCTTGGAAAAATTTCGTATGGCTAGCGATAAAACGCCTTTACAGCGTAAACTACTTTATTCATGTCATTCCAAACTTGATTCAAAGTTAGTGAAACCGGCCTGCGAATTGTTTACGTAAACGGATTGTCCAAAATAGCAGTCCCCATTTAAAAAACGGAGGAGTTCGCCATCACCAACCAACATAATACCTTTAGTAGATCCTACAAATTTCACTTCATTAAGCGGCTTCTACCAAAATTGTGAGGGGGTCTTAATACTAAATTAACTAATTTTATGCGTAATGCATCATCTGTTAGTTATATATTTATTGTACTATCTGAAACTTGGTTACACGATAAAATTTCTAATTTCAAACTAGGTCTTATAAATTATACAATTTTTAGGTATGACAGATATATTCTAATAATGATTGTTGTCCTCATTGACATTTGTAAAGACTTTCCTATATCCTGCGTTACTGTTACTCAGTTAAATTTTAAACTTATTTTTGTCCGCTTTACTATTGATTCTTACTGTTTCGGTGTTGGTGGAGTCTATATCCCTTCTCGCTCTTCTCCCTTAATCTATGAATTCTACATCTCATCCATTGAATACATGGTTAATATTTATCCAAATAACATATTTATTATTTATGGGGATTATAATATTCTTGAAATAATTTGGGATTATGATGATTATGGTATTGTATATTTCTTTTCTTCTCCTGCTTGCGCCTTTTACATTCTTAAATCATTTGCAACCAACGGGTTCTTCCAAAAAAATAATATTTATAATTCAAATAATTTTATTTTTGACCTTACATTTTGTAATGATACTCGTTTAACCATTGATAAATCACTTGAACTAGTAGTACCGATTGATAAATATCACCCAGAATTAAGTCTTACACTAGCTTTTAGTTTCAAAGGATGTATGTATAATCCCGGAAACTAATCTCACAGACCGTATAGTTCCGGAATCGTATATAAATAAACTTAATTTTCATGGACTGTATAAATCCGGAAAGTAACCAACTGTATTATCATGGACCGTATTCTCATTATCACTTTTTATTAATAACCTACATCGTATGCTATACCACTATCGTTTTCTTTACTTTGCTGATGACATCAAGTTATATTTGCGCATAAGCACACCCAATGATTGCATTAAAATTCAATCTGATTTGAATCATTTTTCAAATTGGTTCAACACCTTAGGTTTATCACTTAATCTCAATAAATACAAAATTATGACATTCTCTCGGTCCCGCTCTTCCTTAGTGCTTTACTATCATCTTCTATGTCCTGCACTCCACCACCAACTAAATGGCTAATGAGCCTCTAGGACGTCTAGTGTTAACTATCAATGTGGATTCTGCCTTTAATGACTTATTGATCTAATTATGTGCAATTTCTATATTATAACTTATAAGCTTTGGTAATTTTATAATTGTATAATTTCATTATCTCTAATGTTTAATGTTGCAAGGTCAAAAGGGCACAGATCGTATAATTAAAATGAAATAATTTTTATATTACTACTACGGTATAATATAAATTGTCTTACCTACCCATGCATAATTTATTAACTTTATCAATCCAATAATAAAAAAAAAATATATATATATATATTAATAAAATTAATATATTCATAGAATAATATTAATATTTCATCATTATGTTAAATTATAATGTATAAAATATTAATATTAATGTATGGCGTTGTGCAACCATTCTATGTATAATTATTGTTCATCATAATAAATGGATTGATTTATGTATGTTATTTACTCCATACATTTGACTATGTCTAATATGGGTCAATTCAACAACAGCCAAAATACCGACTCAATTATTAAATATTACCGGGAAAAAAAATAATGATAGTTAGTGTACCTAATATATTATATAATATAGGACATTTCATTCAAAAAAATAAAACAATGTTATTTATTTCTAGTGAATAATATATGAAACTAGTGATGTTATGAATGGGATAAACTTAACGCAGAATGGCTTACAATTATAATATTTTGTTTTAGCCACTTTTACCCAAAACTAAACAAGAAGTGAGAAGTTATATTAGACATCACCAACGGCCAGCATGACTATCTTCTATGTAAATATAATATTATATGTATATTTAATATTATTAATGTATAATGTATATATACGATTTAAGCTTCGGATACATTTGAATAAGATGCCGTGGTCCATCCATTTATTATCCATGAACAAGACAAAATGTAGTAGGTACACCGAGAAAATTAAATTTATGTTTAGAAATCATGGAAATATATAGTTATTGCAAAACGTCTATTATTGCTATATTTTGAAGCGTATATTATTTCTTTACTTGAATTACACCATCTTTCTGGTTCCAAAATTTTCCTTACTACAATTATAAAGTCAGAATATTTAATAATAATTTCAGGATTTACATTATATGGATTTTGGATATGTATTTATAATATGCAATTTAATAATTCTTTCTTACCTTTCTGTTTATCGTCAGCTATAATATAAAATATAATTCTAGTATTTCAGATATTAAAAAAAATAGCTGGTATATAAAATACATTCAACTACCTAACAATTTTACATACAATAGTTTTATTTACACATTTTGATTTAGCTTTTAGACATATTTTAAGAACTAACATTATTTTTAGAACATACATAAGTATTTCGTCAATTTTTTAGACATTAGCAAATCAATGAATCAATAATCTAAATATAATCGTTCGAAGTATATTGGTAAATAGTACAGATATATATGTATATAATGCTTTTTTAAATGTTTAATGGCTGGTAAAATAAATAGCTAGTTTATACTAAAATGTATTATAGTTTTTATTAATTATAATTATATCATAACATAACATATCATAAACAACTTACGAAACTCTAAAAATGTTCGTAAAAACACTATATATCTTTGTAGTATAGCTGAAAAAAATGAATAAATATGTAATATTCATACTACTGCTTACATATATTTAATATAACCCTTACAAAATAATTGAATTAAATAATCCGGTGAAGAACGACTGCGCAAAATTTGCTCAATTGTGTATATTTTAATAGCCATCGAAATACATACATGCGATGTATAAATAAATATATTACAAACTGCGTTCTGTGTGAAAACCTTAAATTATATATTTAATACTAACTGTCTTATTAGAAACACAGTCCAAAACAGAATTTTAAAAAAAAAACACAGTTTATAATGACGAAAAATGTGACTCCTATAGAGATAGCACGCATTGAAGCATCTATTAGGACATATAATAGGTATAAATCGTGTTAATCTTTTAGTTTAACTATCGCATATTCATTTAGTAATTATGATAAAATAATATTTTTATCCTTATACATAAATATTTGGAAAATGGAGAATCACTTAAGTTAAGTTACAATTTTTGAACCCCTTTATAGTACAGTAATTTTTTGTTTATAATAAAATAGCAATTTTCTCAGTGAATTTTAACTGAATTTGATTTCTGTTTTTTTTTAAATCATTGCAATGGAATAATTTAAGTTTTATTTTAAAATAATTTTTAATTTTTTACCCATCCATATACCTTAAATAAGTATTTACGTTTGTTTTTTAAATAGAAACCCCTCTTTAAAACATGGATTCGAATATAGTATATTTTTCTAGGAATTTTGGTGTGCAATAACCCTACTATTAGTTTTATTGTTTATGAGTTAGAAATTATGGTTTAAAGTTTAGGCTAGAAAAAGTTATTAATTTATTATTAAAAAGTACAGATGTTATACTGATTAATGTTGAATTTAATGCTGTAGCATCATTTCACAATTTTTTATGTAATTCAAAACCTATACTGAAAATTAAAATCAACTTGAAATCCACTCGCTTAGAATATTTTGCACAAAATCAATAATTTAAATACTTAACTTTACTTTTAAATCATCACATATTTTAATGTTTGTCACAACTAAAAAACGTACTTCAAATTAATTTAAATATTGATTATTTATTTCGTATAAAACTAAAATACACAAAAATTACCTACTTAATAAGTTTATTATCAGAACAAACAATATATTATTATGTTTAGTATAATAAACATAATAAGTTAAAACAAAATCATATAGGTATTAATAACTCAGTACGCAGTACATATAGGTATTTTAAATAATCATAGTTTAATACCGAGTAGGTAGCTATGTATTGAAATTTAAACAATAAAAAACCTCAACAGTATTATATAATGCATAATATGTAAATATATAATCATATATTTTATATTTTATTAATGAAAATCATCTACGCTTTAATTTAGCAAAATTATCTTTGTTAATCAGTACTATAATGCCAATATTATATATTATGTATAACTGTGTTTATGTCTTATTAAAGTTATAAGTGATTACATACATTTTTGTAAAATTACAAAATTAGTGGTTTTTAGAATATAAATTAGGTATATAAAATTAACTACAACTACACATTTTAGGTGCGCTAAAGAAAAATTCATGGGATGCATTTGCATAATGAATCATTATTAATTTAATAATGGATTTAGGAACAAAACATAACTTACAATTAGTGTTGTAAACCGCTTCTTCACCTAAAAGATTGTATAATAAAACAATAATAATGGTATGTAAATCGATTCTAGAATATTATGTAAACAATTTCCATTACTTAAATTGATTGCATTCTTCCAAAACATGTATATACTTGCATTCATGTCTAGAAAAAAAAAAATCAATTTAAAAAAAATAAATAAATTACGTAGCAAACATCTAATGAACTTAATGATAGAATGATTGGATGGAATCGATGTTACATAATATGTAGCTAATATATGTTCGGTTTTATTGATTTTAACAGTTTTATTTAATATTCGATTGGTTGTCATCATTACTTAGCTTTTAAATGGTCAATTAATTTGTCCCAGACAATACTAAGAGAATGTAGTAAATTTAAAATAAATGGCATACCCTACACGGTAAAATTAGTACCAATATATTTTGTTTATAAATCTCACGTAATAAAAAATCTAGATAAAACATGAAGAAGTACTGAATAACAGTTTAAATTATGGTGTACTGAGAGAAGAATTTGATAAAGCACTTAGAAATCTAAAAAGTAAGAAAGCTGCAGGAATTGACAACATCCAAACAGAACTTTGGAAAAAATCTGACGGAAAAATATGCAGTGAGCTTTTTAAATTCATAAAGGAAATATTCAACTCAGGGGAACTTCTTCTAGACTTCAAAGTGTAAGATTACTCGTATTCTGAACAAAGCAACCACAAACAAATATGATCAATACCTCACAATTATAATTATCGAGAAAAAAATTAGGAGAGATAAGTATACATACATAGCTTTTGTTAACATAGAAAAAGTGTTCTACAATATCAACTGGTCAATAATGTTCAAGATGCTAAAAAAATCAGGTATAGAATACACTGAATGAAGACTACTCTTCAAACTATAGTGGTAGAAGGAAACAGCTGTTATACGGTTTGGTGAAATTGTAGAGGAAGCATGTATAAGAAAAGTAGTAAGACAGGGTTGTACTCTCTTATCTAGCATATTCGATGCATACATTTAAGAGGCAATTGACATAATAAAAAAATAAATAAATTTAAGTATAAAGATGAAAAATTAAAATTAATGTGCTACAATTTACATACAATACAGCAGTGATAGTTGAAATGAAGAAGAATTGCAACGGATGCTAAGATATTGAAGAAACGCTGCTCTATGAACTGAACATAAAAATAAATACGAAAAAGTCCAAAGTTCTTGTATGTAGTAGGAACAATAATATTAAGGCAACAATAAATCTACAAAATAACCAAGAAATAGAAAAAATAGAAGTTAATAGAGCAACTAGAGTTCACATATTTAGGAAGCATAATAAGTGAGAATGGCAGAAGTAAAAGGGAAATAATAAAGCAAATTAACAAGCTAAGATAGCATTTAACAAAAACAGAAGACTTTTTACTTCAAGAAATATCGGCATATGCACCAAACAAGCGTTTGAAAGCAAAACCAGTTCATTTCAAATACAGTATATCTGACAACTAAGAAAGCACAAGTAAAATGATTTGTGTGGAGCGTAGTTCTAAATGGAGCAGAAACTTAGACTATACTGAAGGCTGATAAAGCTAATAGTGGCACTTGAAATATGGTGTTGGAGAAGAATTTTCACAGAAAAGATAAAAATGTTGAAGTTTTTAAAAGAATGAATACTCATAAATCAATATGAAATACACTGATCCTGAGGTGAAACATGAATCAGACATCTAATAAGAAACAACCTTTGGAAAACTATGATAGTAAAGGAAAATATTGGATCCTAATCTGGAAGACGAAGGCCTAGAACATCATTCATGAACCAAGTGATGGAAGACACGGGAATAAGAACGTATAGGGAACTAAAAAAATATATAGAGGACTGAGAAAAATATCAATATAGAAACATCAATAATCATTTAACTAATTGTTGGATTATATATAAAAAAAAAAAAGGGTACCTATACTCAGCAATGTTGTTGTGAATTATTTGCCGATTGACTACTTACCTAGAGTATATTCTGGATCGAAAATTTCTAATACTTTTTTATCTATTAACATAGAATAATATATGACAAATAACGTATAATTAAATATTCTATAAGGATATAAAAACAAATTTACTACTCACTTCGTAATATACGACTGCTCATAATCGTTTCTGAAAGAACATTTAAAATAAAATACATTTTTATTGCAATACTTTTGTTTACATAATTTATTAGTGATAAATAGTATTTTTTTTTTTTAAAATATCCAATATTAAATTTCTACACAAAAATGTCCACAAATTATTTATATTTAATTATTATTTACTTTAATTACAACAATTCAACCCTAAGTAGTCAACTCCATAATATTAATGTTAAATTGGCAATTATGTACCTGTATGATGTAGGGAACCAGGTTTATTGTATATAGGTGTTATAGGTAGTTATTAAGTAATATATGTACACTGTAACTTGTTCTATTTAGCTTGTCAAAACTAAAATCGGTAATCTAGAAGTCGCATTATAATTTTGTTTAATATACCTGAATCTTCTACGCAATCTAGTGTTTATGATAGTAATCATATTTCTAGTATATTTTGCAAATTTGTATACTTGTTGATCCTATTTGATCCTATAAATGTTCTGTGCTTAGATAAATAAATTGTTCAATAATTGAAGGCCAATTTGAGCTGCACTACCAAATCAACATGATGTATTTGATGTTTTGAAAAACAAGTGCAAACTGAGTTAGTTGACGAATTTCAAACACATTAGTATTCCATTGGATTGAACTTTGTAACAATGAAAAGGCTTAAAATATTGATGAGCTAATGCTAGAAAAACTGCAGGTGAAACTAATCTGTTCATTAAATATGATAATGAACTGCCATCTCAAAAAAACTAAATGTTTATAATAATCATACTAATATAGTTAATGATTTGCTATATCAATATAATAATGCTAAAATTATACTATTAGATTATTACAATTTGCCAGCCATTCAATGGTCTTTATTCAGTAATCCAACTATTTCTCACTATGAAAAAATTGAATCAGATGCATGAGCAAATTTTTCTTTACTCAATATAAAAAAATTTAATACTATGAAAAATTACAAAATTTCTATTTTAGATTTAATTTTATCTAACTCCTCGGATATTGTTGTTTCTTATGAACTTTCGACTTTGGTTCTTATTGATGATTTGGCCACATAAGGCCCGTGGACGAATTTTATAAACACGCAGACAAGTAGGAAACAAACGAAAATATAATATGATATCTTAGTTTCGTAATTTTTCAATTTCGAGTAAGATTTATCATTTATCCCACTAAACAATTTTCTATTTTTATTATATTTATAATTTATTTTTATTTTACATTGTTTCAAATATTTATAACATTAATTATGTTCTTAATGTTAATAAACAATAGCAAATAATAAATAAATAAACGGTGTTTATAAACCGGTAGTCAAACACAATAAATAGACAATTAGTATTATACACAATTTTTGTTTCGAAAAAATATATTTTTTAAATATTATATTATATGCTTACTTTTGCAATTCAATGGGTTTTCTTTACAATATAAATAAAATATTAATATTATACTTTTTAATGTTTATACAAGTAAAATGTAAATAACATGAACATATTTAAAAAGTACAATTACTGGGTGGCGACATTTTTATTGTTAATATTTAATATTACTAAGTAATATTGACTACTTTTTAACAAATTTTAAGAATTATTATTGAACAATAACATACGAAATAATTAATATTACGTAAATGAATTAATCGAGGAACTTGAGGAAAATAGTTGTAATAGTAAAAATTACACATACAACAAAAAAGTTATGATTTCTCATTACAGTCAAATTAACAAAATTACTACAAATTATAAAATATTGATAAAAGTTGGAACCCCATATATAGATACATTTATATAACATTTTTACTATTATTGTATAGAAAAACTACAAAACAATGAAAGTTAGATACTTGGGTAATTATAATGATTACAGGTGCTTAATATTTAAGGTAATATATAATTCAGTCATTGGCTTCTTTCATATTTGATTTCCAGGAATGAATTTTTGAGGTTTGATGTGAGTAGGAATGAATATAATATGAATGGTATTATGTAGCCTGATAACATTAGGTAATTTACGAGTGTAAATTATATTAGGAAAAATACATACCAACTGGAGGTTTTTCTTTAAAAAAGATTAAAAAAAACTTAAATTAATATATTAATATTAGTAAAAATGAACAAGTACAAAAAGCTTCACATTTTTTTCGATACGAAAATTACCAAAAAATAATAAATATAAATCCAACCTCGGCAGAGAATATTATTTCTACCTACTTCATAAACATGGCAACTGATTAGTGTAGTATGTTTTATTTTTAATGAATATAGTGTTTCAATGGTTTATCATAAATTTTTAGCAAGACTTGGCATTAACGAGCTAGAAATTAAAATGAAGTTACACACTTATAATAAAGATTTCTATTATTTTCGACTACCATAAGTTTTTTTTAAGACGTATCGTACGTTAAATCCACCAGTGACCAGTGTAGAGATTATCTAGATAGAATGTTTTAAAGGTAATCTAGATAAGGACAAATTCGCTTTTATATTTTATCTAGATAAAAAAATTATACTATCTATATCTTTATCTTATTAATTCTTTTATTTATTATATAGTAGGTACTTAGTAGGTAATTAGGTATTATTAATTTATATTTGTATTCAATAACTATCATTGCTAACAAATAACGATTCTGAATGAAGCTCGGTTAATAATATTGCTTTTTCATCAATATGCAGCATTTTCACAACAATGATTATTTAAAAAAAGATTAAAAAATGAATAAAAATGGTTACAAATCAACCTTATTTTTATTTTTCACTCTGAATTTAAAAAACAAAATCCATCGCAATATTGGATTACTACGAGGTATGAGAGTTTTTATTATAGAACATGATTTCGACTCAAATGTACGGTGGCACCGGGCTATATTGTTGATACAAAAATTCTCAGCATGAAGAGTATACTAATTATTATGAGATCGGTCGGACTACTTTTTCTAATTTTAATCCTTAATTTCCAAAAATTTGAAATGACACAAATGTATGTAAAGAAAAAAACTAAAATTAAATTTAAAAAGACGTCTTAGGATAATAGGGACGGGTGCAGCTACTTTTATGGATAATTGAATGTATACCTGTAAGCAACAATAAACCATTGCTTACGAAAAAACGATTCTGAGTGGAGTTCAGTTTATAGTGATCCTCTGTCAATAATATATATATGTCATTGTATAGTAAAATGATTAAATAATCTATACATATTTTATTTAATAATATTTGTTTTAGGTCGTACCGATTTTCCCAATTTGCCTACGTTTTTCCCAATTTTTTAAATTTGGTGAGAAAACTCTCGAGAAAATCGAAAAAAAACCTCTCTAAAGTACCTTTCCATTAAAATTTCATTTTAGAAAAATTGCTATTATCAAAAGTTTGAACAAATTTGCTGGTAGAAAAGTTATCTACAGGGAAAAAAAAATAAAAAACATCTTTGTAAAACTATAAGCTTCTTCGCTCCATTTAGAATCTAAAATGGTCTTACATGTATACTTCACGCTGAATTAAAATTTTTTTTCAGAATCTTTATTGCTTCACTACATCGATATATTATGCATTGATATGAATTGCTGTGCTGTAAAAGTATTAGACAAAGAAATATAAGGGTAAAGGTAAAAATGTCTGAAGGTAAAAATGTCCACCTAGTACACTGTAGGTATATAGCTAGATAACTAACAACGAAACTGAAGGATGGAATCTTAGGTTTTCCAAATTATTTTCATAATCCCACTCAGCTATTAATTGAAAAAATTGCTGTTGGAGTTGGAGGATGACCAATGCAAAAAAGGTCAAAGAATTGATATCAAACTACCAAAAAAAATATGTGAGAATATTTTGAAATGCATATCCTTAAATTTAATTAATATTGTATACTAGAATGGAATTTCAATTTTATCATAGTCATTTTTATTATTTGTATGATCAAAATTAAGACGATTATTGTACCTATTAATATTATAATTACGTATTAAAATTATATTTAATTTATTATTTATATTTATAAATTATAACTATATAGGTATTATTTTTTTTTACCTCTGAACATTTTTACCTTCGGACATTTTGGTAGAACATCGTATATCGGTGTATTTATATGTTTATTTGCGTTTGTAGTATACGCATTAAAAATATTTGTTGTTGGCGGTACTTTCTGATGACACATCCACCCACTCTCATAACATTTATTAACAGTGGTATTTAGTAGAAAACAAGAAAACATAAAAACTTCTGAAAAATAAATCGTATGTTATGAACAAAGTATCCTTACTAACAACTTAATAGGTTACTAACCAAACCACCTACCCAACTACCAAATTATATTTTGTAAAAGTTGCTGAAGTCACACATTGACCATAGAATAGCCACCACTGGACTATAACGTAAATAACAAAATGATATGCAAATACGAGTATATTAATAGTATAGTCATTATTTAATAGCTATTAATGTGAGTATGTATTGTATTATATTCAAAACCGTGATCTAAATTTACAAAATTCAACAATTTCTTTATTATAATATATTTATATATTTTTAAGTAAGTACACCAATAATCGACAACAAAAAATTGTAATACCGTGTTCCCTATATCCCTTATAGCACAAAGGTATGAGGTACCTAGTGGTATTGAATACATTAGGTAAGTAACAATATGTTTCATAATAAATGGGATTCTATTAATTCATTATAGTTTATAATAATAATAATAAATAATAATAATTTGAATTGAACCAACAAAACAAATATATTTATGAAATTAAGGTTATCATATATTACCTATTGTTGTATTAAAGAAAATGTTCTTTTCATGTTGTGTGATGCTATTAAAATCTGTGGGAATTATAGATTTCCAATTCACCATGTCTTGATCGATATGAGAACTATCTGAATTTATTAAATCTAAATCAAATGGTAGGCCGCCGTCTACACCAGCTATAAACAAATAATTGGAATTTAACATTAATAAAATTATAATAATTATATTTAAATGTTTTTAAATTTTATTAAATATAAACAATCTATACAAAAGTTTACAATACGCTTTTAACAATAAAATGGCTGTTTGGCTATAATTACTTAATTATTTTAATCATAATATAATAATAATAATATATTGTTTACATTTAAGTAGATGTAGATAAACGAATATTAAGGGTTATTCAATAAGCTATATATGGGGTAACAATCCAAAAATTACTCTTTCCATTTTCCACTCTTTTCAGTAAAAATGTTTTTTTTTTTTTTTACGAACAATTGAATTGTCATAGAAATATAGCAATTGTGCCAAAACAATTTTAATATTGAAATAAACATTTTTTTTTGATACGACCTAAAAGTTTTAATCTAGTTTAATGGCTTAAATTTGACTATGAAATTTATTGATTGTACTAAAACGTACTATAGAAATAGTAAATAATTTATTGCTTTTTGACATAATTCATGGATTTTAGATAGATTTTAACAAAAAATTAGTACGTGTAAACAAAATCTGACGGCAGCATTCGATTTTCCGCATTATTTTTTGTAAGAATCATCATATAACTTAATTTCGTCGATTTTGGAAATAGTGCGTTTTCTACTATCGCCTACGTACGAGTCTAGAAATATTGTATAACATATCGGCTATCATAATATAAGTTAGTACCTACAGTGACGATTACTAGTCATTTTATATAAAAGTTTTCATAATATCATATATTTATATATATATATACATCTATGACACGTATTTAATATTAATAATCAAAAGACCATTTGATTTTAGATTTTTAAACATAAGTTAAAATACCTAATATTCCGTAACTTACGTATGTCTATTCTTAAGACCGTAGTCATTGGTACATAGCATAGTTATGGTTGTTGATTTGGTTAATGAGAAAATAGATATTATTTTTAACATTATTGTTATGTATATTGCATTATAACTAACATGCCTTATTATGTATCTAACACTTCACACAGACCTAAACATCAAAACTATTCCAGAAATGTCCTCAGTTATATATTATAAACGTTATCATTTATGGCTAGAAAACCACCCTAAATCATTAATTTCAGCATTTGACTCAGACTCAATACTTAGTTATCTCCAAAAGAGGCTTAAGAAAAGATGGTATCATGATCTAAACTTTTAATCCAAATCCAAATTAATATAATAAAAATAAATACACAGTATAACATTTTAAATCAATATGAAGTGTTGCCGCTGGGTTACATCTTTAATCAAGTAACTCGTATCAATAATTATTACTATAGCGCATACTCTTATTGTAAAATTAGTTTACAGATTGTGTATTTAAAAAAAAAAAGAACTTTAAAACAATACGTAATAACAAAAATAATGTTATGAATAAATTAATATTTTTTGATATCATCTCTTTGTCAATCAAATTAACAACCGTAACTATATTTATATTTACCGATAACTACGGACGGACGTAATAAGAATATTGTGTTATAAATAATTTTAATTATTCACTATTATCGTGATATATAGGTACTTAAACAAATAAATAAAATTAGATTATTTATTGTATATCTGTAAATATAAACTGTTAAAAAAAAATTGTTTATAGTTTTAATTTTAAAAGTTTGTTGTTAAATATTATAATAAAATAAGACATGGCGGCTAAATTTCAACATCTGGTAAATTAGCATTTGGGCCAGTTCTTTTGTATTTCCTCATACTTCCACTAAATTATGTAAATATATCTACCATCTTTTTCAGTAGTTGCAGCCATTTCTTCTTCAAATTCGTCATCATTTGTTTCTTCAAGAGGTATTAATTGATCATTGACTTCTATCATTAAAAAAAAAATTTACAATAATTGATTATAACACATTATAATGATCTCGATTTTTGAATATTCCAAGTTTTTATCCCTCATTCGGTTGTTTCTTATTTAATTTGAAACTCAAGGAAGTAATTTGGGAAAATTTTTAATATGATTATTTATTTTCCTACAAGCTCCACGGGGTTAAAAGTAAGGCATTTTTTTACCAACAAATTACCTTTCTCTTTTCACCCAAATATGATAAATTAATTTTCTCTTTTACCCCAAATACACTCTTTTCGTCCATGTTTTCACGTTCAACATATCGGGAGTTTTTTTAAGTGTTTACTTAATTGAAATATTAAAGTACTTACCAAAAAATTGTTCAGAACCTTAGTTGTAAAACATAATTAATATACATATATATTTATATATATAAAAAAAACTATTTTACAAACATTCTCATAAATATTTTAGTTTGACAGTTAAAAAATAAATCTTATATTTTTTAATGTATTAAGAAAATTCAACGGTTTCAAGATTTTGAAGAATATTTAAAGAAATTGTCAAATTACTTCTACAGAATTTGTAGAATATTAAATGTTTTAATAAGTTAGAAAACCCGCTTTGCAAGCATGCAACGTTTTTGATTTCTAAACATACTTATTTTAAAAATAGGTAATAAACTGTAATGTTTGATAGGACAATTTTGAAAGGAAAACTTGTAACCTATTAAATATTAATATTATAAAATAAATAAATAGGCCAATGGTCATAATCGCCGAGGCTTTATTTAATAAAAAAAAAAATTTATATACTATTTTATATATGTATATTTTTAGATTCAAATGGGAGTGAGAAATGTATTGGTTTTACAATCGGTTTTATTATTTTTTTTTATGAACACTTTTTCTACCAATAAGCTTACTCCGATTATCAATTACACGAAAAAACGAATGCTCGAGGTTTTGGTTTTTTCTTAACTTAAACTTTTATTTTTATAAACTTATCTTTGATTTACACAATATTTACATAATTTCTTATATACTGGTTTTAGTAGTATCTCCTTATACTCATATAAAGTTTACAATAAAAATAAAAAAATGCATTCAACATACAGTTCACATTTACAAGGGTTCGTTAAACTTGCAATATACTATGTGACACACGGATAAGTGGGTCTCTGATTTACAAGTGTACACAATACATCTATGCAGGGATGTGTGGGGAAATCTATGTGGTGTTTGTAGCCGATACCTACATCGAGTGACTGAAACATGCACTGACGGTGTCGGTGGATCGACTATGCTACAGTATTAGGTGATAGCGTCGATGGTGGTCCGTGGTTCCTCCGATAGCTAGTCGGATGGACGATCTTCTGCTGACGTCGGCTAATCTGCACTGATTAACACCACTATGACGACGATTGGACTGCACCAGATATTTCCGTTGTGATGGCAACTGGACTGTTTTTTTGGTTAATTTCTAATCCCAACTGCAATAATATGTAACGAGGCATGCGTAGCCTTTAATAGGTAGATCGTGATGATTTTATTTGATCTTACACCGTTTGGACAGTCCTAGGAGCTTGGATGGTTATCGCTCGAAAATCGAAGGTACTTAAATTATAGTGTGCCTTATCGATCGGACAACCAAGCGTAAAACCTTGATATCAATTATGATTTTTTATTATATTGTATCGTATTTCTGTGGTCTCTGGATTATTATAATAAAGTAATGAGCCTCTTAATGTTGATGTATAAAATGATAGTATTTTGTATCTGGTGTGCGCATTAATTAATAATGCCCACTGAGCGTAAAATAGATTGGCACGCACTGCGTTCTAACGGCATACGTTTCGGTAGCGTTGCAGGGATTACAGCATAGAGAAAACCGTTACGGTGCGCTAGGTGTATTAACATAAGTTTTATCTCGTTTTGACACACCTTTTTTGAACGGGAATGTTTTCTGGGTGATACTTTAGAGAAGTTATTTTTTAAATTCTCATTAAGATTCCAGATAAGAAACACCGAATTTTTAGGTTAATAAATATTGAAAGATTAAAAAGACGTCCTATGATAATGGGAACGGGTGTAGCCACTGTTATAGGTAATTTAATGTATACCTGTAAGCAACAAAAAACTATTGCTTAAGAAAAAACTATTCTGAGCGGAATTCAGTTGATAATGACACTTTGTCAACAATATATCTGTCATATTATGGTAAAATAATTAAATAGATATTAAATACTATCTATAATGATGTTTATATGATAAAGTCCCAATTTTCTCGTTTTTCCTGTGGTTTTCTCGGTTTTCTCGTGTTTTCCCCCGGTTTTTCACATTTACCTGAAAAACTCTTGGAAAATTGAAAAATGACCTCCTTAAAGTAGGCTCCCAGTATAATTTTCTTTTAGAAACATTGCTATCATTATAAATTAGAGCAAAATTTCTGATAGAAAAGTTATCAACAGAAAAAATAAATCGTAATATTTTACTAATATATTTCGTAAATTTTACCGGTTTCCCTTCTTTTTTTTTCAGTTTTTTTCAAATTTGATGAGAAAACCCTTGAGAAAATCAAAAAATGGCCTTTTTTAAAGTATCACCTAAGTCAAATTTCCTTTTGGAAAAAGTGCTACACGTAAAAATTGGAAAACATTAAATTGTATTATTTTAAATCTTTTTTTAAACAATCATTATTGTCATGGAAACGCACATTGTTGAAAAAGCAATAGTAGAGACTGAGCTATATTAAAATACTATACATTTCGATTTTAATACATTCTTTTAAATATTAATATTTATGTTATATTTCATTATTCTATACTTAAGTATCATTATCAATTGAACTCCGCTCAAAATCGTTTTTTGGCTAACTTGATTGGCGAAATGTTTTTTTTTTTTAAATTCTAAGTTAGTTTCTAAATGTATTGGTTTTACAATGATGTATTTTTTTTTCTATCTGTGAACAATATTTTTACAAGCAATTTTGCTCCTATTTACAATGATAGCACTTTTTTTAATAGGAAATCTGACTGGATAGGTACCTTATTAAGGATGTCATTTTTTTGATTTCCCAATAAATTGGAAAAAATGGAGGAAAATCAGCAAAATGTACGAAATGAAGATAATAGTTAAAAAATATTACTACAATTTTATTTGTTTGAACAATTTTTCCACCAGCAATTTCGCTCCGATTTACAATGATAGCCTTTTTTCTAATTATTTTACTATACTATGACATATATATTGTTGACAAAGCAACACTATCAACCGAGCATCGTTCAGAATCGTTATTTAATTAGCAATGGTTTATTGTTGCTTACAGATATACATTAAATTCCCTTCTGTATCCTACATTCCCAACTTCCCACTTACAACAGTGATTGTATCCACGTACAAAGTATGTTCACTTTTTTTTTATTTGAAAATAGTTGATAGGGCATTTCTAAAAATCTTTGAATACTTATACTTTAATAGGTACCTATTTTTTAATACTGGCTAGTATTATGTTTACATTTAATAACCATATTTGAATTTATAATGATTTAATGAATAATGAATTTACAACAATGATTTTATTCTGGGTTTATCAATAATTATGGAACCGTTAACGCATTATTTAAAATTATTTTCAGTTTGTACCCATTAATCTCAATACCTTAGAGAACTTTTATTTTTAAATTTAAACGTCAAATTAAACACAGATTTAAATAGAGAACATTTCTCCGAAAATGTTGATATGCATAACACTACATAATATCAAATTTACCGTCATCGATGTCTTGACTACTGCTACCAATATTACTGGATACTTGTTTACCTGTTAGAAAATGTTGATAAAATAATAAAATAATGTTTCTAGCATCATGCAATTTTATACTAGCTTTGTTAACTCTTTGAATACTAATATTATACTATAATCAATAAAATATAACATTTCAATAGGAACTTAAACAGAAAAAGTGCAATTACTTTCAAAAACCATCACAGAGTTTTCACGATTTGTAAACGGATCCTACATAGTAGTTTCAAGATAATTATTTCTTTTGCTTAAAAATGTCAATTAAGAACCAACTGAAAACGTTTAAGTATAATGCAAAATAAAAAAAATTAAACGTTTTACAAATATTTAGAAAACTTTTTTGTAAATATATAACAAAATATTTTGTTATCATAAGAATAAAATACGTATACAATATTATTAGTAAAATATTTATTATTTAACCTCTTCAAAATATTTATAAAATATTATTATTTCTAAAATGCTGCGTGGGTTAAAATTTCCGACTGTAAAAAAATATGACGAGGTAAAAGAATAGTTTTATTCTATATTGGAAAACGCTGTCGATACTTCCATAGTGTAGTGTAAAATTATTTCTAGGCGATTTCATTATTTATATTTATCGTCGTCGGTTTTTATTCGATCTTTTAGTTTTTCAACGGGATATGAGTATGTGAAATATTCAAATTTTTAAATTATTATAGATATAATGTTTAAAAATGTAATTATTTAAAAACGAAATTGATTAGATAGATAAATTTTATGTTTAATAATAGGTCAATTTATTTTATTAGTAAAACTAACAGCACAAAATTGGCTTTGTTGAACGTAAATTTACTATGTCGTTTCGCTTGTGTGACAAACGGCGGTAACACGTCTTCTTAGTAGTAAAATCAACATTTAAATTTAGAAAAACTCAGATAATATACTATTTATACATAAATTTAGGAATAATATACATATGAATAAATTACCATAAACTATAAATAGATTGATATTGAAAACAAAAAACATTAGTATTTTGATAACACATAACTGTAAACTTCTTTTAAAAAAGATCATTTTTAATTTTTCAAATAAAATCTTGAAAACTTTACGATCTATGTACTGAAGAATAAAACAAAATTGATTAACAGAAATTTTTATTATTTCGTTCATTACTATTGTAAAATTGTTAGTCAAACCTTTAAACGCTTTAAATACAGACTAGGTCAACAGCATATAATATTGTTTTCTTTTCTCCAACTGAACAAACTGACTAAACATAGTTTTCAACTATACAACATATTTCTATATTTCTGTGATATATGTCTAATGTAGGACATACATTTCTATATTAACTATATTGTCGTCATCTACGATTTGTTCGCTTAAAGCACTCTTTTTTTTTTTTTCCGTTGAATATTGTGTATGAGTAAAACGGTGTAGAATCAGGTAATGTAATATAGCTATAATTGTTATAAACCACACCATTTTAATATGACTGAATTTTATTTATTTTATTTTACAGATTGTGACCAATTTAAAGTATACCACTTAATTGTTCTAACAGTTCTCAGACTATAAAAGTTGACGAAAAATATAAAAACATAATTTTAAATAAATCATTATCGGGGACTCAATTTGGTCGAAATATTATTCGAATGTAACCATTAAAACTAATTTAAATTGTTTTAAATACGTTTTGGCGAGTAAGTTGTACAATTTGTAAATCGTACATGTATTAATTTAATTTAATATTTTATTTTTAGATCAAATAAGACATTTTACAATAATATCTATATTTATTAAACGTAAATTAATTACAGGTAATTATGTAGTAATCTTAGGTATATAAATAATATAAAATATTATTTAGGTGTACAATGTGACGTCATTTTTAAGTTTTAAATTTTATACAGTGTACAAGATAAAATGGGTAAATCCATTGACCATTATAATATTTCAAAAGATAATAAAGATAATCAATTTTTGGTTTCGAATTTGATTAGTTTTTACGAACTATGTTATCTAGCAGAAATATTGTTTCAATATAAAAATGACAACATATCTTTTTGGTTCAATTTTTAATTTGGTTATAATGACTAACGAAGTTGTTTTTGATTTTTCTTATAAATTTTTTAATAGTTGAGTAAAACCGAAAAAAATGTAGCAAGTTAATGCGAAAATTCACGCATATAATGAATTATTGTCACGTTTTACATTTTGACTGTGATAAATAATTTTTAATTCGAAACCGGTCGTATAATACACTTATCAAAATCCTCCAGGCGACGCATTTATTCATTTTTTATTTATATTTATATTTTTTACTGTATTTATTTACGGGTACTAACTAATTTAATAATTTAATTTTACTTAATTATTTTATTGAATATAACGGTTTTATTTTTTTTTTTAATTTTGTTTTTTGTTGTAATTCAGTTAAAAATATTAAAAGAGACTTGGAATTTTGACGCGAAACTCGTATTTACTTTTTCTAAACGTGGTGAAATTTAAAAAAAAAACGTTCGAACCATTTTTGAGCTATTTAAAGATATTTAAGTTGTATACAATTCTATGTAATTTTTATTTGGTAGGTACTCTGTGGATGAAATTTGTATACTAAACAGAATTGCTTGAAAATTTGACAAGAAGTTCATTATTGGTCGTATTTAGTGGTAAAAAAAAAAGGTTAAGTGGTATTATATATAAGCGGTTTTATATAAGAGTTAGAATAACATATTTTGACGAAAACTGTAAATATAACGGTCTCAATAACATTTAACTAAACCCAATTTCGCTCCGAATTGTTTTTCGCTAGCAATGGTTCATTGAAATTTAATTTTTATGTTTTAGTAAAAAAATTATTTTATTTAATTAATTTCAAAAAATAATTAAGACAGCTTTTTTAGTGTACAATAATAATAATAATAATAGTCAAATAGCAAATGTAATTATAATTTGCTGCATAACTACAGTTAATTGGCATAATATTTGAAATAATATTTCATTATTATTATTATTATTGTTAACATTGAGTGTATACTTTTTTCTCTGAACCTTAAAAAATTATAAAAAATACACTTTATAAAATATCTGACTTCTTTTTTTTTGAAAATAATATAATAAAAAAAATTATTTTTTTATTTCTTTACCAAAACATAAAAATGTAATTAAAATATAAATAGTTGTAATCCTTTTTTCTGTGAGTAATTTAAAATAATAATAGAAAAAAAAAATAGAATTTGACTATCTTAATTATCTAAGGAGATATTGCAATGGGTACTCTTCGTGGACATCCACCATTACAATAAAACATAATTAATAAAAAAATCTATAACTTGAATAATAATTATTATAGTATAGGTATTGCATTATATTTATATACATTCATTTTCACACCAAACTTCTAAATCTCGATATCCGACTAGAGAAAAAATAAATTGATTGAATAAATGATAAGAGATAACAGCTTTATTTATTTATCTATCTCTATAGAATTTATAGTGTACTTACATGAAGCTGTGTATACAATTAAAAAATTTAATTAACAATAATATCGTAGTAACGTTAAACATTAACAATAATTTTGAAAATATTATAGTATACTTAATATTGCAAACATTTTAACAAGAGATTAGAAATAGATATCAAAATAAAAAATTCAGTTATTCCTGTTTTTTTTTTTCTGTATGGCCATTGTGAGAGCTCATGCTTTTTTAATTGGGGAAAATGTAGTTATTATATTGCAGTTGAGATTTATTTAAATTAGTTAAATAACACGCATCATCCGTTTTCAGTGTAAAACCTGAGAAAAACGTAGAAAGAACGGGAAAGTTTAAGAAAATTTAAGGAATTATAAGTTTCAATGTATTCAATTTTTTTTTTCTAATTCTGTTAAAAAGATTTGTAATGACTTGAAATTTTGACAGGAAACTTATATTTGCGTTTTTTTAACGTGATATATTATAGAAAGAACAGACAAATATTATTACAGTACGCCGTTGCATTAACGGTTTCAATTATAAATGTTTACTAAGTATAAACTATGAACTTTTAATAGTACTTACGAAACGTCATTCCAAAATGATATTTTTCAGAAAATGATAAAGCGCATGCTGAAAATGAGATGTCATTTGTATTTTTATATATTTGTAAATAAATATGTATTTTTAAGTATTTTCGTTATGCCATGGGCGTGCTCAGAACTTTGGTACAGGTACGGCGGGGTTAGGTAACGATTATTTTGTGGCTACACTACAGTTAAAGTAAGCAATTTTTCCTTTTTACACCCTATTGCAATATATAAATTCAAACAATTTTAACATGAACACTGTGTAATTATAATATATAAATAGTACAAATGAATTTTGTTATTTATTATTTTATGGTTCTCTTATTTCTTTATCACTTATTATTTATACCCCCTTAGTTTTAAAATGTAAAATTAAAAAAAGTGTGTAACCTTGTAAGAGAATATATGAATCACTATTAATGAAATTTGCAGAAAAGGGACCCCTAGAACTTAATTTTACAGAAGGCATAGAAAAGTGTCTAGACAAGATTGTAAAGCAGATTGACTGGACGTATAATACACTACAGTGGTTTGTTGGTTATAAACACGACAGCTATTTTTATTTTAAATATTGATTTCACACAATCATATACTTAATATCGGTGGTTTTCAACCTTCTTGAGTACACGTCTTTAATTTATTTATTCATATGATACGTCCTTAATAATGAACCACGACGTATACGTTGAAAACCACTAATCTATGAAATATGTGCTTTAAACTTTTTAACTCATTTAAGTTTTACGTATAAATTTTATTTTACACAGAGTACACCGAATGCCGTCCCTTACGAAATGAGAATGGCAAGTTTGAGAACGATCCGGTGGATTATCCCACCTGAATATATCCACGATAGTATAATTCCGACCGTATTACCTAGGCGAAAACAAGAACAACAAAACGCCCATTTTTTCAATATTAAATCGGGATATCTCATATTTTTAGTGGTGGTAGCTTTTGTTATTTTCCGGGATTTTATTGTTGCTGCGATTTCGTATGGTTCATTATTCCTTTGATTTTGTCGAGCTGAAAAAAAGGTTCCACCGTAAATAGGTAGAGGAAAAAGAGCGCTCTGCTGGTGTCGCTTGGGGTTATGTGGTGTGCGTTGTAGTTCGACTAGTGCGGTTTCGCTCCGCCAGTTGATTACGTTTCGGCGCGCAGACGCTGTAATATAAATTTCTCGGTTTCATTACCGGCGCTATTAAACGAAACGTTCCGTTTCGTTACAAGGCATACAAATGAGTAAATCGCATTATTATCCATATTTTTAGAAATTAGCTATCCCGATATTTTCTAAAATTCAATATGAATATTAACAGCCATTTTAAACTTTTGAATATGTCCTCTTTCTACATTTAACTGTTTTAAATGCATTTAAAACATACATGGTAATAAAAACATATTTTTTTTACATTGGAAAATCTTTTATTCCTTTAAGCATTTCGGAAGTGTAACTATTTTGTTATTTGTTATATTTCTGATTATAAACCATATTAGCTATGCTAATATGTATTTTTTTGTAGATTAATCCACTATGAATGCTAAAAAAATATTTATACTTAAATCTCTAATGACTTTAAGAATCAAGTATATCAAAACACGATATACTGTACACGATATAATGTAATTATTCGTGGTTACAAAATAATACAACTTACTCATGTGTTCAGCTCTAAGTAAATCAAGAGTTGTTTTCGCTGAAAAAAATAAATACAATATGAATTTAGTGATATAAAATAAACTTTATTTTCAAAAACAGGCCAAGTACAAACAATTTAAAACCATCACAACTCAAAAATAATAAAAACAAGATTTTACAATTAAAAAAAAACAAACTGAACGTAATTAATACATTGATAAAATATAATAATTAATCTTCTTCTCCTTCACCACCCAGAATAAAAGAGAGTTCACTAGACAGTATTATAATGAAAATAATTTTGAACAGTTCAATAACCTATCTGCGATATCAAAGATACATTAATATTAATGTATATTTTTCAGTATTTTCTATTAATATTTCATGAATTAAGAAGGTAAGTAGCATTAATATAAACGAGATCGAAACAAAGTATTATATGATCAAGAGTAGACAGAAAATGTTTTTTTTTCAAAATATCTCCTCAGGGAAATATGCATTTGAAAAAATAGAAAATGTCAAGTACTTAGGTGTTAATCTAAATTTGGACAACAACTAAATGGATGAGCTAATGTTGCTAGCTATTAAATGGAAAGTTTTTAGGAGGCTTTGGAACCATATATAATACGAGAACGGGGCAGTAAAAAGGAGGAACGAACGTAGATATTGAGCGAATCTTCAATCAACCAACTATTCAAATGTGTCTTATCTCAAAAATACTGAAATAGACTGGTTAGGTCACATATGGGGGGAGGGCATATGGCGAGATAAGGATTTAATGAGATAAGCGTCAAGCACTAGTTACTAAACAAAATAAAATATGGCCCAAGAAGATTGTAATGACAATTGCTGGATTCAGTAAACAGACATTTGAATCAGTAGATGAAATAACACAAATAGAAGATGCAAAAACAGCTCTGGAAAAGCTTGGTAAAACAGATAATTAAAAAAGGCTTAAATGGCCTATGAAAGCTAAAAATAAAGGATGTAGTACATTTTGAAATGTAATTTGGTAAATAGTTTTTGTTTTAAGTTCAATATAGATCTTGAATAAGTACTATTGGAAGTACAAAGACATACTTTAGCTATATTGCTCATTAGATAGACATACGGCTAATGTTGCTATATTGCGTTTTCCTTAAAAATTTAACGTTCATATGAGATAAATATATAATTTTTTTTATCCAATAAGAAATCCTAGCTACGTCACTAACATAGGTATAATAATATATCGCAGTAAATCGTCCACAAACAAAAACATTCTAAATGATATGATAATAGGAATTCTAGAGACTATGATATCCAATATTTTAAATATTATAAATCACGAATCAAACATATTCGCGTAATAAATTATAACAATAGCTAGATTAGATTTAGATACGTAAGTTATAGATTATTTAATTTCCTTTTAAACTTACTTTTCTTAATGGCTTTACATTTATTAAAACGACCTTGATGTCAAACAAATTTAAATTATGTAGTATACACATTAAATTTATGTTATAAAATCATAATATTGTTATGTAAGCATATTTTATTGCATTGTAATATGTATTTATGTTGATAATACATACACACACAAGTTCGCCATTGTCGGCTGTCAGTCTGAACAAATTTATTTATTTTATTTTATTTAACACCCTAAGAGAGGCATGAATACAGATGTTACTTGTATAATTAATAAACTATTTATGTAAAATCATTTCAATACAATAATCTTTTAATCCAACAACCAAATCAAAACAAAAATTAAATATTGATACTCTGCAGTTACCATGGACCAAAGTCAGTACGTCAGAAAAGGGAGGATTATTTCTTGAATTAAAAGGTGGTACCTTAAAATAGTTACTTATTTTAGACGAAAAAGTCAATTTTTTATTTTCTTTATGGTTTTCTTAAAAATTATAGAAAACCAGAAGAAAATATCAGAAAAATGTAAAATTGACACAATCACGGTTTCTCTTATTTTCGATTTTGTTCTTTTTATCATAATTCAGTTGAAAATAACTTTAAGTTTTGTGTTTTTTCTTAATATTGATGTAGATAGTACAATTTTCAAAACATTCTGACGATTTTAAAGCTATTAATTGGCATTTAAAATGTTAAATTATGTGAATATTATATTATTATTATTATTATGTGATATATTATTATAACATAATATAGCACAACGCATTAAAAACTATAAACTTAAATTATAATTATTTATTTATTTAGTGTATTGTACGGAAATAAATTCTATTATTATAATTAAGAGTAATAATATATAGTCTTTAGTATCATGTAATATATAAAGTAAAATTTATTTATTTTGTATTTAAACTAAAAAACTTACCATCTCTGTATCCAGATTTATTCATAGTATCTATTTATATTATATATTAAGAAGTTGTATAGATCAATGTCTCTTAACCCTAGGGTTCCGCGGAGATCACTCGAGGATTCCGCAAAACTCACGTGTTTTTTTTTCAAAATATTGAACAAAATTGTATTAAAAAAAAACTAACTAAAGATTAAAGGTTGTCGAAAAAGTGTGGCGTAATAATTTATTAAATGTATTGAAATAATAAGAGTGAACAATAGAAGTTGGATTTATTTTTAAAATGCCCAAAAGTTAGTGAAAATGCTACAGAGGAATCAACAGCATCAACGTAATATCAACAGATATTGATAATATATAGTCACATTCAAGCTCATCCAGCCCATTAAGATACATGCACTAATTTTATTTTTATTTTTTTCTGTAAAATCAGATATAACCTTAATAAATAATTTAACTACATTTTGCTGTATTTAGTGTTTTAGTGTATTATTAATGATGCTGTTTATCGCTATGCTTTATGTACCCTCCTTTTTTAAAGATAATTTTCATAGGGGTTTCTTTAAAAAAAAATATTATTTTTTGGTGTTTCGTAATTTCAAAAATTTAAGAAACACTGATGTAGATATTATTAAAAATATCATAACTCTTAATAAATAAAATATTAGTTTAACAAACGAATATATTTTGTTCAATAACAAATAGGGAACAAAAATTGCTAGTAAATGTATATTATATTTTTATCGTGTTTTATATATGTTTGTAGAAATTGACAATTTCATTATCATGTTTCGCTATAATTATAATTTTAAATTGTCTTCTTACCAGCACAATCTTAATTAAAAAAAAAAAAACCAATATGTCTATTAGTTATATTGTTATATTAAAATTGGTCAAATAAAATCAGTCAATGTAGTAAAACGTAATATATGTAACGTATTTCGTAAACAAATAGACATTAGTACAATAATATTGTGGTACATTAAATTTCTTAATGAATTTGATTGATCAAGTTATATTTTAAGTTTTAAACAATAACCTTTGACTTTTGGTGCAATCACAGTTAATTTAAAAATAAATGTTCAATCTAAACTGTAAATTTTTTTTAGAAAAATGGAAGCAAAGTCCCTAATTAGAGTCTTTAAGACTAAATTTATTCTCTGTCACGCCTTAGTTACATATCAGTCTATTTCTCTCGATCTATTTGACATGACCATGAACCCCCTCTTGGTCGTATATTTTACATGTGTAAGTGCTCTCAAAACTACTTTGCTTTGATTGACTTTTGGTGATCAGTGGTACGCATACTTTTTAGATCTACAACTCTACAATTTATTTAATTCGTTAAAACGACCTCTTTCCAACACTACATAGTATATATACAATATTTATGTTTGTATAAATTGAATCGTTAATTTTAGGTAATTCGATAATTATTTAATACAAATTAATTCCAAAATATAAATAAGTATAAATACAATAAAAAATAAATCTAAAATTTAAAAAAAATGAATGAAATTAATAAAGGGTGTTTGAAAAATAACATGGTTTTTAGTTTTGTTTTAAATAAATTTTACTTTATAAGAAATACATATCGTTTCACTGCGATTGAGGTTTAAGTGTGAAACACGATATCGTGCATGTATGACCCACTATACTCACTCGACACATAGTGTCTCTTTGTTGATGAAACTCTTATAGACGAAAAACAACGTAAATTAAACGTAATTTTCATTTAAAGGTTTGATATTCTTATTTATTTTACTAAATATTTCTAATTATGAATCTTGAAGTATGGTGGTGATAAATTTGTGTGTGCGAGCAGTGTGTTTAATTTGATATATACCATTGTCATTTGTCACTGACAAATTGTGATAAGTATACAAATATTTCAAATTTGTTATCGTTGACATATATTTTTCACATAAGTATTTTCTTTTTAAAACCATTTATTGTATCAAAAATAATTAAAATATTAGTATGTTTATCTTGTAAACTTAAATTAGAACAATTTAATTTATCAAATATATTTGTAAGAATGCAAGATAACCTAGAATCGCAAGCTATTACTCGTTTAAAAAATGTTCTGCAAGGGTATTATTAAGTTCCAGAAGTAAAATTAATGCTTCATCTCTAATTTCAAAAATGGGTGATAATATTTTACCACAAAACAACAACCTTACTTTATTATGAAGAAGTAAATTTTCATGATCAGACTTAATCAAAGATGACTTATTTCATTGAAAGTAAAAAGTTTGAAATTGAATGCCTTTGATTTTATAAAATTTATTAGATTTATAGCATTGATAAGTACTTTATTAACATCTAGGTGAAATTACTTGGAAGTTAATGCTTCTCTGTGAATCAGATGTTTTAATGCTATGGTTGAAAATTATATTTAAACACACTTTCAGAACTAAAACCTTTCTTTGAACCAGTAAGCAGTAATTAGCTGTTCATATTGCCACATATTGACCCCGCATTAAATTATTGTCCTCTATTAATCTCTATTAAAATTTAGTGACTTCTAGGTTATGCATCACTGGATTAGATCATCACCTTCCGTTTTCCTAAAGTTGATGAAAAATATAAACGAAATTGATTGACAGAGTTAAGCCAAATGTCATTGGTTTCATAGACGATACTTTAATTTATTAAGATACCATCAGTATACATGGCTTATAAGGTATTGTGTAAGTACTTATTTAATGAACATAGTGGTTCTGAGAGCACATATATTTACATACGATACCCGGTCTTTAGGTTTAATACCCTATCTAGAGAATTAGATATACATATATGCCTATATATGTATACATAATTATATAAAAGTTATATTAACAATAATAAAATAAAATGCGGCTTTTTTGTAAATTATACAAAATTGAAGTCTATTTTCTAGAAATATTATAATTTAAAATAACACACAAACATGTATTATTTATAATCTCGTAATATTTTAAACAATTAATTGCGAAATAATTGATACTATATGACGTATTTAGTTAAATTTACTTACTATCTTTACAAAAATGATGAATATCCATTATTAAATCTTACGGAAACAATTTATGACGCATTATTTATTACTGAATCGTTTGTATTTGAAAATGTTTAATTTATACATACTTCTATCAGGGGCTAAAAAATAAAACATAATTTTCACCAAATTTTACTTTGAATAACCTTTACAGGATGATCAATATTCGGAAGGCCACTCATTATCACGGAATTAACTATTCAGAGTTCTTTTAAAAACTTAAGATACGCTAAATTCAAACTTAAAAACTATTTTTGAACACATTTTTTGTTCATATTCGTTATGTTCATCATAATTTACATTAATCATTATAATTGATCAGTATGTAACATCTTATAAAATCATTAAATGTTTTTGTTTTTCAAAGAGCGAACTCTACTGAAAATGTTATAAATTATGTATGAAAAAAAAAAAAAAAATACATTTCGCAATAATATATGTCTTACGGAAAATGTATATAATTGAATATATAAATTAAAATATAGCATATATCATAATTAGAGACCTGATTTATATGGTCTTTAAATCAACAAAAAAACACTTAAAAACTTCAAAATCATTAAAAAAAAATCACCTAAATAATACACCTATAAAATATAAAAAACGCAACAATAATAGAGGGGTCGTTATATAGTCCCCCCTCTAACGGATTTAATTTATGAATTCAATTTCTTAATACCACAAAAATGATTAATAAAATTGGTTTTACTAAGATGTTTATTTCTTTTTTTTCTTTGTTCTTTGTTTTTTCTAGTCTGTAGACACTTTTTTCTTAGTAAACTTATTCCGATTTTTACGTGTAGTAACTTTTCTGAAAGCTCAAATTGTTTAGATGGTACTTTAAAGGGGTTGATTTTTGACTCTATTTTTTAAAATAAAATCACTTAAGTGAGAAAAACGTACAATTTCACGATTTTATTATTTTATATAACCATAAACGACATTTTCTATCAGAAAAAATGATTTAATCGAAAAATTATAAAATAACTTTTTTGTTACCTTTTTGATTTACTTTCTAACATAATCATTACCAAAACTTTTGAGCCACTTTTGAACTTTTAAGGAGTTTTAATTTTTGGGAGTTTTTTGCTGTAATTCAGTTATAAATACACGACTTGAAACATGCTAATAATACTTATTAGACTTACCTAGACGTGATAAAATTTTCAAAGTTATTAGACGATTTTTTTTTTTATAAGCGTTTTGAAATCAAATTTAAACAAAAATCGCAAAAATTCTGTATTATTGAAATGCGCTCGGAATTGTCTTTCGTCAAGCAATGGATTATCGTTGCTTACAAATATAAATGAAATAACTTTATGTATCTTATATTCTCAACTTTTCATCTACAATAGTGGCCGCTCCCATCTCCAGTATCAGCTCTTAGATTATATTATAATTTGTATGATTTTATTTAAAAGAAATTATTTTTTATGAATCAATCCTGTAGTATTGGGAAATTTAATTTAATAAGTTAGAGCCATAAGTAGAGCTTTTAAACTCCTCTATCATTTTTGCTTTTTTTTAAATGTTTGTAAATGCTTTTTTCAGAGATTTGTTTTGATATTTTATAGTGCCTTTTTGTGGATTATAAGAGAATATATATCCGGTCTCTAATTATAACATACAAATATTTATAATATTTATTATGTTTTATTATTTATTTTAAAGTTTAACTAAACTGTATTCTATTCAGAATAAAATTTAATATTTCATACAACGAAAATGCATCGCATTCGTGCATTCCCACCATTAAACTATTCCCGCCGACGCATTTTCTTTATGTAAAATTTACATAAAAAAAGGATGGTGGCAACATCGACATTAACCTCTGATTGTAAGATTGTGTCGAGAATTAACAAACAATCACAGGACATGAAGTGCTGACTAGAGAGTCCGAACTCATTCGACGGTTGAATCTGCATACGCGAAAGATGGTCATTATATCCTGAATAGAGTGTAGCCACTTGCCAGAATAGGTAGCATATATTATGCTTAATGATTCATTAAGCATAGTATATGCATTTTTTGATTCAATGATCAATTTGTTTAGATATTATTGAATTATTTTATTTTATTATTTTATTATTTTTTTTTTTATTTTATTAACATAGACATATTATAACCAGCTGGATTATATAAATACAGAAGTAGGATCCTTAGTAGTTACTAAATGTTACTTACTAGACTCTGCAAAGCTCATAAATGTTGGTTCAATTCCTAAAATAAATATGCATGCTATATTATAACATTACTAGGTCAAATAGTTTTTAAATCGGGAAAAGCAATTTATTCTGTTTTAGCCATATACGAATATATCCTATCACAAACTATAACACCATGATCCATGAACTGATTTTGGTTTCAATTCAATTATAATAAATAAAAGAAAGATAAAAATTAAAAATAGAAATAGGTGTATGATTTAAATTAAACTTTATTAACTAGCGTTTAAATTGGTATATGTAGAATTATTTCAAATTGCCTGGAACATTGTACAAAAAGATAGGGAAAGTCAAAAATAGAGCGTATTCAGAACGTTTAATTTATGTATAATTGAATTTGTTTATACCAATTCTAATTGTCAATCTTGTTTAAATTAACGTTTTAACTTGCCTTTAAATTTATATGTGTAGCGTTATTCGAAATAACCCGGAACTCAATACAATGAGATAGGAAAAGTCTAAATTATAGCGCATTTCAGACTAGTCAATACCAAATTTATTTATTGAACCCTCAAAATAAGACAACCTAAAAAATATTGTGAATTTATTGCTTTGTATGAATACATAAACATTGTTTTATAATAAAAACTGATTATGCAATATATAAAGAGTAGATGTTTCAATTTATTACATTTTAATAAATTAAAATATATAGTTACAAAATAGAAAATTAGTAACTAAATAAATTATTAAACAATTTCGATAACATTACTAAATTCCAAAAACCTAATATCAAACATCATAGGCTAATGGGGTAAAATTAACCAAGACAGTTGTGATGTTATTACGTTATCATTAGTTATCCACATATTTTGTTTCAATACTGTCTTCAAATTATTTCTTCGAAAAACATGTTTTTTGTGTTATATCGTTGTTAATACGTTGAATCAAGCAAACATTTATTGTGACAAATACACAGCCTATCTAGAATTTTATTTTAGTGGGAACTGACCAAAATGTATAAACATTGTCACATAGTAAAATAAAAAAAAGCTGTCCTAGAATTAAAGGAACGGGTGCAGCCACTGTTATAGGTAATTTAATGTTTATTTGTAAGCAACGATTGACCACTGCTAACGAAAAAACGACCTTGAGTGAAATTCGATTGACAATATTACTCTGTAAATAATATTTATGTCATATTATGGTAAATTAGTTCATATGTATTGGATATTTTCTTTAATAATATTTGTTAAATATTGTATCTATTTTTACGTTTTTCCCATTTATTCGAAAAACTACTGGGAAAACCACCCTGGTTAGATTTCCTTTCAGAAAAAGTGCTATAATTATAAATTGGAGAACAATTTCTAGTAAAAAAGTTTCTACACAGAAAAATAAACAAATAAACATAACCATTATAAAACCAATACATTCCTCGCTTCGCTCAGAATCTAAAATTATATTTAATGTACCATAAAATAACATTTATGACAGTGTATATAAGATACTAAATGTCTGTAAGGTTAGGTTTAAAATCAATGAAAAGTAATTGAAGACTGTTGCAACGCATTTCATAGTCTATGGAAATAATTTTTAAATTTTCTTAAAATTTCGGGGGCACTGCAGCCCACTTAACCGGGGGGGGGGCAATAAATACACCCCTGCACAGCCCTGTTAATCATGAACAAAAATATGTAGGTACGAGTATATTAGGTATTTTAATATTATATATAAATTCTCATGATAATTAACTTACTTTTAAGATATTTGATATATTGTCTAATAATTTCTAAAATAAAAATAATATTTTAGATGTGATAATTGAATAAAAAAAATTAACACCTCTTTTTTTTAAGTATAACTATACATTTTTGTATATTTTACCTAAAAATACTTCATAATTACAATAGATTGTCATTCACGTATAATATATCACGTCACGTCCGCGTATATTTCAGAGGTCACGCCTACCTAGCCGCGTAGATATTGATAACATTACAGTCGTGATGACCAGGCGTCGTTATGTTTTATAAATTGCATAAAATAAATGATAAAATTTTAAAATATAATATAATAAAATAATAATACTTTATTGGCTCTTAAAATATTCTATTATAATATAACAACTAACTTTGAATACTTTGAATACTTCGAAAACTTTAATAATATAACAAATAATTTAAGAATAACGCAATAGTATTGTGACTTTAATACAAAAAAAAACGTAAAATAAAATAAATATTTAAAATAATAGAAACCATTAAAAAAAAATTATAATAAACAAATAGACTTAAAGTGATTTGTGCAAATCTTTAAAACAACCTTCTGAACAAAGGCCAGGCTGGTCTTGACACTCAGCATAAAAATATATAGTATCCTTACGATTTCCCAGTGAATAACAATATTTGTATCTTCTGTTCATATATCTTTTATTACTATTTTTCTGAACTTTTTCCGGTAAATGAGTTTCTGAGTTTCTATTTTTAGTATTTACTGGAATATTTTGGTTATCAAGCAATAACCCTTGTATGTCTGTAGTCATAAAATGACATTTTTTAACATGTTTGTTGTGCAAAAAATATGAGTTTATCAATAACAAGTTCACACAATGTAAGCCAATTTTCTTAAAAAATCTTAGAGTTTTTCTTTCAAATGGATAATACAAGGACATTTAATCTTGTCTATTTATGCCTGACATGTTTTCGTTGTAATTTTTTACGGAAACGGGCTTTTTTTTAACTTCTTTTGTTGTATTAATTTCAATAATTTCATGAGGACATTCGAAACTAATCATTAAAATGTGACGTGTATCCTTCCATTTTATGATACAAATACCATCACTCGTATACCTACAAATACTTTCGCCTTTTTTTTAATTTTTGTCCAATGACATCTATAAGATTATTTTTACGATTCGACTTTAAAGTTCCCGTTATGTATGTTTTATTTATTAAGAAGTTTCTAGATAATTTCATACTGTCATAAAAGTTATCCATAAATAAAGATCTAACTGTGTATAATAATCCATCCATATGTTTGTCTACCACAAATTCTGTATGAAACATATCTTCAAATACGTCGTGCCTTTGTCCAGAATACGACATTACTCTATGATAAGTCCGCATGGTTCGGTGAGCATGTACATTTTCACACCATACTTATTCCATTTGTTTTTTATGTATTAGCGAAAAATTAATCTTCTTTGCCATAAAACCATTGACTCGTCAATCAAAAAATTTTTGGATGGTTCATAGATTTCTTTCATTTTTAAGTTAAAATAATAAAAAATAGACTGAATTTCATACAATCTATTTCTAGAAGCCAGTTCCCCCTCTTTAGGATTACGAGAAAAGTGTAAAGCCCGAAATAATATCATGAATCTATTTCGACTTATGTGCTCGCGGAAAAATGGGATGTTGAATAATATGTTTTTCTTCCAATAATCTTCTATCCTACTTAGTTTTTTTGTATCCATATGGAAGAGTAATGAAAAAAATAACTTCATTTCTGTCTTATTAGTATCAACCCAAATAGTAATTCGAGCATTATTTGAAGTAGTATTAAGAAAAATATCAACCACATAAGCATTTTTTTCTTCGACAAGAAGGCCCAACAATTCGTCAGTAAATAAAAAATTAAAGTAATCTATAGGTTGATTTCCTTCTGGTATATATTGTAGCCCAGGTGTATATATAAAGTCAATATTCTCTAGTCGGAGAGTCAGTAAATCAGTCGTATGGTTTTTCATAATAACTCAACAAATTATCAACACTGCATAAATAATTATCTACATTGTTTATTTCATTTTCATCTGGTAAATTACCCGTCCCCAATTCATCATCATCAAAAGATCTATCAACATCTTCATTCGAATCAAAACTGAAATCATCGTCAGACGTAAACGTACCATTTTCTAAAATATCGAGTAACTCGCTATCAAATAAAATATTTGTTTTTATACTTTTTTAAGTGTTTAAACTCGTTGACGAGCCATCTTGAAGATTTATATTATAATATACTAATTAATAATTATAATAAATTACATAAAACACGTTAAAAACAAATAAAAATCAAAAAAAATAAGTAAAATAATAAATGTTTATTAGCTATACCATATTCATATTGATAACAAATTAAAAACATAAAAATTCCAAGAAATCAAAACCAACTGTTTTTATTCTAATTCTTATAATGAATGGCCATGCTAAATATAAAGATCGATCACCACCAGCCGACCGTTTTAGATAATAAATAAAAATAATTGTCCTATGACGATTACGGGTCATCAGCTGGGTACGCCCAACATCGAATGACTACTACGCGACGTCATCGGCGTTCAACGTGATACATAATACTTATGTGTACGAGTATATATTATACATACCATTATCAATTATTTGTTTAGTTTCATTGTTTCCTGGAATACTTGTGTCTAGAAAATTTTAATAAAATAATACGTTTTAATCCTAAATGAAGGATGAAAGCATAAAAGTTGTCCAGCTCGTTTTGAAGGTAAAAAATGCTGTCTGAAGAATCTAATTTTTGAAAAAAATGTTAAGATCATTAGCAAATAGTAAAACCTGTGCACTAGTTACCCGTTTGGCTGTATATATTTATACATTTATACAGAAAGCATAAGATACATTTATACTTAATATTATTCAGTATATTATTATAATTGTTAAATAATTTATCTTAACATTATTTGGATTACTATTTCAACCTCTACCTTCCAACTTGATATTCACTAATCGAATAGTCCTTAGAGAAATATGTAGATTGCCCCACGAAAATGATTTGAAATGGAATAGGTCTACGTTTAGTGTGACCACAATATACTCTAAGTACTGCCTATCTTATGATTTATTATATTATTTAATGCATTTTGTATAAAATATAAATCTGGTGTAGAAATTGCACGCTATCGGCCAACAATTGGACTTTCAAAGCTGGCCAACTTCACTTTTGAACACGTATGGTATAGACGAGTGATTCCCAAACATTTTTAACACGTATTTTTTGTAAAAATAATGACACACGTGATTTTAACATAATAACTCTCATACACCCCTATTTAAATCTCATGCAACCACAATATTTTGTTTTATCAATCGCATGGATCATGTTGATAACACCTAACTTGCAGGTCAGAATAGACGCTTGGGTCTATATAGATCACCATCATCATTGTGAACCTCTGGTATAGACTAATTCCTCTCTATATTACTCTATGGAATAGCGTGATGAGCATACATTTTTAAGTTTTGAGGTTAGGTTGAAAAACCATAATTGCAATCAATTAAAATAATTATATTGTTATTTATTTAAAAAAAATTAAATTTAAATTTAAAAAAAGCTTTTCTAACAATTTTAGATATTTGAATATAACTTCAAAAAATTTAGTTTGAGGTGTAAAGTTAGTGTATCAATATTATTTTTTAAAACAGTGAATATAATAAAACTATTTATACCCTAATAGATTATCAAGTATACAATTTTAATCACTTACCTATAGTTCTGGCGTATTCCCAATTTTTTCGTGTATTATCGATTAATCTTTCTTTATTGTCTTTAAAAAATCACAAAATGTCTTTAATTTAATAATATTATAAAAAAAAAATTCCATCAGCGTATTTTTAAATAAATAATTATGTAGACAAAAACGTTTGTTACGTGAATATAATTATCAATATACATAGTATAAAATAAAGTCGATTTTTTTTTGCTCAGGATAAACTCTGAAATGACTGATGAATTTTGGCGAAATTTTGATATAGTTTACACTGTAGACAGACAATTAACTAAGGAAAGTTTATAACTATTGACGCCCATCCCCAAAATTCGGTTTTTAGGTATTATTATTATTTATTTGGATTACCTTAGTAACACGGATGAAATGAACACAAATTTGACTAGTTGGTCGAAACGTATCTACTATAAATGCTAAAAGAGTAAACTTAGTAGGTACGTAGCAATAAAACTTTTGCTGATCGAGAATATAGACTTTATGTTTACCCAGAAATATTAAATTTTCCAGGTTTAGCCTAACAGTCCAATGTTTTTCCTATGGTCAATTGTACATGGCTCTGTCACGTGTAATATGCAAAAAAAATGTATTTGTGATGACCCCAAAAGGTGAGACACTTCCAGAAATATTTAATGCTTAAGGCAAGTAGTAATTTAAAATTTAAAAATATATGTCATTAAAGAATATTTTTAGTCCGCCGAAGGTAGACTACCCACTTTTCACTTATTTGTTTATATTCATTACTGACACAGTCAAAATCAAAAATAAAAAAAAATAAATAGATAAAAAAAATTAAAAATTAGCATGGGCAAGGCCAAGTGGGACAGCTAGTACAATATAAATCCTCAAAAACTAACAATACTAATTTACAACATACTTAATGGTATTCGTTGGGTTAGGTAAATTTTGGGTATATTTCAAATAATTAGAAGTAACTATACCTAAGCATAGCATATCTGGGAAAAATTATTAATTTAGCCTTTTGAAAATTGTGCCTAAGTAGAATACAAAAAATTTTTTAACGTTCTCTCATTACTCTCAAATATCACGTTCAAACATATGTGATTTCGTTATTACAGTTTATTTAATATATTTAGCTAAACAAAAAAAAAAAATGTTTTTTCTTTGACTGTTACAAAACTCTTCATTGCGTTTTAAATTATACTTATAAGATCAATTGGGCTGTATTATTACGACGACCATAATTTTTATAAAATTAATTTTATTCTTATTAGATTTTTATATTGTCTCTAAATTATATAAGTATCTAACTAAATTTAAAAATTTGTTTTAATTTAAAAAACTCACATCGTTCAATTATAAATCCTTTCATTCGTAATTTTTCTGCAAATAATATACAAATAATACATTATATAGTCTGTTATTTAAGATACCAATAGTAAGCCAAAATAATTCAATAGTAAAATTATTTATTCTAAATTGTATGCCAAATACTCAACTACAAAATAATAAAAAAAATCGGACATGGAGGATGATTCGGGAAGCAAAGCAAAATTCGCATTTAAATGATAGAGAAAAATTGTAGTGGAAAATTTGTTTTGCTTTGAAAGATCACACAAAGAACATTCAATCAATACTACAACTCTAAGGTCAATTATGATCAAGCAGTAGTATTTAAAATGAACGCTACCATTATCACTACCACTATCACAAAAACAAAACGTTTAAAATTTAAAACAGCAGTTGGCAAAAAAATGACGTTTATGTTTTAAAGTAAAAAAGAGAATTTATTCAATTTTATTTTCACCACATAGAGAGACTATAAATATAGTGCGATACTGCCTAATCCTATACAAATTTCAATCGAAATACACAAAAAACGAAGAAGAACATTAACAGCAGGTGTTTGTCTTCTCCGCAACAATGCTTCTCCTCATATTTAATCACCTATAATTTTTTTTTTTTTTTTGAGGCCCCATTTTTAGTGTTAAAAGTTTGTAAGTGAGATAGTGGTGATGGTACCAGTAGCCTCCATTTATAAATTCTCTTATATGGTCAGTTTTGACGCTACTAAGTTTCAGCACCGATAATTTTCTTTGTGAGATCTTACCCTTAAAAACACAACTTCCAAATTTATCACTACGATTTCCCATTCATCTATGATCGCAAAAATGCTTATTTAAATGATCGTTGACCGATTATTATAATATTCATTTTATGATGACGGATGGTAAATGAAGCACCTAGAACTAAGGGTATAAGTGCAATATTTTATTGATTTCGAGAAAATTAAGTTTTAAGTTCACGTTTTGTGTATAAATCATAATATAAGGAATAGTGATTGGAATACTCAATAATTAATGTCTTAATTACAATATAATTTACATTCTTACCTATACAAAATTTACCAACTGTCACATTCCAGTACACATATAAAAACAATAGTTAATACAAATTTGGTTAAAAATAAACGTAGAGCCCTATGCTTCAAATATTCTTGTAATTTTTTACTTATAGACATTTAGAAAGACTTGGCACATAGCCAATATTTTAGTTTAAGTTTGTCAAGTTAAGTTAAACTAAGCTTCTTATGTTAAGGGGTGCAGTAGAGGATACTTTTCCGTGTATTATTTGTATTATGTGTGTATTATTTTTAAGCGTATTGAATGATTACTATTTTGCCTATTCTTAATAAACGATGGCAGCAGTAAGGAAGTATTGTGAAAACATATCCTTCACTGTTGTCGATTAAAAAATATAAGAAAAAGAGCGTTTTCTCTGTTTGACTAATTCTATACTTACATTTATTACACCATTGATGTGGATACAATAATTTACGCGCTAAAATTAAAATGTAAATATTGAAAATTGCTTCCCTTGTTATGTGATATAATAATTTATACTTACGTAGTTTTGCTAAAATATAAAATTCAATTGAGATTATAAAATAGACCTATAATATAATACCTTATACTGTTAAAATAAGGAAGTAGTATTTAGTAAATAAATTGGAATATTTCAACGAAGAAAAAATGTGTATATATAACTTCAAGCGTCCATCATTTAAAATAAAAATAATATTATAACTGACAAATTACATATTGAATTACATTCATTAAAATGTCTAAATCCAAATTTAGATAGGTTTAGATATCTGCGATCGACTTTAGATACGAAGTTTTCACGGTCGTATAAAAATAGAGCCTAATGTGTTATCTTTTGTAAACAAGAACTATTATAAACCAATTTAAAATAAATCGGCAGTATTAAAATTTCGGCGGAGCTCGTGCGTTAAAATTATATACGTTTTGTTAGTTCACAAAAATGCCACTAAAATCATTTCAGATCTTATATTTTCCTATAACCTCGACTCTCAGCATTAAAATTCGACTACCATGCATGCCTTGTTTTTTTATTGCATATAGAATGGTATTGATGTACAACAAAAAAGTAATAACGGAATATAAAATAAAATAAAAGTGATAACGGATTAATATAAATATAAATAAATAACCTAAATAAATAAAATAAATAGTCTAACTAATAAATAAATAAGCAAGCTATAAGTAATAACTATTAAATGCTATAAGCGTGTGGCAAGGTTACATAGCCAATCTAGCGCTTCCTTTTCTCCATTGTGAAGACCTGATGCTCCTCCACTGAACTTTGTTTCCGGGCATTCCTCAACAATGTGCCTAATAGTTTGGATTTGGCCACAGTTACAGAGTGGAGAGTCCACCATACCCCATTTGTGCATCAAATAATTGCATCTTCTCTGACCAGTTCTTACGTGGTTTAAGGCAGTCCATGCTGTATGGGGAAAAACAAAACCTGGAACTAGTTCTGTTGGATCACTTATAAGGTGGTTATTTAGTACTACTCCGTCCTTCCAATGTAACTTCCATAAATCCCCTTCTGTGATTTTACTCCTTTTTAACGTCCATATAGGATTTCTAGATTTCAGTCTTTTGTTTGGTGCGTTATACAAGTCATCATATATTGGAAGACTTAGAGAGATTTGTATTTTCTCAATCATCTTCAGCTCTACTGAGTGTCTACGCACTTCTGGAGGGCTATGTGTGAGAGCACTGGTAGCTATTCTAACTTAGTTGATTTGATACATCCTGATATAATTCTCATTGTACGATTTAGTTGTGTGTCGACAGTTTTATTGTGCGTACTCCTAGCCCATACTGGGGCGCAGTATTCTGCAACGCTGTAAACTAATGCCAAGGATGAAATTCGTAAAATTGTTGCCCTGCATCCCCAACTTGTTCCAGCTAGTTTGCTGATGATATTATTTCGTGTTTTCAACTTGCCTTTAACTCCTTCTAGATGCTGTTTAAATATTAATGATCTGTCAAGCTTAAGTACTAGCCTAAGCCTTAAATCAAGCCTAGGTACTTTGGTGCGTTTTCGGTTGGTATAGGATTGCCATCCACTACCAGGTTTAATTTCCTGTTCGCTTCTCTATTGCTAAGGTAGAAAACAATGGAGGCTGACTTACCCGGGTTAAGAGTAAGATGCTAGGATTTAAAGAAAGTGTGTACTTCAGCAAGGTCCTCGTTCAATATATTTTCCACCCATTCGAATGTTCCCACTTGGGCTACCAACCCCACGTCGTCTGCGTAAATAAATTTCCTTAATATAGTGCTTGTTAAATCGGCTGTATAAGCATTGAAAAAGATTGGAGAAAGGACAGAGCCCTGAGTGAGATCATTCTGGAGGTATTTATATTTACTAACATTTCCGTTTAGGTGTACTCTGAATTTCCTGTCTGGTAACATGGATCCAATGAGTCGGAGAGTCATTTTGCAATTCAAAATATTTGCTAACTTCAGGAGTAACCCACGCTTCCAGACCGTGTCGTATGCACAGGTCAAATTTAAGAATATTGCTCCCGATTTTTTTCTTTCCTGAAACCCATTTTCGACGTGTGTCACCATTGATAATACTTGTTCACAACTACTTCTATTTTGTCTGAAACCCGCCTGCTCCTTAGGTAGGGTGACTTCAATTTTCATTTTTATCCTCGGACCCTTTCAATTAGTTTATACACAACGGACAACAGGGAGATCGGCCTATAGTTTTTGGATCATTTCCAGATTTACCGTGTTTTAGGATTGCAATCACCTTTGCTTCCAGCCATACTTTAGGTAAAGTAGTTGTGTTTTTGACGTATAAGAAAAGATTGGTGAGCCACATTTTACCCTTTTATCCTATGTGCTTAATGAACTCTGGTAATACGCCATCTACCCCAGCAGCTTTACCATTCTTTAAGAGGCTCAGGGCTATTTCTATGTCTGCTACATTAAAGTCTTGCATCATTTCCGATCTTTCGACACATCTGTCGAGTATTGTTTTGTATTTGTACTTAATCTTTGTTTTTTCATACTTATTAGGCTTTATGTTTGAGGTTTTGAAAAGGATGTTTGAGACATCGATCGGTGATACTTTACTCTCTGTATACGAAGGCTGCGCTGTACCCAATTTCATAAGGAGGGACCAGCTTTCTCTGCTAGAATGAGTGAAATCTAAATTATCCATGGCCTTTAACCACCCCTTCCTTCTTTCTTCGTCTAACAGTCCAATCAAGCGGTTTACGTTGACCTCGGTTCCAACCTTTTCATACTCATTGAGTATAACATCACATTCTTCCATCCAGCAGGGAGTATAGCTATGCCTGTGTCCTCTAGATATTGATTTTTTAGCCGCTGTTTTTAGGAGTTTTGCGTATCTTATGTAATTAGTCGTTTCGGGTTTTATTCGGTTTATGTTTTCCTCGACATATTTTGAAAAAGCAAACCAATTCGCTTTTCGTAAATTCCATCTTGGCATAGGTGGTTTGTCAATCATCGGTATTATAATTCCTACGGACACAATTACTAAGCAGTGTTGACTTTTGGGAAATTTGTTTTTTATTATACGATTTACACTGAGAGGTAGGCCGTCTTAGTCTTCGAAACATAAATCCGGAGATGTTTTCGTGCCCCATCTTCCGGATTCAAATGTGCCCCCCTACTTAGCATCGTAAATCAACTTAAATTGATTTGTAGCAGCCCAGTTCGAGAGTAATTCTCCATATTCATTTTCAGCCGAATATCCCCATTCAATGCTGTGAGAGTTAAAGTCTTCAACATATATTGAGGGATGCTGGCACGCTGGTAATATCGATGGTGTCCAGTTGCACGATGGAGGTTTATATACATTGTATTTGGTCAATTTACCAATACGGATACCACACGTGTGTTCGTTTCCTTCGACATTTATGGCGTTAAGTGAGGTTATTTTATCTCGTTAATATAGGTTGCCAACCCATGACTCCTGTGACCAATGTAGTTCATCATATGGAAATCGTCGATTCGTAGTCGGTTTGCTTCACTTTCTGGTACATGTGTCTCTTGAATAGCTAAAACGTCTGCATCAAGGAAAAGCTTGTATATTATATCAGCTTTGGATATAGTTAAACCTTTCACGTTAATTTGTACTATCTCTATGTTGTTATCTGTGCCTGCCTTACGTATAGTGTTACCAAGTTTACTATTGTCTAGGTATTTTTTTGGTTTTGAAATTCTCTTATATATTTTTTTGTTTTTGTTTTTATTTTTTCGGGTCTCATGGAAAGCATAGGAGCATATTGTCATAGGAGTAGCCTTGAAAAGGGCTATTTACACCAATAAGACCGGGAGGTCTTTCGACATTCGGCCGCCTTGTTTGTGCTGTTTGGCTTCGTGTTGTAGACATAGTTGAGCAAAGTTGAGAAAAGACGCAATGAGGCTCACGTATTAACAATACTACTAGACAGGGGGGACCACGAGAAGGTACAGCACCCCTCCCCCTGCCTTGTTGTTGCCAGTCTATTATTACATTATATTATCTGAATCAAACTTCACAAAAAAAAAAAAAAACTAAAATGTTGTATTATTTATAAATCTTATTCTGATGTTGACACGTACACTTAACAAAAACATACCTAGTACGAAATGACTACATTATTCACTAAACGTTAATGTAAATAAATGATATTGCATTTTTTTATCACTTCTAATCAAATAATAATGTCTGATAATTGTCTCAATTTTGTGACGACAATGTCGAAATAATCAATATAATATCATAGTCATATAAATTATTTATAGTTAAACAATAAAAAAAAAAAAAAATACAATTATTTTAAATTAGTTTTATTTAATATTTATCTAGTAATTTGTATTTGTTGTATGTTGCACAGTTCACAGTATTATGTATAAAAAAAAATATACTTACGAAAACCTATAAAATTTTGTAGAAATAATATGTATCGTTGAGCTACGGCTGAAAAATATAAAAATGTATTTATATAAAAACTGTTAATTTTATTTTATAGTATAATTGCTGTGGACTCTGTTCTTTATTAAAATTAAAAAATTTAATAGGCACATGTAACGGCCTGATATTATCAAATCGAAACAGACGAATCAGTGGTTAAATTATGAAAATAACATGGAGACAGTTAATAAGAAGACAATCGAAAGTTTTAAAAAAGTGATATAGGTTTATTATAATACTATTATATTAAATAGGTTTATAATAAATAATAGTAATTATTATTATACTTGATTTAATATTTTGCGTGATAATAGTTTATAATAGTATCTATATTTATCTAATAGTAGTGATTCAGTAAATTCCAGAATACTATTGTATTGCTACATGCTAATCGTTCTAGTACAATACAAGTTCAATTTAATATACTCCTTCACCGTCACAATGTCATAATGTCTTTCGAATTTATGAAAGTTCGAATAAAAAAACGATTGACGACTATTTGCGCGGAATATCCCGTATATACAATTTTCAATATCAATATTATAAAAAAAATAATACAAATGGTTTTAACTATAATGTATTCAACTAAATTAAGGGTACTTGCGCATACACGATTAAGCGCAGAACTTTGCCGGATCCCTAACTGATTGATCAGAAACAACCGTAACTGATCGTGCGCCGTCATTGTCACTACCGCTGCCGTGTATACAGCGAATCATAAGGTCTATTACCGAATAAATCGCTGTAATATACACGCATATACTGTTTTAGTCAAACTAACGGGAAACATAGCAAAATTACGTTACGTAAAACGTAAATTATAGCGTTTATTCAAATAAACGTTAGTGCGAAAAAACACTTGCACGCGTTAAGGCCGTTAATACAAAATGTTATCAAAATCATGATCACTACGTATGTCATATACCATGTGCATATATGGCGGCGAGACGATCGACAGGGTGATAGCAGTGGTGGGATTGACTGATAGGCGGGTGAGTGGATGAACCGGTACCGATGTCCGGAGTGTGAACGCAAGCTCGAAAACAGACGTGTTTTTGTCCTCCAAGTACACCGATACTTTTACGTTGCACAAAGCAGCGGTTCTCAAACTGTGCACTGCGGTACCTTAAGGGCACTGCAAGTACTTTTCAGAGGCACTGTGACTCATACAAATTATTTATAATTTATTGTAATTTCTTTTATTAATTTAAAATTGAATTGTTTGTATAGAAAACCTATGTTTTATTATCTTCAGTAAAATTATAAAAACTGATTATCATTGACAATCAATCTTGATTTTTTAAGTATCTTTCTCACAGTATACACTGAAGGACACCCTGACTGAATTTAGTCCAAAAAAGATCACCGCCGGAAAAAAAGTTTGGGAACTGCTAGTATAGAGAATAATATAACTTAAATACGAAATTTAAAAAAGATGTCCTAGAATAATGGGGACGGGTGCGGAAACTGTTATTTAATGTATACCTGCAAGCAACGATAAACCATTGCATACGAAAAAACTATTCTAAGCGGATTTCAGTTGATAGTAATACTTTGTCAACAATGTATGTAATTTTATAGTAAAATAATTAAATAGGTTTTATACATTTTCTTCATTTTAACAACGATTCCATAAAAACAACGAACTTTAATTTTACCCGGTATAAAATATAGCACACATAGATAACATACTTACGGTCGGCCTCTCTAAATTCTTCATCACCTAAAGAAATGAAACGCTTGTAACAAGTCTTTAAGCGAACATCGTAACCTTTCACTAAAAATAATTCGTGAAGAAATATCTAAAACAAGTTAGTTTTTAAAATAATCGTTAGTTGAAAAACTATTAAATAGGTAGTCGTAAACCTTTTTTTTATCGAATATTTCGATAAATAGTAATAACTATTCGGAAGTGTCTATCGCAAAATATGAATATGCTAAAAAAACAAACCTAGTTGGTTAGAAATATAAGAAAAATGCTGTGTAACAAATTTTAAATTATTTTAAAGTATTTAAAAATCTGTATCTGTGCTTGAAACTTGAATTCTTTGAAAAAATATCTTTTACAAGACTGTTTAAGAACAAGCATTTAAATTTGTAACCAAGATATTTAAATTGAAATTATTTATCAATTTTCTAGAAAAAAATTTGTTGTACTGCTAACTTTGAGCACAGTATTCGACATTAAACTTAAATTAGACTATGAAAAGAGTAGTTAAATATAATCACAGTATTTTTATATTAAGCACGTCTCGCTTCCATAATTCTTCACTATATCTATTATCGTTATTGTCCACTTTTTACTAGCTATAATAAACATTACTGATACACCTACGTTTCACTGCCCCCTCCCCATTTTGAATTTTGGGTTTTGAAATACCATTACGAATTTGTTTGGTCATCTTACGACAGCTATAACCTAAAAACCAGGGAGGGGCTGGAGAAACGTTTCTCCAGACCCCCGATTTTAAAAAAACGACAAATGTCATGGTTTAACTAAATTTTGAGTTTATTATTATATAGTAAATTAAAGCTCTTTTTTGAATTTAAATAATAAAACTTGAAAAGTATTTAATTTTAAATAGAAAATAAATTTGATAATAATGATTTTATTCAAGTATTTACAATTCAAATTAAACGGTATATAATAAACTCGCAATCAACTTGCATGATGTCTTTTTCAGGAATTGCTTTGTTTTTTAAATCATCATGCAATTCCCAAAGTCGATTGCCTCGTGTTTTGTATGCTATGTAATGTCCTCGTAAACTTCTCTTGCCCATTTTTAATTGACAACACCCTGAAGTTCATAATTAACTGTATCCACATTTATGACTTGTGGAATATCGCCTAGTTATGGCCGAATCAACTTTGCTGCCTCCGCACTTCTTTGGTCAAATACAGCATTTTCGCTTTACACAAAATATTAATCATAATTATAATTTTTTTGTTTTTTAATACATACCTTCTCAATATAGAAAAATAAAAAAGTAAATTTTTTTTTATACATTTATTGTAACTTGTTTCTTTCCTACACAGCAGTGTTCACAGTTGAATTCTTGTATGCACATTTTATCTGTCACAAAACTTTGCAGATCACCTATGCTATTAGCCACATTTGTTTAATATGTTCAATAATTAATATTTTAAACTTAATTTGAGTTGTTCAACCATGGAAAAATCACCTTATATACTACCTAACTTATAATACAATATGTAGATACTGTGTGTTATATGAAGGTCTTTCTGAAACTATGCTTTTAAAGTGTGACTGACAAACTGAACAACGTCCAACAAAGAAAAGAAGAAGAAAGATAACATTTCAACTCGGAAGTACTTTTTCTCTTTTAAAAGCAAGGCAACATGACAGTTTAGTGTACAACCAAAAATGTTCAGCTAACAACGGCTTCCATGGACATTTAGGAAAAGTATAATAACCTCGAAATTTATTCATGGAATGCCTTTTGTCATAAGATTTGTGATATACATCTTCAGGTTGAATTTTCTCCCATTCTTCAGTTAAAAACCTAAAATCAAATTTTTTTTGTTGAAGTATCAACTCTGCTTTTCATACAAGATGAAGTGTCTAAAAAAAGGTTGAATAATACGTACAGTATTTCCATATTATTAAAATTAGTTAAAATTGTAAATACTCGAATAAAATCAATATTATCAAATTTGTTTTCTATTTACAATTAAATACTATTTAGTTTTATTTTTTATGTTAAAATAAAAGCTTTAATTTACTACATAATAATTTAAACAAAATTTAACATGGAAACATCAAAAAAATTGTCGTTTTTTTGAAATAGGCGGGCTGAAAAAACGTTTCTCCAGCCCATACTCGGTTTTTCAGTTATAGTGGCCGTAGGATGGTCAAACAAATTCTAAAAGCTACTTAAAAAATTCAAACGAATAAAATCTATAATATGGCAACGAAAAGACATGAAATTTGTCGTTTTTTTTTAAAATCTAGGTCACTTGCTACTGAAACAAATGCGAATCTGAACCAAAACGCGACACACTTTAATTATACCTACTTATTATTTTGTTGTACATATAACTGACTGTTTTTATAGTTCGTCTGATTAATACTAATTAAAAACGTTGGGTTTCTTGAAACATATTTTCCTCGAGTTCGAATCATGTACTTTTTTATGTGCCCTCTATTGTGCCCTCGTTCGACCAATTATTGAATGGCTCTGAATTCTGGTTGGGACCCTCATATTGCAGTGACCTGCAGGCAATTAAAACGAGACCAGCGCAAATTTCTTAAGCTTGTAGCTTTCCTACTCTAAATTGAACACCCACCACATGTCTATGATCCCGCACTTCGTAAACCAAATTTAGTTAGCTTAGTCGACTGCAGAATTTGGACAATTAAGCTGACATGTATAACTGTTGATTTGTCTAATATTTATTTCAATAAACATTCTTAAATTCATTTAACTCACTTATATCGTTCGCCTTTCTCCAAAGAAAGTGTCGGAATGCTTCGTCTTCTTAAAAAAACAAGAAAAATATATATCAACAATTCATATAAAATTCACGAAACAAAAAATTGTTCTCTTCATAGTAAGTAACATACTTAAAGTCTAGACATTTTAAATGTAATTATTATTATAAATTTTAAATGACGGCTTACTATAAATCATATCTTTATCAATTAAGGTTCCTATTTTATAAACAAACATGATAACGATTTATGTTAAAATAATCATATTTTTAAAATTATAGAAGACATTTATTCTTAGTTAATGAATTTATAAATTACTATTATTTAATTTACTACTATAATTAAATAAATACAAAACCTGCGCATTTTTACGTTTTTAAACAAATATTTGTTATAAAATAAGTAAGTAATATTTATATTACTTTATATTGTTTTAACGAGGGCTGAATACTCATTACGGGTGTGTCACTGTTGTGGAAGTTAGGAAGGTAGAATACGACAAACCATTTCTAACGAAAAACGATTCGGAGAGAAGTACGGTTATATATGTATAATGCACTTTATACATAATTTATTAGGTCGTAATATTTACGATTTTCGTTAAAATTTACTATAACTTATTAGAATTCCTGTAAAAAAAATATATACATATATACAGTGTAGGACTATTTAACATTTTTACATGTAACTACAATGAAAAAATGTTAAATAGCCCTTGTTCACGCTACAATGCTCAGCAAATTTGCGTAAACCGTTTCGTTCGCGGTGACTCCTATCGTCAAAATTCTTCCGTAATATTAAAATAAATATGCGAGTGTTGAATTGTTATTATAAATTATTGTCGGTTGGTTTTTTTTTTTTGTTTCCCGTCGTATACCAACGCGATAAGCGTGGAAAAATGCCTATCTGTTATGTAATTATGCCTGCGCGCGCGGCCGCCTTTGCCTACGCTCGGTTTTGTTATTGTTGGATTAGTGTATTGTCATTATCGTACTACGTCCACCGTGCTTTTCGGGGGTACAACATTGTCTCACTCGTTTATTATTGTAGTTTTTTGTTGTTTTCTAAACTTAATACTATTAATCTTTTTTTTTTTATTAATTATTTTTTCTTGTCTCGATTTGAGTCACTAATATACTCGTTGGTAAAAATATGTACGTTTTCGTAATCAACAACTTGTGCGTTCACGTTATTTTTATTTAGCTACCTAATTTCTTCTTTTCACCAGCAATGTGCCAACTGGTACCAAGACTAGTGCAGTCCTTCAATGAAAAACCACAACCCGTTCACGTGCTGACCGCTGAAAAGGGCTTGTCTTCCATCATCCCCGGACCCGTATTGGTTGTATATTTTTTTTTGTTCTTTAGTTTTAAGTAGTTGTAATTGACTCGTTTTCCGAGTTGTGGCAGTCAAAGAATTCCCCCGTACTACGGGATAGTATAATTAAGTTCTCTTCCTCCCCCTCATCCATGGCTATTATCGAGCCGTATCGCTAGTGTCGCTAGTGTCGTTGCCGTTGTGGTCGGTGTGGTTGCTGCCCGTATCGTACTCAGACGCCTTGGCCGCCCAGTGGGTACGAGAAATGCCTGAGTATACTGAGATGCCTAATCTTTGACAGTACGGCGAGAGATTACAATAAATACCCTCCAAGACGCTAACTAAGTAATTAATGCAGTTTACCGTTTTTAAATACAATAAATAAAATTAATCTAGCTTACATTAGTATTGCCATAAATAAAAATGTATATTGCTTAAAAATTAATACAAGAAAATACCTGTATTAAAATAAAAAATATTCACTATTCCAATAAGTAAGAAAATGTAAAATAAATTGTATATAAATAATTTAAACATACATATAAATACAAATTAATTCAATCGCCGTGGAGTTAGATTTGCCCGACGTTACATTTGCCTGGGTTAACAGGCGCATATGACGTTGAGCTAATCTAACTATTTGCAGTCATATTCGGCTGACGTCAGATTTGCCTGTTACACCGGTTTGAAGCCCTGCTTGAAACACGTTTTGAAATTTTTAAAAGTTCACACCTAAAGATTATTTTTTCGTTCTCTCGGGAAATAATTTTTTAGTGATTAAAAATTCTCCTAATAATTTGTGTCGTAACTACCTTAAGAGATACCAATTTTTTGCTTAATGGTACTTAATTTTGAAAAGTTTCTTTATTCCCAACAATTTTTTTATACGATTTTAAAAAATGACATCAAATATCCATACATTGGTTATATTTGTTGATTTATGGATTGCCTTGATTACAAGAAAAAACATGACTTATTCTTGGTCGTATTAACTCTAATTTTATTAAGCTTAAAATCGTTTTTGATTGTAATGATTTATCGTTACTTTCAGAATATAAATTAAACTAGTAAACTAACCTATATTGTGTACTTTCGCATTTTTTTTCAATTACATTGACCTACCAAAGGTATTAAGTACATCCGCTTTTTTAAGCTAACCTTTATTAAAAAATTAAAAAAAACCTATGCACTTGTAAACTATTTATCAAGATCAATATTCGGTTTGAGTATGTAAATAATATGGAAATTTGAAGGCTTTGATACTTTGTCACTGCTTTCTTAACTCCGTCATGCTCAAGTCAAGAATCGCCATAATAATATTATACAATTAATACATAATTTTACTTATTGAATAACAAACAAACAAAAAAATGTATATTTAAAACATTATAACTACTCACCTTGAAGAAAAATAGGACAATCAATTATCGAATCTATTAATATAAACATTATCTATAGTTTTACACTATTACCTATATAATTTGTTGAATTTGTAATTCATCTTTTATAAAAAAGTTTAGTATTTGAACATGTGTTCTGCATTTAGTTATTCAAATAACTACTTATTATATAAAATAAATATTCTTACTTAAACATGGCTTTGGTTCAACTTCCCAATAAATTGTAAAATTCTCATTATACATAATATTGCAATAATATGTAAAAAAAAATTATATATAGGTGCACTATATTATTATTTGGTATTTATTTTCAAAATATTTCTTGTACCTTTAAATAGTGATAATTATATCGTCAAAAATTATTATTATTTCCTAATAAGTATAAATATACTTAATATAATATTATGTTAAAATGTATTTAAAACGAACTTATTATTTATTAAAAATATGTACTAGGAATAAGTCGTTAAAAGTTAAGTTAATACGAAATTAAAAATTAAAAATGAAGTCAGTTATAATTAATTTTATTTTTTATTTTTTAAATGCTTTTTTGCTAATGCCAAGCATTGGTGTTTTATACTTTTTGCACAGTAACATAAAAAAATAGTTAATTTTTGTTGAAATATTCAAGTTGAAAAAATTGCATATAAAATAATATTAGAATACATACTCACTGGAGAGATACCTGTTAAAATGTCAGTTTATTTCATACAATATAACACATAAGATATAGTTATAACTATGACTCAGATTTTATAGCAAATGCTACTTTCGAAGGGAGTGCTATAATGAAAGATAATTCTTACAAAAAAATACGTTTTGAATCGTTCTGATTTCAATGAAGTAAACTTTATTTTGCTTATTCGGCTACTTACAATATTTTTTTAAGAATTTATTTTGCTAGAGTTACAGCTACAGGGCTACCAAGCCCTAATTATAACTATAAGGTTCAGATTTTTATGTTTAAAAAAACCTGAAAAATGACGCTAACATCTTTTGCTAATATTCTCTTAAAAAACATACAAATAATTTAAATTTAATTTTTTTTTAACCTTTTTACAAGTCATACTAAGACTTATAAAGAACCTCCTATTAAATTCTCAAAAATTTCTGTTAGGTTAAACTATTTTATCCACAGAATATCTACCATAATAACTTCAAGTTTATACGGATATTTTTAACTAAACAATAAAAAAAAAAAAAAATTGAAAGTAATAATACCATTATTATTTGCGTAAATTTGCCTGTTCTTTCAACGTTTTTTTTTCAATTTTGTTCAACTATTAAAAAAACGGCTTGGACAATCAAAAAATTATTTATTTATTTTGTAAGTTATGATATCCAAAATGCAATAAAAAAAGAATTATTCTTCTGGAATAACTAGATCAAAAAAGATTATTTGACATTTTTTACTTCAAGCAATATTTCTGGTAGAAAACATACTTCGCAAAAATTAATAATAATGAAATAGGTAACGCTTTCGGCATGCCGTAATTATTTGCTGTTTTTCGAAAAATGTTTTCCAATTATTTTACAAAACCCTTAGAAAATCAAAAAATGATCTCTTAAATGTATCAACTAAAGAAAATTTCCTTTCAGAAAAAGTATTACACTTGATACTTTGGTACTAGATTTCTAGTAGACAATTTGTTTACAGGCAGAAAAAAATAAAAACACATCATATTAAACCCAATAGATCCCTCGCTACACTCTGAATCTAATAAAATATATTAAGAATAATATTTTAAAATAAAGCGGTCAGTGATCTATTTATCAACCGCTAAATTATTAAATTAATTTTTAGATGCAACTCTAAAATCAACCGAATTAATTAAAAATGTTAAAAATAATTTTTATACACCGATTTTTTTTAAATCCTAAGTAGGATTATTTGTAAACAAAATCATTGCACTATGTTTTGACGTATATGTTTAAAATAATATTTGAGAGTAATATTTTTACCTATGGTGTTCATGCCCTTGAAAATTATGAAAATAATTACGGTTTCAAATAGTACATTACGTATAAAATATATCATATTTAGTTTTGCAAATAAAATGCTATTCAAAATTATACTGAATCACGAATATTATACTGATATTAAATTGTATCGAATAACTGTTCTGATACATTTGTATTATTATGAATAACTATAGGTATGTGTTTTTAACCATTTAGGTCAAAATCAACAAATTATTTTCTTAATCCAACTGAACAAATAACTACTTGAACATTGGTTTTTACTCATAAATATAATTAATGATACAAATTTATTAATATTATACATAATATTTTTTATCCAATAATAATTTATGATATTAAGATACCTACGTCAATACTAAATCTGATTAATTGAACGTAATATATTACTTAAGTATCAAAGAATTTTAAATTATAATATCACTCCTTACAACTTCACCTCAGAGGGGCATATGATACGGGTTTAGTGAATCCGGGGCCCCAAACTACTTCTGGTCGATAGACCCAGATGGGTGATTCCAGTATTACTCCAGTATTTTGTCTATAGAATCAAAGAATTCACTTTTTTGTTGACAATATTATTTTCCTTATCGGAGGGGATCATAATACCGACGACGAATGGAAATGTTAAAATTCTGCGTTAGGTCGACGCAGAATTTTGTGAAATAGTATGCGAATTTTTAACAAGACTTCGGAAGATTATTCCATCACTCATGTTTGTAGGAACAACAGGTGTGAAGAAGTATCATAGCATATGATTTTTAAAGACGATATAGCTTTTATAGGAGAAAATCTAGAATACGTTTACAATATGCTTAAGGAATAAGGAGTAGCACTTGATGAAAAAGGACTAAGGATAGTAAAAGTAAAACAAAGTATGAGTTTGGAGAAACAGGAGAGGATAACTAATAAAAATAAGCGGTTAAAGGCGAGGTTTAGAGTACTTACCTAGGATCATTTGTGCAAAATACGATGTCTTTCATGAGGATTTGAAACATAGGTTTAAGCGGGTTAGATATAGTGGAAAAAAGGCTCAGGTGTTTTATGCAAAAAATGAATTCTAATAAGACTAAAAATTTAGATCTACAAAAGTGTGGTGAAACTGAATATGTTGTATAGTTCAAAGGGTTAGGCGGCAGACAGAAAAATAGAGCAAAAAATGAGTGTCAGCAGAAATGAAAATGCTTAGAAGGATGAGTGAAATGATGAGAAAAGTTAAAATAAGGGATGAGTAAATAGGATATAGCTTAGACAGTAGACAAAATAAGAAAAAATAAACTGAGATGCTTTGAGCATGTCACAAGAAAGAGGAATCTGAAGCAGTAAGAATTTTAATGAAAATAAACTTAGAAAAAAAGATATGGAAAGAAAGACTGATAAAGAAGTGATTGAATGCAATTGAGAATGATAAGTGGATAACTGGTGTATGCAAGGGCTCCCATTTCATCGATCGGGTCAAGTGAAGGTTTATAACGATGGTGGTCGACCCCAGATGTTTGAGATAAAGACGAAGAAGAAGAAGAAAACTCTTTATTACAAATAAAAAATATAAATTTCACCTTTTTATTTAATTGTATTCAATAGATTTATCGAAGACTACATATTTAATAATTTTCATAATTTTCTCAACGGATTGGTGGAAATCATAAACGTCAACAACAAAATGTATTTAAACTACTCGTAATACTCAATTTATTTATAGAATTTTTAATATTGATTTCCATTTTAAAATCAAGTAGTTTTACTCCCGAAAATAAGGATAATAAAAAATAATTGCGATATAATGACATTTTAAAGCTGCTTGTTTCTTAACCTGTCAAAAAAAATATTCCGAAAAAAATGAATAGGTATACTTTCGAAATATTGTAACTGGTTTATCTTCACAGATTGATTATGTATATAAAGTTACCTTGATAAACACTGATAAAAAAAATTTCATAATTTTTTATCTACTTGAAATTAAAATCGCCACCACAACATACATCAACGTTTGGTAAGTGAAATTAGTTTAAAATATATTACTCTAATCAGTTAGTTTTTAAACACAATCGTTGATACGTATTATTAACAAGAATAAAAAAAAAAATTGTATTTTTTATCCTATAACAGTTGAAACCGTGCTTGGAAATTAGGTTTAATATAATATTTTATTAGATTCCAGCAATATAAAATATCTAGTGTTAAAAGTTTTCCACCTTGAGGATTTTATTTTTTTTTTTTATGATGCGTAAAGTTCGAAAACTGAATAATTGTGTATGGATTATTTTTAAAGTGTTAAAACAAATTAAAAATATGTTTAGATTTTTTATAGATTGTTTACAAGTTAAAAAATATAAGATATATGAAAGGAAATTTAATGTATGTCTGTACGCAATGAATAATCTTTGCAAACGAAAAACGATTTTGAGTGGAGTTCGGTTATACACATTTTAAAAAGCCATAATATTTACGATTTTCGTCAAAATTCGATATTCAGTTTTATAAAAAAAAAATTCTACATTAAACTCGTTATTTTTTTATTTTGTTTTACTACAAGGTACGACTTATAATGAACCTCCTATTAAATTTTCAAGCATTTCTGTTTGTTCTAACCAAATAGATAAAATTTGATACAAAAGTAAGATTTTTAATAGATTACATACGCAACAAAATAAAGAACTATTCCAATAGTTGTTGAAGATTGGAAAGTTGGAAAGGTAGGCTATATAAAGTTTAATTTACATCTGTAATCAATGATAAACCGTTGCTAAATATGCAAACGATTCTGAGCTAATTTCGTTATAGATGATTTAAAAAACCGTGAAATCCTTCGCTCCGCTCTAAATCTCAAAACACACATTATAGTAAAACCAATACATTACGCTCAAAATCTAAAAAAAATTGGTTAAAATAATTATTTGTTCAGTTGGAAGTATTTTTTTGTGTTAACCTAGATAGTGAAAAACACATACCTATTGATTTTAATATTATCATTACAGCGTGTAAATAAATTGATTTAACTTAGTATCAGTATAAGATACCTATAATTTTTGTAACTCAGTATTCTTTGAATAATTTTTATCTGCAAAATAAAACATGATATCCTTTAAAAGTCATTTATTATTTAATGCGGTGATAATTCACTGTTTTAAATGACATGAATGATGCAGGTAATGAATAAACTTAAATACTATGATGACAAATTACGTCAAAGTAGTCTTATCACAGACAATTCATATCAATTTTTACTAAAAATATTATTTTTCCCATATAACTACTAGTACTCATTCCTAGCTTTGTATCAAGTCGTTTTCAATTGTGAAACCTCGTAAATTATCTAGATTATATTTACCATATAACTAAAAAGATATTCTGTTGCGAGATTATTAATAATGGATGAATATCAAGATTATTTTGATAACCAATAACTTAATATATTTGTACAAAAAAGATCATTATTTGGTGACTTATATGATATATCCATTTCAGACCTATAGTGTATTCTATTTCAATAACCGGCAATATTTCGATAGTTTATAATTCAAACGTTAAGATAATATGTGTGCCCAACGAACCATAAGTGACTCTGGCCTGTTTTTATCTCTAATTTGAGCATATTTCGACTAGCACTCTTAATAGATTTTTATTAGTTACCTCTTATTAGTTACATCACAGTATAAAAAATAACTTTATTTAATCCATGTTAGTTAAAGTCCTAAGTTTTACCATTTTTTTTCTTTTGTCAGCTGATACGGAGGAGTCACTTTTACGATTACGTCGACAGAAATTAATGATCGAGGGGCATCCATATTGATATAATATCTTAAACAAGACATGTTTATATTAATTATAGAATAAATTTAAATATGTATAACCGTATGAAAAGATTATGCAATATTTTACTAAAATTAGCATAGTATAGGCACGCTGTGTTTACAATGCATAGCAATTTATTTCAAAACATTAATAATTTAAAATATTTGTTATGTTCTTTAAAGATTATGTGTAATTATTTTAATTATTGTATAGTATACATATTTTAAACACATTAAAATGAAATGTCAACAGCTGATCCTCCAGAGAGTATGTATCGTTCTTTATTATCAATTTGAATTAGTATTTTAATATTTTAAAAAGAAATTCTTCTTCTTAAAAGCTCTGCGGACCATGTAGGCCCATTACTGTCATCGCTCATTCAATCTATCGGTTCCTAACACTTGTATCTTTAATTAACATATTTGTATGGATAATGTACGGGGCCTTCCTACGGGTTTTTTTTCCCCATAGTTGTTCCTAATTTTACTCCTTTTATAGTTATTTGAAAAGAAATAATTCAGTTATTTAGTTAATTCGTGTTTTTCATATAATAATAAAAAAGTGCACGTAAATAAAATTATATATACACAAATTATAATATATATACAGTAGAAGCCGTTTATTAGGAACACTTTAGGACCGAGGTGAAACGTGTCAATTAACTGATTATTTCTAATAAACGATTGGTTTTAATAAACGACCGGTCCGTCTCTATACATTTTGTTTCAATAACGCGATCCGTTTTTCTAATAAGCTTCTACTGCTACGGATTCTACTGTATATATATATATTTGTATCACTTTTTTTTAAGAGGCTTCAAAGCCCTGTTTTGCTAAATATATACATCGCTTATATCACGGGAGATAAACGGATTACAAGGTGATTCATTAAGCATACTCACCCCATTTTTTTAGTTAAATTTTGCATACATTCAAATTCTGATTATTGGAATTTTTAAGAGTTGTTAAAACCGATATTTTCGAATGCTTAGATTTGTCTCAACAGGGTGTATCCTGTAATGACACCAAGTTCTCATTTGAAAAACCGAAATTAGTATTACTACAGGACACTCCTTAAAAGTCGTGAAAAATCTAAATATTCAAAAATATCGGTTTTAACGACACTTAAAAATTCCAACAATCAGAATTTGAACATATGCAAAATTTAACCTAACAAATGGGGTGAGCACGCTTAGTGAATCACTGTGTATATTAATTGTACATAGTTTAAGAAATAATAATTATAAAATACATTATCGATAAATTACTCTAACGTTGTAATTAAATTAAAAATGCAATATAATTATAACCCTTAAGCCTATGTTTGATTAG